TACCTAATTTACTAGCAATACTGTCGCAACTACTCTTTCTCTTAGAACCTATGCCAATTAGCCACCTTGTATAAGTCGGTTAGACTAATCACCCCTATGCCTCTGTCCTGCTGCTAACCTAGGTCCTGCAACCTATTACATTACCTTAGAAGAAATAATCCACTTAGCTAGTACTATACAATACAAAAAACAATTGCATTAAGTACTTGTAAAGCTAAATATATAGCTTTAAAAGACTCTAGAAAAAAGGCTATATACCTATACAACTTGCTAAATTGCATGATAACTAGATTACATATTCAAAGTATTACGTTAAATACACCTATATTAATTACAAACTCTAAATCAGCCTAAGCACTTGCTAAAAATCCTAAATTTCACAAAAAGACTAAGCATATTGACTTAATATTCCACTATATACGTCAATTGACTAATGAAAAACGATTAATATTGACTTATTGCAAGTCAAAAGACAATAATGCAGACTCATTTACAAAAGGCATTCCACATGAACAATTTGAAAAATTCACACAAGTAATTAGACTTAAAAAAATCAATTAACTAAAATATGCAATTATAAGATATAAATCATGCATATAAGCATATAAAAGACATAACTATAAAGATAACTTGCTAATAAGGCATATAATAGATTAAAAATATCTACAAACCCACTATATACCTTAAGAGGGAGTATAAAGATTACTTGATAATCTAACTTCAAACCTATATATTAAGGTAACCACAATAGTGATGACTAAGCGGTTTGCTGATTAAGCATCAAATATGACATATTTATAAGCCTACAAAGTAGCTAAGTCACGTGATAGCTCCTTACCTTATAATTGGCACTGGAAGTCCAAAGGACTTTCCTGCCAAAGGCAACCCTAAGAACAGGGTAGCCTTGCAAGTCCAGGGTAGCCCTGCAAGTCCAGGGTAGCCTGGCAAGTCTAGGATAGCCCTGCAAGTCTAGGGTAGCCTGGCAAGTCTAGGGTAGCCTTGCAAGTACAGGGTAGGTGCAGAAAATTAAACCACCTAAAACCTTCAAACCTTGTCAAACCACTTGATACATATCACCACCTTGTAAGTGTGTGATCTACGTATTACTACTGATTCAAACAATCGGATCCTACAGAACCGGTCTGATCAGCCGATCCAAGGTATCAAGTTGTTTGATCTAGTAGATCAAGTAAAGCAAAAAGACTGAATTTTTACTATATAGTTAGTTAGATTAGCCGGCTGACTTTGGTGAATAAATCATCATCAACCACACAATACAACCAGTCTTCTGCACCTTACTTGCCTACCTTACTTCCTGCCTTTCTACTGCTCACAGCAGTACTTTCACTAGTTGAATACTTTGCTTCCACAACCTACCTCTTTGGTCACAACCTAACCTTTTGAGGTTAGCATGTATCTTCTTAATGCTTTGTCTTAGGCGCAAATTGCTTTATTTTTAATATCCTTCTACTTGAAGAAAATAGTCTAGATATTTGCCTTGCACATAATGAGGAGGAGAGACACAAAACCACCTACCTACCTACCTCTCAACGTAGTATACTGCTGCTGAGGCGTAGGCCCCAACGGCAGTAGCCACGTGATCGGCTGGCAGGCGGATGGAATCGTGCTTCTTCCTTACCTCTGGCGCACGTGACTGGTCAGGTGACCCTGATCAGCCCCGTTACGTCTCGCGGTAGTGCCCAAATCCAGTCGTGTAAGTAAGGTAGGAAAACGCCGGTGGCGTGATCAATTGAATTGAAGGCGTAAGGAAGGAATGGAATGCGGTAAATCAAGTATTATTGCGTAGAAAGCTTCGAAATAACTAAGGTGTAAAGAGTGCTGCTTGTAAATCCGTGTAAGTCTGCGTAATTGATGATGATCTTACAATTTGAGGCCCTGATCACGCTCTTATATGGAAGCGCAGAAAATCCGGTCCGAAGCTGACTCATCCTAGCCTGAAGCGGCCCGTGCCTTTTCCATTCACCACGTCAATAAGATGTAATATCTTGCATAAAGACGATTGTTGTCTATATCAACTACTATATCTTAGCGCAATGCTTATTAGTAAGCTTCTAGTGAGTAGAATAGGTAATAGGATTAAGAAAAGGCTTATAGTTATAACAATTAACAATTAGCTTAAAATACTAGTGCCTTAGCGTAAAACTTAGAAGCTTATTGTAAATCTTGCAAATAGCTTAAGCCTTTCACTTGCAGCTAGTCTTCTGTAACATTACTTTCTAGCATCCTATACTAACAGACTTTATAATATAACTGCCTTTATTACATACTAGATTGTAGCAGCATAGTGCTTTTTTCTAATCAAAGTAAGTGCAGCGCTTAACAATAGCGAAGCCTTGTCTTTGGCTTGGCTATTGACATTGTCGATAAGCTCTTTAAAGGAGATATAGCTATCAGGCTAGCCAGTAGGGGCCTTGAGAAGCATTGCGATATTGTTATTACGCAATATTGTAGTGGTTAGTTGAGAGCGCAGGTTAAACTGAAGGCGCAAGGCAGCGGTTGAATTTAAGCGCGTTGCCAGTCAGATTTTTCAATTGCCGCAGTGCCAGCAGGCCAGCGCCAAAATTCTAGCAGCCTGATAAATAAACGTATAGTGCGGATAGGCAAAGATGTGTAGTGCGATTAGAGGAACCTATCTTTATACAGAAATATACGATTCAAAGGTAGGATTCTAGTTATTAAAGCATATATAACGCGTATATAGTAGGTAGGGTCAAAAAGGTAGTTACTTTAGTAATCTGGTGATTTTGGTGGCAAGCACCAACTTTAGTTGGTAGGAGCCCTCGAGTGCCAATTAAAGTGAGGCGTGGCACAGGTATCTCCCATCAGCCACGCTGCAGCCAACACCTAGCCATAGTAGCATTCTACGCAGGCCTTTGTTAATGGTTGAGTAGTGCGCGTTAGGGACTGCAGATAGGAAATTGCAGCCAGCTCTGTTAATTTCAATTGTGATGGTGACAGGTCTTCTTCTTAGACCAGGACCTAGTGATTGTGGAGGGTTTCTAGGCAGCCAATTTGTCCCCCTGGTCCTCCCGCTCCTTCTTCAGTCTGGTCCACCTGTCTGCCTCAGGACCACAACCTACAATCCTATTGTCAAAAGGTTGCAGTTGTATCTTGATGGGGATATATTAGGCTGCGATGTTAGGGCAGCGGCCTGGACAGGGAGACGACCCTGTGTGCTCCTTGAAGAACCGCGGGGGTGGAACTTGATTTGTATCGGCCTAGGCTGTCCTCCTTGTTGTTGGATGAGTCGACAGCAGTTTCTTATGCAAGACCTGCAATCTGATATCTGCAGACGATGACAACAACAACGTCACCAAATCTACAGGGTTGGGTTCCTCCTCCGCAACAACCGCCTCGAAGCTATCCCAGACAAAGCCGGTCCACTCGGCAGGCTTGTCTGTCTACGACCACGCTGCCTGAGCAGACTGACCACCCCCATCAGGCTTGGTGCCTTCGTCTGTTTCAGTGGTACCGACAATCAACCCCAGCGCCGCGCTTGACGAAGCCCACTTGATGACCCTGTCCGCGTTGTCGAAGAGGGAGCATGGGTGCGCAAACGGGGGTGGGTTCAGGGTCGGAGTCGGCATCACCGTGGTTGGAGGCGTTGGCGCTGGGCAGTACGGGGTGCTTACAGACTTGCGGAGGAAGGGCACAGGGGAGATGGTTAGCAAAATGGACAGGGAGGTATCTATCTGGGGGGGAGGAGGGCATCAAATTAACAGCGGGAGAACAAGAAACACCACCCACCCACCTTCTCACTGTTATCTTGACACATGGTTGTATTCGTAGTGACTACTTGGCGGTGGCTTGGGGTATCAAGGAAGGGGTTTGGGACAGTGGGTGTTGCTTCGTTGGCAATGAACTGGGGAGGTGGGAAGAGTTGCAGATGGCGGACATAACTGCAGAGAGTGGAAAGAGGGAGAGTAGGAAGAAGCCCCTCATCTTCTTTCCCTCTTTTTCCATCAATGTTGGACAAGTCCTCCATCTCCTCACATTAGGACCATCTGCTCCCTCGCCTCCATCAGCGAGTATCATCGCCAACAATGGCTTCCTGTGTAGCTGGCAGCCGCGCAGTCAAGGTAAGCATCCTAAAATGGCACAAACCAGTCAGCCAGTCCCCTTACCTCCCACCACCAGAAGAAGCCCAAACCACCCCCAGTCCGCCCACTCAAAACAACGAAGACGCCAGGACCACAGCCACGAACCCGAAACAAACACCACCAACGACGCAACCCGCATCGCCATGCGACATGTCGGGGGAGGGAGGGAGGGGGACACTGGCGGCAGGGGTGTCCCAATGAGGCAAGGCGGTGGAGGAGGGCTGAGAGGCGGATGGGGAGAGATAAGCTGCATCGAGGGGGGGAGGAAGAAGGAGGAGGAGGGGGGCGGAATAAGGGGGGTGCAGTTGCTAGGCGCAGGTTAGATGGCCCTGTCCTGGATAGGTCTTGGATAGAGGGTAGTGGTAGGAGGCTGAGTCTATAGCAAAGGGTCAGAAGCTAGGGTCATCTTGGTAAGACTAGATTTGGGATCGACATTCGGATAGACAGGAGGCATGGTTCGACCAAGAGATACTGAGGGAAGGGGATTTGGATTGGAATCTCAATGCCAAGATACCATCACCTTGGATCAAAGATGTGCTTATTTCTCAAGGGTCACTTGATAGGAAGACTCAAACCCCAATACCCAAGTCCCTGCCAACAAAGATGAAGATGGAAGAAAGTCAAGTGAAGTGGAAGGAAGCCAAAGTGAAGTGGAAGGAAGCCAAAGTGAAGTGAAAGGAAGCCAAAGTGAAGCAGCTATCAAGCCACGTGATCCCCAATTCAATACTATAAAGAGCTGTCGAGCCTCTCGCCAGGCAGTTGAGAGTTGCCTGTCGCAACACCAAAAAGTCAGATTGCCAACGAGGTCTAGATTTGCAAATGCTCGCAAGCAAGCATTCACCATACCTAGAGAAAGATCCTTCTCTTGCGTCAATCAAAATGCCTTTCTCCTTCGTGCCTCCCTTTTGGCACTTCCGCCACCCTTCAATCCTCATCGTTCAATCCCACCCAGAAATTGCAACTTCATTGGCGCAGGAAGAAATCATGGCAGCAAACGTCTTCCGAGAGGCTACAGGTATGTACAGTACTTACATTGAATCTTTTCCTCCTTCCTCCTGTTCCGCGATAATGGCTTTGCTGATAAAACAAAACTATTTTCACCACCAGCTTTTGCAATTGAAATCGGCCGCCAGTCTCGGGTCACGGCGAGTGCGTTGTAGGGCAACGCTCTTCCCGCTGGCCCTGGGGAGGTAGTTTTCCAGACGAGAAATGTCATTGTCCGCGCCAACATCACCAGTCCGGATATGGCCGAAGCCACGAAGAACATTGTTGACATTGCCGCGAGAGTCGACCTGGAGAACGTGGCATCGGGCCTTCTCCATCGCTGCCTTGTCCTCGGCGGCGGCATGATTCTTGCCGCGATTCTTGCCGGCTGTGCCATGACTGTCTGGTTCACTGGTGGCCGTGAGCTGCTCCGAAACCTTACCACTCCGCGCGAGGGATAATTGAGGGATGCAATCTCGGTATGTATAATATCATCCACCCTCGCGATATCCAAACACAAAGCAAACGCGTCTAACACTTCCTATTTTGGCAGAGGAAGACTGTCACTAGTACCCCCGATGGTACAAGTATTGCAGTTGCAGCAGCAGCCCGGAGAGAACGGAATGGGCGTGCAGGCTAGGACTAGACGGATCGAAAAGAGATACGGTGGTTGGGCTGGACATTGATTAAATGGGATATCATTACTGTGGTTAGACTAGACGTTGAAACTGCAGAAGCATCTCCCTCCCCAATGTAATTAATCCCCCAAGTTCAAGTTTTGCTGGAATGCTAGGTTTTAATTGCCTATATATCGAAGCAAGTCTTCCTTCCTGCGTTTTATTTATTCTCTACTCATTACTGTTCCTTGTCAAGACATTTCTCGCTGAAGGAGAAACACAAGAGAAGAGAAGAGAAAAGAAAAGAAAAAAAAAGACAAGAAAAACAGGAAAAAAATCGCAGCATATAGTAGTCTATCAATCTACGACACAGCAGGTAGAGGTTGTTCTGATAGGATAGCATAGCGACACTGTGCAGATTTTGGCTATGTTTCACTTTCATCTTCTCCTATTCAAGCACCTGTACTATATACACATACATCTCTTGAAAGGGGAGCATCATCTATGGCTTGTGCATTCCAGACCTAACTAAAGTAAATTAAGGGGGAAAATAAATAAAACCTAACAAGAGACGACAAATCAACACTTCTTGCAACAAGTAAGCCGCCACTCATACCTCACACGACCGATTCTGATGGACAATATGGTCCCTTATCTCCCCATCCAAGACTTGGCTGAAGGTTTTGTGCTTTCTATACCAGACTTCGACTCTCGGAATATCATGGTAGATAAGGAAGTGAGGGACCTTGCACAAACTGTGCCGGGATGCGTGGGATTTTGTCGCTACTCTGGAGATTACACGACATTGGGATCCTCTCATGTACGGCTGGCCAAAAGTTAAAAGAGTCTAGAAATTCGCCAGAGGAACTAGAACGGTACCGCGAATATAACAACCAAGTAATTAGAGCGGCTCTAGGGTGGAAAAGGAGACTGGGTATACACGAAGAAGTCGCAGGTTAGGGAAGCAGTGTGGATTGCTTCTTTGAATGGCACCGACAGTCTCAAGATCTGTCGCAAAATGGTATTACAAGTTGCTATGGGAGATGGGGTGGACGCAATGGGTATCCTCTACGATATTGGTAGTGACAACCTTGGAGGAAGGGGTTTGGGGCGATAAGACCAAATTGGCGCAGCTAATTTCCCGACCCATTTGAGCAGTTCGCCAACTGGATTAGCTACGTTTGTCTCTTAATTTTGCAATTCTGATTCCTACAGTATGCGCAGAGGTCATTTCCAGGGGTAGATGGGATCCGTGGATGTCATGAAAGATGGTCCGATACGTTGTCTCCTTGGGATCCATGTTCCTGCCCCGGAAGCACCGCACACACTTCGCACAACAGGCGGCCCTTTTCGCTGCCATGTAGGTTGGGGTTTCTTAGACCTAAGGGTGCTGACCTTAGTGGCCTCGGGCATGCCGAGGCAGTGCTTGCTTGTCTCTAGCTCGTCGATGGCTTCGATGGCGGTTTACTCATGAAGATGTCAATAAAAGCTTGCATTAAATATACACAAAAAGCAAACGAATAAAATAATACCCCAGCAACCACCTACCTGACTGGTATTGCGTCAACCAAGAAGAAAAACCAGCCCGCATCAGACGTCCCGAACCATCCAAACATTTCCTTCCTTCTCACCACCCTCGTAAACCCGGAACCCCAGCTTCTCGTAAAACGGGAGCACCTTTGTGTTCTCGCCCGACACCCCGATGTGGATCCCCTTGCCATGGTCCACCGGCGACGCGCCATCACCTCCCCCCCCCGCCCCGGCAAGCCTAACGCTCTCGACGAACCTCTCGACAAGCCTCCGGCCCCAACCCCGACCCTGGAACCCAGGCAACAAGTCGATGTGCATCGTAGCCCGGTACGTCCTCACCAGCTCCGCCTTCCCCTCGACCCCCTCGAGCAGCAGCCACCGGGCGCTATACGCCAGCTGCGCCAGGCACGTCTCGTTGACGGCGTCGTCGGTCCCGGGCACCGACCACGGCTCGAGCGAGTCGAGCTGCGGCGGGACCGGCACGTCGTCGGCGCCTCCTCCTGGGCCCCCGAGGACCTCGGCCACGTACCGCGGGTACGCGGCCGCGAAGGCGAAGGCGTCCGGGCAGCCGATGACGTAGCCGACGGCCCTGCCGGCGCCGTCGTCGAGCATGAAGCAGTGCCGCGGGCAGAGGTGCGTGTACTGCAGGGTCCAGACGTACGGCGCGATGCGGTTCGCGGGTTCCGAGGAGGCTAGCTTGGGCGGGAGCGTGGCGCGGCACTTTTTGTGGGGGAGAGCGAGGACGATGGTGTTGTTAGAAAAGGGGATGTGGTCCTTGTTAAAGGGGGGGGGGTGTTGGGGAATAGGAAGGACACTGGTGACGATGTTGTGGCCTGCCTGCGCTAGGCAAGAATGGCGGCGATCACGGTGAAGATATATGAACGGCACTTACTATATGCATGGCCATCTCCGTGTCGGCGGGCTCGAATGGGCGTATGAAGGCCATATTGGAGGGTGGATGTCTGCTGGACTATTCTGGGAGCGGAATTTGTCGCTGAAACCCACAGGGATGCTAGGGAGGAGGCAAAGTCCGTGTTCCCCAAAAGTCTTCAGAGGAGGAAGTATGGAAGGTGGGACGGAGGGGGGCCAGTGTTATTTACATGGTACAGATGAATCCTCGTGGTTCCCCACTCTCACATTGCTGGCAAAACTTCGGATGCTTTGTGGTGATGCGGCCCGAAACCCGAATATCCCAATTCATTCAAGCATCAGCACGGAGAGTTTAATCATAAGCCACGTGGCAGCCTTGAATTCACAGCGGCAAACAGGTGGATGCTGATGAGAATGTGGTCATGTCGTTGATACTGTTGGACTCGGAGCTCAGAGGAGCGGGGGCAGGAAATGGCTAGTATTACAGAGGAATTAGATCTAGAGCAAGCAGCACAAGGAATTGTGTAAACGTCTTGATTTGCCTTCGTTTTTGTTTTATCAAATCATCCTGATTGTCAAGCCAACGCTGTTGCCTGTATACCCACATTCTCCTGTAAGATAGTTGCTAGTCCGCTAGGATGCTACGGCCAGATAGACGACCATACGATGAGCCCCGAGGCCACAACTCTTGAGAAACACCAGCCACCAAGCAAGAGAAAGGGAAGAACGACCAAGAGTAGTCGAGGGGAATAAAGAGGAAGAGAAAAGGAAAGAGGTAAAGGAGGGCAAGAAAAGAAAGAAGGAAAAAGAAAAGGGGAAAGGAAGGACAGCAACGCCGGAACCTGTCCAGTCCAACTTGTCTTCCCACCCTCCCCAGCAGTGCTAAGCAACTGGCCGAACGCAGATCTAAGAAAAAAAAAACAGAATGAGGCAGAGAATAAATAGTCCATGTACAAGACGAGTAATATAATACACAACAAGGTGGTATCTCCAGTTCGTAAGCTCATATGATGTTGGCACCTCGCCCAGTCATCCGTACCAAGGCAGGAAGGACCTTCCACAGCGAACAAGAGGCGCGAGCAATTAGGAAGAAGATAGATGATAGTATGAGAAGAAGATGGCGTTTGGTGTTTGGCATGTCGCTGTTAGAACATGCCCCCGGCATGAGATGGGGCGTTGATGCCCGGCGTGACAACGGCCCTACTCGCAGGAGGACCGGCGGCTACCATGGGGGGATTGGTAGCCCTCTCTCGCATACCCGGACTTCGCATGCCTTGCGTTTGGACGTCGCCGGTCGCCTTGCGCAACTTCCTCCTCTGTCCAAACTTGCCACCATCCTCGTCGTCGCTCACGGAAAAGGCGCTTCGGCCCTCATCTGCAAAGTCGGCGTCGCCGATGTACTCGGAAGATCCGGACAGCGGGAGATGGGGGCTGCTCGAGGTGGCTTGGGAATCATCAACCTCTTTCCGACCCATGAACGGGCCGAATACGCCCCGAGTCCGCGAGCCTTCCCATTTCCGACGGGGATTGATTGGCGGCAATGGTGGTGCGTTGTGTCCAGTGGTGTTGCTATTTGAACGAGACCTGGACCCACTCCGAGACCGTGAATTGCTAGGGCTATCGATAGCCGAGGCCGAGTAAGGAAGGTTCACGGTAGGCACGCGGCTTGTTGACATGATGAAGGTTGGCTCCGAGATGTCGTCCTTCTTGACGACCCTCTTCAGAGACTCGTTCAAAGTGCTGGTGGTCGTGCTGAACGCGGGCGACTGCGGAGCCGACGGTCGTCTCGACTGTGCGCCGTTGGTTGGCGTGGCCGCACCCGAGCCGCTGCCCTTGTGGAAGGGCGAAGGGGGGAGGCCCATGGAGTTGTCGTGTGGTGAGCTGGGCGATGGATAACCCGACAGTGAATCATAGCCACCACGACTTGGCTGCACAGTCAAGTTTCCGGGGCTGTTCGATCTGTCAAGATAGCTTGGTGAGGGCATGGGCGAGGCCGTGTTGGAGCCGGGGTAGGCTTGTGGGGGCATGATGGGGGAACGCCTGATGTCTGTGCCCGGAAGGCCGGGTGAGCGCATCGGCGGCCGGGGCCCGCCATTCGGTCGCAGCTGATCATCATATGCATTCGAATTATTCCTGAGCCGTGCGGGTCGGCCATGCGACGAAGCCCCGCTGGTCTCCGAGCTGCTACGATTCCGCTCCGTCGATGCCTGTCGGGAAGCCGGGTTGGAATTCGCGCCCACACCACGCCTGGACTCTTCGCTTGGGCCGCGTTGGCGGGGTGCTATGCGACGCGGGTTGTGGTCCCAGTTTCCGTGCTCGTTGGTGTGGTTTGATTGGCTCTCTGAAGCTTGCTCGGCGCGTTCGGAAGCGAGTTGGCTAGTCTGGGCAGCTTGGTGCTTCGCGAGGGTTTCTAGTTCTTTGCGCCTCTGCAATTCCCGTCTAGCCTGTCGAAAGGCTCGCAGTCCGGGGTGCGTGTTATCGCTTTCGTCCTCCTCCCGCAGCGACTTTGCCTCAGCCGACTCTTTCGCCTCGCCGGCGACTTCTGACATGACCCGTGTTCCCTCCTTCGTCGGCGGCTCTTCCTCCATAGTAGCGAGCAGAGAGGTGTCCTTGTCATCGAAAGTCGGCTTATTTGGGCTCGGTGAGGTGCTCATGGTCGAGCCCGCAATCCCAAGCATCTTCATGGCCTTGGACTGGGAGCTAGAGATGGTGCGTGAGCGGTCGATGAGAGACCCACGACTCGATTTTGGCTTCAAGATTCCGATCCCCAACGGATTGCCCGACTGTGGTACTTGGTTCGCCAAGACCTTCGACGAAGTCTCGGGCTGCCGGTGAGGCGACGTCCCTCGGCTGCTGTCCGATTCGACGTACGAAGTCAGCCGCTCCCGCACGCGGCGGCGGGCATTGGCAAGTTGGCTGGCGAACTCGTCTGTCTCATTTTCCATCTCATTGCTCGACGAGTCCCGCGTTTGCAAATCGTATCGACTCTCCTTCTCGCCACCCGATTCCTTGTCTTCTCCCTGGTTATGCCCCGCAGCAAGTCCAGACAGCGACAGCCGCCAATCTTGTCCCGAAGAGGTCCATGGATTCGAGTTCGCGTCAAGTGTGTCCATCACTCTAGTGTCATGGCCATCGTCAAGAAGGAAGCTGGAGTCAAACTCGCCAATCTGCGGAGGGGCGCCGTAATTGGACGATGCATTGCTTTCTGATCGCAAATGCTGGCGTACCATTCCGCTCAGACCAGCCGTCGGGCCCAGGGTGGGCGAATCGGCTGGCGAGTCCTGGCGGGAATTTGCAACGGAGCTGTCCAGATTCTCGGAATTCGGGGACGACTCTTCTGATATCTTGTCGTTGGCCGAAAGAGGAGTCGGAAGGGCAGATTCTCTGAAGGCTGGGTGGTCCTTGTCGGAGGGCCGACTGAGCGATTGAGGGGCTCCTCCGGCCCTCGACTCGACGACGGGGGCAGAATCGTCGGAATCATTCAAGAACGTGAGTGTCGTGGGTTTCTCCTGGCGCGCCGATTCAACCTTTGTCGGAGTGTCCACTCTTGTATCAAGTGACTGTCCCCGGACCGACGAGGATGACCGGGATCGGCCAGTCGCAAATGAAGCGTTCGATTCGGTCCTGACCCGCTGTTGGGTTGGGGTCTCCCGACCTTGCCGGAGCTGGAGTTGCCGTTGAGCATATTTAGACTCGTCATATGCCTGGACTGGCTTGTGGAAGACGCCCAAGGCAGTGGCCTTTCCGCGATCGTTGGGTTGAATGGGAAGCAACGAATTGTCGCCAGTTTCGCTGATGGGCGGGCTTAGAGGCGGGGATCCGCCAAAATTGGCCCTCGCCTCTGCCAGGCCGGGCGTGGTTCCGGGAAATGAACCAGTAGTAGGGGGGCTGATGGACCTCAGGTTCGGGGCGCTAGCCTTGGCCAAGATGGGCCTTCGTTCGCCGGCAAATCGGTCACTGAAGCCGAAGTTCGTTGGGGACGGGGAGTTGTAGACGAGGTCCGGCGTTCGAGTCCCGATATTTCGTTGACGGCCAAGTGTGTCCATCCGAGATAGGGCGGACGACTGTTGATCGTGGAGATCCTGGGTCAGCCCTTGCTCATACAACCGTCTTGTACGAGTGACGTTCCTCTCCAACACTGGAGTCGAGGCGGCTGATGGCGGCGCAGTTGACGTCGACTGCCAATCCTTTATCGACAGCGTCGGTGGTTGGGACGTTATCGAGGTGGCAGCGGTGGAGTTGCGGGCAACAGCGGATGCTGATGAAGTGGTCGACGATGTTTCGCGCCTCCTATTGTACCCCAGGGGTCCGGGAGACTCGGACCGACGAGGCTCCTCTTCGTATTCAAGGCCCTGGGACTCGGCTGGTTGGTCATCGCCATCCAGCGACCGCCTCTTCCTCTCCGCTTGCCTCCAGAGTTGAAAGGCCGACGAAGCAACATCGTCTTCATAAAGTGCTCGCCCGCCCATCCCACCACTCCCCTGGTTTTTTGCAGTGGAGCCGCTGACTGGAATCTTGTAAATCTTCTGCCTTCCACCAAACAAGTTGTTGCCCTCGGTCGGCTTAGCACGGTTCATGATGCTTCCTCCCTTCGTCGAATCGGCGTCGTCCGAGGCGAACGAGTTCATCCGAGTAAAAGAAGGTGGTGCCCTGATCGACTCGACTTCGGCGATGTCGGCGAGCCCACCAAGGCCTCCGCTGAAGCCAAAATCGGCGAGCCGGGACTGGCGCCTCGGCAAGAGCACGCTGTCGTCGCTGGCCTTGCCGATCTTGGTGTTGGGGTCATCTTGCTCCCTCAGCATAGAAAAGCGGGCAGAGAGGTTGGTCATCAAGAGGCTGGTGCGAAAGTCGTCGTTGGAGGGCAGAGCGCTCGTCAAGTCGATCTCCTTCTTCGGTTCCTCACTCGATTTCTTTCCTCTTCTGAAGCCCTTGAAGGAGGGCAGCGAATATTGCTCGCCATCATGGCTGGGACGGCCGGCCGACGCATCCTCCTTTGCCTTCTTCTTGGTTCTGAATCGATTCATGGTGAATTACTCAGGGCGAGGGGAGAAGAAGATCGTATCATTCAACGCTCGAACCGGGAGAAATATCGAGTAAACGGGGGTTATCAAGGCGACACCAGGTCACTATCTGGATTCCATAGAACGGCGGCCGAGGTAGTCGAGTCGGACGACGGAACAGAGTTCAACGCTGCGGTTGTCCGAGGGGGCACCTGGGAGGGGGTGCGGAGAAAAGCCTTTTCACCCGAGCATATGAGACCTGACTGCAAGCAATATCCCCAACATCAGCATCGTCTGTCCTTCCTATGGTGTTGTGTCTGCCCGTGTGGGAAACGCCAAAGGAAATCCTAGCAGAGCGGAGGGGCAAAAGGACATGTGCAAGGGCGGGTTTTACCTGGAATTCGAGTTCAAACAGGGCCGTTTCCAGGGGCGCATAGGGGGTTTGGACACCGGGTGGTCCCAGGGGATTTCGGTCGTCTTCCCCCAAAGCTTCGAGAGATGGGGCGAGACTCGATGGCGCGCTGGATTCGTGGATTCGTGTGTGGTGTGTGCTCTGGTTCGCGAAGCGGAGTCTGGAATGGGAAACAATGGTGGCCGGCGTGGGCAGTAGTTTGTTGGTCTACAACTATGGGGCAATGCTGTATGTATGGTATGTAAAACGAGTGCGATTGAGTTTGGCAGACGACGGAGCTGAGGTCGAAATGAAGGGCACCACAGTCGGCGTTACTGGGCTGGGTAAGGAGTGGAGAGAATCGAAAAGCACAAAGCGAAAAGATTTGGCACTGGTCGCTGCAACGGTCTTCCCAGGAGAAATTTGGAAGTTTTGTTGGCAGGCTACAAGCTGGGGAGTGGAAAGGGTGGAAAGGGGCCGCGAATGAGATTGATCAGATGAAGTGCTCAGTCATTCTATGGATTACACTAGTGTGCTAGCGGCCGAGACCTGGGCTGGGGGTGTGGCGTTATCCGCACCCCATTATGTACCTACCTACTGTGTGAACTGCGTGCTGCTTCCCATTTGTGGACGCTGTACCGGGCTGGCAACCCCTTGCTCCCGATGCGTCCCCGGAAACTTGGTGAAACGAGATAGACCCCAATAGGAAGTTACCTAGGTAGGTAGCTAACCAGGGTAACCAATACGCAGTGCTTGGTTGTTGTGAACTCGCATCATGCATTAACTATTCGATCTACATAGAACTATTAACAAGAAGAAAAGATAGGTAATCTTGGATCCGAGACAGTGTGCCGGCGCAGCAGGTCCGACTTGAGCGCCTGAAAGGCATCGTCGTATTGCTTTTCGCTATTTTCGCTGCCCCTCCTGATCTCAAACCGTGTCGGACGGAGTGAGACCTGCAGCTCAGCAGCGAGCAGGAGGAGCAGTCGAGCAGGGACTTAACAACCCCACGCACGGCCACCGCTGGATAACGAGGGGGAAAAGCAAAGAAGAAAAAAAAGAAGCAAAGGAGAAGCGAGTCAGCCAGCTTGCTGGTTGCATATGATTCGATGACTGCAATGGCATTTTATGTAATAAACCCATCCGATACCACTTGGGGGCCTGCGCTGCGTGGTCGAGCCTGGGCATTACCCAATACTGTGGTATAGCGGATCGGTCATTTGTTCCGCGAACCAATGGGAGGCTTGTGCCTGGCGCCTCACCTGTTCGGGTTAGGGGCTGCGACCCAAAGACACCAATCAGGTACCAACGGGACCAACGGGACTGAGCTTTGACCCCCCCCTGAGGTTTGCGATGTGTGATGAATGGCAGCATGGCAGCAGGTTCACAAACACACGGTTTCCTCAATATCAAGTTTCAAGGAAGGTTTCGACTGCGCAGACACTTGAGAGTTGGCGCTGAAGTTGTCATGCGTATGTTGAACGGCACCTTTTTTCTCGGTACAGTACAATCGGTAGATCTATCTTGGGTACATCCATTGACAAGGGTGCCATGTTGTGTTGAGATGGTACCTGGTACACTGGACAGTGGCTAAATGCACCCCCTTGTCGGACTAGTTACCACTGCGGTACGCAATGTGGAGAGCCGGGAGCTAGAACCACAGGAATGCATCCTGTCCATGAGAGGCCAAAAAGGTGTGGTCAAATCGATATGCACGGGATATTTGACTTACGGTGATCAATCACCCGATATAGCCTGCAGTGGCATATTGAACGTATGCCGCCGATGAGGTCATCAGCCGGATGAGGAAGAACATGAGGGAATGTCCATTCTAGGCCGGGAATGTTGGCGGATGGCGAATGGCGGCGCGACTCGGGGGAATTTTCCGGTAGTGCAACGCGTTAATTCCCTATAAGTGTATATTGGAACTCATGTGCCGTGTGTGTGTCTCGTTGCATTCCATGCATTTGCATTGCGTGGTCTCGTTTCCCAACGTGCATGCGGGGTAGCACCACTTCAAATCAGCGAAGCGAGAAAACGCGGTGGCGACGCGTTGCGACCAGAGGACTGGTCGACGGCCACGCTTCGAGTGTGCTCCGTTTGTCTCTCCTGTAACCATGAACCAGATTTGTCCACCGATTGGATGGGATTGGCCCGCCCAGAGAGAAGCTCCCAAAATGAGGCTAGATCACGACACAGGGCCAGAGAGCGCCTGGCTTGTGTGATATTGCAATTCCCAACTTATAACTAAGTTAGGTAGGTACGGTAGTGACTGCTTTTGCGAAGAAATGCTTTGATGGCGGTGCTTGAGAAGTATATTAGTACCCCGCCCATAGGGCTCGGTTGCGGTTATTAGGGGAATAGGGGGTGGTGGTAGTCGTGCCGGTGCAGATCGCAAATACCTGTCTCCCGTCTTGTCGATCTTTGCAGGAGTTGCGAAACTCCGTCTACTGTGTTTGCCTACCATGGTGAAGATTCCGATCTGCCTGCGACAGCCCTGCACAGGTGAGCTTGCCCGCAGGTCAGACAAACCCTCCTCCCGAGGCCCCATATTACGGCCGAACCGCCATCCAGATTACCGAGTACTTGTCTCTCTCCGGCTCGTATCCGAAGCCGCTATCAACGGAAATCGGCGTCGAATGCCCCCTAACCCGCGTTTGCGCTGCGCGCCTACGGGCGGGTCAGACCTGCTGAGGGGGGGATCTGCGCGTTGAAGGTTAGGGGTGGTCCAACTGTAGACCGCGGGATGGTGATGGTGGAATGAGTAGTGCCGCCGTAGATCTTAAACATAGTACTATTTCGGGCGAAAGAGTATATTCATACATCATTATAGAGTCGTCAGACGCACACAAGATCCACTGCCAAACACGAGCGGAATGAATCACTCTGTCATCAATGTCACACCCCCCTCCTCCCCCGCCTCGTCATCATCAACATCCTCGGGCTCAACGCCCCAGTCCTTCCACCCCTCGCCCCTCACCCAGCTGAACCCCTTCCGCCAGTTCCCCTCCCTGATCGCCCTCGCGTCCCGCTCGTAGACAACGCCCGTCAGCATCATGGCCAGGACGAACACCCAGACGTCGCCGCCCCTCATGGCCCTCCACCACCGCCTCTTGACGCCCACCTTCCACAGGCTGTCGACGCTGGCCCTGGCGCTGTACAGAAACGCGCCCCGGCCCTGCCTGCGCTCGACCCACGCCCAGAACCCGGCCAGGAAGCCGCCGAGGAAGAAGCGCTGCGTGGGTAGGAAGCCCCTCGGGAACCACGCCTGGAAGAAGCAGATGCTCGCCCAGGCCGTCGACATGGCCCCGGTCACGAAGGACGACATGCGCAGCGCGCGGGCGAGGAGGCGGTGGATGGTCGAGACGGGGAAGTGGTACAAGCTACTGAGACGAGGGAGCAGGAGGGCAGAGTATATGAGGAGGAGGAACTTCGTGAGCGGCGGGAAGGAGCGCAACCAGAATGTCAGGAAGGTGCGGGTGCAAGACGGGTCTGAGGGATGGAGAGTTGCGCAGGAGAGGGAGGTGATGAGCGGATGCGCCCGAGATGTCAGGGGAGCGATGGCGGTCAGGGACGGGGGGAGAATGTCGTCCTTGTTGGGATACAAAATGGGAGATATAAACGGCCTGCAAAGGGGTTAAAAAGGGCCGAAGCCACGACAAGGACAGGAGGATACTTACGGCCAGTTGAGACGTGCCATCTCGGCAAGGCTATCAACGATTTGGTAGGGATTGGGCCAGCCAACGCGGGCAGGGGTGTCGTCAGGCCTCTGGTGGAGATATGCCGTTGAGTTGTTGAATATGAAGTCGCCATAAGCCTGCAAGGCAGAATCGTGTTAGCAACGCGAGATACACGCCATCGTGGCTGACTGCTAAGCTCACCTTCGGGAAGCAGTCTCGATCGAACACGACCGCATGCAATAGCTGCCCAAAGGCAAAGGGCTGCAGCATCCAGCTCCCCCACCACCAAGGCCTCAGCCGTTTCCTCTCCGACTTCCCATTCGCGCCCTTTTCCCAGCCCCAGATCATGCCTCCGTCTTCGGCGCAGTTCCACCCAAACTCGAGAGCGCGGAAAGCAGCGTATATGGCGACCGACACCCTCAGCTGCTGAGCAGGGTATATCCCCAGGGCAAGACCTGCCAAGGAGGCACCTACGGCAGGGGCGTATGGCGACGTCAAGGTATTCGCCGTGCGGGGGTTGCGCTGGCAAAACGGTGCCGCCGACGGGTCGAGGAGGTGGACTCGTAAACGCGTGAAGAAGCGGAAGAGCAGTCGGTAGAGCAGCAAGATGGTGCTCAGAGACAGGGAGAGCCTGAGAGTTGGAGACTTATGTAGCGGTGGTTTCTTCTGTCCGTTTGATGACGCTCTAGTATCGGAGTTTAGTATATATCATTCATCGCGTTCGTCAGGAGAGCTTCGCGGAGGAGAGGACCCAGCTTCTCTTACCCCTGTTTGTTCTTCATCAACCGACCGGAGACGAGGCCCCAGAGCTTCATCAAAGCGCCAGTTGCAAGGAAGACACGGATGGAGTGACGGATGGCACGCGCATTATAATCATCTGCGCCGCCGAGTGCCATATCTCTTGCTTCCCCGTGCGCTGTGCCTTCGTCAGAACCAGCACCAGCACCGGCACCACTGGATCTTTCCTTAGCCTTGCCCTTGTCTCGTCTGCTCGAAGACTCCAGCTCCTTCCCACGGTTGTGCGGCTTCCCGTTCATAATCCTCTGCACGCTATCCACAGTGGGGGCGCGTTTCTTAAGCAGCCGCGAGCGCGAGATTATATATCGGTGTAGCAGTGCATATTCGCGGGCAGATATTGTGTATCGCAGGGCGTTGCGCAGGATCGGATCAACAGCTGACTTGGCAGAACGATTCGCAGGGCCGGCACTGGAGCCTGATGGGCCCACGCCTGCGGTGGTAGCCATGGCAAATGTGATGATTATGATGGTTCGCGATCGGTGCTGATGCGTGAGGCTTCTTCGAGTTCTAATGGTTCGCTCTTATTTTGCGGATGAGAGTCGCGTATCCCGATGCCCTCTGGAGCATGATGATGTCGAATAAAAAGAAAAAGCCAGAGTCGAGCGAGAGACGGGAAGCTAGTTCATGTCGAGGGACGCTGGTTGTTCGCGATGGTTGATTACGATGGTTATGAAGGACAGGGAGACACAAACGCGCGCGACTTTACATGTGCATTCCTTGGAATCAGAGCCTCGGTTTATGCGAGAGCAAGGGACATCCCCACGAAACCCCACATTTTATCTCGATTGGGGGATGCCGTCATTTCATGCACCCATTGGAACCCACCAACCCGGAAATTAGCCAGGTCGGGTGTAGAATGCAGTTCCTTGATTGGATGGAGGGGGAAGCATGCCCGAAACAACACGGAGATGGCGGATTAACAAGCAAAAAAGGTGCTTTTGAATGCTCCTTCCTATCCCTACCTGCCATATATCTGAAAAAGGCCTGGATAGGTAGGTCCTTCTTCGTTGGCCAGGCGTGCTAGCCAGAAACGTTCTCCAAATCTTGTAGAATAATAACCGTTGAGGCCGACGCATCCTCTCCATATGTCATCCGAAACTTGAGACGAGAAGAGGTCGGGTGTAAAGCAAAGCCTATTATGTTTTGGTCCGTTCCTTCTAAGCACAGAATGCCCATTACGTTGTAACTTTTGGTGTTGCCTGTGTGTTCTTGCCAGGCAGTCGAGTGTTGGGTTGAAGCCCTCTGCTTCACCTAAGCATGATAACCGTGCCATCAACCAACCAGTAAAGGAAAATGGGCAGATCGTAACATGGGGACCGAAAGAAAGCCACAGTTCATCTGAAACCCGCATGCCAATGGGAAGCCTGTTGCCCTAACCTCGCCACCATGTCTTTGATGAATACCTGAACCCAGAAGAGGCAAGAACCATTTTGCCCCTCGCAACTCCGAACCAATGCAAGCCGAATCCGTGCGAATGACGGCAGGGGAAAAGTTGGAAAATGGAAAATGGACAAAGACCAAAAAAAAAAAAACAGGTTCGGAAAAAGGGGGTTGGTGGAAATAGACGAGAAGAAGGCCAAGGATGTATGAAACCAGACCAAGGCATGTGCCAATAAACCACTCGATGTATCGCAAATGCAAATGCGAATGCCGACGTTTTCCGCCCCAAAATGCAAACTCCTAGTTCATCTCTCATGATGTCTTCGCCACATGTCTTGACGTGGTGTGAGAGCGTCCCATCGTCCCGGCGGTCCGTCTTCAGGCGCTGATACTCCCAGAGCCGCTGTGCACCCAGCTTTGGACAAGATATGGAACGTCTCCAGGGAAAACCTCCTCCTTGAAGCCCATGTTATTCACCAGGAAGTCGCCCATCTGTTGAACAGGCAGCGGCTCAACCGCACCATCAAGCCTCTCCTGGAAGACCTTCAGCTGTGGGTCGCCCTCCACAAGGGTGCGCAGCCGCCTAGCCTCTCGCTCAGCGATGACGCTCGTTATGAGATTGTGACGCGCTTGCATGGTCAGATCCCCCGAAGGCTTGCACAAGGCAGGGTGTTCGAGGACCTGCTTGAGCAGCGGGAACGGGAGGTTGAGTAGGATGCGAGAAATAATGGTATCCCACGGCGTCGGCATACGAGCTGTGGCGGCCGCGGCTCCTTGGTCCCCGTCCCCAGACTCGGCACCGTTTTCCACCTGAGGGGAGAGGTCCCCGAACTGGATCTGGGATAGGCGTGGATTGGTGGAGAGGCGAGGGTTTCGCGGCATCTGAGCCTGAGCGTTGGAAGGGTGGCGGCTATGGGAGCCCGTGCCGGGACCAGATGTGCCGCGGGCTATCGCTGGCATATTTCGCGTTCGTGGAGGAACGGGGCTGGGCGAGGGGAGGCGTGAAAACCCGCAGCCGCCAACGGTGGTATCGAGGACGAAGTTCGGAGGTAGGCGGTTGACGACAAAGGCAATGATGGCGTCCAAGAGCTCGGCGACGCTGAAGTGCTCGGTAGAGGGCGACGCATCATGCCTTGCTGGATGCCCAAAAATGGCACTTGGCAAGGCAAATTCGCAAGCCTTCTCGATGGTTTCCCAGTGTAGCAGACGGCGGCATGCGTAATGGATAGCTCTCGCATGCACGAGAGGTAGCTGAAGATACCTCGCGGCGGCGGCGTACCCGAGCGCGTGGTCGAACTCATCCTTGACGCCCTGGAAGCCCATGTAGGTAGGAAGGAAGTCATCACCGAAATCCCATCCGTAGAGAGTCCGGATTGTGAAATAGAAGGCCTCCGGCCTCAGATACTGGTCCTGCAAGTCGAGGAGGAGAACTCCATCGGGGGATGTGCCTCTCGTCTGCAGTATATGCTTCAGGGTTGGGCTTTGAGACAAGATGAATCGGTGGCAGGGAATACGCAGAGAAGGCTGGCTTTGATGGTGTCCTGCGTGGTCCGCGGACGGAGGGCTGTTGGCGATGTGGAGTTCAAGGGTACAATCCGAGAAATCCCCATGTTCAATGCCACCCCGGAGAAAACTCAGGGTCTGGATTTGCATTCTGGAGATGGCGAAATCCGAAGCGGAAGCACTCGCCACAGGCGGAAGTGCGGCCATATGACGATCCATGGCAGCCATGTGTCGCTGTGGTTGTCCCATGGGATGATGAACTGGGTAGCCATCGTGACCGTTCATAACAGGGTAGTGGGCGAAGCCGTTCTCCTCAGCTTGCATGGAGGACTGGGAACCATGGAAGGAGTGAGGGGTCGGAGGGCCATGGTGGCTCATGGCCGGCGGAGGAAAGCCGTCAGCTGTAGGAGATACCAGCAAAGGACGTCCGTATTGATCGACAGCGGGAATTGGCATCGCTTCAGGCGGGTAGGACATGAGGTCGGGAGGCCGGTACGCGCCGCCGGAATGGGGAGCTGGCGATGTGGTGTTGGACCCGTAGAAACCACCAAAGATCAGGCTGCCCATGCTTGGATGGGTTTGGTGCATCCTGTGTTGGTTCATTGCAGCTGGGTGGGGGTGGCGGTGATGGGTCACTGCAGCTTTCGTGACAGAGCCCGGACGCGCGGAATGGTTGCCGGAATCTCCGTTTGATTGTAAATGGTGTCGCGGTCGGGTCGGAGTTGGCGAGGCCAGATGCTCTTGCGGAGCGGCAGCAGAAGGTGCGGTCGGAGTATCTATGAACGAATGGCGGTCAGCACAGCCTATCACCTCCCAGGTAACCAGTTGGGCGCCAGAGAGAAAAAAAGAGCGAGAGGAAGTGGGTGAGGAAGGAGTGGACGCGAGGGCAGAGCAAACGGAGTGACGGAGAGAGGAGAGAGTGTGAGCAGAGACGCAAGAGAGCCACGTACCGAAATCCTTCTTGCTTGGTGAAGCGAGAGGCGGTGATACTGGCGCGACAGGTGCGACGTTGGCCGGTGCAGCTGGTGGCGTCGCAGCTTCAGCTTCCCGGGCCGGCGGAGTCTCCTCCGTGTAGGCTTTGCCGGTGCCTTTTCTGGTGCCGTTGTCGGTTGCTGTCGTCTGGCTACCCTCGTCCTGTTCCTTCTTTCGAGGCTCCGTCTGGTGGTAATTCTGGTGGTGATTACTGGCGGCGGGATTGTTGCCAGTCTGCTGGAGGGGCGCGGACTGGGAGACAGCAGCTCGTCGAGGGTTGCTGCTAGCTTGACGCCGGACGTAAGGCAGAGGGACTACTGGGACGACTGGGACTACAGGTTTCTGAGGGGCCCAGCGGCCGCCGCCTGCGCTTGGCTTGCCTGTAGCCCCGTTTAGAGGAGCCATGGTAGTGGACGAGGCTCGTGATGTGCCAGATCGCAGGAAGTGTGCGGTGTGAAGCCGACGTGACCAGAACAAGCTGGGAGGGACAGGACGCTTCGGGCAATTGGTGGCGGAAGGAGAAAAGATAAGACGAGTCCGGCCGCGGGGTTTGCTGAGGGGCGCTGACGGCAGGATGCGGCGACAGGCTTTTCTGATTGCTGCGTCACAGTCCTCAGCCGACAGGCAGGATTGAGCAGCAAACCGATATGAAGTCCGGCTGCCATGATGCTAAATTTTTAGATCCCCGCAGGAAAAAAAAGATGAGCCGTCACCATTGGCTGAACCACTACTGGTCGAGCCCCACAATCTTGGTCTGTGCCCGATTCTTGGTTTGGGCCATGCATGCATGGATATCATGGAAGTTCAAACTCAACATCAGCTATCTTCAAACTAATCGGATGGAGTCTCGACTGGAAATGTCAAAATGTTAGAACGACTATTTGAAAAGTTTTAGATATTTCTTCTCAATCACCTATCTACCACCATCCATGTGCTTTATCTTGTATCTCCTGTCGTTTCCAAAGTCAGTACGTACCCATGTACTGTATGTACAGTGGAGATCAGCTGCGGGCGGGCCCCTCTCGCCTTGCTCCACCTCAGTTCATATCAGTTAGGTAGGGAGTTGAGAGGATAGGACACAAATTTTACGGTGAGGCAGCATCTCTTCAGCCAATGTACACGAGATCAAAACCAGGTACACACTGGGTATCTTACAGCTGAATGCTCGGCTTGAAAGGCAGTCCTTCTGATTAGAACGGTAAAGAAACACCGTGGCAAGCGAAACGGGGGGTATTAGAGACCTTTCCAGACAGGGTGTGGGAGTATCGAAATCATGTATTTGTGAACCAACAGAAGTGAGAGATCCCAATGCCGAATGCTACAGCGGTTTGTCTGCAAGGATAGGTGCAGATGCAGCTGCACGAATGGACAGAGTCTGTCAGTGCTGTTTTGCAGGGGGCGGGAGCAACTTAGCTTTATTACTTGGACTCCTTGTCAGTCTCACTGGCAACGATGTGCAGAAACATAGAAAACCCCTCTCCCAGGGAACCGCTCTCTTCGATCGATGCGGCTTGAACTTCTCCTCTTCGAAATCAGCAGACGTTGGAGATGCTCTAAGTAAGGAGTGTGGCGGATGACTTCGACTTGAAGGGTCAAAGTTTCGAGAGAAATGATTTCAGGGGCTTTGTTTGCATTGACATACTTGGGTTTTTTAACAATGTCTATATAGGTCATAATAGCGACCTATTTAGTGAACTGTTCCAAAAAAAAAAAAAAAAAAAAAAAAAACCCCTGCAAGCCAACAAAGAAACACAATGCTACTATCCTCGCAACATAGACATAGTCTCGAACAACGCTCGCTTGTCATGGGAATAACAAAATAACATTGGCCGCTCTAAGTCGATATATATATCACGAGCATCCAGGACGTCCTGCTGAGATATGGGAGAACCAAGGACCAGCCCAATAGTTCATAACCTCCGCGCATCCAAGCACCAACATGGCTTCTGGCTCGTGTTCCCCCCAAACCCAAGGCCAGCAAATGCCTTATCTAGGTCCTAGCAGCGCATCAATAGAAACGGTTGTCAAGCTGGCCAGCCCAGCAGGGTGGGGTGATGTCTCGAGAGAGGTGCCCATCATCTGCGGACGGCTGCATCGACCGTTGGTGAGTCCCCTGAGCATAACGATACCTCCAAGTGATGGTCCCGAGCCAGTGTACCTAGGTACTGTAGCTGAATACACCACGGCCAGCAGGATCTCCAACAGGATCATCGAAGCAGCATTGGACTGGGCCCTCTCCCCCAGTTTCGACGCCGACAGCCAATCCAGTGGGTGGCCGTCTCCTAGCACAGACGCAGGAAGAGAAGATGAGGTGGGGTGGAGCTCCCGAGAGTGGATCGCCTACTTTGCCCAGGGCGATCTTTCAGACGATCTTCCAGACGATCTCTCAGAAGATTATTCTTCTGAAGATTCTTCGCCTCTGGCAGAGGACCCCCCGGTTCGGTTGACGTCGATCGATATTGCTATGCGAGCCGGCATCAGGGCCCTGGTTTTGGCGCTGCTTGCGATGTTTGTGATGTACACAATCATGCTTGCCCTAAGCCGTTCACCCAAGAACTTGGCCGATGAGCAGGAACTAGTCTAGACATCTCAATACCCCTCGCTGGCGAGGAAGATCTTTCGGGCTCTTGAGGATCCCATAATCAGAGTTGATCTATTACCTCCATTGAACCGCCCCCAAGTCGAGTGCGTGACCTTTCCAAACGTAGAAACGTAGTTCTAATGCATGTCGTTCAACCAAATTGCGAACTGGGAAGTCATAAAACGGTACGTATAGAACAAATGAGACACTTGATATTCATTCTATCTCTCTCAAAATCTGGTGCCGTACATCCCTCACCGGGCACGACAAGACTAGAGACACGTTTCTTTCCCCACCTAGTCACTCTGATGCAACTCATCTAGAACGGCCTGTCTGTCTAAACAACCCCATGAGTTGGCAATCCCATTCGTAGTCAACGTAAAACATGCTTTCTCGTCAAATTCTCCGACATTAAAAGGCCAAACTCCGTAGGCAAAAGAAACATTGCCAGGTGCCCAAAGTCAATCTCAATGGTACGCCGAATGACAAAAAGGGAAAAAAAAAGAGCAACAAACGGTGGGTATAAAACGCCTCCCCATGTGTAAATGTGAGATGTGCCCATGCAATGTTCCATGCCATGCAATGCAATGCTGATGCAAACAAAAAAGGAGGAAGCCAAACAGCTAGGTCGAGTGATAACTACTACTCTTGCGTTCTCGCGGTAGCACTCGGGATGGGTTATGGGGGGGTGGAAGAGCGGCTCAGTTGCCGCGCAGGCGGAACCACCACGCCCTCCGCCGCCTCCTCCTCCCACCACCCTCGCGCTCGTCCTTCTCCCCGTCCTCGTCGACGTCGAGGTCGAGCCGGTACCGCACGACGCTGCCCCGATCATCCTCGAAGCGGATGCGGCGGCGGTCCTTGGGGATGAAGCAGTCGGGAACCACGTGCCGCATCACCCAGCCCCTCACGCCGCGGCTCGCCGCATCGATGGCCGCGTACTCCAGCCGCCGTGTGTTGTCGCTGGTCCAGTAGTGGGTGGTCTGCGGCGGGGGTTCGGGATCGGCAACGACGAGGTCCGGGTCTTCTTCGGCGGCCGGCTCCGGGTAGGGGAAATGTGGGAAGTGGAAGAAGGTGTCGGTGTCGTGTGGGCGGTACGACTGTTGGGAGTGTGTAGAGGTCCTGCCAATGTCCAGGGACTGACCGCTACTTCTCGGCAGGTGGGCGACCGGGGCGGATTTGGCTGAGCGGCGGGCAGCCGGCCTCGGCCGAGGGTGTTGTTGTTGAGCCGACGGGGCCGATGTCGGGGAGCTACGGCGGCGGGACACATGCGAACTGGCGGGGGCTAAGGACTGATAGCCCGAGTCTTGGCGGCGCATCTCGGGCGAGGTCGGTGAGTCGAATTTTTGACTGGGCAGTGACGGGTCCATTGTTGTTGTTGTTGTTGTCGGTTCCTCCAACTCGATGTCACGAAAGCTGTGATATGTCGTGTCGGACGCTGCTATGCTGGCCCTCGAGTGAGACCTAGGAGAGGGAGGAGAGCGGCGGGGCATGGCTGCTGCGTTCTGGTTCATAACCTGGGTTGGGACATCGGAGGGTTGGCCGGGAGGAAGTTTCTCCCGTACAAGTTTATCGATTGCGGCAGCAGGGGACGGGAGGGGGTGGCGGCTTTCTTTGTCTTTATGAATAGAAAAAGTGCAGTCGAGGCGGTGAGGTGAGGGGTGGAGGAAATTAGACAGCAGAAGCGAAGAAGTTGCGGTCTGCGCTGTCTCAACAATGGGAAATGAAACGGCTGTTTTGACGAGGAATTTAAATGGGGGGTTCTTCCTCACACCGTCTCTCTGTGGTCTCGAGACCCTCGCTGGACCCTCTCTGGGACCCTCTTTGCAGCGGAGCCGGTATGTGGTTGCTCCTCGTGGGTTGTCGATGATTGGCCGGGTGCTGGTAGTCAAGAGAGTGGGCTGTGAGGCGAATGCAGGTTAACGCATGCGGGAGGGGTCGTAGTGCAGGAGGGGTTCCCGTCTGGGTTAGGGGAAATGGATTCGAGAGTTTCTGGACGAAGCTCCAAGACCCAGCACTGCAGCCGAGGGCGTATCCGGGTCCCCGAGACTCTTGGTGGCTTGATTTATTTGGTTATTATTGCCTCGCTCACAAACACCGGTGGAGTCTCGAAGACAGGGGGAAGAACTTGGGATGAAATCCGACTTGTTTGTTCGTAGTGTTATTGATTTGCTGTGGTTGGCTGACGATGATGTGTGTGGGCTGGCCCCGCGTGCAAGACCCCACGTTGACACACCGCTATCGGCGGAAACCTGGAGATTTGAATAGGGCGGAAACCAGCGGGAAGACCCGAAGCCAGGGGTTTGTCAGCGATGTGTTCACAGCCCCGCTAAAAGAACCGGCAGTGTCGAAGAAATGGAAGAGGGCAATAAAGTTTCAACACGATGGATAGGCAGTATGGGAAAAGATGAAAACCAGGGAATGACTGGGGGAGGATGGACAGATGTTGGCTGAATTTGTATGTCCTTGTCGGTCAATCACATGAACACGGATAGAAGAAGACCTGCATGTGGCACTCACATTCATCACCCAACTGCCTTGGTCAGACAGACCCGACCTATTTCCAGTCCCTGGTACCTATCTGTACTTGAAGAGGCGCCACCCAATGACTGGTTGTTCCACTGTGCCAGCTTCACCGAGGGCTTGGGCTCGAATTGCCTGCCTTCACTTTTCTCTCACTTTCACATGCTAATTGACCGTGGCCAAAACCCCCCCAATCAGCGCTCATCACGTTCCCGTCGCTGAAACAGCCGCAGGCTAGAATCAGGATGGGGAAGCCAATCATCTCTGATCTCGTGCTCAAATGGGACACTGATGCGCAAACTGGGGCGCTGGTCATCTGCTCGACCCCCGAGGCTATCATATCCCTTCTTGGTTGCCAAGTAGAGCCGTCGTCGACTGCCGTTGTATACCCTTCCATTCCTGGAGCTACTGGATAATTAAACATTTTGACACCTTCCTGGGTCTATGTAATATTCATGCACACTTCCTAATCATGGACCCTCAATATTTGCGCCAGCTTCCTCTAATTAAGGGACCTTTCTGTGATCTCCAAGCAATATCTGAGCGCCACCTCGACAATCACCCGATTATTTTATACTGTGGCTCAGATGATTTGTACTTCCCTCAGACAAGATACGCCTTTGTACAACCAAGGGCGTACCTGCGCCCTGGAAAGTGGGGGCTATTAGGTAGGTATCTGCACACAGAAAACCATGACAGGAATATGATACCCAAAGCTAGATGTTTTGGGAATTCATGGGTTACTTTGACGATTGCCGCCTGGACCAAAGATTCACTTCGCGCGGTTTGACATCAACCTATAGCAACAATGGTCACCTTTGGGTTGTTCACGATTGGGACCAGCGGCGTACCATCAGCGTGGCAACGTCATGGCTGGAAGAAGACGGAGACTTCATCTTCGAGGCCCTTGCCGAGCACATCGACGATATTCCGCCCGATGCTGTCTTGATAGAAGTCGCGCATGATGGCGAATTTGTCACCTGCTCTTCTAACGTCGACGAAGACAAAACTATGATTCCATTCTACCCTTTGGTCACAGATTTTGCACATGAAATACCCAAGATTCGCCGTTCCCATCTTATGGAATTCGAGCAGATGGGAGGTCAGGTAGACCCCTAGACCCCACAGCCTTCAAATATGACCTGGGCGACTTGCACAACCGAATTGCCTTCAAATACTGCATCAACGCGAACAACGTTGCCACCGCCTGGCACGAGATCAACTGCTCAAATGCGCATCCCGAGGCACCCAAGTATCGTCCGTTTGGATCGTCTTGTTGTCGATACTGCTGATGGTCTCGATAAAGTCGTTGGCTTTACAACTCCGTTTGTCCCAGGAGGCACTGTACTGGACAGTGTGAGCCGAGTCTTCACGTTCAAGTATCTGAAAAAACTCGTCGAGGGCATCGATTACCTCAATCTTGAATTGGGCATTTCCATGGCGATATATGCACGCACAACCTCCTCATCAGTCCCGAAACAGGCAAGCTGGAAATCTTTGCCTTCAACCTGGCCACTAAGCTCGGCTGGGAAGGCGATGTGCAGAATAGACATGCCTTTCGTAGCAATGATGCGGATCGCAACGATGTCAAATACACCATTTTTACCCTCTACGAAATCATCAACCCGTGTCCTTCACTTTCGCGAAGAAAACGCCCCCCCCATGAGCTAGACGCCTCTATGGTTACCGGTATTGAAACATGGGAGCAGCACATGGACGTCCGCCTTGATGCCAATGTAGCCGAGTATCAGCGGATGCTTGAGGACTGCGTTGATGATGCTACTGGAGAGATGGTTGGTGGAGGGGGCGTTGCCGAACTCGGTGGAGATCTGGGCCAGACGTGGAGCATGATGACAGGGGCGAGTGATCATGACAGTGGCGGAACGATCCTGCTTTTGTTATCTTGTTTTTGTATTGTTATTCGGCTTAACATGGAGCCCAATTCTCGCCGTCAGTAAACGCGATTATGTTGTTAGTGTGGTGCGATCTCGAGCCTCGACTGGGGTTTTCAATGCTAGCAGCAGCTCAAATTCTCCCATATCCGACTTAACTTGTGCAAAACATACTTCTCAGCCGCTGCGATGTTTTACGCGTTGAATTGGCTTGAGGTGCGCGACCGCGAGCCAATGCACTATTGGATAGATGCTGAAGAGCTTGGCTTGGGGATACCCCTGAGGATGAACTGCAGCCTTCTTCAGCGCCATAACTTTGTTCTTCTTGAAGTGTAATTAGTACCACCCGAGAGAGCTGATTAAGGCGATCCTTTAGGGAGTGTTCACCTTGATTCAGCGATCCTGTAGTGTTGTGCTGCGTAGAGCCGCCAGCTGTCGAGAGTTTTGGCAGACCACTGGGCAGCTGGCAGCTTGCTCATGCTTTATAGTTCTATCTAATTGCGCGGAGCAGCCAATCAAGCCCCCTTGTGGTGTAGATGGATATCACACTCGGCTGTAATTGCACTGTTTCAAACCGATAGGTCCGCGGTTCGATTCCGCGCGAGGGGATTTTTTTCTTCTTTTTTTCTTCCCACACCACACGAGTCACCGCAGGTACGAATCAGATCGATACCCTTATTTCTCTTTTCTTTTTCCTCCTTGTCTTTCTTCTTTCTTTCTTTCCCGTTTGCTACTTAAGGCGCACCACCGTAGCTTACAAGCTCTTCAACACTTGTCCAACTGCAACTTCAATCTCCAGCGACTGTAGTTAGCTTCTTCACGGCTTAGCTGCTTCACGGCAGTGTCGGAATCGAATCGACCCCTTCGCGCTTCCCCCAAAAGGCATTCCGCGCATTGACCGCTGCGCCATGGCGATATATTGCCTATATAATTGGCCCAAGGTGATGGATGGTGCGTCGTGGAACATTCTCACGACACGGGACAAATGGCAGGCAGGCGCCCAAGGAGCATCACACTCCTACAAGATTGGCGGAAGACATGCAACCTCGAAATAGTTCACCGATGCTGTCCGAAATCGGGGAAGCTTGACGGCTTCAATGTCCGTGTGTTGGCTTGTTCCTTGATGGCTAGCTGCACGAAGCTCCGGTTGGAATACCGCAATCCAAATCATCTCGCTGAAGCTCGCTCCTGAGCGGCCTCCGCGAGGGCCTGCCTGACCACGAAGCATTTGCATGATACTAAGCCAACTCATGAAGGCTGGACAGCCCACCCTCTTCTTGTGCATGGCAAAGACGAGAGAGACGGCTCGGCGATTTGATGCCCCGACGTCAGGCGCTGTGCCATATGCGTATGTGGACCGCTGAAGTGTAGATCTTCACCGGGGTTCCTGTTACAACGGTTTCAGCGAGGGATTATGCATGCCGTAGTAAGCAGGACTGGCCTCATCCAATTGGGCGTATCTTACGCCACCAGAGAACGCACGGAACCTCAATTGTCTGCGGCTCATCCAAGTATGGGCTCTGGAGCCTTGGTAGCGCAGAAGGTGTAGAAGCTGTCTGGTGGGCTGTTCTGGTCGTGGCGTTGAATGAACTCGTACTCACTGGGCCGTCTCGGCATCGACCGTGTGACGCACGGGCAGGCATCGTCTGTGCATAAGAGGGTTGAGCCAACCAAAAGCTTCTACTCGAGGTTCTATTTCTGTGTGGATGTTGCGTAACGGCAGCGCATGGGACATCCGTGTGTCAAGCAGTCGATGAGGGTGGCACAGGCGGGATCTCGATAGCTGGGGCTGATTCAAGGTGACATCCGTCCTGGTGGTAGCGAGTCCTTGTAATCAGCCGAAATTGACTCCGTCGAGTCAATGCGGCAGCAGAAGAATGGAATGCAGAGCCTTGCTTTTTTCCCCCACCCTCCCGCTCTGATCTGCAGGTCCGCGCTATTCTCGCGAATCGCTTTCTAGAAGCGATGACTGTAGTGCGTTTGAAGACCACTCTAGACCATCTGCTACGCTCGGCATATGGATTGGAAGACGGGCAACTGGGGGCGGCAATTTCGTAGCTACAGACTACAGTACCTAGCGTCGAGGAGAGTTGACGAGGGAGAGGATCAACGCGCGTAAAAGAACATGGGTTTGGGCCTGATCCACTGATTTCCCCGCGTCCCAAACTTTTTAGAGAAGCCAGCCCTGTGGAGATGAGCGGCAGCTATCTACCTAATAAGAGCAAGGGTGCGGGATCCCGCGCTTGGCTTGGAGTGTGGTACACAGACCTGCCAAGGGACTCTCGAACCAACTGGTCGACCTGAGGCAGGGCAAGGGGGGTTGCATTGCTGGGCTTGTCAAAGTGAAGATGTCCTTTTCGAACTCCATTTCTACCATCTTCACCCCCCACTACGATGACTGCTTTGTTTCTCGTCGCCATCGACCGCGATCCCTAAAGCCATGGCGGCCTTCAACGACAGTACCCAGCTCATCAACATCTTCGGGTTTCCTACCTACGACAACTTCAGCGAGCGCGTTCCTTTCACAAACACACCGGGATGCTTGATAGGCTTCACAGTAACTTTCCTGGTTCGCCTCCGCCGAAACTCCAGACGTTGTCTATGGGAGCATCTAATGTCTAACCCCCCTACCTAGGCATTATCATGGTTATTCGTCTTGCCCAGGCTCTATGTCCGGTTGAGGGTGGTGCGGATGCCGGGTTTGGATGATCTCTTCGTGTTTCTCTACCTCGTAGGTCTCCAATCGCACTTGGGATCGGGCCTCAAGCACTAACGCGGCACCCCCCGGACAGATTTTCACCTCGGTAGCCTCCATCGTGTTCCTCACCTGTAAGCGGACCGCCCACCCCACCCAAGATGCCACGACGTTATCCTTCTGAAGGACTAACAATTTGCAGCAATACACTATGGCGAGGGCCAACACTTCCTGCTTCTTACCGTTGGGGATGTCCGGATGTATCTGAAGCTATTTTACGCCCTCAACATCAATCTGAACCTTGCGGCGGCATTCATCAAGCTCAGCCTACTCTTCCAGTTCCTCCGGGTCTTCGACAGAGGCACCTGGCCACACCGCGCGAGCGTTGGTGGCATCGTCTTCGTCTCTCTTTGGGGCATCACCTTCGTGATACTGGCCGTTTTCCCCTGCACCGTTATCCCAGACGCGTGGAATATCTTTGCCAGGGATGCCCACTGCTGGGGCTATGGATCCCAGGATCCAGACTTGTTTACAGCAACGTTTGTTTCGCATAACCTGATCAATACCCTCCTCGACATCTACATCACCGCCATACCCTTCCAGCTGTATACTCGGCCCGACGTGACACTTCGGACGCGCCTGGGCCTGATGGTGCTGCTGCTGATGGGGGCAACGTACGTCCTTCATTCCTCTGTCTCTCTCTTTCTCTCTCTCTTTCTCCAAATTCCAACACCCAGGTCACTAATACGAGCCACAAAAAACAGCGTTGTCACTCTATCTGCCTGGCGCGTGTCGGAAACCATCTACTACAAGACGGGCTGGTACCCGACGCACGACCCCACCTGGTACGGCCCCCTGAGCATCCTACTCATGGTCCTCGAGATCAACGTGGCCTCCATCTGCGCGTCGGTGCCAATCTTCTGGCCCGTGCTCCGCCCCTACCTGGGCGCCATCTTCGTGACGCGCGAGTTCAGCGTCACGACCGAGCGCCGCGAGGCGAGCGTCTCGTCGCACCAGCGGCTCGGCAGCGAGGCCGACCTGAACGCGCACTACAAGGACGATTACATCATGGATCTCGTGGGTCCCTTCAACTCCAAGGACGGGCAGAGTCGGGTCAAGATTGAGAATGGGGGGAAGAAGGCGAAGAAGGAGAGGGGGCGGCCACGTGTATAGGCGGAGCAAATGAAGACGAGTAAACGTCACTGACCGTGTTCGAAAGGAGGACAATGTGTCTGGAATGAATAATGACTGTAATGCCCCCCGAATCTTGCCGGTGTAGTCAGCTGCAATTGAGGGAGTTGTTTTGGGCGACTCCAACTCAGAAGTAAACACAGGGGGGGTCTTTTCTGATACCACACGCTTACACGCTGAGATTCTATATAATATTCAGAAGACACTCCATTCGGCTCCCCAACTCTCTCGCTCCTTGGCCTTCTTTTTTCATATCCGAGGTGCAACCGGCCCGGAGAAGTTCCGGTACCGGCCGGCCGGGCACCCACTGTACCCCGCTGCCGGGCGCCGCTGCCGGGCACCGCTTCCGGCCCCGCGCCCCGCGCCCTGTAACTCACTAAGCCCGTTCCGGGTCTCGGTTCGCCCGGCATGCCGAAAGCCTCTGACAGATTTACTCTCTAATTAATTCTAGCATGTACTACTAGCTGATGAAGCGACCCCTCTAGCTGAAATCTCCGCCTAGAGCCTACGAAATTGCGATGTAAAGACCTCGCAGATTGTGCTCGTGTCCCATCGTGTTTGGCTGGTTTCAAATAGCAACCGTGCATTCTCGACCGGCCCCTCGTAGTTTCGCGCCATCTGGTTGGCCCAGTCTACGAGATACGTGCAGTGGTACGTCTCGGGTGGACCGTCGGGTGTGGTTCGGACCAGGCGCCAGAACTCTTGGAATTTGACATATGGCTTCCTAAAGGTGAAAGTGCAGTTTAGCATAGAGTCTCACCTGTATGGGTCCTGTGCCCATGTATAGCACATCGTCACCCACCGGTGTCCAGAAGATGTCACTCTTGACTTGGACACTGCGCCCGCAACGTACGCCCTCATCTATCACGCCATGATAGACATCGAAGAGAAGATTTTGTCCCTTGATATCCCGAGCATTGCTGATGAATTTCGCAACATCAATGATGACGAAGACTGCGTAACTACACCCTCGAAGCGGCGAGCCCCGAGGAAGCCTCGGCGGTAAATCTTATGGTATTAAGGTGCCATGGCTGCAATTTCATTTATTGTTCTCGTTGTTGTCGACATGTGTGGATATCTGTCCTGGAAGAGGAATGGCGGAAACAAAGAAGACAATGAGGTGGAGATAAAGGTGAACAAAACAATGGGCTGTGTCCTTTATACATGATAGCCGTTCTTTGGATTAAGCTACCCAAATTTATCTTATTTTCCCACAAGTCGATTATCTAAAATGTATCTTCTAATTGTGAGGTGACAATAGGAGACAGCTAGCACGAAGGGCAATATAAAAGCCAGCCAGCAGCCCCAGAACTCACTTGACCTCAGCATCCAGCAATTCCATTGATACAGAGCATACAATAGGTAAACTATCTCCTATTCACGCTTTCTCTCTGATAATGGAAGTAAACGAACCCTTTTGCCACGGATGTGGCCTCATCCACTTCTCCTACATCGATCCACACTACATCGGCAACAACCCTGGCACCGCGTACTGTGTGTGTATCATCCAAGATGGGCTTCCATCTGTGGCGCCTGGAGCGCCCTGGGGGTGGTGGCCCGCGGCGAGCCAGAGCATCGCGGAAGACACACACGCTGCAGATTCCTTAGTCTCCGGGACCCAGCCCTACAACTACGATGGGAACGCTGACTTCAACTGGGATACAGACATCATCCCTACTAACGGGGGGGAGCACAGCAACTCCGCGGGGGAGTGGTGGCCCGCCGGAGCCCACGCCATCACCGCCGCCGCCGCCGCCGCCGCCGCCGCCGCCGCCGCCGACGGCCAGTCGTCCTCGTCCGCCGCCGCCGACCCGGCGGGACCGACCTCCTGCGGGAAATGCAAGGCCCGGCCGTGCAAGGAAGGCCGCAGGACGTGTGAGGAGTGCACGCAGAAGAAGCGGGCCTCTGACAGGCGTCGGCACGAGGAGCGGAAGCAGGCCGGGCTCTGCATCAAGTGCGGCCTCGACACGCCCAAGACGCCCGCGCATCTGCATTGCCGTTGGTGCCTGGAGAAGAGCAGCGCGAAGGGCCGGGCCGCTAGGAAGGAGCCTGTAGTTTATCTCGGGTTGAGATATTGACCTAGGTGCAGAAGAATGGCGCGTTGCTCCGCTTAGGGGATGACAAGGAAATGTGGATAATATTACACAAAGTTTGAAACATTTCAGTTTAGGTAAGATCCAGTTCATAGAGGACTAAAATAAAGGCTCTTTGTACAGTACCTCTGTTTAGGGAATCCCCGATAAAATTGCACACCTTTAGATGATCGTCTGAGCTGGAGTGGATGATAGGATCTTATACAGTCATCACTTTGACGTTTTAATGACTTTCGTTCGATCGAGCCCCAGTCTCCGTTGGTGGAGATCTGCCCTGGGAAATGATCAATTATCTCTGGACTGTCTGTCAGCATCTCGTTAGTTATCTCTCGCAAAGCAACCATCAAGTTCTAGGGTCAGTCTGCAAACGTCGATTTTATCTGCCATAAAAAGCCAGGCGACTCTAAATAATACTGGGTGGCCAGAGCGATGAAGAGACAGCCCGCATTGGCCTGTAACTATATTCTTGCTGCCATTGGCAGGAAAAAACGGCACAGAAAGCTAAATAGCTAGGTTGCTCACGGACTTGAAGTGGTACACTCGGCACCGACGGGACCGGCAAGTGGGTGGTGGCCAGCGAATCGACCCAGATACCGAGTCGATTATGCATCTGTGCCGTGCCCAGCATGCATGGTGCTCCACGCACTGAACCAGAAACCTAGGTACCAAAAGAAGCGAAGGATGAGTGAAGAATGCCGCGCAATCCCCCCCCTCTTCTCGGTCATTTCGGGTGACAGGAGTGACGTGAGCGTGTTGTGAGGTCGGTCAATTGGGTTGGCTTGGGCTTCGCTGAGAGTTCACGGCATCCCCCCAACAAGGTCCGGCTCCAATACGAAGTCCGCAAAAGGTCATCACTGATCAAGTTTGGAACCTTAAACCTTTCTAATAACATCACACCTTGATCTGCTCATTAGGTCGTCATCGTCTGGTGTGGTCATTAACAGCTTTAATATCTCCCCGACCACCGAGTGTTCTCACCTTCCGTCGCAGCAAGAAGATCTCTCATCGAAGAGATATATTCCAATACCGACAACATAATGCACCGATACAGGTCCCAACAAAATACGCACCTGCGTCTGGCCGTGGGAGTAACCCTGGGTAAGTTTGGAACCACCCTTGGGCCTTGGATTTGAGATCCCCGGCAAATAGCGGCCGATACTAATTCGAGGCGGATAACTATCGCAGCCTACTCGACACTCGCAGCAGCACAATGGCACGGACACCCGGGCTTTGGTCCAGGCGGTTCAGACTCGGGCGGAGGCGGAGGAGGCGGGCCGGGGTCGTTTTCCGGCTTCGGTTCCGACTCCGGTGGACAGGACAGTGGATTCGGCCCGCAGGGCTTCAGCGGAAGCGGCGGGCCTGGGTTTGACATCGACACCGCGACGCGGTACCGCACCATCCACGGCATCCTCGCGGCGTTAGCCTTCGTCGTGCTGTTCCCCATGGGCTCCATCTTCATGCGCATCATCCCCGGCCGCCTCGCCATATGGGTCCATGCCGTCACGCAGGTGATCGGGTACGTCGTGTACATCGCCGCCGCGGCCTTGGGCTTCTGGATGGTCCAGGAGGTGCGGATACCTTTTGCTAGCGGCAATCTAGTAAGTTTCGCTTTGAACCGCCCCCACCCTCTCCCACTTCTTCGGAACCAAGCGTAGACGCTGACACCACAACTCCGCCCCCCTTTCCCACCCGGCAGCTCTCCTTCTCCGCCATCAACTACCATCCCATCATCGGCATCGTCGTCCTGGTGGCCCTGTTCATCCAGCCCTTCCTGGGGCTGATGCACCACTCGCGCTTCAAGAAGCTCCGCCGCCGCCAGGTCTGGTCGCACCTGCACATCTGGAACGGCCGCCTGACGGTCCCGCTGGCCATCGTCAACGGCGGCCTGGGCCTTCGCCTCGCCGGCGCCGCCGCCGGGGTCAAGACCGCCTACGCCGTCATCGCCGCCGTCATGGTCGCCCTCTGGGCCGCCGCCGCCGTCCTGTCCGAGTGCCGGCGCAGGCGCGCGGACAGGCGGGCCAGCAGGGGGAGGTTGGCGCGCCGGGTGAAGGTGGCTGAGGCGGTTGAGGCGTCTGAGGGGGTGGCGGGGCCGCGGGTGAGGAGGTGAGGATTTGGGGCGGTTAGATTTTGGGGGGGGGGGGGGGGCCTTTTGTAGGAAATGTTAGAATGACGGGATTTTCTGTTTCTGTTAGTACCTTGTGCCATTAAAACTTAACAACAAAAAAGTCTATGGGAAGTCGGACTTTGGGGGTTTACAGGGGTTATTAACTTGGGTTCTCTTTCATCACTTGGAGTCACATTGCGATCAGGGGCAGGAGGTGGTCTGGGAAACTTATGGGTTGACACTCTCGCTTGGTTTTATCCATGACAGTGAAGTAAAATACGAACGCTGACCCTTCCCCCTTCTCTGAATTTCAGACACCATTTCCGATCCTGGCAATTACTGGATTGCTTCATTTCGAGTTCCTCCGTCGAAAACCGCACCGGATCTCTTCTCCCAGGCCTCTTCTCAATCGCTCCACGGCCCTAAGCTTGGCCTCCAGTGCCTTGTCGCTCTTCTGCGTCTCCTCTCGGGCCTCGGCGAGCAACATGTCAAGCCTCTCGGTCTCGCGGCGAAAGATGCGCTTCTCGGAAACGCTGATGTGAAGGTTGTTGCTTCGGTGGGCCCAGTACTTCTTCATGCTTTCCAGAGTGGCCATAACCCCAATATCGTAGGCATGGAGTGTTTCGGCATGTGTTGACTCCCGAACTGCGATGTCGATCCTGGATTGAAGATCGTGGAGGAAAGTGGGTGGAGATAGTGATCCCGAAGATTGGGAGGTGATAGTCTCGGCCTTGGAGGCTGTGGTGACAGTGGAGGTCCCGACTTGTGGGCTTCCGGCTGCGGAATCCATCCTGGCGTATTCTCTTTGGCACGATGCTGTCGGCAACGAACTCAGGACTTTCTGGGGATCGGCGGTTGACAAGAGACGAAGGATGGTCATCATCCGAAGACTATTTATCACCGGGAGATGGGACTCTTCTAGTTGTGCTGCTGGTAAATCGAGGCCTAGAAAGCGAAACTTGGCTTGCCTCCTGTTTCATTTATCGACAAAACCGCCAGATTACAACTGATAGCTCCCTACTTATCCTGAAGATTCTGGTTTCCTTTCCTTGTTGATGCTCGACGAGCTTAGGGTTAGTGAAAGGATGGACTCTTTGTCGCTTGGTTGCCAAAGACACAATAATGCCTTTGCCCTTTTTGTGTCCTTTCTTTTCCTTTATCTGTTCTTTGAATCGCTGGGAATGGGGCCAGCTGGAGGTTGTCATTGTCCTGGCTCATGAGTATTGTCTCTTTGGCGGCCCTTTGAATGAGTCCCGCAACTTGCCAGCTGTGGAGTGGGAGGCAACTCGCCTGCTGAATTTACTACAAAGCTCCAATATTATTATTCTCTCTTGGAGTAATGAGTAGCAAACTGAAACCGGGGACAATGTGGATACATAATAAATAGAAATGAACGGGCTGTAAGGAAATCTAAGTTGACCGCATGTGTGGTAGGTATGCCTGAGCAATGTGAGGCGCCGGGTGGCGGAGGGTGCCGGCCGGTCTGATTGAACTTCTTTTACCTCTTGTAAGAGGAGCACCAATTAGGTGGGGCCGTGGCAAGCTAGCGGCGAGTAATACGGCAGTCACCGGGAGGGTGGGTTGCTGGAAAAAAAAAGGCACGCCTTAGCTTCGGGCCTTAAAATCTGTCGCGCATGTGCAAGCCTCCATTTTTGTCGATATCTTCTTTTCTTTTTGCATCTTTCCGGCCATCTGCCGTCGTTACACGATATTCTTTCACGGCAACTTCGGTGGGTCAAAATGGCTGAGATTGAGAAGCTCTACGTCACCTACAATGATGTATGCCCGTTACCTTCCCCCCCCACTTCCTCAGTTCTACCCCTCCCCCGCCCCGACCGGGCTGTACTGACCTCGCTCCCCAACCACAGGTCCACAAGCTCTGCCAGGAGGCGGCGCCGGGGCTCCTGGAGACGTTCAAGCCGCAGCTGATCATCGCGATCGGCGGGGGTGGCTATGTGCCGGCGCGCATCCTGCGCAGCTTCCTCAAGCAGCCCGGCAGCCCCAACATCCCGATCCAGGCCATCGGCCTGTCGCTGTACGAGAGCCTGCCGACCGACGTGGTCGAGGAGCCCGGCACAAAGGTCACGCGCACCCAGTGGCTCGACCTGTCGGCCCTCGGCGAGATGGAGACCCTCGTCGGCAAGCGGGTCCTGATCGTCGACGAGGTGGACGACACGCGGACGACGCTCGAGTACGCCGTGCGCGAGCTCGAGAAGGACGTCGAGATTGCGCGGGAGAAGATGGGCGGCGAGAAGGCGCACTTCAGCATCTTCGTGCTGCACGTGAGTAGTTGATACGGCCCGGCTCTCGGCAGCGCTGCGGTGGGCCACGGCAGAGGCTGACTGGGATAACAGAACAAGGACAAGCCGAAGAAGGGCATCCTCCCGACTGAAATTATTGGCGAGGGGCGCTACAAGGCGGCACGAACCGTCGGGGACGTTTGGATCTGCTATCCGTGGGAGGCCATCGACATCGACGAGCATGATAGCCACGCACATGCGCAGAGGAAGACGAATGGGAGCGCGTAGTGACAAGGGGAGAAAAGAGGATATGCCCTCAGGTCGCTCCCAACGTTGAAATCGCCGGGCCGAGTGTGGCTCCAACCCCCTCTGTTTATAACAAGGCTCCGCAACTGCGCTCGGCCATGCTCCTCGGCCTGTTGGGTAAGAGAATCGAGGTATTGCTGGAGGGACGCTTTAGTTGACCGATTCGATCTCCGTCGTCACTGTAGCCAGCACACATCATTCGTCATCGCAGAATACACGATACAAGTCCAAAGTCGCCAAGCGGATCGTAAAACCGCGAGGCACAAAAATCTGACATGAATTTCTATGCTCGCAATGGAGCATTAATCTATTCCAAATCCCAAGCTTCTGCGCTTGTCAAGTGCGCTCCAAGATATCTTTCTATAACCGTCGTTCTCTATTCAGTCATGACACCCTGCCATGGGCATGTATGGTATCTCAACCGCCAACAGTGCCGTCCCGCATGTGCTTCTCCTTCAGCCTCTTCTCGTGCTTCATGAACTCCCTGATCCCAACGGGGATGTCCCGGTATAAATCGTCGTCCCAAAAATTCTTGTTCAGCTTCGTGCCGGCCCCCTGCCCCGCAATATTCCCGACATCCCAGTCCCCCGCCTGCCCGCCGCCGTCATCATCCAGGCTCACGGCCCCGTGGTCCAGCTCGCGCTCGCCGACGTTGATCGTGCGCGTGTCCATGCTCTCGGCGGTGGTCGCGGCGGTGACGCCGGCCTCCTGAGCGCGCAGGCGGCGCTCGGCCTTCTGGTGGGCCGCCGACCACTCCTCGATCTCGTCGCGGAACCGGTCCCACACGCAGTTGACGCAGCCGCTCATGCAGCAGTTGTCCGGCTCCTCGGGCCGCGGCGGCACGAGCACGCCGGCGACCATCCGGCTCTTGCGCCTGATCGCCGCCAGCCTGTCGGCCCGCTCGGCGGGGCCGACGAGCCGCGAGCCGAAGATGACTCGCACCTTTTCCTGGCCGCTGTCGTGGGAGGGGTTCGGGACGGGAGGGGAGGAGGCGAGGGAGGATGCCTTGGTCGCTGTGTCGGTCTTGGGGGTTTTCGGTTTCTTGCCTCGTTGCGGCGAGGGGTTAACTGTGCTCGGGGGCTTTTCGGGCTTCTCTTCCGGGATCGGTTGTGGGCTGTTGAGGATGCTCTCGTAGTACAACCCGACTGGCATCGCCTGCTCTCTTGAAGGTTCGATGGGCTTGGGCGGTGTCGTATCTTTGATCGGTGGCGTCGCGAACGTGCGCCGGGGTTGACTGCGAAGGAGGGCTAGGACCGGGGCTCGTGCCCCTCGAGGGCTCAAAACTCGTCCTCGCATTTTCTAACGAGCTCGCATTTATAGGGATTTTCTATTATGATTTCGCCGGGTAGGTGTGTAGTCGTCGCATATCGCATTGCAGGTAGGTAGGTAGGGAGGTAATTGGCTGCGATGTTGTATTCTTGGTTTGGGTCGGCTATGTCGTAATTGTTCGGGTCTGGCCGTTGAACCCTGTCCCCTCGGTACCCTAGGTACGGATACATGATTGCGACCACGTGATTTAGCAAGTGGCAACACGCTTCGGCGATTCGCTTGTTGATTACCAAGAGAAGGCATTATCGGTAGGATGAGGAGTTAATTGCACGGGCTATGTTACTATTCGTATATCCACATCATTTCCAGCTCGATTGTCGTCTGGAGTCAGTTCTAGCTTGTCCATGACCAGGGGTGCGAGTTGAAGTACTCCTGTACCTGACCTTGTGAGTCTGGAGATCCAACGTGGGGCAACCCAAACCGCGCCAAGCCCAACGCGGGTTCTTTCCAATGTTTGGTTCGGCTGCTGGAAGAAGACCGTCTGCAGTCAACGACGGCGCAACACCGGATTTCCAGCACGATTGAACGCGTCAATTAAACCCTAGGCCGGAGAAGAACCCAATGCGACCATTATGGAATGAACTACTTTCCCAAAATACAACATGGAGACCTCCGCCGCCAAACGGCGCAAATTGTCTCCACAGGCGTCTGTTCCTATCGACAATCATGAATCGACAACCCCCCAAGACGCGCCTCCAGAGCGACTGACGAGAGCTTCCTACGCGTCGCCAACAAAGTCAAGCCTGTCAAGGCACAATCCCGACGTTTTGAAGAAAAGACAAGCCCCCGCGGCAAGATTGAGTGCAGACGAGGCCGTCCCACAACCCGAAAATGAATTCGACCGTCTTAGCCCCTTACTTTACCGACAGTTGCAAGCGGACTCGTGGCAGAGCTTGGATAAAGAAGCACCGCCGCCGGGGCCTGCGGAGAGCGCTATTAACGAGCCGCCGCGTTCGCCAGTCAGGAAGATCGGCGGTGCAATGGCATCGCGGCCGAGACGGTCGCCTATCAAACCGACACCGCGACCTTTGCCGCCTCCGGGCCCCGATGATGACGAAGAGATCTTGAATCCTTTTCTCGGGCGCGTTCTGCGGCGATCTCCTGCTGCCGCCGAACCAGAGGTTGTTCCAGAGCCTGAACTCCCCCCAACTCCTCAGCATCCAGATCCGGTAGTCAGTACGCCGCCGACAGGTATCCACAGTACACCTTCAAGACGGCCAAGGCGAAGCAAAGCGTTGGCAGAGAAGATTAGGAGTTCGCCAACCAAGCAGCAGCTGCCAGCCAAAGAGCCGCCTACTAAAGACGCGCCCACCAGGGAGGCGCCTACCAAACAGCTCCCTCCCAATTCACGGGAATTCCAGAACGGCGCTCACTCAAATACCATTGCCGCACCTCCACCCGCCATCCATGAAGAGCAGAGGGGCAGAGATGGGCAATCGCCACATGTTAGCACCATACGGGGCGTTGAACCCCTAGATCCAGATGCGGAGAAGAGGCGCCAACGCGACGCCTTGCTGGCGGAGATCAAGCAACTGGAATCGGACCTGGATGTTATGGCCCGGGAGAACGAACGGATCCGTTTATCCCACCCCGCCAAGATTGAGGCTCCGGCGCCTAAAAACGGCAACGAGCTCGTAGGTATCCTACGGCGACATGTCACGACTTCAGAAAAGACCAGCCAGCCCCAACTCTCTCCGAGCTGGGTCCAGACGGCATTGAACCCCATCGCCTTCCTCCCATTCAGCAAGCCATCTTCATCCCTCCCGACGTTGTTCCCAGAGGATTCAACCAGCGCCGAACCCGACTCAGAGATTATATCCCACCACCCCATCCCGATGAGCGCCGAGGAGGCGCTCCCCTATCTCCAGGTCTTCACCCCGCTATCCTTCACCTCGCACATCTCCATCCTCCCCACCGACGACGCCGACGACCCCTCGCTCCAGCGACACTCCATAACCGCGACGTCGGCCTCGGCACCAGGTCTTCTCTCGGCGCGCATCGAGATGACAGTCGACACCCGCAGCCACGCGGTCGTCGACCTGGCGGTGCCGCGCCTCGACCCCCCCGCGGCGGCGGCCGAGCTGGCGTCCGTCGTCGAGAGGGTCGGCGCCGTCGCCCGGCAGCGGTCCGACTCCGACGACGTGGCCGGCGCCAGCGCCGCGGCCGGCAACGTCGCCGTGCTGGCGTGGGCCATCGCCGAGTGGCTGCGCCTCGCGGTGCGGCGGGCCAAGGCGTGGAGGGCGCTGGAGCGCGAGCTCGGGACCGAGGAGGGCGTGGTGGAGAGCGTGGGGCGGATGCGCGCCCGGAGGAGGGGGAGGAAGGGAGGCGGGGCGGCTGGGCCGGGGGGCGAGGATGGGGATGCGGAGGTTGGGGACGGCTACGTCGATGACGGGAGCGTCGCGGATGTTATGGGGAGCCTCGTCGATGCGTCGGATCTGCTGCCGTACATGGGACAGCGGTCGATGGACTTCCGGGTGCCGGCGCTGGGCGGCGGCGGCGGCGGGGCGGAAACAGCCGACCTGAGGGTGCAGTGGCGGATCGAGTTCGACTGGACGGGTGAGGGGAGGAGCCGCATCGGGGTCCTGGTGGGCATGCCTGGCAAATGTGAGTCGCGTTTCCCCGTCTCGAAATCCTGGCGAGGATCAGCTAACAGACCTGACTCAGGGCACCACGCGGATGGCCGAGATCGTCTTTCGGGCATTCCTGCCTTGTTTGATGAACTCTTGCAACAGAATGACGATCCCGTTGCTTCTGTGAGGACAATTGTAGCGCTTTTGGCCGGAGGACAGGGGTCGTGAGACAGTTATTGCGTGAGACAGTTATTGCCCTCTGGAGTTTGGCACAATGGGCTCAAGGTGTAACGAAGCTTCATGTAATCCATTGCTTGGTGCTTGGCTCCTGTACTGTTACACTGGCAGGCTGGCGTTTGGAAAGCTCATGACCCGTCTGGAGATAAATTTAAGGAAGGCGGATGGGCAGGGGGGCATTGCAGCATGTTTGACAAAATTCTATTATTGTGTTCGGTCCCTATTCCTAGTTTCCTAGTTCAGGGAAAACGGGAAACTCGACTATTTTGACTCGCTCCCCATTTTCCCATTCCATGTACCGTAACTTATTCTTTATCAAGCCAGCAGCAGTCTTCGATACCTCCCATTATTCTCTTAATCGATGTCCACGCCCCGGGCCTGCAGGTCCTTCTTCGCCAACTCAATCTCCTTCATAAGCTCCTGATGTGCCTCCGGCACGTCGTTGAATGTCAACACACCCCACCCGAGTCGGAAGAGCATGTATGCGCCGAAGGAGACGAGGAGCCAGAATGGGAGCTGCGGGTTTGGCGCATTAGCTATCGACTCTGGAAGGAAAGGGGAGGAAGGGCGAAAACATACGACTGGGACGATCTCCTTCTGGACAACTTCGGGGAGCGGCAGGAGTTCAAGGTAAAGCGAGAGGTATAGCTATCGCGAGGAGGATGGTTAACACGAGATACTTCTGGGAAATGGCGCGTGCTGGAATCGGATGGCATACCGAGCTCACAAGGAGCGCAACCGAGATGGTCTGCTGGGCTCGCGTCATGGTGGTCTTTTGAAGTGGGGAGAGGCTTGGATAATCCAGTCAGTCGGAGGCCGGATGAATAAACGTTGGGAGGGACGAACAAAGAAGGCAAAGGAGCGACGTGAAGGTTGAACGGTGTCTCTAGAATCTAGCTCCCCAGTTTCGATGAAGTAGGCGCTTGTCGCAAGGACACTTTTTCGTGAAGCTCCAGGCCAGCGCGAAGTGGAGGACGCTCCTTGATTGGTTGCTTGGTACCTACCTGGTTTAGGTTTCGGGGAGCGGCTCGGGATTTCATCGGCAGAACTACGAAAGCCAGTACATACCCTCGAGGGACCTAAAGCGGCCCGGGTTAGGGTTAGGTACTGTAGGGTGGCCTCGACAGCTTTCCTAGAGGTGGTTTCATCGTCCTCACGGCTCGTTCTCGACATCACTGTGGCTCCTCATTGTTCGTTGAATTCCACATCTTTTCCAGCTCTGACCTGGAAAATGGTAGTGTGTAACGCTGTCATGAATGGCAAAAAGCTAGAATGTTTACTCTACACTTTCGCACCTGCTATCTGCAAATACGCAGTTATGTCCAACGCCACCCGGCCCCTTGAGGGTTATCGGGCCTAGTTCCACCACACCCCACGAGGCCTGCCTCTACCGCGCCCCCCTCGGCCGCTGGCCGAACCACCGACGCGACCCCCTCCAAGTTGATTCAGGTCAACAGAACGCAACCCGTGCCGAGGACCTCACCGGGAGCAGAAAGCCTTACGATCCGCTGGGTCTGGCGGAAGTAGCCGAGAAGGCGTTGGAAGACGCCCTTCTTGATCGAGACTCGCTGCCCGGCATGGGTGCTCTTCAGCATCGCATCGACGCAGACAACAACCTCCTCATCGAGACGAGAACAAGCAACTTCCTCAAATCGAACTTCGCCGAAACTTATTACCCGGCTCTGAAGGTACTTGTGTCCGAGATCCAGCTTCCTCTGGAAATTGCCAACAAGGATCATATCCTGAGCCCTTTCAATCCACGGTTAGAGTTGAATGGGCTGTGGTTGGTGAGGGCTGATTACGGAAGCTTGATTTGTTGGTCATGTGCTTGGCAACTGCACAGCCCCAACTGCACTCAATTCAAGCATTTTCCTCGAGAGTACCTAATCAATGAGTGACGCACCCTAAAATGACGTCAAAGCCGGATATACCCAACCGCATAAACTGCCTAGGTACGTACATATCGAAAAGAGAGCGAGTAATTAAGGCACAGGGAAGGGTTCCACATGTTCTTATGATTGGATCCAGCCAGACTTTGTTCAAGATCGAGACACACCAGATCTCGATTCCAGGCTGGGTCAAGTTCCAAGACCGCTCGCTATGCAACCTAAATCCGATCCCAATGGTGCAACTGCAGCCATCACGTCGCCGTCTTTGACCCCGGTCCAATTGCATGCCTTATTCGATATCCTCACCCATTTTGAGACGTTCGCAGAAGTCGAACAATTCAAATATCCAGCTATAATAAGTCGCTATGGCTATCCCTTCGTTGCGAGTCCCAGCACCGATGGCTCTGATCCGGAGTACGCCTCCGAATCCTCGGCGCCGCTGCTGGCAGCCTTGCTGAGGACTATCGTGCTACCGCTCCCCGGAGTCAGGGATCTTCCGCCGCAGTTCTGGAGTGTTAGGTTTCAGGGCATCCTGGTGGCGTTTGCTGAAGCCGAGCTTTCCGAGAGTTACGACAAGGGAGCCTTGGGCACTCGGAAGACCCTCACGACCGCAGCATCCGTCATCCACGAATCTGTCACCAGGGGCTGTCTGGGAGGCTTTCCCAGCGGTGAGAGGAGAGATCTCAGCCGCCGTTACGACCCAGCAAAGGCCGAGGACCTCATTGCGGCTTGGGATGACGTCGTGCATGAGATTGTTTACGGGGATCTGATCGACGAGCTTTTCGAATGCGCCATCGAGAAGGACAGCCTTGAGGAGCACTCGCCGGCGGTGAAGACAGCCGTCGACTACATCATCATCCAGTGACTAACCCCGGACCCTCTTTCTCAAGCCCCCGAGTTGCCGTGGTGCTGATCTCGGATTACAGTCTAGCAAGCTTCATGCACCACATACTCGTCCTCTCGCCCGAGGGCCAATACCTTTTGAAGCTGGTGGACAATGTCCACAAACTATTCCCATACTCCATGATCAAGCAGACCCTGCGTATCGGAAACGCGGCAACCATGATCAGCGGCATGATGAGACTCCTTCTCACCAAGATTGGTGTCGGCGCCCTAACAAACTGGGTGGGTTGGACCCAGAATGCCGCTGATGGGATGAACCTATTGCAAAGAATTGTTTCACTGGTGCTGTCGTGGGATAGTTCCGAGTTCCGCAAGTCGGCAGAAAGTATAGAGAAGACGAAGGGAGGCCCGTCAAAGGAGCACATCGCCGTAATCAAGCAGTACATCGACATGTCGAGAGACGAGCATGAAGCTCTGCGTGCCGTCAGCAAGGAGACGCCGGAGTCCATAGTGGCCGCCATATTCGAGAACATCAGACCCGACCTCCTTGCGTCTCTGTCCGAAGCGCAGCATGCCCAGTGCCTGGAATACTACTCGGCCACCCTGTCCGTCCGGGACCGCGAGCAGATAACCAAAGTCCTGTGCCGCCAGAGTCCCGACCTCTTTACCCAAGCACTCCGCGACCTAGTGGGGAGCTTTGAGCCTATCATCCGGGCGGTTCACGAGCGTGTGGATATCCGAGACCATCTAGCCGCCGCCGAAAGCTTCATAAACGACTTCATCGCCACAAGCAAGCCGAAAAAGGCCCCAAAGGCCCCAAACGAAGCTAAGAACTCCGAGCTGCCCGATATCGCGCCATCTGTCGAGGACTACGTCGGCCTCTTGCGGCGGAACCGGCAACTCCTATATAACTGGCTGCACCAGTTTGCCGCCAACTGTCCAGATGTCCGAGACTCGTTCAGGTCATGGGCCAAGAGCACCATCAAAAAAGCATTCAAGCAACACCGGGAGGAGCCCGAAGTTCCCCTTTCCCACGCACCAGAAAGCAGCACACCGCCCGACCGCGACGGACTATCCCAACCCAAGCAGCGGCTCACCGGCGCTGGCGACATGTCTCCGGCCCTGCAAAACATATTCAAAAACCTCCCCGCCAACGCACAGGCAGAAGTCCTTCCCGCCCTGGACGCGCACGCGGCCTACCTCTCCGCGCTGGAAGACCTCTCCGCCAGCCGGATGCAGCGCATCCTCGACAACCTGGAGAACACAGGCGACGCCTCCTCCTCCGCCTCCCCCTCCCCAGACGGGCGCGCGGCCAAGCCGTCGGGAAGAACCACCGGCAGCAGCAGCATGTGCGGGCCGGGAATGTTCCTCTCCCGCTGGCAGGCGCTCCTAGACGGGACCGCGGTCACGCCGGCGGCGCGCGCGGGGGCGCCGGTCCGGCGCGGCGGGGAGGTCAAGGGGTTGTCTGCGCTGGGGAAGACGGGGGCGTCGGGGCTGGGGGACGGGTGGGATAGCGATGCGCTGGCGAGGCGGGCGGGGGCGGACGTCCCCGAGCCGCCCGAGGTCGACGTCGTTGTGCGTGCGTTGGGGCCGGCTTTCCGGGGTTTGGCTGTGGGCTTGGCTGGGGCGGGTGGGATGCCTTAGGTCTGCCTGCTTCGGATGGTATACACTGTACAGCGTAGTGCGTGTGGCTAGTTCGGGCTCGGTTAGAGGAGAAATGGGTGAATAGAAACGTATATCACCCCTGGCTGTCTCTAGAAGTAGGTAGTCTATCTCCAGTATGTCTAGAAGTATTAGTCACTAAACAATTATGTGGAAAAGAGCTTCCGCTATCTAGTTTCCATATGACGATATCTTAGACACAAAACTATCGCCTGACCTGGGCGCGATGAAGGTAATGTTCTTGATGTTCGACAGGCTGGCCGTTAGGCTAAGTAATTGTAACATTTCCCCTCTCCGAGACGCACCTAGCCTTTCTGTAGAGGTGTTCAAAGTCGTAGAGTAGGTATTCAACACCAAGCATTGGCCCCAGCCGTGACTAAATAAGCAGTATCAGAGGACGGGATTGTCTGGAAAACACTGGCATGGGAATGATTAAAAAATACGGATAACTGATGACGATTGTGAAAATATAAAATAAAATAAACACAAACAACAGACAAACAAATGTGGTTGGGTGCGTATGAACCCCCTTACGGCATCACCAAGGGTTACACATCCAGTATGCCAAAACCACCTCCAAAAACCAATATCCACCAATACTTGTTTGTTATTTACAAACTATTATCCTGCACCGGGAAAGAAAATAGAGGGAGAAAAAAAAATCAGGGGCAGCGCGGTTCGAACACCTACGTCCATCGTCAACCTAGAGGTGGCTGTCATAGGCAAGTCTTTCAACATCGCATCCGAACCGCTGCACCATCCCCCAATATTGTACCAGCTTCCTTAATTGACTTGTCAACCCTTGACCTACGACCTCGGGTCAGAAGACCGGCCAACAGTGTCCCATTCACTCGCCCTTGGGACGCGAATTCTCACTTCCAAATAGAGGAAGACACCAACATCAGCCCCACATCTGTTGCCATTCAGTCCAACGCCCTGTAAGGACTTGCTGAGGATAACGGGATGGTAACCCAGAAACTGTCACGTGAAAGGCAACAAGAATGCATGGAAGTATGGAGGTCGGCCGGCTCGCAGATTGTGGAAGAGACAGCAGATGTGAAATCCTCTACCTAGTTCCCGACGGCGACGATAGCGTGCCGCTTGCAGCTTACTTTCCGGGCAGTATATCATAGTCCGGCTGCCAAGCAGGCATGGATGTTCGCAGCTGGTCGATATTGTCCTAGCCCCTGAGGATCTTCGCCCCGCGCCGCCCCTTCAAAGAAGGCGGACTCGTATCGAGATGGGTGCATGAAAAGTGCACACAAGGCGCCGTTCTGCGGATTCGGTCACCTTCAGCTTCATTCTGCGTTGATTGGTCGCCCCCCCCCCCCCCACCCCCCAAAGTTCCCAAGAAGACAAGTCTACATCTCCGTCGGCATCGGGATCACACCGGTCATGGCTATGCTCCGGCCTCATCTGCTCTCCACCCGCGACTTCCTATCCGCAGTCGGCATCCCGGATGCTCTCGTGCTCAGCGAGGCCTTCAACCCGGGACAAGCAGACTCCTCCTACCCTGAGGGTCGTTCGTGGACGTCGTGTTTTCGCGCTCAGGCCGCAAGTCGACCGGGGCTCTGCGCGGACGCAAACCTAAACACGGTGAGGATAGGCCACAAGCCACCGACGGGCCGCCGCAGATGATGATGCGGACGACTGTGCCACGTGCGGATATGTGTTGTGCAACCGGCGAGTGAACAGGTCGAGGTCGAGGTCGAGGTCGAGCTGTAGGGCAACGAAGGTGTTTCCCAAGGCTTGCTGATGGAAATCATATGATTTTCACTTGTGCGAATGGATTAAGGACCGCCACAGTCAGTAACACATGAATATTATCCGCGGCAGTAATTAATACGGCGCGGCATCCTCAGCAACGTTACACCAGGCGACATACCCGGACAGGGGAGGCCTTCAGAGCGGTCATTGGGGCAGGAATCATTTCAGACGCCTTCCCATCGTCGCAGAGAGATGGCGGATCGGATCCTGGTATTCGCACCGCCTCGATACGGTGGGAATGAATGCATTCGTACGTTCTCATTGGATTGGTCTACTCCATCCGCATAATCACCTTCTTGCCCATGCCCTTGACCTAAGAGGACAGCATTGACAGCCGGCGGCCATTCAATTCTAACGACGTGCCTTACCTGCTCCAGTAAAGGACGTCGCTGGCCATTGTCACGAGGTTTGCTACTCGGCACACTACCAGGCGACGCCAGGGAACGTCGGAGGGTGCATATGCTGGTGCGTCGAGGGTGAGGCAGCGCTGCAGTCCTCCTGTGTCATCATGGTCGCAGACATTCTGAGTCGGGGGTGTTAAAGGCCCTGATTACTTCTTAAAACGGCTCCGGCCTTCTCTGATTCTCGACCTTGGCTGACGAGAGCCGCAGCAAGAGGGAGGGAGAGGCGTGAACCCGATATTAGCTGAACCATTTTCCCGGGGCTGGCATATTAGGGGGCGGGAACTCGTGAAAAGCCTTGGCAAAATGCGGCGGCTAACTGCCTGCGTCCAGGTTAAGATGAAAAGAAGAGAAGACGGCCCCTGGATTACGAGCTGATATTTCTTGATGACAGGAAATCGAGGTTGATAAGCCGTATCCGATGATGCTCAGTTGCTCACCTCGTACATAAACCTGGCTCAAATTTCGGTTGCGCTGTCCTCGCAACGTCCGTCTTACCTCCACGGTTGCTGACGTTAGGTAACTGTGGGGATTGTGGGGTGCGAAGGAGCGGTCACAGGCGCTAGATCAAAAACAAGATGGCCATGCTGTTCGCCCAATGTGGAATTGTGGATGGACGTTGGCCAAACCCGGTTCCATCTAATCTCGTAATACCGCCGCACCCCCTTGACGCACGCACTAATCATCCCGCGAGATTCAACGGGAGCGAACTTCGCCTCGATCCCCTGCCCGGGCCGTTCGCTGAGAAATTCAATCTCTTGAGTTGCTTTCATTCTTCATGGAGGCATCCTTGACGCCAGCACTGCTGGTGGGCGTTGTGGGTGCGTTGTGGGTGCGCTGTGGGTGCACTCACTGAGGCGCGGGCTTTTTCGGTCAGTTGGCAGAGACGGCTGGTACATCACGCTGGGATGATCCTCCAATTAGCGCGGCGAATTGGCAAATCACACAAACATCCTGTGGAAAGACCCCCCTCCCCCTTGCCTTGCCCTGCGAGGAGATCTGCTGCGCAATGCGACCAGGGAAATTGGCAAGAATAACACCCCGCTTCTCTCCCCCCTGGCACCATGGTCGGGACTCGGCCAAGGGTCCTGGGGACTAGGATCAAGCACCAAACCCAACCAACCGTGAACATGGGATCTGTGCACTCCATATAATGGGAGACATGGCCCATCCCAATTTGGTCGGTCGTCCTGCGTCAACGACCCAACGCTCCCAGGACACGCGAACATTGCAGATATGCGGCTTTCACTCGTTTCAACCGCCATCTGCGGCACTCTCGCCGTGTCCGCCCTGACGATCCCCCAGCAGTCGCCGGTCAAGCGATTCGAGCTGGTCGACCTCAAACCCTTCGAGGACTTCACCTTTGAGCTCCTCTCGCCCGAGAAGGCCAAGGCCGCCGCCGCCGCCGACAAGTCCAACGTCAGCCCGGTGGCTGGCTTGGCGTCGGCCGCGCAGAATGGCGGTGTCGCCGGCATCATGGCCGGGACCTGCAAGTCGCCAAAGGTCCGGTACGAGTGGCGCGACCTGACCGACGCCCACAAGAAGGAGTTCGTCAACGCCGTCAAGTGCCTGCTGAACAAGCCCTCGGCCGGCGGCAGCAATTACCCGGGCTCCAAGAACCGCTACGAGGACCTCGTCTCCGTCCACCAGCAGATGACCCCGACCATCCACATGGTCGCCCAGTTCCTCCCCTGGCACCGCTACTACCTGTCTGTGTACGAGTCGATGCTGCGCGACGAGTGCGCCTACACTGGACCCATGCCCTGGTGGGACGAGAGCAAGGACGCCGGGAAGTTCAGCTCCGCCCCGATGTTCACCAATGCCTACTTCGGTAGCGCGCCCAAGAAGACGGCCGATGGAAAGGGCACCTGCGTTAACGATGGTGTAAGTTTGCACTCCATGGCCATGCGCCGCTTCTCCTTTCAAACTTTGCTGATGCCCCGCCCAGGCCTTCAAGGGGATTACCCTACACATCGGCCCCGGTGGCAGCTTCACGAACCACTGCCTCTCTCGCGCAGTCGACGAGTCCCTGACGGCGCAGTGCAACTGGGATTTCGTCAAGAGCTGCAACTCGCACAACACGTACAGCGACATGGAGTCCTGCGCTGAGATGGGGTGAGTAAACCCAACCACCCCCCGCCCAACTGATGACGGCACGCGTCCCCCAGACAACAGGAAACTAACACCCCCTTCCTCCCAGCCCCCACGCCTACGGCCACAACGGCATCGGCGCCGTCATGTCGGACGTGGCCTCGTCCCCCGGCGACCCGGCCTTCTTCCTGCACCACGCCTTCGTCGACCACAACTGGCGCATCTGGCAGAACGGCAACACGTCGAGCCGGCTGTACCAGATCAACGGCTTCTCGACCAGGGACGAGCCCCGGAAGACACTCACGCTCGACTACGTCCTCACCTCCAAGGGGCTGAGGCCCGACGTCACCGTCCGCGACGTCATGGATACCATGGGCGGATACCTGTGCTACAGCTACAACTACTAATCCCACGACATTGGGAAGGGGAGGAAGGGAGCATTTTGGGGGGGGGGGGCCACCGCAGATTCGGCACACCCCCCCAGCTTCGACATAATATTTATTTTGTAATTATGCATGCCGCAACCCAACTTTGCGGCGTGCAATCTTGGATTTTCGAGAAGGAGGCGGGGAGGGAGGGGGAAGTCGAAGGACAAGTCGAGCCTGTGGACTGGTGGTCGTGTACATTTGGTGTCCACACAAACCCACACATAGCTCCATGAACATAAAGCAAAAAACATATACATAGCGGAGTCAAGTCCAACTCCAACCTGGTCTCCCTGCAGCCTGATCAAGTGAGTTTGCCTACGTGATATCATCGTCCCCGCTAAACCAGCAGGTTTGCAACCTCGAGCTATCGCATCTAGTGTTGATAAGATTGTTTCAGAGCGACTCCACCCCAATTTTGCGCCGGCTGAGTTTCCCAGCCTGCAGGCTACGATCGACGGGCGGCTGTGCTCCGTAGTACGCATAAGTTTCTTAAAAGGCAGTGGCGGGCTTGGCGGGCTTGGCTGTGGAGCATGAAGTGGGTGGGCAGATCATTGGGAAAAGGGATGACAAAAAGGAAAGAAAACAAGAAAGAAAAAAGGAAAAATAAACAATGTCTTGGCCTGAACTAGTCCTGAGCCGAGGTTTGCGTGTGTGAGATGATGTCAACTGGTGACATGTCGGATCAAGCGGCGCTGGGATGACACGGGGAGGGTCGGAGAGGATAAAAAAAACATCACGATCGTGGCCAGCACTGGGGACAGCAAACCTGGGTCATCTCGTCGCGGAATATGTGAGGCTCTATCTGAGTTAATTAAATGCTCGGCAACTGCCCGGTAATTTTCCAAGGCGCCAACCATCTCGGACGGGACGTTAGAGTTTATTTTGGAGTTTAGAAATGCCGGCTGACCAACAGGTTGCAAGGTTTAATAGTAGACCCCAGTGCCTGCCATTGCTATGCGTGGTTGTGAGCTAGGTACTTTAGCTGTCAGTCTGCCTTCAATGACGCCTTCTCCATTCGCTGATCTACCGCTGAAGACATCTGGAGAGAATTCTAAGTATTTATACGACTCCCACCCGGTCTTCGTCTCGATCGATTTGGAGGTATGGTGAGACGAACTGGCAAAGAGTTTGAAGAAGCGATCGGCCATTCGTCAAGGAATAAGTTACGTACGGCCTTGCTGCCCTCGGTACCCGGCATATATCATAAATCGCCAGACTGGGCTCAAACTCTCTATCAGGACTGCAGGAGTAGTCAAGCTAGAGCCCTGAGAATCACCGAGTGGGTGAATCTAGGGTACTTGACCCGTCTGACGCTTGTAGGGCCGGCCAAGATCGGTTTGGAATCTTAAACTTGAGCGTGTCTTGAAGTCTAGCTGCTTCAGTCAACCCGTTCTCTCGGTCTTGTCCTTGTCGAATAGACATGCTTCATCGTAGATCACTGTTAGTGTCGGGTGTGTGATGCTTGGACTTGTATTGATGTATGTGAAACTTAGTACTTTACGACTTAGATCTGCCCCTAAACTCTACTCTGAGATCGTACCCTCACAGATAACTTAGACCTCTCGCCAGGTTAACTAAAGAGTTGCCGAGGGATCACAAACCGGATGTACCCATGACGAACGGTAGGTTTAACTTCCATCACCCGTTCAACTCGTCAGTTTTGCTGTTTCAATCTTGGTAGCAGAAAGCAAAACACGTAGTTGCCAATCACTTGTAGTCGACGTGCGTTGCCAGTAGTGAAGCGAATTACATCCCCTATTTTCCCAGTCTCCTGCGTGAAGCTGGGGGTGCCAACAGCACTTGGAATTGGGAAAGCATTTTCAAGTACTTCAAAAAGGTCCGTCCCATTGCATTTCTGAGAGGTTCGCCGATTGCACTGAAGCTAATCAAGACTCGCTCACCTGTAAACAGGGCATCCACTTCACCCCGCCGAAGCCAGACTTGGCCGCTGCGTACAACATCACATATGACGTGGACCATTCGAGACAAGATCCCGACGCTCACATTATGCGACATATTCTGCCACATTGGAGCCATCATTGAGCAAGTGGTCTCGGTTCACTCAGGCCTTGGATCCCGTAACGTACTGTACAATCGCCCCTATCTCGAACGGCACACTGCGATGGGTTGAATCGTACCAACTACGAGCATATTACTGGAACCAAAGTCAACAAGTTCGTCTTCGACAGGAATGCCGCTATCGGAGTCAAGGCCCCAGACAGGTACGAAGAGATCGCAAGCAAATACGAGTCCCAAGACCTAGCCACATACCTACCAGATGGCACCCACCCGACGATCGTCGCGGGCTACAAGCAGAAACAGCGCGTCTACACGGCCGCGATGCGCTCCCGGGTCGTATCCTTCCTCGAGTACATGATGTCGGGCAGCCCGACCTACAGCCCACAGAACGTGCACCCGGTCAGCCGCGGGACCATCGCGGGCAACACCACGGACCCGGAGGCGGAGGTGGTCGTCGGCTACCGCGCCGCGACCAACCTCGTCGACGTCGACCTCATGGTCGAGCAGATCATGTTCTTCCGCCGGTTCATGACCGCGGGGGTGTTGGCGCAGTACAACGCTACCGAGTCGGTGCCGGGCGCGGAGGTCCAGACAGGACGAGCAGCTCGCCGAGTGGACACGGGGTTCTATCGTGCCGAGCGTGTAATACCTCGTTGGCAAGGCGGCTAAGATGCCTCGGGAATTGGGCGGCGTGGTGAGCGAGGATTGCTGGTGTATGGAGTCGAGAATCTCAGCGTGCCGGACGCGAGTATCATGCCGACTATCGTGGGCAGCACGACGAGCATGACGGTCTATACTGTTGCTGAGAAGGTGAGTCCTTTTGTTTGATCATGTTACGAAATAGCCCCAAGCATATGTATGACATGACTGACACTCTGCAGTCCGCTGATATTATCAAGACTCGGACAGAGGTGTGAGGGGGAAGTAACGTCGGTGAGGGGCGAGAAACTAATTTGTAGTTCAATCCCATTGCAGAAGTGTGGGAGATAGTATATTCACACTCGCTGCTCACATATAATAGCAATGGTTGATGGTATTATTCCTTCTCGACTTTCTACTTCTCCAAACCTCGAAGTCCTTGTCCGGAAACTTCCACGTTTTCCCACTCTATTTCAAGGTCCTTATGCCCCTTATGCGCAAACCCAGGTTTCGTAACCCGAGTCTCCGGATCAGTGAATCGGGACCAATTAGCATATTTAATAACCGGTAAAGACACATCGAAGCCACAAAAGTGTGCACAGGGCTCCCCAAGATACTAGACATCTTCCATCTGTCCGAGAGCTCGCATGATATATTTGACTGCATGCTTCTCGGTGTTCTCCCCCCGCCCTTGTCCATCGTGAAAAGCGAATACGGAGGCTGCGGCTCTACTCTCCGGACTCTTGGCGGTAAAATTGCATTCCTATTGTGCCTTGTCCCAATTAACCGGATGGGGAAATCGGATGCCTCTGTTCCGCACCATCACGGCTGTAGAAATAGACAAACCGACCACTCCACCCCCGATGGCCCGGGCTGGCGGATCTAAGACTGGGGTTACAATTTCCACAAGGAGGGTATTTTAAGGATCAATTGAGAAAGTATATAGGGGCTCAGTGGCACGGTAGCTTCGACTAGAAATACTACGATTGATTCCCACACTCTAATCGTCTCTGTCCCCGTCCCCGTCCCCGTCTCCCAACCAATTAGCCCCGTGCGTGCTCCCCGGAAATACAAACATGCAGCTCACCTGGAGGAGCGCCTGCATCGGCCTCCTGGCCTCGCACCTGCCCTCGACGCAGGCGGCGAACATCCAACGCATCACCGACAGCCTCCAGAACCCCACCAACGTGGGCTTCTACATCTACGTGCCCGACAAGCTAGCCGCGCACCCGGCGATCCTGGTGAACCCGCACGCGTGCCACGGCAGCGCGTCGGACGCCTACAAGGGCAGCCGCTACGCCTCGCTGGCCGACAAGCACGGCTTCATCGTCATCTACCCGGACTCGCCCAACAAGGCCGACAGCTGCTGGGACGTGTCGTCGGCCGAGACGCTGCGCCACAACGGCGGCGGCGACAGCCTGGGCATCGTCAGCATGGTGCGCTGGGCCCTGGACAAGTACGGCGCCGACCGGGACCGCGTCTTCGTCACGGGCGTGTCGTCGGGCGCCATGATGACCAGCGTCCTCGCCGGCGCCTACCCGGACGTCTTCGCCGCGGGGAGCGCCTTCTCGGGCGTGCCCTTCGGGTGCTTTGCCCCGGGCGGGCCGGCCTCCACGTCCAACGCGGGCGCCTACGACTACTGGAGCGACGACTGCGCCAAGGGCAAGGTGACGCGCACGGCCGAGCAGTGGGCCGCCGCAGTCAAGGCGGCGTACCCGGGGTACGACGACTGGCGGCCCAAGGTGCAGATCTTCCACGGGACGGCGGACGAGACTCTCAACTACGTCAACTTTGGCGAGGAGGTCAAGCTCTGGACGGGCGTGTTCGGCCTCTCCAGCACGCCCGCGAGCACCACGCCCAACACGCCCGTGTCCGGGTGGACAAAGGCCGTTTACGGGCCCGACGGCTGGTTCGAGGCGTATAGTGCCCAGGGCGTGCCGCACAACATCCAGGTTCAGGAGGACACCGTCATGAAGTTCTTTGGGTTGGATTGTGCCCAGAACTGCTTCTCGTGGGGCCAGGGGGGACCGTTCAAGACCACGAAACCGCGGTGCCGCCGGGAAGCACCTGCTAATTAGCAGCAACTGCGGGCGCTTTCGCCTGTGAACCTGGATGAATATACCGGAGTGATAACTCGGGAGGTGAATCGGTTTGTTGGGGTTTAGGAAGGGGCTCTATGTGTAAATAGCTTTTCCGTCCTAAATTTGTACCTGAGCTTGTGCTGTCGCAATTGTGATGCCCCTTGCGGGATCATAACTCACGCTGTATCGTCTTTCAGCACGTGAAGAATGGCTGTTGGGTGAATATTGGGGGTGTTGGGGTGTGGTGTCATCAGTCTCATGATGGTGACAGCTTCGGCATCCACCCCGATATCAACCTCGCAGCAACGGCAGGCCAAGGGATTGTTCGAGGTTAGTTTTTCTCAGACTCACATATTAGTCTGGATCTATTCTATTTCTATCTTGTTACAAATATTACCCAATATTCAAACCGAAAAGAAAGATCCAAGTAAGTAAGGGGGGAGTAACTGCACTGCTCCAGTCTTGGAACAAGCATGCTTGCTATTTGCCAAAACACCGCCTATACAACAATTGAGAAAGAAAAGAGATTGCACAATCATCGCCGTCAGTTGGCTGCGCTCATCACGCCTCGCCTTTAGCCGCCGACTTCTTCGCCCTGATATCCGTCCAGCCCATCCCCCACGCGGTGGCCAAGGACGCCGCAACCATGCCCGTGGCCAGGTAAAAGGTGCCATCTATGCCCTTGGCGAACGCCCTCAGCACCCCGGGGAGGTCCTCGGGCGCGACGAAGTCGCGGAAGGCGGTGGCGCCCGCGGCGACGATGGCCGGCGCCGATGCGCCGGGCGCGTACTTGGGCAGGTCGGCTTGGAGGACCTCGCTGAAGATGGTGTTGGCGAGGACGAGGCAGATGGATGTGCCGATGTACTGGGCGAAGGAGAGGAGGGAGACGGCGATGGCGAGATCGGCTGGCCCGAGGGCGGCCTGGATCGCGAGGATGGGCTAAACCCGCCGGTGTCTTGTTAGCTGATGGGTTGTCTGAAGGGATTAAGTGGAGGGGAAACCTGGGGGCTTTATGGAGACGAACCATTTGCATGCCCAGTCCACGCCCTGCGCCGGCAAGAATCTGAAATCCAATCCATTCCCCCGTTGGCGTGTTGGGGCTAATCCGGGAAAGTAGACCACTGCCGACTGAAGCAATCACACCTGCCGCCAGAGACCAGGGAATGACATAGCCGAGCTTCCCGACTGCTCTGGAGTTAGCCCTTGCTTTACGAGTAGAGCGCTGGGGATTCGCCCACCCAAGATACCAGATGTGACAGCGGTGGTGAGCTGACTCAGGATGGTGGGGAGCATGTAAACACCACTCATCACCGGCGTCGCCCCCTTGACGGCCTGAAAGTAGATCGGGAGGAAGTAGCTGTTGATGAACATATTGGCGAACAGGAACATCTGTGTCAGCGCGCTCGTCCAGACGGCTCTTTTCCTCGCCATCGAGACCGGGATCAAAGCATCGTCGCCCCTGCGATAGTTCCACACGCCCCAGACGAGGAAGTTTGCAGCCGAGCCACAGAACAAGCCAATGACAGTGGCCGACTTCCACGGGAAGGCATGCCCACCGTACTGTAGCGCAAGGAGAAGCTGAATCGCGGCCGGGGCGAAGAGGACAAAGCCGACGAGGTCAAGCTTGCGATGAAGTTGCCGGAGCACCGTTCTCGGGTCGGGCTTCTTGATCTGGTCGGGGATGCGATTGAACAGCATAAGGACTGCTATGGCTGCACCGATAGGAAGGTTGATGTAAAAGCCTGGGATGTGTTAGTTCGGGGCGAGAGCGTCATATGAGGGCGCGCGCGCGTGTGTGTGTGTGTGTGTGAAAGAGAGAAAACGCGAGAGAGAGAGATTGGGAGACTTACACCACCGCCATGTTGCGTATTCGGTCAACGCACCTCCGATTAGCGGGCCACACACAACACCAATCTGGGCGACTAAATGCAATCGCGCCGATCAGTATTCGCTGCTTGGACCCGGCCTGCGAGGGAAAGATGATATACATACCGCCGATTAGCATGCCTGTTAGAGCTGCGCGCTTGTTGAGGGGCACGGATCCAGCAATGATGGTGAACGATCCATTCATCAAGCCAGACGTGCCCATGCCAGCGACAGCCCTCCCAACGATCAACATGGTCGAGGATGTGGCGGCGCCGCAAATCAGCGAGCCAATTTCGAATATGGCAAAGAAACCGAGGAACGACCACTACTGGAGTGTCAGCAAGTCCAATCACGGTCTGTTGGAGGTGCACTATTCTAGGCACTCACCTTGCTGCTAAAGTGGCTATATATCTTGCCTGTCAGGGGCTGAAGGGCGGCACTGGAGAATCATCAGCCAATTCTGCAAATTCGGCAGCGTCAGGGGTCAGAACAATGATAATTTACCTCCCTAGCTGGTAAGAACTTGCATACCACCCAATGTCTTGGAGGGAGTGGAACTCATCGGTTATTCGGGGGACTGCCTGGTCATTTTAATGAAAGTCAGTCAAGATATTCAGGTCAAGATATCGGGGGTCGCTCACGGGGCCAATGATAGAAGAGTCTAGCAGCATGATGAATCCAACGAGGACTATGCAGGTCATGACCATGAACAGATGGGCTCCTGAGATGTACTGGTGTTCCGGCTCGGATTCAGTGGGCTCAGGGGGCTCAATAGGCTCAGGCGGCTGCTTTTCGTTGTCCGGGGACTGTATATTGTTTTCAATCACCTCGCCGGCGATCTCATCAGTGTCGCTCGAGGCCTGCTTTTTAGATTCCATGTCTAGATTGTTGCGGATGCCGATAACAGAGAAGCCCTAAGTTGGTCTGGATTGAGGTAGTGGTTGCGAAACAGAGGAAAGGCTCGAGGTTGCGGCGAGCCCTCACCATTAAAGAGACGGAGTCTGGCATCAATACTCGACGCGATGTCCGGAAAGAAGGTCGGTCGGTCCCGCAATCCCGTCCCCGACTGGAAGATCGGGAGCCTTCCCATTGAGTTAACCTTGGGCGGCAAGAATATCTAGGCAGAAACTACAGTACCTAAACAAAGGGTTTTCTTGCAATTGATTTCACCATCACATTACTGTTGCCATGCTATTGCCATTGCTATCTATTGCATTGCTGTTGCTGCCTTGCTTATATCAATAGAGTGCCGGTTTTGTTAACATCGGGGACGGGAATTCGGTAACCGGCATTCGGCATTTCCCGAAATCCGGTCCTTGATTACCCCAGGTTTGAATCCCGTCATTTCTAATCCAACGTAACTCATTTAAGACCAACATTACAGCGACAGTCATATGAGCGAGGTCCAGGAACACCCTAACTCCGATCGGATTTAATTACCATGTATCCAGATCCCCTCACGCCATCGATCTATGGGAGAGCCTGCTCAAACTGTGCGGGTGCAAAAAGCAAATGCGTCTACGCCAGCAATGACGGCGGCTGTGAAAGATGTCGCCGGTTAAGCAAGCAATGTGTTCCCTCCGCGTCAGTGAGAAAGCGCGGCAACAGGCGCACGGGCAGCTCGAGGACTGCGCAGTTGGAGGAGAAGCTCGAGGACCTGGTTACCATGCTCCGTGACCAGAGCTCTGGCAAGTTTGCTCCGAACTCCATCCCAACTCCCAGTCCCGGAGGCGCATCCGCCAATGGATTCCATGCCGGCTCCGACAACCCGAGCCCCCGGGAGGCTGCTGGCCATGGAGCCAGGGCTCCGCAAACGCCCAATTCTCATGTGTCGGGGGCGATGGATGGTACATTCTGCGATTCCCGATTAGCCTCCGCCCCTGTCGCCCCCATCAGCTCCATGATACCTTTACCCAACACGCCGGCCGGCCGACTTGAGGCCGAAGCGTCTATACGCTCCTTCCGCACCCGCTATCTCGATACATTCCCTTGCGTTTATCTCCCGCGAAGCATGACTGCCGAGGGGTTGCGAGAGGAAAAACCCTTGTTGTGGTTTGCCATCACCATGGTGACTTGCCAGTCGAGCTCGCGACAGCTAGCCATGGGCGACACCATGCAGAAGATTGTAGCGCAGAAGCTGGTTGTCGAGCACGAAAAGAGCATGGACATCCTTCTCGCTCTCCTTGTATTCCTGGGCTGGTAAGTGCTTTTGAGCTTATGCATGCCCCGAATTTCTGGCGGCTTACTGGCTTATCTTTTAATTAGGTCGCAGTATAATAGGAGAGACAAGCCCTACCTTGCCACCTTTTGCCATCTCGCCATCTCGCTCATCTTCGACCTTGCGCTCACCAGGCCGGTGGGGGAGAGCTCGACGATCATGTGCTTCAAGAGCCTCAATCAGGCAAAGTTGGCGCCACCCGCGGCGAGGACGATGGAGGGCCGTCGCGCGGTGCTCGCATGCTTCTATCTCACCTCTCAGTACGATGGCCTTCCCACCCCCAACGCCACCCGGATCTCTCAGCTCACCTCGAATATAGGATCTCGTACACGATGAAGAAAATGGACGGGCTGACCTGGACGCCGTACATGGACGAGTGCCTCAACGAACTATCCCGGCAGCCAGAGTCCCCCCAGGACGAGATTCTTGTCAGCCAGGTTCGGTTACAGTTAATCGTCGAGCAGCTGCACCGAGCTCCCTGGCAGTGTTACGAACCTCGAACAGCTGGGACAGCAGGGCCGCCAGCCTCGTATCTTCATGCGCTCCAATCACGGCTTAAGAAGGTCAAGAGCGAGCTGCCGCCAGAGCTAGCGAGTCGAGGTAAATTGTCTCCTGAGTGAGAAAAGTATCCCCTTTGGCTGACTGGACATAAATTTCTTTCCCCTTGTTGGCAGTTTTCATGCAACTACAACTCCACTACACGAAGCTCGTAACCCTGGAAAGCGGACTGAGTCGGAACGCCTCCCCCCCAAGCAGCAACCCCGACTTTCGCAGATACGACATGACCTCGAAATGCCTCGAGGCGACGAAGGACTGGTTCGACACCTTCTTCTCGATGCCAAGCTCGGACCTCCACGCCATGCCCTTCCTGCTCTGGTCCCAGCTCGCGCACTGCGTCGTGACTCTGTACCGGCTGACCACCCTTGACGAGCCCGCCTGGGACCGCGCCCAGGTCCGCGACACCCTCGACCTCCTCGTCGTCTGCGACAGGATTATAGCCGACTTTAACGCCGTGCGCACGAAGCACCGCCTCCCGGCGAACGACAGCGAGGACATCTTCTTCAAGGGGGCCCGGATGCTCCAGTCCATGAAGTCGAGCTGGGCCGCCGAGCTGGCCAAGACAGAGCGCCCTGCGCCGGCAGATGCTGCTGCTGCTGCTGCTGCTGCCGCTACTACTGCTGCCACTGCCGCTGTCCAGGGCGATTTCGTCGACAGCGTTACGACTGGTCCCATGGCGGTCCCCATGATGATGTTGGACGAGTCGTGGATGGTGGATAATATATGGCTAACGGATATCTTCAATGCGTCGTGGGAGTGAGTGAGTGAGTGGACGGACAAGGTGCCCAAAGCATTCAGGAGATACGAGAGATATAAACGGCTTGACGCTAGCCACTCCAAACCGCTAGGCCGCCGACAAACTCATGCCCTGCTGTCGGACGGCACTGTGCAGCGCATGCTCACCTCGAAGCAAGACACACCTGGATCTCGAAGTCTCGACTATAACGCCGCTTTCGGGTGATATATAGGAGCGAAACAACAGCACTCGACGAACCATCGCCGCTTCTTGTCGCCCCGGCATCTTTCTCTTGACTCCGGAGTCGAGATGAAGGTCTACCGCCACGGGGGCATGTCGAGAGTCGTGCCAGCGGCTGCGCTGGCACCTGGGGTGGAAGAGTGGGCTGTATCGGTGTATTAATTAGGGGAAGGACTTGGTAGCTGGTCAGTGAGGAGCCTTTCGTGCTGGATGGACGGTGCCTGCGTTGTTTGCTTGTATGGCCTTGGAAAGTTGGTCGTGGATGTGACTACGACTCCTGTCTTTTGTCAAACGATATACTGATATCGGCGGCTCGTTCGACGCTGCGGAGAAATGGATCATGCATGATGGACAGCTTTCTGCGGAAGATGAGCTTGTTCAGGAGCAGGAGGGCTTAGTTGTTAAAACAGAATATCTGCGGGCATTCGAGTTTATACGCATACCTGTTTTGGAGAATTGGTAGATGAGACTGCGACATAACCCTAGCAGAACAGATCCATCACCCGTTACATCTCGTCGCTGGCGCCTACTGCGATGAGAATATAGTACCGCAGCAGAAAGGCATGTGATCCTGATCAATGGCAATACGAGTCCCACAGGCCAGGCAAAATGGGAACGGCGGGGATCACAGCTAGAGAAAGCAAACGCGAAAGTCGGAAGAAGGGGGAAGATGACAATTACGATCTCGCTGAGGAAAATCTCAAGATTTTCAAAAAGCTCAGAGCCCAGGCAAAAAGCGAGACGGCGCCGAGCTTGATTAATGCGGAAAAAATGCCACCATAAATCTTAATCATTTTTACAGTTTCTGACGAACCCTAAGTTCACTTGCGATAGTTGTAAAGACTGTCAAACATTAATTAGTAAACGCAGAGCAATTTCAATGTCAACAACCACATACCTGATGTCGTTACCCTCCTGTGGCCGGTTCGTAGGTCCCGAACTGGCGACCACGCTTCCCTCCTCATCCCTGCCAGGCTTTATATTCGTCACAGCAGCCTTTTGCCACCGCTTCCCACTTCGAAGCTCGCTTAGGTGCTCTAAATATCCCTCCGGCACCTTTGTGACATACTTGCCGCAGAAGACGCCCACCTCAAAGTCGTCGACCTGACTCGTACTCTCGGCCGCCTCCATGCACGCGGACTTCAAATCGTCGAGGTCCTGGAAAATAACGTCGTCGGCATCGATATACTTGGCAATCTCTTGCCGCGTCTTGCCATGCGCGACCAAATCTTTGACACCAACGGTTAGCATAACGTGGGATAAATTTAGTAAGGTGTATATTATTTTAGCGGCAAGTTCTTACCCTCAGGGTCCGCGAGGTCTATGCCGTACTTCACATATAGTTAGTTTTATTCCTTTGAATCCGAGAAATAACAGTTGAACTCACGATATGTGGATGTGTGCATTCTGGGGAGCACGAAACGAACACAACTCGAGCCGCTCCTGCTTCCCTTGCCATTTGAACCTAGAAGATACCCCTATTAGCAGGACCTCTTTTAAAACTAGAAGGAATCGACATACGATTTGTCGAGATGTAGCTAATATGTTAGTTAGCCTAGATTTGCACTTGAAAGGGGGCTTTACTTACTGCCACGAACGACGCTGTCGTCCACAATGATCAAATTCTTTCCTCGGAACTCTGACTCGATAGGCGAGAGTTTGCGGCGGACACTCTGCTGCCGCAGAGCTTGATCAGGAAGGATGAAAGTGCGGTGGACGTATCGGTTCTTGATGAGAGCAGTCACGTACGGCTTCCCCAGCTTGTTAGCTAAAGTAGCTGCTGCGATATTGCTCGTCTATGGGCGAGAGGTTAGCTTGTGTTATATGCGTGTGATCAATATGTGCCAGAGAATTATATATACCTCAGGAACTGGGATGACTAGAAAATCAATTAGTTTACTTTCTAAAATCGAAGAGAGTAAATATGACATACCAGCATCAATATCCTCAATCCCTTTCTCTCCAAGGACATCCCTGATCTTCTTGGCCAACTTCTCTCCCATGTTTTGCCGACTACGGTACACCGAGATACCATCGATGCAGGAGTCCGGGCGCGCGACGTAGACGTACTCAAAAGAGTCTGGTGTGTAAGCTTTCCGCTCGACAACTTGGCGGAATATAGGGGCTTTCCCTTTCTCGCAAAAGACGGCTCCACCTGGCAATATATCCACGATATCACTAAAGCCAAGCTGCTTCAAGGCAACAGATTCCGAAGCCATAGCGTAATCTGTCGCTCCAGGCAAGGTAGCAGAGGGTCGTGATCCAAGACACAGAGGGCGGATTCCATTAGCATCCCTACTTTGATCAGCTTCCGCGGATTAGAACAGGAACACATAGATATGACTTACCGAAAGCACAGGATTCCAAAACCCGCGATCATGACGGTGCATGCAAACGCCCCTTGACACTTCTCATACACGTCACCCAGTGCAGTGAAGATGTCGTCTGAGTTGGCACGAGTCTTGCCGAGCTTTTGAAGACCATGTGCGAAGATGTTCAGGCTAGAGGGCACAGGTCAGTACATTCTGGTCCAGGTATTGGTAAGCATAAGTCGCGACGAGTACGCACAGGAGCTCCGAGTCCGAATCAGTGTTGACATGCCGGTGAGCTTCCTCATCTAGAAACTTGCGAAGGTCTTCGGTGTTTACGAGGTTACCATTCACACTCATCGAGATTCCGAACGGCGCATTGACGTAAAATGGCTGTGCTTCAGACCTACAATCGCAATCTCTGTCAGTGGTGGTACTACAGAGTGCGGTCCTGAGTGCAGCACGTACGCAGACGCCGTTCCCATGGTTGGATAGCGAACATGACCCAGCCCTATGGACAGTTAGTTCCGTACAATGTACAGACCGTGTTTACATACCCATGTAGCCCGGAAGTTGTTGCAGCCGTCTGCCCTCGGCAAAGACTTTGCTGGCCATGCCCAGACCCTTGCACTGGGAGACCCTTCCGCCCTGGCATACGGCAATGCCCGCAGCATCCTGTCCGCGCTGTTGCTAGCGTCAGCATTCGTCCAAGGCAACGGACAATGTGGCTTCGTCGTGGGGAGTGTGTTGGCGACCGAGTGACTGACATGCTGAAGATAATAGAGGGACTCGTGCAGGTCGACGGCGGCGGTGGTGGCTTCCGAGTCGCCTAGCTGTTAAGGAAGTCAGCCTTGTTCTTCTCCTTCTCTCTTCTGCATGACGCGCGCGTCTCCTAGGACATGGATCTCTTGGAGGTGGGGGAGGCGGGGGAGGCCAGAGAGGATATACCAATATGGCCGAGACACCACACATGGTCTCAGGTTGCGGTTGTGTATTAGTCGGAGAGTAATGGCGTATTCCAGCGACTCAGGGGGGACTTGTGCCAAGGTGTGCGACGCTTTTGCGAGGCGTCATGCGGATGTCGACTCGAGAACAGGAAAATGTCGTTGTCATTTTCGTGCCGGCCGACGGAAAACTTTTTCTCTCGAGATTGCGGGGCATTGACGAAGGCGGGCTAGCAAATGATGCGCAGTGGTGGGGTTCTCCAAAACGTAGTGTGCCGCGGTCCTGCCTGAGGCACCGGCCAAGATCCCCTGTAAGGTCGACCTACACTACAGCGCGCCTAGAGCGCCCTGGGCCTTTTGCTAATTCCACCAGTAGGAAAGCGAGTTTGCCGAAGGAAGTACCGTAGTATGGTCGAGTTGTGGGGAAAGGTGGGGGTGGTTTGGTTTGGGGCCAGACTCCCGTCTGGGGATTCGTCATCCTCGGCATGCGAACTCCTCCTGACCTCCTCCCCAATCTTCTCAACCAATTCTGCCGATAGTCTCTGTTAAGGAGGCAATTCGACATGGGGACGTGATCAATGCCGGGACTCTTCCAAGTCTCACCACGGCCATCTTCGGGTCCGTCAGCTGCCCATTAACATGTCAGACACTACATCGCCGACTTCCTCGGGGCCTGGTGGATCTCGCCATATCCGTCGCCAGAACGCTCGCCCAGGTGACCGGGTACGGATCCGGCAGCGGAGAACCCTTAGCTGCTTGCCATGTCGTCTGCATAAGCTGCGGTGCGATCGTGCAGTCCCCTGTCAGACCTGCTGCCGCCACCAACGAGAAGATCAATGTCGGTTAAATCCCGCCCCGGCAAGCCTCGTAGCCCCGGTGCCTTCGAAGGGGGGCCCTATTGGGGCCCGAAATGCATTCCTATCAAACCTTCTGTCTAGCCGAACCTGGAATGCCAATAGTGGAAGCCTCGCGCTGTATCCTCCGGCCGTCGTCAGCCATGAGGAGAACTCGTGGTTGCCCCGGACAGGCGGGAACACCATCGGCACTGACAAGCTTTCGGGCCAAGGGGCTGAACCCGCTGTTGAGCTCCATGGCTCGGAGTCTTCTGAGAATCCTGTGAGCAGCAGCGAATCCGTGGCATCACTTGCTATGTGCGGTCTTCACTCGCAAGGGAAGTCGACATTACTCGACGAGCCTCAAGTGTTCTGGAAGCGCTACTTGGTCGGCGTCCTCCCCACCCAGAACCAAAGCGACCTGCTGGTGTCCTTCTTCTTTGAGAACTTCAACTGGATCTACCAGACCATTCATGCGCCCTCATTCCGCTCTCAGTATGGCCAGTTCTGGACCCAGGACGTCGCCGATGTCGATCTTGTCTGGCTTGCTCTCTTATTCATGATCCTCTGCTTGAGCTCGCTACACATCCCTTCTGAGCTCGCCGAGGTTTCTGGCTTCGAAGTCTCGGAGCTGGCCCTGCTATCCAAGCGATGGTACTCCGCATCCCGCCAGGCGTTGCACGCAGGCGGATACGACTCCAAACCTACCCTGACCCAGATCCAAGTGTTCTTGATATCGCAGTTGTACTGGTACGGGATGAAGAACGTGGAGGCGCTGAACTCGTAGGTTCTCACATCATTCACTAGCCATTGGCATTGACTGTCAATCTACACATCTTTCTGTTTATTAGTACCCATCTGACACCGCCAACACCGTAGCCATCTAGGCACAGCCGTACGCAACGCCCAGTCTCTAGGTCTGGATAAGGAGTGCCCACCCTCCGTTACAGACTGCCTAGAGCGCGAGATGCGCCACAGAATTTGGTGGGATCTCGTATGTTCCGACACGTAGGTGGTCTGGTGCGCCCAATCCTACTCGTATTCTCAGGTATTGACATGCCTTCCAGTTTCCAGTCTCTCTGCCTTGCCCGGCCACCTTTGGTCCAGTCATATCTCTCCTCGGTTCCGTTCCCGTCCAACTGCAACGACGTCGACATCACACCGACCAGCATCAAGATCCGACCACTCTCGGAACCCACCGAGATGAGCATGCACCACTTCCGCGCCCGCATCTTCAAGGTGCTCAACAGGCTATACGCCAACAACGGCGCCGGCCTGTCCTCATACGCATTCATCTCCACCATAGACGCCGAAATCACAACCATCACCGACCAGTTCCCGTGGTACTTCCAAATTCACCAAGAAGAAGAACGACCCCCCAGCACCACCCCGGCTCTCTCCCCTCGCCCCGTCACCCCAAACCTAACCTCCATCCACTGGACCCACCACCTCCTCCACAGCTGTATCTCAGTCCAGCGCGTGCGCATGTATCGCCCCTTCCTGCACCACCCATCCGGCGACCCGTGGCGCCGCTGCGTCGCGGCCGCGACCTCGGCCCTGGCCGTCTACCGCCGCCTGCGCTCCCGCGACGTGGCGCGCTTCCGCCGCTCCCAGCGCGCCCACGTCCAGGCCTACCAGACCTTCTCCACCGCCGTCGTGCTCGCCACCTTCCTGCTCGTCGAGCGCCCCCCCGACGACGACGCCTGCGTCCGCGCCATCCGCGAGGACGTCGACATGGCGGTCGCGGACCTGCGGCCGTTCGCCTCCGCCCGGGGGGCGGGGGACGCGCGGTGCCTGCCCATGGTCGCCGACGGCGTGAGGGCGCTCAACCGCATCCTGGCGCTGTACGACGCCCGTCGCAGCCGCGGCGACTCTTCCAACTCCAACTCGTCCTCGTCCTCCGGGGCCCGTTCCGGCGGCGACGCGCCCACGGCGCTGGTGCCGGCCATCTTCTCCGTGTTCGGCGGGGAGGCGTCGGCGCGGAAATACCTCGAGCGCTGCACCATCGAGTACATCATCAACGAGGAGCCGGGCGGCGGCGGTGGCGGCGGCGGCGGGAGCGCGGATGCGGCGGTTGCGGCGGCGGTAGCCTCGCTGGACGGGTTCATGTGGGATGCGCTGCTGGATCCGTCGGTTTGGGGGGATCCGGGGGATGGGGTGTGCTGGGCGGATATGGATTTCGGGGTGGAGAAGGTGTCTTGACCTTTTGAATTACAACGAGCTTGTTCCGGTACGCCAGGCTCTTGAAGGTCGGCTAGCTTATGTTTGGGGCTGGCTGGCCTATGAGCCCGAAGAACAACTTACTGATCATCTCGAGAAGGTATTTTCCTTAGCTACCTAAGGAGGTAGGCCCAGGCTTCGTACTCGGAGTGGTCAGGTTACCTGCGTAGCATCACCTTCAAGGCAGAGGCGTGATGTTATAAGGGCGGTCTCGTATTTACTTAAGACGGGTGAAGCATGGTGGGTGGGTAACAGATGCGGGCAACCGAAAGCGTTTCTAGCAATTGAAGCCTGCCTGAAGGGGAAGAAGGTTCTGTGAGGAGCTGGTCTTGATAACATATAAATCTAAGACTATGTGGTTCATACTCCTACCTAAAGTCACACAAGCCAATATTTATTCAGGGCGTATTGTATTGTAGATATATATGTATGTATGTCATCTCGCACTGCCTCATTTAGCATACCGATCAAAAACCGATGGTGGTTTCTCCCAAGTCGTGCCGAGGGGCTGGAACGGACTAGAGATCCTGTTTGGACAGTGTCAGTACGTCGCCCATGATAGCAAGAAGGAGGAGTAGCATGTGCTCACCCGAATGCTTCCGGCCCGGCCATCTTCAAGCCAACGTCGGTCGTCCAGAGGGGGTGTGCGGGCATGGCGATGACCGCAACACGCAGCCCATATCGAAGCTCGTGCGTTGCAAGCGCGGCGCCGGTACTCAGGTCCAGCACCGTGATCAGGTCGGGCGTGGTGCAGAGCACCGTGTTTGGCTCCAGGGTGGCGCAGAAGAACTCGTTCTTGTTGCGTACTTTGTTAGCAAATGCCAGAGTTTGGTGCGCTCACGAGCGACATACCTGGTAGCTCAAGACAAGTCTGCGCGAGTCGACCACACCGTTTCTGTCGTCGTCGCTGTCATCGTCATGGAACGGCTCCAAGGCCGTCGTGCCTATCGTCCAGCCTCCCTTAACTTCACGTTGCACATCGACGACCTTTCCCTTGTACAGGAGGCGTCCTCCGGGTATCACCGAAAGCTGTCGGCACGTTCAGCGGACGAAACTTCACTCTCAACGAACTGATACGTACCAGAGCTTGCACCACATCCGCCTTGCGCTGGCGCGCGAGGCATATCTCCCGGCCCATGAACCAGGCAAAGGAGATACTCCCAAGGCAGCAATACCGCAACAGGACCTCCCTACCCAGTGGGGCCAGGCTCAGCGCGGTATACAGCCCCAACTCTATGCACGCCGAGCGCGCGATAGACTCAAACCGACTACTATCCTCGACCTCAGCGACGACCTGCACGTTGCCCCGCGCGTCCGACAGCACCGCGGGCGCGGGACCCGCCTGCCCGTACACGTACGGCAGCGACATGTCGATCTTCGGGAACGCGCGACCGATCATGTCAGCGTCGACGACGGGCACGTCGAGCGACGCCGCGGCCGCGAAGGCGCGCATGCCGTTGGACCCGCCCACCTCCGCGGCCATGACGGCGTCGTAGCCTCCTCCTCCGGTGGTGCCGAGGTACCTGGACAGGGCGCGCGCCGCCGCCTCGATCTCGCCGCCGCCGATGAGGCGCTCGTTGGAGACGGAGGGCGCGCCCACGAAGGCGATGACCGCCGTGCCGCCGCCGCTGGTGCTGGACGCGGCGGCGGGAGGGAGGGAGGCGGCTTCGACGACGCGCATCCGCCTGCCGCCGATGGTGGGCGAGCGGAGGGTCTCGCGCGAGTGCAGGAGCGCAGAGTATACCGAGCCGCCGCCTCCTGTGCCGAGGATGCCGCAGCCCTCGCCGATGAAGTCGAGGTCGACTTCGGAGATGTACCACTCGCGCGTCGCCTTGGACACGTCTGGTTCGTAGTTCTCGAGGTCGGGCGCGGGGGCGTCGGTTGGCGGGAGGGGGGCGGGCTGTTTGCTAGGGGATTCGGGGCCGTCGGTCAGGGAGAGCTCCGTGACGGAGACTGTCCCTGCTTTCTCCTCGCTGCGGGGAGCCTTCTTTGAAGGCAGTTGCCAGTCCAGTTCTCCCACCTGTTTGTGTTAACAGATGCTGGGGCGGGGAGGGAATGGGATATACTGACCGCCTTGACGACTGCCCTAAAGGCATTGTTGGTCACGTATTGGAGGGGGATGAAGTCAAGCTCCATGATCTCTACCGAGCCGGTTCGTGCCCCGTTACTATATGCCAATTGTTCTGCCTCGCGACTCAATTCCTCGACGAGCTGTTCGTGCTTCCGCCCATCTGGGATGACAATTCGATCGACTTCACCCGCAACCTACCCAAGCTTAGTACAGACACACATCGTGGTGGGACTTAGGGACGGAAGGCATACCTTGGCAATGGCCGCACCGACAGCGTTGGCGACCTTGTAAAACGGAGGTTGTATGCTCTTCTGTACGTTCGACAGTTCATCGATCTGGATGATGGAGCCTCCGCCGACGAGAAGCAGCACGACGTCCAAGTCCGACGTTTTCATCGTATCAACGCAGCGCTGTAACTTGAGAGTGATCTGCCGCGACGCCTTGCTCACAACATCAGACGACATGTCTCCCTGCCAGTCGGGCAGACTCTGGTCTCTGAAGCCTCGGGCCAGCACGACATCGGTAGCCGTGGCTGTCGCCCCACCAAAGCAGAGCGCCTCCGTCTGGAGGCGGTGGCCCACGGAAGTCGGTCCGACGGAGACGTCGCCGGCCTCGTCCACGGTCACCAGGGAGCCGCCGCCGAGCCCAATGCTGACAAGCTCGGGCATGCTGAACGCGGTGCGCACCCCGGCGATGCTTGCCGTGGTCGATGACTGGCGAGGGAAGCCCGACGGGGAAAGGGCTGCAAAGTCGGACGTCGTGCCCCCGACGTCTACCATGATGACCTGGGAAGTCTTGAGGTCGAACTCCGAGTCCTTCCGGTGAATACCGGCGAGGAATACAGCGCCCGTCAGCGAGTTCTATGCATCGTTAGATGATCCGACGTCATGGAGGGGGCTTCAAGTCAGGAACCTACTGTCGCGCCAGAGGAGAACGTCTTGATGGGAGTGCGGCAAGCCGCCTCCGCGTCCATAATAGTGCCGTCGTTCTGCGTCAGGTAAAGCGGGCAGTCGAGCCGCAGCTCCGCCAGGGCTCTCTCGAAGCCGCGGATCGTCCGGCGGGCGAACCTCAGGATGCTGGCGTTCAGCACCGACGCGTTCTCGCGCTCGATGAAGCCCACCCGACCGATGTCGCGCGAGCACACGACGTCCACGCCGGGTATCTCCCTCTGCAGGATTGCCTTGACCTGCTCCTCCTGCGTGACCTCTGCCGTGTCGACGGCCGAGAACACGCCCACCACCACCACCACGGAGACGCCGGCTTCCCGCATCTTCGTCGCGTGCTTTACAATCTCCTCCTCCCTCACCGGCTTGATGGGACGCCCGTCGACTACACCAAGAATCAGCAGCGTGAACTAGAAACGCTCGGGAGGAAGGGTAAAATTACTCTCCAAGCCCCCGTCCACATACGCCGTATACCCCTCGACGATACGCCTCAGCGCCGGCGGGAAGTCGGCGAAGGGCGGCACCTCGCGGCAGAAGGGCCCACACAGGCGCAGGACGGCCACGCGGCTCAGGCTGGAGGCGTCAGCCTGGACGACGGCGTTGATGAAGTGGGTGGTGCCGATGTTGACGGAGATGACGGCGTCGCGGGGCACGCTGGCGGCACCCAGCACGGCCTGAATCGCGTGCCGGATGCCTGTCGTCACATCGGCCGTCGTTTGGCTCTTGTGACTGGCGACGATGCTGATGTCCTCGTGGCCGTCTGGGTGGGCGCCGCCATCTGGCACAGCCGTGGGCTTAGTCCAGCATGCGAGGGCGGCGTCGGTGTTGGTACCCCCTGGAGGCAGAACTGTCAGCACAAAGGGACTGCCTGTGTTGTTGTAAGTCGTCTGCTCACTTACCCACATCGACCCCAATGCGGTAGAGCTTATGCTCGGCCAGGTTGATAAGTGGCATCTTGAAGGTGCGTGAGAGAGAAACAGCTGTCCGAACCACTTCGAAGATGACAGGAATAGAAATCGCATAAACAACTTCTTATCAAGAAAACCTGGGCCCCATTCTATTGCCTGCCCCATTTCTGGGCAGCGTCTCCTCCGACCTCCTCTCCGACTCCGACTCTGACTCCGACTCCAACTCCCGTCTCCTCCCTCGGGCTCCACCCAACACGAGGACAATGGTAATATCAACGGCATGACTGCACCAGCAAGGAGGCTAAGACGATAGGAGCTTCCACGGGGGTGCTATTGGCAGTTCACTTCTCCGCAGTCCCGGAGATAACTGGCTGGAGTCCCCACTGCTAGATACCGGGGTTACCGAGTTTGGTTTACTGCAGATTGCTCGTCGGGCTATGTCATCTCTGATTGGTGGCCCTAAGACTAGCGTCGACCCATACCCTCGGTAGCTCTCGATTACCCCGACTACCCCTAGCCTAGCTCTATCATCTTGCTATTCCCCGCGAAACCGGAGGAGGTCGAAGCCACGGCGACACGGGTGCGATAGGTAAATCCTCACCTGAGCACATAAACATCCGGGGAGGTTATCATGCGGTTGCGCCCCTCTCTGTCCTCCCCCTCAGCCATGGCCTTTTAACTCTCTTCCATTGCTTGACCATTCCTTGCTCCGCCCAAAACACAACTATGGAGAGCTTGCTGCAGAAACTCCAAGTCCCGCATCCCCTGAACGAGGCCCCTCCAACCGCCCTGATCAGCCATGATGTGAAGCCCATCGAGAAGGCCCGGCGAGTCTGGGGTGCGTCCTAAAGCCGTGACCTGCCGGCCCTCCCCCAAGAGGTTGCTAACATGCAGTAGCATGGCCAGCGTTCATCGCTCTGTGGAGCACCGTCGCATTCAACATGTCCAACTTCCAAATGGTCAGTCTCAGTTGCCCCGGTCCCCTCCCTCCCCCCTCCGCAAAGGAAGTCGGCGGTGGAAGGACTCAGGCCATGCAGCTGACATTCTGCAGGGCTCCAGCATGCTGGCCATCGGCCTTACCTGGTGGCAGACCTTCATCGCCACTCTGATCGGGCACGTCCTCGCCTCCGCCTTGGTCGTCGTGGCCAGCTTCCCAGGGCTCTACTACTACATCTCGTTTCCCGTGGCGAGCCGCATCGGATGGGGGTACACGGGCTCCGTCTTCGTGGTCCTCAACCGCATCCTCCTGTCCATCGTCTGGTTCGGCGTCCAGGCCTGGCAGGGCGGCATGATGACCTACGTCTGCCTGCGCGCCATCTGGCCCAGCATCGACAACATCCCCAACACGATCCCCACCCGCACGGGCATGACGCTGCCGCAGTTCGTGGGCTTCATCGTCTTCTTCGTCATCGAATTCCCCTTCCTCTTCCTGTCCCCGCGGAAGCTGCGCTACCTCGTCTACGCCGGCTCGGTTTCCGGGGTGGTCGTGCAGCTGGTGCTCGTCATCTGGGCGTGCGCGACCATGGGCGCGGCCGGGTTCGGCTCGGTGATCTCGACGGGGTCATCGGCCCTCCCGAGCTCGCAGCTGGGCTGGATGTTCGTCTACTCGGTCATGTTGACCGTGTCGAGCGTGACCAGCGGCACGGTGAGCGTGTGCGACTACGCGCGCTTCGCCCGCCGGCCCTCGTCGGGCACGTACTCGCAGTTCGCCGGCTTCCTGCCCGGCTGGCTGTCCAACGTGTTCGGCGTGCTCACCATCGCCGCCACGCAGAACCGCTACGGCTCCCAGCTCTGGAGCGTCGCCTCGCTGCTGATCGCCATGCAGGACGCCGACGGCGGATCCGGTACGCGCGCCGCCGTCTTCTTCGCCGGCCTCGGCTTCGGCATCTCGCAGATCTCGCTCAACGTCGTCGGCAACTCCTTCTCCGGCGGAACCGACATGTCGGCCCTGCTACCAAAGTACATCAATATCCGCCGCGGGCAGATCATCACCTGCCTGCTCGGCCTCGTCATTAACCCCTGGTACCTGCTCAGCGGCGCCGTCATCTTCGTCTCCGCCATGTCGGCCTACACCATCTTCCTGCAGCCCTTCCTCGGCATTCTCGTGGCTCACTACTTCGTCGTCCAGAAGTGCCGCATCAAGGTGTCGGACCTGTACACGACGGGCAAGGAGTCCATCTACTGGTACTCGTTCGGGCTGAACTGGAGAGCTGTCGTGGCGGTACGTGCCAACTCCCTAGCCCACCCTTCTATTCTCTATGGTGTCGCAGAGCTAACCTGTATCTCGCCATGTTCTAGTGGAGTGTCGCCGTGGCACCTCACCTCCCCGGATTTCTCAATATCGTGAACCCCGAAATCCACGTCTCCGTCGGAGCATCCAGGGTGTACTACCTCACGTCATTCACCAGCTTCCTGATCTGTTTGTTGCCCGTTCCCCCTCGTGTCTCAATGGGCGACTGCTAACGATCTAACCGCAGCATTCGCTCTCACTATCATCCTCCACTTGGCCTTCCCTGTGCAGGTGCAGACGGACTACGTCAACAGCAGGTCGCGAGACCAGGCCAGGGACGAGTGCGAGGAATACATTGATGAGATGGATCTCGGGTTTGGCACGCCTCAGGACTTGGACTTTGAGAAGGCGGAAGGAGGAGCGGAAACGGTTGAAGAGAAACAGTTGTAGCGGTTCCAATATCAAATGCCACACACCTTGGTGTCGATCTTTGACTGTAGCAATGGTGTGCCATCCACAATGGATGTTAATGAGATACAATTGATCTACAACCGCAAGTAATCGAATTCTTGAATACCAAGAAGCGAAAGTCGGAGTTTTGCAATCAAGTAAGGATCGGCGTCGCTGCCAGAAAGTCTGCAACAACCTTGTGTGGGTGTGGGAACGATCGACGTCACCTTGACGGCATTCCCATGCAACGAATCGTAAATGATCGACTCAACACAAAAAGAAACATGATATAACTATAAGACGACCTCAACATGTCTGCGTCGCCAATTCTCAAACATTATACCTTGAAAAGCAACAATCATCCGACTTGAACTTCTATCAACAATTGGCTCAGGCACGACTTGTGGCATCGATTATACCAAGATCAAGGGAGTTCACCTACGTCAGGACACAATGCTTGCCCGGTGTTCCCCCGCGTTCAAGGCAGTAAGACCTGCACTTTCCGCCGCCAGCCGGGCGCAACCGCAATGCCTCCGGGCCTTTGCGACCTCTCAACCGACGCCCAAGGGGCCCCGCTCGCCCAAGATCATGCTGGAGGACGAGAACGCCTTCGGCTTCATCCGCCACAACAAGCGGCCCCCCAAGCCGCGCAAGGTCGGCGTCACCGAGATCCGCGGGCCGTACTACTCGGTCATGGGCAAGCGATACCTGGAGGACGTGCTAGATACGTGAGTCCCCGCCCCCTCAACCCTCCGCCCCATAAAAACCTTCCCCCGGAAGCACACACCCGATATCCAGGTGAGCGTGAAACCAGTAACAAAAACTCACAAATTCCCCCAGCATGGGCCACCACGTCGACGGCCTCAAGTTCGCCGGCGGCTCCTTCTCCCTCTTCCCAGAGGACCACCTGCGGTCACTCATCGACCTCGCGCACCAGCACGGCGTCTACGTCTCTACAGGTGGCTGGATCGAGCACGTACTAACGCAACCCGATGCCACCACGGCCGTAGACCGGTACCTGCGGCAGTGCAAGTCGGTCGGCTTCGACGTGGTGGAGGTGTCGTGCGGCTTCCTGTCGATCCCGCCCGATGACTGGGTTCGGCTCGTCGAGCGCGTCCAGGCCGCCGGCCTGATCGCCAAGCCCGAGATCGGCATCCAGTTCGGTGCGGGGGGTGACACGGCTGCGTCGGAGCTGGAGGGCTTGGGCGCGTCGGACCCGTCCAGGGTGGTTGGTCTGGGGAGGAGGTTCATCGAGGAGGCGGGCGTGGAGAGGCTCATGATCGAGAGTGAGGGCATCACGGAGAATGTGACTAGTTGGCGCACGGATGTCATTCAGGATATACTGAGGGACCTGCCGGCGGAGAAGGTCATGTTCGAGGCGGCGGAGCCGAAAGTGTTTAACTGGTACATACGCGAGTTTGGCGCCGACGTCAATCTGTTTGTCGACCACTCGCAGATCGTGCAGCTCAGCTGCCTGAGGATGGGCATCTGGGGGATGGCGGACACGTTTGGGAAGATTGCCACCTTCAGGTAGTGCGGTAAAGGGGACCACTTATAAATTTCCGCTTCTCGGTCATGAAGGGTTCAGTGTTAGGTCTTGGTTTTGACTTAGCTGCTTAAATAATGAGTAATATTCAAGGTCCTCAATAATAAGGCACGTGTACAAATACGGAAACGCTGTGGGTATTGGGGTTGGTTGTATGGATTAGGGGTGACTTACACTGGATGAGGCTCTTGATACCCGACATGCGTCGTTAGACCAAGTGAGGAATAATAGGCTTATCTAGTTCTCCTGCTCTCGCAGCCTGATGCCCCCCTTTCCCAAGATTGTCTGTCAATGATGATCAATTCAGCGACAAGAATCCCACCGCAGCGAGATATATGTTTACAAAATTCATACCCATCCCATGCCTCTCCATGCAAATGCAGAATATCCCATCCAAAATACAGCGGTAGACCATAGATGATGCCCGACCCACATGCCCGACCCTTCCCCCTTCCCAGCCCATGCCCTCCGACCCAGCCAATGCGCCCGGACAACCCCAACACCAGCCACCCAAATCCCGCATTTATAGCAGCCCTCAAAACATATCCTTAAAACGCTGATACATGCCCCCACCACCGATCCCGTCGTCGGGACTCGGTAGGCCGCCGCCGGGGGACGCGACACCATGCGGCGGCTGCGGCCGGCTCGGCGACGAGCGGGCCACACGGGTCGACGAATGCTGATGCTGATGCGGATGCTGATTCTGACGATGATTCTGCCTCCCGTCCAGGCCGGTGGTGTATCCCTCAAAGATCTTGGACATCTTCGTCTGCAACCTCAGCCCATTATTCTGGTCCTCCGTCATCTGCTGCTGCTGTCCCTGCGCCTTCTGCGCAGCCGAGTCACGGTGAAGGCCACCACCACCACTGGTCTGCGCCGGGGCCCTCCCCTGCGGCGCGGGAAAACCGGGCGCCGCCGGACTCTGGCGGCTGCTGCTGCCGGTGCCGTTACTGGCGGGCGTGCCGGCGAGCGAGCGTCCCGTTGCCAAGCCCGTCATGATGATGGCCGCGCTGGAGTGGGCGTCGTCGTCCTGCAGGCCGAGCCACGGCGCGTACGACTCGAGGGAGCGGATGGTCCGCCACAGGCGCTGGGAGACCCAGGAGCGGGCCGACATGTCCTTCACGAGGTCGAGGGCCATGTAGAACTCGGCGCGGCAGTCCGCGCTGAACTGGAGGGGGGCGTGGGTGGAGGCGAGGAAGAGGACGGCGATGGCCGATGTCAGGAACTGGTGGTAGAAGACCTGGATGCGCTTGTACATGTCAGTCGTCCGGTTGAGTCGCGTGAGGTACTCGATCGTGTCCTTTGCCAGGTCTACCGCTCTTCGGGCCAGTGGCATGTTCTCTGCGATGCTGCTTGCGCTGTGCAGGACTGGCGTGTGGAGCCAAATGCGGATCTGCCCATGTCAGTATGACTACCATTGGAAAAAGGACTGTGAAAGTAACTCACCTGGTTTAATCTTAGACGTGTCCAAATTTGTAGCCGCCGAATGTCATAGGTCGGCGAAGATGGTACCGGCACGAGAGGGCCCTCGTTATTGAGAGACGGGACCCTGATTTCTTCTGGTACGGTTTCATACCAGTCAAGAATCTCGCGATCCAGCGCCTCAAAGTCGCTCCGTTTGAGCTCTCGAATGAGAGCAGGCTCAAAGTAGTCAACCAATTTCCAAATTTTGGCGCCGAGCTTTGAGTACGTTATCATAGCAACCAGGTAAGGGTGGTTATCCTGCAAAACGGTCAGAAAACTGCAAGAACAAGCGGCCCGCGAAGGCTCGGTAATAAAGAGTGAGAGGTCACTCACCGGCATTGGAAGCTTGGGATCAATCTTGTCGTCATGGCACACATAGGGTAGCCCTGTGCCAAAACTCCATCGCCTGTCAAGGACATATGCTGACCAGAACGTATTGAGAGCGTACCGACGGGTCTGCTCGTCCTGAATCGCGGATAGCCCATCTCTTCTGTGGAGACCGAGCTCGAGACACAGGCGGACCACCTGGCCCATGACCCTCCAGGCCAAGATCTCTTCGTTGGCGAGAAACCTGTAACCGGCAACGAGGGCCAAGAAGGGGAGCTTCATCACATCGACGGCATCTGTCATGAGCATCCTGTCGACGACGGCCTGCATGCTTTCGTAGAGCTGGGTGGCCCTGGCGCTGTTGGCATGTTCCTCGACGGCGAGGGCGCAGCACATGACGATCTTCAGATTGCACGTAAGCAGGTCGGTGATCCTGTCGTCCTGACTAGACGGTGGGGCCGATCCCATCCTCTTGCCGGCTTCCATCCATGTCCCAAGTGATTTCGCATGCTCCAAAACCGACTCGATGCTGATCACCGGGTACATTATACCCACTTCCTCCTCATATAGTCGGCAGAGGCGGATCATTTCATCCTTGCTGAGCTCCCACAGCGGATCAGTAGGCCCTGATTGCAGGGCCGAGGGCGATTGCATCGTTTGGTGGAGGAAGGGGGACCGGGCAGGGCCGTCTTCGTGAGGGCCTCCGTTTTCGTCGGACCCGTCTGCCGTGCCGGGGTATCCCATCTTATGGAGGGTGTTCTTGGCAACGTCGACAGTGAAAGCCATGCTTGTCGGGCCGCTGAACGGCGGCGGAGCTCTGTGCGCAGGAGGTCTGGGAAGAGAACGGACCGACGAAGCAGACGGCGAAGAGGCGACTGTAGTCGAGGGCAGGGGTAGGGTACGGTCTTGGATTGGGGCCAAGCGAAGTGTTTCTTGTCGGAGGGCGTTCATATTGTTGAAGAGGGTTTCAACCTGCTCCTGGAGACGCGTGACGTGCTCGGTCATGGTCTTGAACTCGTCCGTCTCCTTGAAATTGTTGGAACAGCAGTTCGGCGTGTAAAGGCATTGCAGGTTGAGGTTGCCACATCGCTGGCATGGAGTCTGGCCATTGCACTTGATCTTGCGCCGCTTGCATTCATTGCTAGGAGGGAAGACGCGCAGGTTAGCGATCCATACCTAGTGGGGCGCGCTCGTCTTCGACTCTCGAGGGGACATACCAAGCAATCGAGATGTACTAGATTCCATCAGAGAAAGCAAAAGTTAGCCAAGTTACAGCGGACCGGCACGAGGAAGGGAGAGACAAAGGGTACGAACCCTGTTCCGCTTGCTCCTCTGCTGCTTACCACCACCACCACCACCACTAGCAGTGTCCTCGTCGGGAGATTTCCTCTTATGGCCCACGGCGAAGGCGGCGGGCGAGAAGGACTGCGGCGCGGAATTGTCTCCGGGGGCGGAAAGCGGGGAGTGGTGCGGATCGGGGGAATAGCTGATGTCCATGCCGTGTCCTCCTCCTGCTGCTTGCGAGATTGAGGAAGCAGCGGAGAGAGGAGGAGCTTGGGTCAGGAATGACCGCAAGTCGGTCACCTGGGTCTCGAGCTGATCCATCGTGTCTGAGTCGCACAGCTCATTGAACCCGAGCCCTTGCGACGAGGCGCGCGAGGCAAGATGGAGGACTTGAAATTACAAGGAAGCCATTTCCCCGAACCCAGCAGCCTCATTCGGCTCTACCAGTCGTCCACCGAGAAAAGGTAATCAAGCTAGCATTTTCTCTTGCGTAATTAGCTTATTTTTATTCCGTTCATCGCAGCTTTTCCTTACCACCCCTGCACCTTCCCTCGGCCCGACCCCGCCTTTCCCCCTCAATGATTCAAGTCTCTCTCGCTCGTGCACCGTTTTAGCGTCGCTCTTGGCAAAGTAGAAATGCTCAGGTATGCACATACATACATACAAACAACGCAATTCATATTGGTCTCGGATAACAGACGAGGCTACATAGTAAGAGCAAGGCGTTCCATTAGCTGCAAGTTGCAGGTGGCACTCTAATTGACATGGGAGAGACCCTCTACGAGTGAGAAGAGCTACAAAATGCGCCCTGTGCAGGAACCGAATCCGACCGCCATGTCACCCTTCCGGCAGATTCCTCGCAGGGTAACAGTATCGCCATCCTTCAGGAATTTTCGGGCGTCCATTCCGTACAAGAAGATCTCCTTCTTGCCACCCTCACTCATCTCGAGCAAACTCCCACGTTCCGACGGCTCCGGACCGCTGATTGTGCCGGACCCAAGCAGGTCGCCGGTGCGCATGGGACAACCACCGAGTGAATGGTGGGCGATCATCTGAGGGAACGACCACATCAGGTTCTTCGAACTCGTGCTTGATATCGTTGTCGTGTCCCCCTCAGGTGCTAAGTTTGCTGCGTCAGCCAAGAGAAGTGAGAGTTAGGTGTGGTTGGCTTAACTTGTCAGGTCGACCTCCAACCGGATGTCGAACACGCTGTCCGCTCGGCTGTCCTTCAGGTAGTCCTGCAGTTGCGTCTTGTTCTCGATACCCACCGTCCGGAAGGGCTCCAGCGCATCTGCCAGCACCACCCACGGGCTTATCGTTGTCGCGAAGTTCTTGCCGTTGAATGGCCCCAGCGGGACGTACTCCCAGGTCTGGATGTCACGGGCACTCCAGTCGTTCAGCAGCACGTAGCCGAAGATGTGGTCCTCGGCCTCGTCGATTTTGATCGCCTTGCCCATCTCGTTGGGACGTGAGATGAAGCAGCCCAGCTCAAGCTCGATGTCCAACCGCCGACTCGGGCCTGTGCTTGGCTGCTTCGGCTCGGCGGTAGGGTCGAGCAAGATTTGCCCAACCGGGCGGTTGATAGGAGTTCCGGAGACGACAATGCTGGAGGAGCGTCCGTGGTAACCGACCGGAAGATGAGAATAGTTGGGCTGGAGGGCATTTTGCGGACCGCGAAACATGACACCGACCGCGTATGCATGATGGTAGCCGGCATAGAAGTCGGTGTAGTCGCCTATCTGCATCGGGAGGTGCATCTTGACGTTCTTCTGCGGCAGCAGGGCCTTCTTCCGAAGCTCCTCGTTATCTCTGAGGAACTCCGGATGTGGCGTGTCGTCCGAGAGGAGGTCCTGGATGCCATTCCTGACCTCTCTGTGGACTGCTCTCCCAAGTGCCGCGAACCCATTCAAAGTCGGCTGCGAAAACACGGTTTCGTGGCCCGCGAGACTCGGGAACAATTCAGAGAAACGGGGATGCGAGGCGAGAGCCTCGAGATCCAGAATGGAGGCGCCAATGGCTACGGCAGCATGGGGGGCTTGGGCTGTTGCAGTGCTGACGATTCCGAACGGAATATTGGCCAGGGAGAAGTCGCTCCCCTGCGCAGTATCGGGCACCCATGATCCTGCCATTGTTTCAGTGTCCTGTGATATCTTTAGTCGGTGGAAATTATCTCGTCGCGGCTTGCCCTTGATGTTTGCCCTTGATGTTGTTTGCCCTTGATGTTTTCCTCTTGAACTTCCATTTCCTTCTGTCAGATAAGCCGAGACAACCCGGCGCTCAATGCCCCGCACTTCCCCGCAGTGTGTACCTACTGGGTACATACATCATCAGTACGTCTGCCATTGAAACCTGCCACACCGCAACTGGTCGAGGCAAGCATGGGAGTCGATAGGATGTCAACATACCTCCATATACCGAACTTGGATAAGACTCCGTATTCGATTAGGCCCCTGAGGTTGCTACGTCTTCTGCATATTCAAGGCGTAGCGGGCCATGGTGGGGCCGAACCTTTGGGTTGGGTGCTACCGCCCCACCCACAACGTCCTGGCACAATCTCCATCGCAGCGACGCTCGACCTTTTCCTTTCCCAGTGCTTTCCCGGTGCGATGAAGGGCTACCCCACGCCATTATGAGAAGCACCTGGCGTTACTTTCCTATTCCCGATGCTGCCGCGGACGACGACACGCAGTTTTTTTACTGCGTCGCGAAAGAGGATTGCGCCAGGCTCCGGTTCCAGGGCAATGTCTGACGTTATGCTTTCAAGCTTGACGCGAGCTTCACACCCTCGTAGTGCGACGTCTCTGACTTCGTCCCGGCCCAATTTTTCACAGCGCATCCAACGGGCAGCGCCGTGGTGTTCAGACCGCGAAATGGAGACCGCGACTGCACCTGCAGACGGGTATATCAGAGAGAGGAGGAGGGCAAGAGCAAGAACACCAAGGAGAAGAGACCACCAGTGTGGGAGAACATGGTAGGTAAAAGTGCCTATATAGGGCTGGTACCAGCTAGATGCCGATTTGAAGCCTTGGCTGTCGAACTGAAGCTTATCAAGGTAGTGAGAAATCAAGCTACATGTGTGCCAATCTAGTTCTATCTGCAAACTCAACTGCAGTTATGCGCGGGACATTGAAGAAGACAGAAGCAGGCATCTCCATCAAAGGGATGACCAGTATGATGTGCTCAAACACATGGTCCAGACCTGCTGCGCGCAGTCCTAGCAGTCCCATCACCTTTTCGTCTGGGATGTTGTAGCGCACATGCAACCGGGGGTCTTTGACGACAGGAGCGGAAGCGACCCACGGTTCTGGATGTTGTACGGCTGGAACGTCCCAGGCCATTCCACAGGCCACATCATCGGCGGCCACATTATCGGCGCTGCGGCGTTGGCAAACTGGCCACCGGCTGTGTAGACGTCTTCTCCTTAGGCAGCCCACTCAGCAATATCTCTCCCTCTTGAGCTCACATGGCCTGGCGATTGGACGCACCTTGAACGAAATTCTTGTATTCTACAACCCCTTCGAGGGGTTCTTCCTGTCCCAGGCTTCGGATCGTGTCCAGCGCATTCGCCGGCAGGCCCGACAGTGCCTTGTCTGCCATTTGCTTGAGAAGGTTATTAAAGATGTGCTGCCCCACGTCTTCCCACAAGCTGCAGGGCAGTGACACAGCCCATGCCAAGATGGCGCCAGGCGCCATGCTGCGGAGCGCCTTGCACCTCTCCGCTCTTCGTGTCTTCCTCGTCTTGGGTTGGGGAGAGTCGAGAGTTGAGCCTTGTGGTCCCTTGAAGATTATCCCGAGATTTTTCTTAAGACCCAGGCCTCTTACTTCACCCCGTGCCGCAGTCTGCAAAGCCAACCTTGCTATAGACATGTGCTCGTCGGCCTTTTTCGGCACGTCTGGTGCCCATGCCGCTGCACACTCGGTAAGCGCGTCTTGAACAGCCTTGGCGCACTCGAGTATTTGGCTGGCAAGCTGGTTTAACCGGGTGGCCTCCTCGTAGGAGGGTCGAAGCTCGGGGTGGTGAAACTTAGCTGGAATCACTTCGATGCCTGCAACAACCAGGCCCATGCCCGAAATCAGCTCGTTGCCGCCGACCATGGTACAGGTCGTTTGGATTCGGACGATGGCTGGCACGTGGATGGTCGAAGCGAGGCCCGATGAAGGCGAAGCTTGGGAATGTATCTGCTCGAAGTTCGATGGCAAGGGCCTTACTGGAGACTGACTTCGAACTCTGGGTCCTGTGGCTACGTACCTAGGTACCTATGCATGAATGTTCACATTCCTCCACTTCTTTTCCCAGCCTCTGAGGCCCAGTGATGAAGAAGGGGTGAAAACGCCTGAGATTGGGCACCTCCCCAGGCACACTTCCTATTTTGGGCGAGGGTGAGTGAGGCCGTTGGAACGGCCCAACTGCAAGCTGTGGCATATCCTGCACGACTGAAGTTCGAAGAAAGAGGCCAAATCCGCAGGCTGGTCCAAGGCGGATTTCGCCTTGTGCACCAACACATGCAAGTCTAAATCAACCCCATCATCATCCTCGGGCCTTTTCTCTGTTGGAACTGACCAACTGCATTGTGTCCAACAGACCGGGCGTTTTAGAGAATGAAATGTCGTTACGAAAATCTCTCTATGGAAAAAAACATGCCTGCTAATATTCAGCACCCTTCTATGCTTCACCCAAAATATGTGACCCATCTCTTCTACTGCGTCAGATGGTAGACTTGGCTATGACCTCAGAATCGCTTCAGCTTTCCTTGGTCCATAGAGTTGCTTCGCCCACCCAAAGCCACCCGGATGGACAATATCTGAGAAATCTATTAGGACTCCTTGCTTCCAGTTCTTCTCAAGCGGCGACTCCGCAAAACTAAACCCTGCAAGGTAGAAAAAGTCTCCCACTTGCTCGACGACAGTAGGGTCATTTTCGCCATCCTCAATATATTCGTAGACAATGGCAAGGTACTCCTTGTCAAGGGAAAACGAGCGGGGTTCCTTGCTGACAACGATGGACGGTGGCCTTGTTCTCCTGGGCATGTCGAGAAACACCTGGCCACTGAATCTCAGCCAGCCATAGCATTTCGTTATGCGAGGGATTGACTGGATCTGAGTCAAGTTGGAACCTTGTGCAACTTGTTCGACTGGGCAAGATTCACCAGAAAATGCAAGAAGGTTGGCCATAGCCTCGTCCTTGCTTCTCGGGTTAGGGTTGACCAAAATTGGATTTGATTCTGCATTGGCCTGCTCTACAGCAGCCTCAATTATTTGGAGAAGCGCATTGTTCTGGCATTCTCGCTGGGCGGAGTAGCAATCGTGACGACTAGGCGGCTCCGCATCCCAGAACTATGGGAAGGAAAGGGTAAGCAGGAAAATCCTGGCGCTTGGCAAGTAGCTTGAGAAGAGAGTTGACTTACCACCTTGAGGGCAAACGGCCCTTGGTCCCCAAAATTGACCCGCCAGACACACCCATCCAGGCCACCATCAAGGATTTTTGCATGCTTCCAGGAAACCGAGTTCAGATCAAAGGGGCATTTGCGAAGTCGTGGTGTCTTGAGATCGGAGAGTGCACGACTCGGAGGACCATCCATGACAGTGTCATCAAGGAACGGCTCCGCTTGCAATCTCAGCCTGATTGCAGAAGGCCGTCCCCTGGACGCGGCCTGGAGGCGTTTTGCGGCCGCTGCGTATGACATGGCTGATGAGGTGTGTGAGGTGAGGGTGCAAGAAGGTTGTTGGAGGGCAGCTGGAGATATGGGGACAGAGTCACGTGCTCCTGGACGACAAACACTGTTGGAACCACAATCTCGCCAGGCAGCACAGCTCAGAGCCCTGCTTGATTAAATAGACAGCGTGCTAACACCCTTGCTGTGACGAGACGCGTAGCCAACAGCAAGATGCGGCACAGCCAACATTAGCCCCATGATGTTGCAGACGGGGTTTCCCCTCACGGCCAACCGATGTCTGGCGACCAGGGATAAATATGCACTGTTCGAAGTTTGAAAGCCCCCTTGCGGTTCCCGCAAGCCATCGTTGGAACTTTCGGGGGTAAGGCATAAACGATGGGTCCCGCATAACTCGATGATATGGGCATATGCGTGGCGCTAGAATTCTAGCTCACTAGGCTGGAATCACCACGAAAGTTGAGGCGAGATATCCGCACCTCGAACGGCCCTTTCGTTGGACCCTTGACGTCGAAGTTCGACCATGGAGGCAGCCAACCAGCTGTGCGCTATGAGTTACCTGGATGTTGACTGGAAATAATGGATGGCAAGAGAGATATAAGCTGGTTGATATCCCTTCTCACCCTGGGGCCTCATGATCGCAAGTGCTCAAACTCTTAACTTTACATTGTCTACACTCCATCGTCTTCAAGCAGTCTCCCCTCTCCCCCTAACCCTCCACCTTTTTGCCTTCAAACTTAGATTGAAGCCTCTCCCGTGAGTATCCAAGCCGTACACAGAATTTAGCCGTTGGAACCTAACAATCAAGTTTAGGGGGAGAGTACGGGTGCAGTGCCAAGATGGTCACTCTCCTCCACGCCCTTACGAGGGCCAATCCCCGGCCCAATACCCAGGATGTGAGTCCCGGCATCAACACAACTGTCCGCGGCTCCATCCTGCCCGACACATGGATTCCATGGACCGACTTCAATTACGACACTCTGACCAGCATCTTCGAGGGGGAACTTGGCGGACAGTACGAGGGTGATCCAGATCCAGACCCTCTACCTCTTGACCTGCGCATCTGCAACGAGGACACCCTCCAAACTGTCTTGCAACGATTCATCATGCCAACCGTCAACTACTCCCTACATGGCCAAGCCGGCGGCTGCCATTACGGACCAGGCAGTCGGTGCGCGGTCGATATTAAGCCTGACTGGTCTTGTATAGCCCACGGACAATACATCAATGTGGTCCCAGGGGACACGAAACTCAGCGCCAAGTGGTGGCCTAACATGAGTGAGTCACGGTCGTCAGGAGTCTTCCATGAATGGCAGAAGGTTGTGGGCCAGGTCTCCAAGTACATGGCATACAGCACTGTCAGGTACGGCTTCATCATTACAGACGCGAGTCTCGTTGCTCTTAGGATCACCCGTCTTGCCACCAGCCCAGGCCTGACCGCCGGACGTCTCCAGAGGGCGACTGCTGGCGGTGGTCACCGGATAAATTTTTCCGGCCTATCGATAGGGGAAGAATCATCATTCGCCGACGAATCGTCACTCGCCAACGAATCATCATTCGCTGACGTGGACCCGTTGGATTGGGAGTACCAGCCCCCTGAGTACGCGGTCATCCCCTGTGGCAACTCCGGCACTGGCCGGCTTACCGTGAAGCTTGCCCTCTGGTGCTTGGCCATGATGTCGGCAAATGGCGACAACTTCCTCGACCTTTCCTATCCCGGTCTTGACACCTGGCGCAAGGCTGAGAAGGGGTATGTCCACAACACTTCGGGCGCCATCAAACGACGCCTACACAGAGACGATGATGTCCACCAAGAGCCAGACCCCGAACGAGCCGCCAGACAGGCCGCCCAAGCCGGGCCGAGCGTGTACGCAGAAGAGCCAGAGGAGGGCGACGCCGGCAGAGTCGACGATTGCGTGCCGCAGTTCAGCCAGACTGCAGTGGCCTCCGGCGAGGGTAATGCCCACAGCGGCGATGGCAACGAAGAAGAAGAGGAAGTGCCAGCGCCGAAGCTGAAGACCGTCGAGATAAAGAGGCGCAGATCTGATAAGACGCTTTACTTCGTGGACGCCAAGGGAAAGGAGGTGGACACTAGGAAATCGAAGTGGACCACAGTGCCGGGGGGATACCAACTCCGGGGCAAGAAGCACACCTATTTTACCAAGTCGTTCCCCATCTAACCTGTCGCTCTCTGAGGCTCGCCTTTCCCTGCAACGGAGATCATCACACATTTCTTCCTGTTCCCTGCTTTTCGGATTGCCCCGTTTGCCATCCTCGCTCCCTTTCCCCCCTTTTCCCCCCTGAGTTTTTCTTTCTCCTTCTTGCGTTTACCCTCAGGTGCTAAGTCCTGCGCCCTATCCTCCTCTTCATCAATATGCTATTTCTTTATTTAGTCAACATTGCTTCGATTTTCCCTTTGTGTTCTTCATTAGTATTTTGCGCTATGTTCTTGATCTTCTTAGTCTCCTTGGGTTTCTCCTCTCTAATAATAACTCCGTCTTTATGTTTATGACTAGGTAGGCATGGATTTGGCAGATTGACAGACTTTGCGCCAGGCGCGACTCCCCATGGAAGGTTGATCATCAGGAAAAGAAAACTGATATAGACTTATAGACTGAGAGTAGTCGCTCATTTACATCCACTCTAAGTCACCAACTTATCCCACAACAACCACTGTATATGTGTGTCGCTTGACTCTCGTAAGGAAGATATGTTGCTGCGGTTTACCTTGTGAAGTTTCCGTGTTGAACTTCCATTTTCTTCTGTTAGATAAGCTGAGATAACTTAGCGTTTGGTGCGTTGCAATTCCTTGCAGTATCCTGGGCTCAAGGATATATGCTTCCCATGCGCCCTGTAATCAGTTCCTTTGCCTGCCCGTCGCGCATCAATAGGTAGTATAGCTAGCTACATACACGTTTATCGTGGCCGCGGTACCGGAAGCCCGACCATATTCTCCCCTTTGAGAGAACTCAGGTCGAGGATGTTCTCCTTGCAAGCTTTGCGGAACCATCTTGGAAAGTCTCCTCTCCAATCAATCCCATCGCCGCAGGATGCTTCGCTTCAGCTTGGCCCACGCATTCGAGCGTTTTTAGCTTTATTAATGCTAAGTCCTGCAAACTGTCCTCCTCTTGATCAACATTCTATTCCGTTCTCTAACCAACGTTGTTTCTGTCTTTTTCTATCCTGTGCTCTTCACGGTATTTCGCGCCACAAGAAAAGAAAACTGATATAGGCACACTCGCTCATTTACGTCCGCTCTAAGGCCACCTGCCTGTCCCACAACAACCGCTGTGTACTACTTGACTGTCGTAAGGAAGATGCTAACTAGTCAAAAATTGATGCTTTTCATACAAGATACTTCAGAAACTTGCTTACATCCCACCTTTTATAATTATCCTCCAAACTCTTCTCACATATCCGGAAGATTCCTTCCTCGGGATAGCTTGCATGTCTTCGCTGAGGGTCTCCGAGAGACTGCGATGAGAACATGAAAGAACCAGCCAGCTTGATAAAACATAACTGCTGCTCGTTGGTAGTTTTAATATCATCGTTCGGGTAACTAATTACCTACTTTAATTTCACCCCTCTCTTCCGTCCTCATCCTGCCTACTCCCCAGTCCCCTGACATCATCTTAGATTGGATACACGTGATGTATTTGCATCGTCTTGAGTGTGTGTGTCTGGTCCATCCAATGCCAAGCCACGTCGATCGCGGGGTGCGATGCGCGAGGATTGGGTCGGGGGGTGCCTCGCCTGCATGCACTGCCTTTCTCCAGTGTAACTACAGCCCCAGGCTCCCGATGCTGCCGATCCACGCACGCGGGACGGTGGCGCGGGTGGCACTCTTGACTGAGTGGGATACTTAAGGAAACCAAGCTCCACCTCCCATACTCGTACCTTCTTCTATTTTATCTTCATTGAAGAAGTCTCAATTATGATATCATCCAGTCCATCCACCTCTCGATTCCATCTCGTATGTTAACCTACTCACTCATCGCAGCTTCGACTCTCTCAACCGCAGCGGCGGCCTACCCCGTCAACGCCTATAACGGCTACGGCCCCGATGTGCTCTGCGTGTATCCCCTCTCCGGGGCTTACGCTCCTCTCCAGCGCATCCTCTACTATGCCCTCCTAGCATACGGCGTCCTGGGCCGTCGCCAGCCATGGCTCGTCACCGGTGCCCTCGCCAGCTCCATGTCCTACGGCGGCGCAGCGGCCATCCACTCCGTCGTCCTGGTGACGAGGGCCCGGTCTCAGTACGCGCTCGACCTGGACATCTACGGCGTCTTCGCCATCACGTCGGCGGGCGTCATGCTCACGGCGCCGCTGCTGGCCTTTTCGACGACCCTGCGCACCGTCGGGAATGAAGTCCGGACAATCATCATGCTGTGGGCTTCCCTGATGCTGCTTGGCGCCATCCTCGCCGTCTGTGCCATCTATGCAAAGGATCACTTCATGGAGGCCCCTACCTGCCTTCCTCCGGGGGTTACCGTGTTATCTGCCGCCGCCTCTCTCCTGGAGAGTCCGACCGATAACTGCACCTACGCATGCTTCCCCCAAGAGCATCCGCTTCTCCGCCGGCCGACCGACATCATGGCGTGGCCGAACAAGACGGATCCGGCTCAGTCCGTCACGGGCGTCTTCCTCCCCACCCTCTCTTCTGCCATCCCCCTTGCTCTTATATACTTGGTCACCTATCTCATCCGGAAGCGGCGGGGCGATCCGTGTCCTGCCACCAACCACGCCACCTCGCCCCCGGGACTGGCGAGACTCGAGCTGGGCTGGATTGGCGACTGGCTTCGGCGGAGACGGCATGATCGTGCGTCTTCGGCTGCCGGGTCGCCGGCCCGCGCACAGGGTCGGGCGGATCGGCGTTTCAAGTTCCGGGCGGCATTCCAATACTACTGCGTCCTCGTCTCCTTCGGCGCGTTTGTCGCCAATACGATTCTGAACGAGGTTCGGCTCCAGCCACTGCCTGCGGACGAGATGCCGTACGAAGTCGGGCAGTGGGCTCCCTGGGTCAGTGTCCTGCTGGTGGTGGTTGCGCAGATCATCAACCATTTCTCAGGGAAGAGACGGAGGAGGGAGAGCATGCGGGACGAAGAGGGGGATATCTGTGCGCGGCAGCTGACTGGTTCGACATTACATCGGCAGTCTACGGTGGGATCGGGCGAGGCGAGCAAGGATATGGCATTCGAGCTGAGGAGATCAGATACCGGAGAGTCCGATTTTAAGCGGAGGAACAGTTTCTGATTGGTTTTTTTCCGTTCATTTGGTTTCTCGATTCTTCTTCCCTTTCGCTTGGATACCTGTCAGGAACGCCACCCAAACAATGCCTCTTCAGCTCCTCTATATTTTACCAAGCCACAACCAACACCTGATATATGATTGGCTGTACCCTGGTTGTTGGTGCTGGCGAGCACAGGGTAGCGTAGGGGTTTTAGTTCTTACTCAGATCAAAGCTGGCCGCTGGCGATGAAGACCTTTGCTTTCATCCGCCCCCTTGTTGCTTGCTGGATTAAGTCTTCTCAAACACGCAGCAGGCAATAATCAAGGCCTATCATTTAAATTGCCACCCCTGCGGATATATTGTGACGGAGACAATACTGCCAGCAACGACAGACCCAAGTCCTCCACGATGGCCTCCTTGGCATGAGTGGCTAAGCGTTATTATCCCCTCCCCCATTGGTCACCCTACAAGTCAGCTCTCAGCCCTAATGTCTGACAGCAGGACTTGGCAATGCCTGTTATTCAGGGTCCTTATTCAGGCCCCGTCTTATGGGGCCTCCCATTATTGGGTACAAACGACCACGGAGGGAATATAAAGTAGGGATGGTGTCCTTTGGGATATTCTTGACATTGCCTCCCTCAGCGTTTCCATTTTTTCCTTTGTGATATCCCCTGATACCCAGACCTCTCCTCTCGCGCAATGGCACCAACCTACGCCGACCATCCCTTCCCCCTCATCCCCACGCCCGTCTTCCTCAAGGGCAAGGATGCCAAGGTTAGCATTTTCTTGCGACCCATTTTGCCGCCGCGCCCTGCTACCCAAAGACCTTCGTCTCTAACCTCCCCACAGATAGATTTCTTCGACCGCTGTGCCTCCGAGATGGCCTGCGTCCACAACATGGTGTCGAGGGGTCTCAACGCCATCTACCTCCAGGCACCACACATCCAGGCCAAAGACGAGAAGGCCTTCTGCACATTCATCACCCACTGGTACAACCTCCTGCATTTACACCACGCCGGTGAGGAGGAAGACTTCTTCCCGACTATCGAGAAGATGGCGGGCGAGAAGGGCATCATGGAGCACAACGTGGACCAGCACCACGCCTTCCTGGGCGGCTTCGAGGCCCTCGGCAGCTACGCCAAGGCCTGTGCAGCGGGCGATCAGAAGTACGACGGCCGCAAGGTCGTCGAGATGATTGACGGGTTCGGCAGCGAGCTGTCGCAGCACCTCGCCGACGAGATTCCCACAATCGAGGGGCTGCGGCGGTTCGGCGAGGAAAAGATGGCCGGCCTGACGGCGGTTTTAGATAGGGAAGGCGAGAGGAATCAGGTGAGTGTTCCTTGGTCTCTCTCCAATTCCCACACAAAATGCTGATGACGGAGCGGGGGCCCTGACGCAGAAAAACCTCGGCATTATGGGCTTGTGTGCCTGCTATGCCATGCTGGACATCCACTACGAGGACGACCTCTGGATCAACTGGCCACCGGCTCCGGGTGTCGTGAAGTTCGTGTGCAGGAACGTCGTCTGGCGGCTCAATGCCGACATGCTCAAATTCGGAGCTGTCGACAAGGATGGGAAGATGAAGCCCCTGTACGCCGTCCCACAGGAAACTGAGGGGACTGCCTAAGGGGCCTTTCTCCAGAGAATGTCGACGCTCCATTGTATCTTGTTGTGCGATCCCGGTATAGAGCGGAGGAGTTCGGTGTCCGTCCTTTTTTCCTCTTGTGCTTCAGGATATAAGAAAATCTCCGCCTAGGCGTGAACTATTAGATGTACCGTATATACGTATATACATACATACTAGATATCAAGTTAGTTGATTTACCGAAAAAATACTTGATACCATCTACCAAGACAGCCGAATCTCGCTGCGAATACTGCGAGCCATTTCCAAACTCCCCGCCTTCCAAGCACACACGCAGCCAAGTTCAACCCTCGGTGAACGCCAGTCCATAAGTCACAGCAAGAGGCCGTATAATTTCGTAAACTCCTCTGTATCCACAGCAGGGCACTGCCGCGCCGCATCCCGCGCCGCCTCCTTCGCACCGCACATGTAGTCCCCCAACCCGCCCACATCCCTCCCCCTAACAAGCCAAAACGAGACCTCGCACCCCTCCCCCCGCAGCGCATCCACAGCGCCCTGCAACTTAACCCACAAGTCCCGATTAGCGATGCGCCTCCCCCCCGGCCCCCGCGCCCTCCCCCTCTTCACCCGCCAACCCCTCGCCGCCCACGCCAGCAGCAGCCTCGTCGCCCCCTCGGCCACGTACGCCAGGTCCGTCAGCACCACCACCCGCCTCCAGCCCTCGCGGCCCCACGCCCGGAACTGCAGCGCCGCGATCGCCGCCCGCAGCTTAGCCCGGTTCGACGTGTGCTCCGCCTCGGCGCCGCCGGGGCCGCGCCTCTCGAACCGAAACGAGACGACCCCGCCGCCGCCGCCGCCGTCCGGGGTGCCGGCACCGACGAGCCGGGCGCAGGCGCCGGCGTCCAATAAAGTCGCCGTCGCAGCCCGCGTCAGCAGGCCGGGGGGGACGCGCGCCGTCGAGTAGCGGAACGAGCAGCAGCCCGATGGCTCGAGGTCCCCGAGAGGTGACACGGATGCTGTCGATGGAGGGGAATGCTCTACACCCGCGAGAGGCACCTGAGAGATGAGATGGGTTTAAGTGTTCGCTGCAGTGTGGAGACAAGGGGAGGAAAGCTCCACAGCAATGGAGCTCTCCCCGCCCTGCGACCCGAATTCCTGGTTCTGGGCTCCCCCACGCTGATGACGGGTAGCCAATCGCACTATTTCGGGGAGGGGTGCATGGTATTGACCCCCACATCGATTATCATGTGCGATTGTACTACAGCAGAGGTCGAATCAAGCAGTAGAGCATCGAAACGCACCAAATACAGATGATCGTGATGTTCCAAGAATGGAGTTGGGGAGGAATAAGTCGATGCAGACATGCCTTTCGGGGTCGATGACGCTCAGGTATGTACTTTGGCCAGGTTACACCTTATTTCTCGCCTCATCTTGATGTCATCCCGTATTGATCAGCGGCATCCTTTGCAACTCATCCCTCGTCCCATTTCTCTCATCCGTGGCATGCTTTATCCCAAGACCCTCACTCTCTTTTGAGAAAACGTTGTGAAGATGATTCCCAAGGAAGAGATACCATCAGTAATAACGGCGGCCGACCAGACTCCAACAGAAGAGGTACCCTTAGCTTCCCCGATTAATCTCCTTATTTGAAACCGGGCGGCACCCGGCACAACCACTAACGCAGCGTCTCTCACAGCGCAACATCGCCCTCTGCAAGGAGTACATGGGCATCGCCTACTCTCCGTCGGCCAACCACGGCGCCGAGTCCGTCGCGCACCTGTGCCACGCGGACGCCTGGTTCTGGGCGCCCGCGACGTTCCCGGGGTGCCGGACGCCGATGGACTACGCCGACTCGCACGCGGCGGTGATGGCGAGCGTGGCGGACCTGCGGATCGTGCGCTTCGACCAGGCCTGGGCCAAGGGCGGCCACGTGCTGCTGAGGTACACCGCCGAGGGGAGCCATTGCGGGAAGCCGTATAAGGGGATCGAGGCTACGGGCCGGCATGCGCGGTGGAGCGCCGCGGCGATTTTTGAGGTGGAGGAGGGGAGGATTCGGAGCTTTACGAAGGACTGGGATCAGAAGACGATGCAGGTCAGTAATGTGTTTGTGTGATGGTCTGTCTCCGCGCGCTAAACTTCTGAGACAGATCCAGTTGGGGTGGGCTCCGGTCAAGGAGAGTAGCGACCCTCGCTGGAACGCGGATGCCCTTGCGAATCCCGAGAAGGCTCAGAAAGAAAAGGAGTAAGCTGGGACGGCCAAGTTGAAAGCTTGCCTCTCCCTTGAGATCGCTGAGATGATTTCCGGCGAAGCAACCTGCCTCTGAATAGGGGCAAGTATGGGTAAGGAAGGTGTGGCCGTGGGGATGCTAGATTTGGCAAAGTTAAATTATGTACAGCATATATAGGTACAACAGATACGATGATGTATCGTCAAGCATCACACCAGCAGTCATGAAGAACCCACCCTGGGTATCCAAGTAACCCTTGACCTGTGTGTGTGCAAGACCGGCGCCAATGCAACAACCCCAAAAGAAACAGCCCTCAACCAGCCAGCTCAAAGGTATTCCTCTCCAAGCAGGCCCCCGGATTTCCAGCCGGAAAGGACCACACGTTTTGTTAGACCCTGCCCAATACCAAAGCGGCGTGCCCGCACCTCCAGCCGTAGTCACCGCTTGAACCATTACCACATCAAACATCCCGATCCCGATGCCTGCCGCGGGGGAAACGAGTGTTGTCCCCTCAACCCCGCGTCGCCAGCCTCCGTCGTAACCAGCACAGTCCGCGTAACCTGTATCGAGAGCCTCCGCGTGTGCGTCCGCGGCGGCGCCATGAGCCGCCAAACTCCCATGTCCTCCCCCCCGGCGAGGCCCTTCTCCTCGTCCACGCGCCGCTGGCCGAGCACGTCGTCATCGTCAGCGTCCAGCAGCGGCCCGTCATCCTCTTCGCTGTCTTCCATCCACGGCAGGCGGCCGCTCTTCTTGGCGGTTCTGCTGATGCGCTCCAGCATCGGCCCGGCGGACACGGGCGTCGGGGAGCGGGCCGAGTTTGCATTGATGGCGGCGGCGGTGGCGGTGGTGGTGGCGGGGCCGTTGGTCTGTTGGTCGCGGCCGCGGTAGCGATTCTGGTCCTGGTGCTGGTACGGCGCAGTGGAGAGGAGGCGCGGGAACATGCGGGCGACCAGCGGCTTCAGGGTCATGACGCAGGCGCACGAGATGGCGGCGTTGACCTCGACGGCGCTCCAGTACAGCAGCTCGGCGTCGTAGCTGGCGTCGATGTTGGGCGTCGTCTCAACTCTGATGAGGGTGAGGAGGCGGAGGACTGAGACGATGCAGACGCTGGATTGGAGGGGAAGGGGGCTTTTTAGTCTCTTATACCCGGTGTTGTCACATGGGAACGGACGGAAAGTGGCGGAGGGGGACCTACAAGAACCCCAGCGTGAACACGCCGACGAGGGCATACTTCTGCCTTCGCGGCAGCCTAAGCCTCAGCAGCACTGGCAGCGGCAGCAGGACGATCAGGACTTCGGCAGCGATGTGCAGGCCTGTGTTCGTCCACCACAGGTTGAGCGGGTGGCAGTACACGTTGCCCTCGAGCGCGAGCTCCCAGCGCCAGAAGGCCTGGAGGGGCACGCAGGCTGTGCAAATGGTCGCAACGGTCCACAGCCCAATGATGATGACGATGAACAGCACGATCTGGCTCGCCAGTTTCGCCCAGCTGTAGGTGAATATCCGTCGGTAGAGCAGCAGGATCGAGATCTTGGTCATGGTCAGGGCGAGTGAGTAGAACAAGATTCCGTACCATGATGCCTGTGTTCGTCAGTCCAGGCAACTTCATCAGGGGGGCAAGACCAACGACTGCCTACCCTTGTTATCATAGGAACCTGTGCAGGGTCCAGCTGCCAGAGGTGCGTTCCCGAGCCTCGAATTGCCTCTGTTTATAGGGTTAGTCGACGTCTGTTCCATGTATAGGTAGACAGACAACTGGGGATACATACGTTCAATGGAACTAGCAGTGACTCCGCCGGCGAAGAGCTTCGAAACACACAAAGGGTCAGCTGAGCTTATAACCATGATTATCGGGCGGTGGCCGACATACAAGAGACAAGATGATGCACCAGTCCGTCGCACTGAGTACATGGAGGAGCCTCCCCCTAGTGTACAGCCGAAGCACGACGAAGAGCAGGGCGATCAGCCATGTGATAGAGGCACAAGCAATGATGTCTATTTGATGTGATCTACCGTTAGATTCAGGAAAGGAACTCCCATCTGTCGTGTTAAACGACAGCGTGGGGTTCGATGTGCTCAAGGCGTAATTCATTTCGTGTCCCAGGCGACGTCCAGGTCGCTTGAGTGTTGGTGAACGAGCCTCCTTCAGGTCATGGGTGAGAGCGTGTTGACGAGGTGACTGCCGGCTCTGAGAACACGGAAGGGCGAGAAGGGTGTGATATTAAACCATTGCCCTCCCGGCATCTATCGAGCCTAGAGCCGGGCAGTAGGAGGGAAAGCATTGATCACAAGCTGCCAATTCGTCCCTCCGCGAGGTCTAGAAATCCTGCCATTCTGGGAAGTAAGGAGGTAGATCAGGTTCGGTTGCCAAATCACAGGTTGCATCCCGGATGGCGGAGCTGCGTGAGGCAACGGCAGTCAAGCCTCCGGCAGTGCGGGCAAGGATGCCCGTGGATGCCCGTGGACCAAGTGGGAAAGGCCAGAACCAGCCCATTCTCGACCAAGGTTGCTTGACGGGGGTTGGAAAGGCCTGTGAAACAAAACCAAACCCTCCTTCGGAACCTGCCATCCTGCCTCTTGCGGGGAAGCAGACGTAGATTGGCTGGGGGCCATCCAATTGAATCCTGCAGGGGTTGACATGTGTCAAGCAAGACGTCAATCCCAGCATCCGTGCGTGAGGTCGATCAGCTATTTTATCCTGATCCTGATTCCTCTTGCGACTTACCTTCTGGTGCAGTTTAGATAGGTAGAGGACTTCGATTCGATTCTCAACGTCACAAACAAAATCTCTGAAACGCCAAAGTTGGACCACCATTTATTGTGCCTGCTCGTATGCAATTCACCCGTAACTGCCCCGATGTGTATCAAGAGTAGGAAAAAGGAAATTGTCATGCCATCGTAAGATACATAGAAACCTGTCTGATCCAGAGCAAACTGTAAGGCATCCTCTGTTACCCGGGATATCAAAAAAGAAGAAGAACAAGAAGAAGAAAGACCTTTCTGCAAGAAGATTCACTTGCTCGCCACGCTTCGCGTCGCCAAGGACCCGTGACACCAACCTAGTTTTACTCTCACCACTTTCCAAACCAAATATAGCCAACCCAAACCTCAAGTGAGCGTAGCCAACATAGCCTTCATAAGCTGCGGCGGCGGACCTGTTGACAAGAAAATCGGCACTGTTAGCCCACCATGTTCCCAAGAGGGATGAACAAGGCAAGACGAGAGAGAAATACACCCCCCGGGGAGACATCCTCGAAGGGGCAGAAGAAGCGCTCCGCACCTTTACCGATTCCTCGGCACGCTAATAGACATCCTACCTTTCTTGTCCTTCTCGATCCTGACCCCGCGGCTCGGCAGCTCCACCTTCTCGACCTCCTCCTCGTACAGCACCAGCTCCCCGGTGGGCAGCCTCTCCGCCCTGACGAGCTCGCCCCCGCCGCCGTAGCGCTCGCGCCTCGCGAGCTCGCGCTCCAGATCGCGGATCTCGGACCGGATCGACCGCTCCGACGTCGAGCCCCCACGGTGGTGCGAGTGGTGGTGGTGGTGGTGCGAGGCTTCGACGAGCGCCAGGGGCCCCACGGCGATCTCGTTGGAGACCTCGCGTGGGCGGGCGTCGACGACGACGGGTATGTGCGACGTCGCCGATGTCGAGTGCGAGCGGCGGGAGCTGCGGGAGGGCGACCTCCGCCGGATGACGGTCGTGTCCACGACCTCGAGCTGTGGCGGGTCGGCTGGGACTACCACGGCGGGTGGCGAGACGAATACTTCTTGGCGGCGCTCTTCGACGAACTCTTCGGTGTGCGAGCGGGCACTGGAAAGCTCCAAGTCGCCTAAAGATGAAGGTTAGTTTCTCGTTCCTGGTGACACATTTTCGCGTGGAGATGGTGGACTTGCTCTTCTTGTACTCTTCGCTCAGTTTGAGGAGATCATCGATGTTCACTTGGCCGAGAGCCTTCTGGACGACAATGGTGTGTCCCTCCTCCAGGTAAGGATAGTTGAGGTCGAGGAGGGCGCGCTTGGAAACAAGACGTGCGGGGATACGCGTCTTTCCCTTCTTGGGGTACTCGCTCTTAACCGACGTCCCGCCGCCGCTGCTGGCAGAGCTGCTCGATACACTAGACGACCGAGAGCTGCTCCTGGCGTGGGAGCGAGTGGCTCTGGACTCCCGGCTGCGGTCCCGCCTGCGCGTGCGGATTATCTCCTTCTCGCGAACTCGCTCGGGGTACGGGGGCCGGAAATCGTCGTCGCCAAAGTGGTCCGGATCGGAGACTCGGATCTCCTCGTGATACTCCCGGCCGCCGTACCTCGGCGGGGGCAGCCCCTTAGATCTGGGCAGAGGGATGGGTACGTAGGGAGGGGCGCGATAGTCATCTCTCCTCGCCGGAGGGCCGTACTCCTCGCGCTCGGGGTAGCCTCGTGGCCTGCGGTCGAAGGTATCCAAACTCGACTGGCGACGAAGAAGCATGCCGGGCCGCCTTGGTGGCGATGGGCTGCGGGCGTAGGTCCGCTCTCTATCAACCGTTACCCTCCGGTCGAAGTCGCTGCCAGGCGGCGAGCGGCGAGCAAGTCGAGGATCATCGTCGTAATACACTCGGCGTTCACGTCCGATGTCATCGTCGAAGGCTCGGCGGGGTGGTTCTTGACGGCGGACCGGTCCGCGCGGGGGCGGGCCCGTCCGGGAGTAGACGTGGTCGTCTTCTTCGAAGTGCGAGTGCGAATCGCTAAACTGGTCTCGGTCTCGCCCGTAATAGAAGCGATCCCTATCCCAGCGCTCGGCGCGGGGGAGGTCGGGGGCCGAGGTACGGTACGGATCGTGGGACATGATAGTACCGCAGAACTAGAAAGGCTGGAAGGTGGCTGCTACGGCAGAGCGAAATGACAAGCCAAACAAGGTGTTTGGCGAAGTATAATTTGAGCAACAATAGCGAAGAGAGGGAAAGTTTGGTTTTGAAGTTGGTGGTTCCGGTCTGGGATGACAAAACACTAGAAGAGGGGAGATGGAAAGAAAGTCCAAGGAACTGTGGCAGATGACGACAGAGGAACACCATTGCGGGGCAACAAGTTCAGGGGCTTTCCGCGCCTGGCGGGACTAAGTGGCCAATCACGAAGCAGTTCTGGACCCTTCTGATTCTGACCCTGGACTTGGCGTCTTTCTTTCCTGTGTCTGCTGCTTAACATGCTAACACTGCAGGTGATATTCCGGCTCGTCAACTGACTTTCTTACCTGCGCGAAACGAATGCCTGGTGGATGCAACAAGCATCGCGGGTTTGTGCGACGAGACAGACGAGAACATCAACTGATATGGACGCCTGCCCACACTCTCCCTACCCTGCGCCATGTTTCGGAGGGGTTGTCGGAAATCCCGGTCAGGGTACCCTTAGCCGACGGTGTGAGTTTGGACACTAACTAGATAAATGATCCCTTGGTGCCGATGAAGTTTAACCTCTGCCGACGAAGTTCAACGTCTACCGATGCCGTCTGCGAATAATGCATCTAGGCGCCCAACCTGACATTGGTTAATGCCCCAAGCTCTAGCAGGCTAGGCTCCCTCCCGTCCTGCACGATGATGTTGCACCGCGGCGGCGCAACACAGAGACACTTGGGAGAAGCCAGATCTAGCGTCTTCCGAAACCGCAGCAGCCGAGGCGAGGAGACGGCGGTGTGCACCTCGGCCTGCAATTTTGAGTGAAAGCCTCCCCGAGTCACATGGCCTTTATTAATGCGTGTCCAGACATCGAGGCCAATGATGTGGCTGTGCAATGAGACGACAACATGGGATGACAAGCGCCTCCCGATACTTCCCGGCCCAGTCCCTAACCCATCGCATTCCCTAAACGGACATTCCCTCTGTATGTATCGGCCACCCTCCTGGTATCTATCTCCCTATTCGATCACGACGGTCTTTGAACCCATCGCAATGACCTTGTCAAGGTTATTGGCTCCCGAGCTGGTGGATACGGCGTCGAAAGATTGGCCGGGCCTGGCCAAATGCCATGATTTTTGCCTTGACCAAGAATATGCTAGCCAGTAGACGTGGAGACGGGGCTCGCGCTCGTCGGGATATTAGTCAGGCTGGAACAGAAACAATCCAGAATCTAGCCCCGTAAGGCCAACTGTATGGAAGAAAGCAAAACCCTCACCTGGATCAATTTCCTCCCGAACTAGCTGAGATGACCTGAGGGCTACATCTACCAGGGTCCAGCTCATGACGGAGTCCAACGCCTTCCGCACGACATGCCGTGTTTTACCCGTTTAACTTGGTCTCCGAGGTCTTCCCCCCTTTCGTCACTGTGCTCTTGCTCGCTTTCCTTGCGGCACCCTCCTCCTTGACTTTCATCGCCTCTTCCCTGCCAAACATGTTTCGCCATTCTTGTGCTTTCGCCGGCTTGATACGGCTGAATAAGTGTTCCGCCTTGCCAATTTCATGGCCAGGGTTGATGGAATCTGCATTCCAATGATCGAGGATAGGAAGTGGATCTATGCGGAGCTGCGTGTTTATGGACCTCGCTGTCTCCGGCATGTATGGAGCGACGACAGAGGCAAGAAGGTGAATCAGGTTGATGGCTAGACCAACAACGGCTGCACATTTGGAAGGTTCATTCTCAGCAAGACTGTTGTCGAGTTTATTCGACTGGAGAAAGGAGTTGCCTTGCTGAGATATGTGAAGGACTGTGGATACGGCAGAGCGAAGTTTGACGGCGTCGAGTTCTTGGATGTACTGCGTGAGAAGATTGTTGACTTCCTCTTTCCAAGTATCGAAGGAGGGTTCGTGGTACTCGGACCAGTCTGGCACGATATTGTTGTAGTGCCGCGAGTTGACAAATTTTAGAACACGACTGACGAAATTGCCAAAGTTCTTGAGGAGCAAGTTGTTGTTGGAACTAATGAACGAGTCCCAAGTAAACTCGCTGTCGCCAGTCTCCGGTCGATGAGAGAGCAAGTAGTAGCGCCATATATCGGAAGGAATGCCAGTCTTCTGAGCCGAATCTCCGAAGACGCCAATGCCACGAGATTTGGAAAATTTCCCGCCTTCGTAGGTAAGGTAGTCTGTCGTAGAGAGGTGGTGGAGCGTCGTCCAGGTGTCTTTAGTGCCGATTTGAGAGCCAGGGAATATCACGGAATAGAAGACAACGTTGTCTTTCCCGATGAACTGGTGCAGTTGAACCTCCTGGGGATTTCACCACCATTTTCCCCACTGGTCAGTGTACTGAGCGGTGATGGACACATAACCGATACAGGCATCAAACCACGAATAGATGACCTTTTCTTCGTAGCCTGGTAGAGGAACTTCTGTTCCCCATCTCATGTCCCTGGTTATGCTGCGTGGTTGCAATCCTTCCTTCAACCGGGCCGAAGTGATGTTCTTGCCGTTGTTTGACCACGCGCCGTTTGCAGTGGAACCTCGAAAGAAGGCTTCGATCTCAGGTTGCAGCTTGTCCAATTCCAGGAAAATATGTTTCGTGCCCTTGGTGATCGGTGTGGAACCGTCGACTTTGCATCGGGGGTGTTTCAGTTCAAGAGGGTCCAGAAGTTGGCCGCAAAGGTCGCATTGGTCGCCACGAGCATCCGCATAGCCACAGGCTGGGCACTCGCCTTCGACGAACCGATCTGCGAGGAACGAGTGATGCTCTTGACAGTAGAGCTGAGTTGTCATCCGCTCCTTCAAAAAGCCGTTCTTGTTTAGCTTCAGGAAGATATCTTGAGTGATGTCTGTCTGCAGCTTGGTTGTGGTGCGACCAAAGATGTCGAAACTGATGTTGAACCACTCATATATTTCGGCATGAATCTCGTGGTACTTGTCGCAGAGCTCTTGCGGTGTACATTTCTCGTCGAGAGCTCTTGCCTCTGTTGTCGTTCCGTACTCGTCCGTCCCTAAAGAAATTAAGACTTGGCCTCTCACAATATGAGCTGCACAGATTACTTACCGCCGATGTACAGAGTGCTGACACCGCGCCCTCTGCAGTACCTTGCAAAAACATCCCCCGAAAGTACTGATCCTATGATGTTCCCAAGGTGTGGCACGTTGTTCACGTACGGTAGGGCGCTGGTGACAAGTATGTTCCGTTTTCCAGACTCTGGAAGCACAGTGCCACGGTTGCGCAATTCTTCGGCCATCCTTGTGGAGATAGGCGCATCGAGTTGAGAGAAACGTGTGGACCAGAGCAGCATGAAAGACGGGAATTGAGATCCCCCTCGGTCCTGAGCGGAACATAGTTGTTTCCATTCTTTGTCTGGTCCCCGTCCCGTCCCTGGATTGCCCAGGGACCTACCTGCACATCTACCTACTGGCCAAGGAGCCTTGCCTGATCTTAGGGTGACACAGGTGATCTAGATCGTGAGCAGATGCCAATTCTGGACAGAAACCCCACATTCAGGCCCCAGTTGTTACCCGCTCCCCGTACCCACCCGAGCTAGCTGCTCCCAGCCCAACGTCATGCACCTGCAGCTGCTGTTGCCACGCCCCCGAACAACTTATCCAAGGCAGATCAGCTCATCGCTAGGCCCAACCCAAAGAGCCAAGAAAAAGCCAGTAGCTGCAGAGCGTTTGTCGCATGATTCGACCCTAGGGTGAACAGCTGATGGTCCAGAATCTGCCCTGCATATGGATATCGACACCTGTGATTGATCCGAGACAAGTGAAGTCCCCTTACCCAGCGGTCCCTCCCTGGGTATTTAAAAGGAGACCGACTCCCGGTCTGTCGCGCACCAGTCCCTTGCCGACTGTTCATCCATAACTCATAAATCCAGCTAGCTCCAAAGCAGCACGACACATACATATTTCGTAGTATCTATCGGAATTAGGTACGAAACGGAAGCCCAAGGAAGAAAAAGAGAAAAAAAGAAAAGACGGAAACCAAGCCCCAGGATGTGTATCGTTCTCCTCACCACAGCACATCCCAGCTACGCACTCATCATCCTCGATAACCGGGACGAGTTCATCCTTCGGCCCACCAGCCGGCCGCACTGGTGGACACCCGAGACCAGCGCGTGCCCGAGCGCGGCCGCGGTCAACGGGACAGCGAACGGGGCGGCGAACGGGACGGCGAACGGCGAAACCAAGCCGAAGCCTAAGCCCAAAGCGCAGGAGATCCTTTCGAGCCGCGATCTGCAGCGGGCCGAGCGCGGCACCTGGCTCGGCGTGACCAAGGCCGGCAACTTCGCGGTGCTGACAAACTACCGGGAGACGGACACGCACGATGCCGCGCACCCGGTCCACGGCGCGCGCAGCCGCGGCGGCATGGTGACGGCATGGCTGGCCGCGAGCCCCGACGAGCCCACCGCGCACTTTGTCCAGCGCATGCTCGAGGACGGCGGCGTCAGGGGCGTCGGGGGGTTCTCGCTGATATGCGGAAAGCTGCGGCCGCGGCGCGGGGGCGACGACGACGACGGGACGGGGAGGGCGCTGGAGCCGCTAGCCATCATCTCCAATAGGAATGAGTCTGTTGATCAGGTCCCCTGGATATGTAGCGAGGAGGGCCGGTCCTACGGCCTCAGCAATTCCTGCTTCTCTGACGAGCCCGCGTGGCCCAAGGTTGAGGATGGCCTGAGGCTGGTCAAGGAGGCTGTCAAGTTGGCGGTCGCGGAGGATATGGACGAGGATCGCCTGATGGAGACCCTTTTCGCCGTTTTGGATAGTGACACTCTCCCTATTGACCCCGAGATGGGCTTTGAGGACTACATTCCCGTGTTGAAGCAGTCGATATTCATTCCCGCCATTGGCGACGAGGGTCAGAGGCTGGCCATGGAACAGGCGACCAAGAACGGCAAGCAGCCGATGTCTGCCTCTGCCGAGGTGCCCGAGGAGTTGACAAGCACCGAGCGACCTGACGATGCCGGCCAGGGTTTCGAGACGGGCATGTATGGGACTCAGCGTCAGACGATCCTGCTGGTCGACTGGGACGGGAATGTGACTTACCGGGAGAGGGCATTGTGGGATGCCAATGGGAATCAGATCCCTCGAGGGGCTGCCGATATGACGTTCAAGTTCAAAGTGGATGGGTGGGACTAAGGGGGAAAGGGAGGCGGATATGGCTTTATGTTGCATCGGGACAACTGTGATGGCGGCATGGCACAAAGACCATTGGCACGAGTCGGGCGCATAGAAATAGGTTCTTGCGCTGGTCCATCTTGGGTATTTTCTGCATACATACAAGGCATATAGGGCGGAGGGTGACAAAAATACCACTCAAACTTAGTTCTATACTGAACTGCCCGTAACACCGCCGTCACCCCACGCTCGCGACTCTTTCCCTGGCTACAGGGTGAGGCGCAAGTCAACTAGAACTCCAAGGGTCGGAGTTTAAATGGAGCCTGGTGAATGTTTGCATGCCCCAGCTTACTTCACAGCTCGAGACTAAAACTCAGCCACGGACAGGAGTAGCGGGTGTCTTGTCTGGTTTCCATCCCATCATCCGTGAGAATCACGTTGGCCTGACTATCAACCTACCAGCCTACCTACCGCGTCGTTTCGAAATCAATTTCCGCCGTGCCTCTTCCCACGTACCTAGTACGTGGCGTGCATCATAGAGCTCTGCACCTACTTCCTATGAAGTCCAAGTCTCCAGGTCCCTCAAGTCAACCTCAGGTTGTTCTGCCAAGGCGTGGCTTCCTCCTGCGCACCCGACTCCTTCCCTGATTCTGGGTTTCCCACCTATCTAACTTCCGTGTCTGAGGAACTTGCCACATTGAGGCAGTCTTCTCGTCGGACCGTTCCCGGCTGCTTTCCCAACGCGGAGAGAACAACCTACACACGTCCGGGAAACCCATCCCATCGTCCATTGGCAGAGAACGAGGTCATAAGTACTGAGGTAGATATAAACCCATTTCATTTCTTCCCTCTACACTGTCAACAACAGGATCCTCCTTTGCTGCCTCACGCAACGAGTCTACCGAATAACCTACCTCCTTTTGGACACATCTATCACCCCCAAGCGCAGTCTCCCTGGTCTGTAGCTAATCCGTCATGTCCACCCCTAAGAGCGACAGCTTTGTGCAGCAGGATATCTCAACCTCTGACCTCGACGACGACCTGACGGAAGTGGACTCTTTGGTGCTAGAAAGTCCGGAACAACACAAGCTCCCGACCTGCCCGCATCGTGACATTTTGCAAGGAGAAAAGCCAGATATTTTACTCGTCCGCGAGTCCATCCAAGCCATCCTCCAGAACGTCGCCCTTTTCATCACAGTCACCGTCGTGACGTTCCGGCTCATCTTGGTCATCCTCCGCCATTTGGCAAGCCCGCAAAGAGCTGAGAGGATCCCGTTACTTCGTCGACTCGCAAGTGCTTGGGGAGCGCTCTTATCCGGGCTCACCCGACTTGGGTGTCTCGCCATCATCGGTCTAGGTGCTTGCGCAGTCCTAGCCTCTCTCCGTCTCGCATGGCAAGCTCTGGGAATCCAGCCACGGGCGGATCGTGCGCTGGCAACCAAGCCATTCCATCACGACCAAGAGAATCGAGACTCCGAGACGTCAACCTCCAAGGCCGGCCTCGGATTAGCCGCCCTATAGGGCCAGTCCTCCACAACGGCGTGCCCATGATCCAGACCGTGCCACAGCCGTCGATCGCGGTCTCCCACATGACCGCATACCCCAGCTATTCAGTCAACGGCGCCGAGCACGACGAAAACGTACCACCGGGATCGGGGAAATCCACGCCAAAGCCGCGACTACCGAAGTCACGCACTCTTAATATGTTGTCTAGCCTTACCCAATCTTTCTCCCGTTCGTCAGTTGGAAGCATCGCCAGTAACCGTAATCTTAGTACTGGATCTTCGAGCACCATTACCACCGACCCCCTTTCCACCCACCCTCGTATCGCCCAACCATTCACGTCCCTGCAAAACCGAGAGCCAACCGAACCAGCCAAAAAGCTTGAGGCAAAATCAGAGCATCCCCCGCCCCATCCCGACCCCCGCCTCATCTACACGGCCCAGCCGTCGTCCTACTGGGCGGGCCGCTTCACCGCCATCCACGACCGCCTACGCGGCGAGCTGCTGAAGCCGCACAACCTAGCCGTGGTCCTCGAAGCCCACATCGAGGAACACACCATGATGCTCGCCCACGCCTCCGCAGCCACCAACCCATCGGCCTCGGCCTACGCGCCCTCCATGGTCCGGCGCCCCCGCCGCAACAGCAGCAGCGCACCCGACTCCCCAAACCCGCGCATCCCCGTCTCCTCCACCAGCGGCGCCGTGTTGCAGACCGTCACCGCCGTGGCGGACATGTCCCGACGACCGGGGCCCCAGCAGCAGCAGCAGCGCACGGCCGACGCGGCGATGCTCGCCGACGATGACATGCGGCGGCGCCGGGCGCTGCTGAAGCTCGAGGGCCTGTGCGCGACGGCTGAGGCGCGTGCGAGCCTGCGCGCGTGGCAGCTGAGGCTCGCGAGGCTGGAGGGCCGGACCTCGCTGCTGCCGAGGGGCGCGATGATGGGCGGGGGAGGAGGAGGAGGGCCTGGGAGGGAGGTGTCTGCGGCGGGGAGCAGGGCGTCGGGGCTGGTGGGCAGGCTGTTGTTGTTTGGTGGGAGGAGGAGCCCTGGGCCGACGGTTGGGGCTGGGGGTTGACGAGTGAGAGGGGGTTGTTGGCATGGAGGTGGCCGGCGGGCAGGGCTATTAAAAGTTATGGCTTTCTCTTCTCGATTTTCGGGCTTCGGAAATCGCTAGACTTCAGGGATGTTCCGGATTGTATGAGTCAAAAGGCAGGGGTTTCTGCTTTGTTTAGATATGAGAGGAGAGGAGGCCCGGGGAAATACCCATATGCCTCATCTGGGATGGCACGCTGAGATTAATTAATGGCCATCGATTCAGCTGGATTCTACCTCGTTCTCTAGATATTCGGATGGTCTTTTCAAGTAGCAAGTAAGCTATTGTTCCCATTTAGCTCTCCCCATTTGACCATTTCCTGGATACGCCTCCAGTCCAGCCTCAGAAGGCGACTCTTTTTTTACCACCTGGATATAACCCCGTCTATCTTATATAGGGAGGGAAGCAAAAAGCAAAAAATGCAAGGAAAAGAGGAAGGGAGCCCCATGCTAAAAACGCCTAGCGATGCAACAAGCAATACCACCATTACGTACAGTACATATCGTAAAAACCCCTCTTCGACAAAGCCTACTCGGCCTTCTTCCGGCTCTTGAGGTAGTCCCTCAGCTGCTCGTGCTTGCTGGCGAAGAACATCTGCCGGCGGTCGCCCCTCCAGACGAGGACGCCGATCTCGTCGGCGTAGCCCACGAGGGCCTGGTACTCCTGCGGGGAGTCAAAGTCCTTGAACAGGAAGCCGCCCGTGGCGCGCATGCGCTCGTTCTCCAGCTGCCACAGGCGGATCTGGTCGACGACCGTGGGGGGCAGGACGGGCCGCGAAGAGGCGCCGCCGCCACCAGTGGAGGAGGAGGCGGTGGTGGTGGCGGCGGCGCGGCCCATCTGCTCGTGCGCGTGCGCCGCTAGGTAGCTGATGATCTGGTCGGCCGTGATGCCGTAGCCGATGGCGCGGCGGATGCTGTCGCGCGTCAGGCGGCCCGTCACCATGCCGGCGAAGCGCATGTTGAGCTGCGCGAAGAGGGCCAGCACGGCGATCTGCAGGGGGGAGGACGTGTACGCGTAGAGCCGGTAGTTGGTCTCGATTATGATGGAGCCCTTGTCGTCCTGCTGCGGCCCGGCGCCCCCGCCGCTGCCGAGGCTGGTCGCGTCGCTGGGGGCGCCCGCCGTGGCGGCGGCGAAGCCGGAGCTGACGCTGCGGAGGGCGGAGGCGGAGCTGGTGAGGGTTGTGGCGAGGCGGGTGGGGAAGTACTGGCGCGGGGTGTCGCGGGGCACGTAGATGAGGCCGAAGTCGACGAGGGAGGGCAGCATGTTGCGGCGGGGCTCGGCGAGGGCGTCGGTGTCGTAGGCGCGGCCGAGCTCGAGGCTGGCGAGGGTGAAGAGGAAGGAGAGCATGTCGACGCTATCCATGGGCGAGCCCGCCGCGCTGGCGGCCTCGAGCCAGAGGAGCAGGAGCGTCCACACCTGCGCGTTGGCCTCCTGCAGGAGGAACGTGAACCCGGCCTGCGTGATCGCCACGCCGCTGCCCGCGCCGGCCCGCCGCTCCACCAGCCGGCCCGCAAGGAGGAGGTCTTTGACCGACGCCTTGGGCCCCGACGATGCTGCTGCTGCCGTGTCCGCCGCCGAGGAGAGCCCCACGCTGTTCACGACGAAGTGTAATATGTCCTCCCACTTCTTGCGCGCGTAGCCGTCGAGGAAGGCGACGTCAAAGGTCGGGTCGACGGGCAGCGAGCTCGGCACGCCGAAGCTGTTGTGGGAGCCGCCGCCCTCCAGGGCGAGGCGGAGGCTGTTCTTGAAGTTGGTCGTCAGGGACATCTCCTGCGGCTTGTCCTTACCCGGTGGGGTGATCTGCACGATGTGCAGGGATCGTAGGATGGAGAGGGCGCGGTCTCGTTGCTGCTTGGCCTCGCTCTTCACCCAGATGTCGAGTTCCGAGAGGAGCATCGGGTGCGGCATGTAGAGGAGGGCCATGACGAAGGTTTTGGCTGCAAGTTGGGGGCGCCAGGAAGTCAGTCAAGAAGCAGCGTGACATCAGGTACAACGAGAGGGGGGTTTCCTGCAAACCTACCTAACTGAGGTAGCATGCGCCGGAAGATGGCAAATGCCGTCGAGGGCTGCTGGTACAGCCTCCTAAACGTCGTACCGGGCAGCTTCTCCAGGTAGTCGGAGAGCTGGTAGGATTGTGTGCCGACCGACATCTCGAATAGCTGTCAGCAGCCGCCGGGCGTGCTATCTCATATTATACGGGAGTGTAGCTTTTCAGGGAGGAGGTTGTCCTCGTTGAAAGACGGCGCAGTGGATTGGACGTTGAAGCTTTTACGATGGAGTCTGAAGTCGGAACTCTTCAGTCGGAGTGCCGTGCCTGGCCGGGAAGGGCCCGCGCTTTTGTGTGTCGGATAATTCCGGGCCCCACTTATCTTGGCATCCAGCACGAACCGCGGCGTGTTATGGCGGGGCCGGAGGCTACCTACACTTCAGTTGAACTTCTCCTTGGTAACGAAGTGATTCTGCCTCATTCAAATCAGCTAAGATGTCTTCGAAATTACCGCCGGCGAGATTTGTGAGATCGGTAAGTTGACGTTCTTCCCGCCTTGCCCTCCCCATGTCTGATAGCCTTGGACCAAGGTGCTCAAGTCCTTCATGGCCGAGTCCGGGCTCGAACCGAGGTGCGCCGTCTTGTAGTCATCAGCTGGCCCCCCTGCTAACTCCCAGTCCTAAGGCTATTTGGGCCGCATGTGAGTCTGAATGCTCAATATTTATTTGTCCATTTATTGATCGTGTCTTCCAGCTGAGGATCACCGCTGCTTCACCAGGGAAGGTGGACTTTGAACTAGACATTCAGAAAGACCACACCGTGGGTACCAAAGCTGTATTTCTCACGAATGAGAGGATGTATCTCTGATCTTCTCCATCAGAACCGGTTAAAGATCCTGCATGGGGGCACCATTGCCAGCATGGTTGACCTGGGTGGCTCTCTAGCAGTGGCATCCATGGGACTGTACGCCACAGGGGTATCCACGGACATGAATAGCAAGCCATCCCGCGTAGCATCAGTAACTGTACACGACTAACCAGTTTCGCAGTCACGTATCTCAGCAGCGGAGGCAAAGTCGGCGAGAAGATACAAGCAACCGCGATCTGCGAGAAGAGTACAATTCGCCCCGCTCGCACCGTCCTGTTCGTGCCCACCCACTGACACTTTTCTCGCAGTTGGAAAGACGCTGGCCTTCACGACAATCACCTTCCGCAATGGCAAGGGCGAGCTTGCGGCTAGGGGAAGCCATACGAAGTAAGATGGGCCTCTCTCTCGCATTCGGGGAAATTCCAATGACGCTGATGTTGCCGTGCTAGATATGTTACTCAAGCCTGGGGCGCAAGTCCGTCCTACACGCCACCGCCGGGGGCCGAAGTAGATGATGTCGACTAGTAAACAACCTTCCTGCCTGTATATAAGCCGACTAGCCCGGCTGGGAACATGTCCAGTATGTGTGACAGTAGGGGCTGAGAGATGTAACGATATATAGAACTAGATTTCAAGCAGACGGTGGTATCATATATCTCATATACACTTTTTGTACCTTTGCACAATATTATATCCAAGCGCTTACCCCCTGCTGCATGCAGAACATTTATCCCTATGGTATATCTCACGGCGTAGAAAGAGGCAGAGAAAAGAAGGAGAGAAAGGCGACATTTTCCGTCCGACTCCCCTCCACTTCACTTCATTTCAGTAGGCAAACCAGGCGGAAGCTCCTGCGCAGCCAGCCTAGGGTCCTGCACATGCGGCGCCGAGACCTCCTGAGGGCCGTACTGCTGCGGGTACGCGCCGCCCATTGGCGGTTGCTGCTGGTATTGGGGCGGGTACTGGGCCGGGTACTGCATCGGCTGGCCGGGATATTGGGCCTGGTATCCCATCTGCGGCGGTGGCGGCGCATACAAGCCTCCGGGGGGGTAGGGTTGCTGGCCGGGCGCGGCGCCGTTCATCCAATTCTGCTGGGTCGTCCAGAGACCCTTGCGCCTGCGGACGCCGAGCACGAAGAGCAGGACCAGCAGCACGAAGAAGGGCCAGATGCTGAGCAGCGGGTCGATGATGTCGATGGCTTTGGATTGGCGTTCCGTCCCCAGGACCCATAGAGCGGTGGCGACGAGGATATACAGGGATCGGATGAAGTACAAGATGGCGGTGACGAGCAAGATGACAGAGGACTGTACTTGTTAGTGAGTACGGGGCCGGCGGAGCGCATTGGTGTGGGCGGGGGTCGGGGCGACAACTTACCTCGCGGAGAGAGGGATGCCCCCTGACTTTGTGGACGACGACAGATGCGAATGCGAGGATCAACAAGGACGCGATCCAAACCAGGATGCCCATGGAGGCGCCAAGATGGCGCATCACGAGGAACTTGCGTTCGTAATAGTCCAAGCCGGCAGATGATTGACGGGCCGGACTCTCAACGTAGGCGAAGTAAGTGTTATAAATGACGTTCAACCTAGCGAAATAGGCGATGCTAAGGATGAAGATGACGAAGCCGAAGCCGAAGGTGGCATACCGGACAGCCCTCTGGAGGCCATCCCGGGTCCCCGCGAGGATGTAGAGGAAGCCGATGCCGATTTCGACCTGGGTGATGCAGAACGCGATGTCGGACCAGCGCTCGAACAAGTATGCCGCCACGCTGGTGCGAAGTTGGACGCGGAAAGCTTGGTAGAAGTCTTTGGAATTGTAGGTCTGACTTTCCAGGATAGAGAAGGCGTTTGAGACAACATAGAGTGTTAAAGTTCTACGGATGATCTCGTTAACGCCCGGAGGTTCTACCTCATGTCCCAATTCCGGAGATGCCACACTTACATGATGACGAGGGGAAAGAGGAGCTTCAACCAAGCGAAACCGATCCGAGCGGGGTCGCCCCTACGCCTGACGAGGAACAGGCTTAAGCCCCATATGACGAGGAGCGGCACGATGAAGATGCCGCTCAACACCGTGTTCGCAATAAGAAGTGCTAGGCCCGACATCCTTGCGGCGTCCAAGATGGCCAGAGTTTTGGGGAAGGTGAGGGAAAACACTAAGAACTGAAAGGGAAAGGGAGAGATCTTCAAGATGGATTCGTCGAGACGAAGTACGCGCGAAGAAACACGAAAAGGAAGGGATGAGGTTGATCGGCGGCGTAAGAACGGCCGAATAACGTGCCGTAGCGTTACAGCAAGATTGAGTAGGATCCAGAAGCCAGTCCCCTCAAATCTGAAGGACCTAGCAGATTTCGATGCCAAGGCACGCAAGGGTTCCAAAGCCACATACAAGGGGAATGGAAATAGGGCCTGGAAATAGTAATATGCACAAAATTCCTAGCCTGTATGCATGTATGCGTAGGGCTGGAGTGGCTGGGTAACCGCAGCATTGATTAGGTGCCTCTCTAGCTAGTTCCTTGGCGTTGCGGGTTTCATTTCATGTAACGTGATGGAAATCGAGACAGTCATGTCTTCGCAACCATGGCTCAAGCAGCCCAAACACTGTTGTGGTTGTGGTAGAGTCGAGTAGGGCGATCCTCCTGGCCCCGGCCATCGGCGCCTTGAAGAACTGACGGGTGACCATCCCGCGATTTACCGCCCGCTACAGGTCGGGTGCCACCCGAATCGGGCTTCCATGTCGGGCCGGTCGATTGTCGAGCACGGCCGCCACCGGCGCCTTCACCCGGTTCGAGCGCCTCGACGGTTCCAGCCAATGCAATCGCCGTATCCGGCGCAACCGTCGTCGATATCAAGCGCTGGCTGCAAACCATGCTAGATGCAAGAGATCAGGCCGTGGTCCCGCCTGCATAGAAGAGTGGTGACATTAAAAAGCTGCCTGGATGTGACGCGTCAACTTGGACAATCCAGAAAGAAGTTGGGCTCTTGAATTGAGGACAGATATAGCGGTCACGTCACGTCCACGCCAGTTGACTTCAATACTCGGGATAGAAAAAGACGCCTGCCTCCGGTCTACCTAGGTGGTCAAGAGGCAAAAGTTTAATCTGCAAACGTCCGTCTTTCCATATTAGCGCGCACAGGCCCATTATTTTGGCAGCTGCAGCAACCTCGTGATCGGTCCACTGATTACCAGTACGGAGTACCTACCTACCTACCTAACCTACCCCCGCCCAGATACACTTCGACTGCCTACCCAGGACTATTCAATTTGCGACTCTTCACAAATCTTGCTTCTTAAACATAGCTTTTGTCGCATACCCATTACCTTGCTCAGCCGACTGTCGCCCCGACGAGGCGACAAACATACCGAGTTTTACACTTTCAAACTTCCAATCCTGAGTAGCAGAGAGAGAAGCCATGTTTGACGTCTTCGCCAAGCTGTTATCGTGCGTCATACCCGCGACTCCCAAACTATTTGCCCCGCGTTTGCACTAGAAGCTGACCCGCGATCTCACAACAGCTCCATCGCATCCTTCCTGTTCCCTCTCTTCGCCTCTTATAAGGCTCTCAAGACATCTGATCCGGCGCAGCTGACGCCATGGCTGATGTACTGGGTCGTTCTGGCCTGCGCGCTCCTCGTTGAGTCCTGGACCGAGTGGATCCTAGTCTGGTACGTCGCATGGCCTTCCATCCCCCCCTCCAAGAGACCCTCTCCCGACTAACCACTCCATGCCTAAAGGATCCCCTTCTACGCCTACATCCGCCTCCTCTTCCTCCTCTACCTCGTCCTCCCCCAGACCCAGGGCGCCCGCGTCATCTACCAGACCCGCATCCACCCCTGGCTGGCCGACAACGAGGGCGCCATCGAGGACTTCATCGCCTCGGCCCACGACCGCCTCCGCTCCGCCGGCGTCTCCTACCTCAAGCGCGCCATCGACATCGTCAAGACCTCCGTCCTCGGCCTGCCCCCCGCGGAGCCCCGAGCCGCCGCAGCAGCAGCTCCGGCCCAAGGCGGAACCCCGCAGTCCTACACCCAGGCCCTGCTCGCACGCTTCAGCCTGCCCAGCGCCAGGTGGACCGGCGGCGACGGCACCGGCGCCGGGGCCGCGGGCGCGGGCGACTTCTACGGCCTTCTGGCATCGGCGGTGAGCGCCGCGGCGGGGGTTGCGACGTCGGGGGGGTCGGGGTCGGGCTCGGGCTCGGCCCGGGCTGCCGGCAGCGACGCGCCGGCGGAGCGCATCAGCTTCATCGCGGCGCAGCGGGAGAAGCTCGGCGTCCTGCTGTCGGCGCTGGACCGCGAGGAGACGCAGCTGCGGGCCGAGGAGTCGACGACAAGAGGTGGCGGCGGCGACTCGACGCCGCTGGGGGGCGCGCCGCTGACTAAGAGCCGGAGCGAGGCGGACTTTGAGAAGCTCGAGGCGGAGAGTGGCGAGGAGGGCGATATGGATGAGGCGGGGGTGCGGAGGCGGGCGCCGGTCACGCCAGGGGGTGGGAGCTGGGTGCCGTGGGGTTGGGTCGGGTCCGGTGGTTCCGGTGGTTCGGGGGGTGCTGGTGCGGGTCCGGAGGGCGGGAAGAGCTCTGGTTTTGAGACCTAGGCTCTAAGCCTGGGCTGGTTGAGAGGGTTTACTGGTTTGTTTCGGCGTTGTATTAAATCGGATTGGTTTCGGAACCTGATAGATTAGCGGCGTAAGGGCTGATTCGGGAGCTAGGTGCCCATGGGGCTGTAACAACCCCTTAGCGCACTGCCTGTATTGTTACCCATCTGAGAGGATGTCAACCTCCCCTCGTTTAACTGCTAGCTATAATGGCTTGACTGCCCTTCAGCGACCTGTCTGTTCTCTTGAGAAGCTGCTGTGAGAGAGTTGAATATGATTTAAGTTGCTATGTGTTGATACAATACAATGGCACATAGTCTGCTAACAGAGTATGTCTATGTATTCCCTCCCATGGCAAACAGATATACACGATAACTGTTGTCGACATCTATACCACGCTCGCTCTAATCAGTCCATCCCACGTATCGTACACCAGGGGCTTTTCACAAACCGGAGCGGTCCTCTCAACCCCCGTATGACCTCCACCTCCACCTCCCCTCAGGAACCTCAGATTTTCACCTTCCTCACCAGAGTGTACGGATACGCCGGGTCGCTGTCCTTCCTGATCCATATCTGCCTCCTCTTCTTGGTGGCGACGTGCTCGACCCATATCTCCTGGCAGAACTCCTTCTTGAAGCGGCGGATGAACCGCGGGTCCCACAGCTCCGAGGCAATGCCGAGGTCCTTGCAGCAGCGCATCAGCGCGTTGGACTTGCACCCCTCGCCGGCGGTCGGGATCGTCTCCTCGCTGAAATATTGGCACTCGCCACGGGCCTGGGCGACGAATCTGGAAACGCGCGGATGTCAGCAATGTGCCCTTCTATCTCCCCTTCTTCATGCCTCAGTGTATAGGTATGCATGTAGTATGTACTCACCGCCCATGCACAATAAGCGCATACTCCCTCGTGACGACCTTGTCCCCGACGGCCAGCTCCCCCCTGGGTGCGAGCCCCCAGCCGCCGGGGCCGAACGCGGCGTTGAGGATGCGCCGGTACTTGATCTCGGGCAGGTAGATGATGCCGTCGGGCTTGACCTCGACGTCCTCGGGGTCGAGGGAGCGCATCAGCGTCTCGGCCACCCGCGCCTCGAACGGCGCCGTCGAGAGCCCGTGGAACGACGACGACCAGTCGATCGCGGGGCCGCCGGAGGCGTCGGGGCCTGGTGGAATGGCGGAGGAGGAGGCGGAGATGGTCTCGCCGAAGGCCGAGGATGCGGGGGGGGGGTTCTCGCCCGCGAGAGAGGAGCCCGATGATAGCGCGACGTCGATGTCTGCTGCTGGCACGCCCTCCGGCGTGGAGGCCTCGGGGTCGACGAACTGCTGCGAAGGCGGCGGTGGAGACGGCTTCGCGGCTCGGGCCCGGGTGGTCGAGGTGATGGGTGCTGCTTGCCGGATGGCGGGCCGCGGTGTCGGCGTCGTCGGGGCGCGGGAGGCTGGCCGGTGGATGTGTCGGAGGTGGCGCAGGCTCGGGGACGAGGGGCGCAGTGGGCCCAGGGCCTGGAGTGCCCGCGATCGCATTGCGGGTGGTGGTTTACGGTAGATTGAGATTGGTGAGGTTGGGAGGCGGAATGTTGATTCTCGCGGTTTGTCTCGTGCGATTGGAAGTTTGGCAAATTTGGAGGAGTACGGATGGAGGTACCGCGTGTTAGAACTGGGCCCTGGAATGAGTCCCTGAATCTGGCAAATAACGGCTAAGGCACTAACAGATGGACCGTTGGACCTTGATATCATATGTAGGACAATTCCAACAGATCACAATCATGTTCAAGTGCAAATGTGGATTGAGAATAGAGAAGTTGTATTGCTAGCTAATAAATAATACACGAGACGACCGATGACCAATTAGGCCCGTCATCTGTTGCGTCTTGCTGGATGCATCTCATCTCATGCATCTGCATCCTTCGTCTCAGTCCTCTGATCGTTTCCCTGCTGCTTCCAACACTCACGGAATCGATCCATCTTGAGAGGAGACCAGCTGTCAGTGTTGAATCATTGGTTGGAGGGGGGCCGGGATATTATGTTCTCACCTCGTCCTTGCAGGCCCGCCAGTCCTTCTTCTCGTAGTAGCAATCGGTCATCTTTGCGTTCTCGTCTGTCCATGTCGGTCAGCTTCAGACGTTGCACTATGGGGTGGCGGCGAAACGTCCGATTGGGGTGACCCGATCGCAGGGCTGGAATTCGTGGGGAACGTACCTGCGCAGCCGGTGCTAAAGATGCGCTTGTCCCTGCAGGTGCTTTCAGTGAGAAAATTTGCCGCATTTTGGTTGGGGGCAGCCCGTTGAGAAAATGGACCCCAGGGCGTGTGTGTCCTGGTAATAATGAGATATATCCTTACCACTCATCCGGCTCATCCTCCTCTTGAGCAGCTGCGGCTGCCTTCTGCTTGGTGTCGCTGTCTTTTATTGTCATTGTGGTTTTCCGTTTCTAACCGCTGACGGTCAATTTAGTTGAGAGGAGTGAGTGAGGAATGAGCTGGCTGAGTGGACATCCGTAAATAAATCCTCGGCTTTGTCCGGTGGTTTCCCGATTCTACCCCATATCAGACACCGGAAACTAGAAACCAGAATGTCGTCACGAAAGCTGAATGTGCTGGTCTACACAGGTAGAGCCTCTCCCCTCTCCAATTGTTTTCATTGTTTGACCCTCCTTCAATCTCACGAGACTAACGCCGTTTGCAGGCACCGGGACGACCGTCGAGTCCGTCCGGCACTGCATCTACTCTCTCCGGAGGCTCCTCTCGCCCAACTATGCCGTGATCCCGGTAACCGAGACGGCCCTCCTCCAGGAGCCGTGGGCGCCGACCTGCGCACTTCTGGTCCTGCCGGGCGGCGCCGACCTAGGCTACTGCCGGGTCCTCAACGGCGCCGGCAACCGGCTCGTCGCCCAGTTCGTCCGCCGTGGCGGCGCCTACCTGGGCCTCTGCGCCGGCGGCTACTATGGCAGCGCCCGCTGCGAGTTCGAGGTCGGCAACCCCGACCTCGAGGTCGTCGGCTCAAGGGAGCTGGCCTTCTTCCCGGGCACCTGCCGTGGCGGCGCCTTCGCTGGCTTCACCTACCACAGCGAGAGGGGCGCCCGGGCGGCCCGGCTTGTCGTCAGAAAGGACGCCTTCTCCGGCGCCGGAATCGTGCCCGGTGAGCTGAGGTGCTATTACAACGGTGGAGGCGTGTTTGTAGATGTGGAGAAGTGGGAAGCCGAGGGGGTCGAGGTGCTGGCCGAGTACGACGAGGACCTGGACGTCGATCCGGGAGGCCCAAAAGCCGCCGTGGTGTTTTGCAAGGTCGGAGATGGGTTAGCGCTGGTCACAGGGCCGCATCCAGAGTGAGTGCCCCTCGGAAAGTCGATAAAAGGAGGAGGGCGTGTTGACGGATATCCGCCAGATTTGCTGCGGCCAATCTAACCAGGCAACCCGATGTCCCCGGCTATGACGACCTTATTGACGCCTTGGCCGCCGATGACGAAGCCAGGTCCAACTTCTTGAAGGCGTGTCTGCTGAAGCTCGGTTTAGAAGTAAGCCAAGAGGCGTCATCCATTCCGTCTCTCTCAAAGCTTCACCTATCCACACTCTATCCAACAGACGTGGGCGAGTTGCTCCATTCTTTCAACGAAATCATCTCCAAAGAGGCCGGCGAGGAGTTCATCAGGGCCGAGAACGACGTGTTCCATATCGAAAAGCCGGGCTCGACGTGGTCCATGGCCGGGCTTGAAGAGGCACTCGAGGTTGCATCTGGTGGCACGACAGCTAAAGATCAGATGGTTGATCACAGCAAGATTGTCAAGCGTATAGCGGCGCATGATGAAGCTTGGCCGGAACCTAAGGAGACGCCATACTTCAACCACGCCGTCTTCTACTCGAGCTTGCAAGAATACCGCGATGAGCGCGACAGCCAAGCTCATAGCTGGGGCGATGCCTTCATGTATGGGGAGGTCGTCACTAGCACAAACACACTGCTGGACAAGTACGGACACCCAACTGCTTTCTGTCGCGTCGGGATACAGAATGCTAACAAAAATAGGAATCCAAAGCTGCTCTCCAAACTTCCGACAGGCTTCACACTAGCCGCAACGACGCAGGTAGCTGGTCGGGGTCGGGGGTCCAACGTCTGGGTGTCCCCAGCAGGGTGTCTGATCATGTCGACGGTGATCAACCACCCGGCCCACCTCGCAGCCAGCCGGCCGATCGTGTTCATCCAGTACCTGGCGGCGGTGGCCATCGTGGAGGCGATCCAGACCTACGACGCCGGCTTCGGCGGCATGCCGATCAAGCTCAAGTGGCCCAACGACATCTACGCGCTGGACCCGGACAAGCCGGCCGGCAGCGGCAGCGCGGCGTCGTACGTCAAGATCGGGGGGATCCTGTCCAACTGCGCCTACTCGTCGGGCAACTACCAGATCGTGCTGGGCATCGGCGTTAACACGACCAACGGCCGGCCGACCACGAGCCTGGACGCCCTGCTGGCGGCGGTGGGCAGGCGGGCCGGCCGGGAGCTCCCGCCGTTCCGCATCGAACGGCTCGTCGCGCGGATCCTGACGCGGCTCGAGGCGCTGTACGGCGAGTTCTGCCGGTCCGGGTTCGCGCCGCGCCTGGAGGAGCGGTACTACAGGCACTGGCTGCACACGGACCAGATCGTGACGCTCGAGGCCGAGGGCGGGGTCAAGGCGAGGGTGCTGGGCATCACGCGGGACTGGGGCATGCTGAAGGCCGAGGAGCTGAGGCCGGACGGCATCAACGGGGCACTGAGGGCGACGGGGAAGGTGTGGGCGCTGCAGAGCGACGAGAACAGCTTCGACTTTTGGAGGGGGCTCGTGAGGAGGAAGGTGTGAGGTTTTGTTACCTGCCCTTCCGTAACGTACCTCTCTTTCCTGGCTACGCCCGCTCCGGAAGTCGGGCGGAGACGAGACCGTCGGCGGTTCCCTCGAGACATGGCTGAATGACGAGAAAGCTTATGTGCTGGGGCCGCCAACAACTGGCAGCGGTTGACAGGTGTGACATCCTCATGCGTGTTTCCCCGCATCTGGCAAGAGAGAGTCCCGCCTGCATGATGGGATTGCATTTTGCGGGGACTTGCTTAATACTCCGAAAGTCCCTCCGTGATCTAGATCTCCAACTACGAGATTTTGAGGAGACGAAGATCAATAAAGTATTTTATTTTCTATTTTTATTGTCGCCTCCACTTTCTGTTTCCTGCTGAGCCTTTACCTACACTACTCGGAACCTATCGTGACCAACATATTGGTCCTTCACCCACTGTTCTGTCCAGGTCAACAGCAAACTATTGAACTACCGTCCCCGAGCCGCACCCGCATGTTTGCCTACATGCCAAGGAGAGCTAGGGGAGACGACTCCCTGTTAAGCGGTGCCATCAAGGGATCTGACCTCGTGTGCTACTGCAAGAAAACCGCAAACTGCAAGCAAGGTCATGGCGGTCTGTGGTCTGCAGAGCTCGCGTCAATGCCTGATTAACGGATACAGCGCAGTGGGACGGCATGCTATACAGGCGGTGTCCCGCATCTACAAGCCAGCGACCAGCACACGAATGTCCATGACTCCAGCTTGGAAGAGGCGAATCCACCATACTCGGCACAAGGTCCCGAAAGGACAATATAGTTTGCTAAGGGAATAGCGCCGAGCTCTGGGCTATAAGACCGTCCCTAGAAACAACAATGACGCTATCAGCTGCTCAAGCAAGGTGTACGGCATTGTAATATACCGCCTATTGAGTGGCCAGCGGACCCAGAAGCCAGGACTTGCATTAAGCTGGATATTCCCGACCAGCCTTTCCATATTGCCCCGCAACCTGCTTTGGGCAGTTGGAGAGCGGGAGGAGACTCGCTTTTTCTGCCTCGATTGGCACACCACCCTTCCGCTTCCCGTCATGCGGCCAATCACACCCTCCCGCTTCTGTGGGCTCGACCTCTTTTCGTCCCGCGTCAACAACACCCGCCTTCGGAACCGGAGGCTCGAGGCGCTGCCGTGGGCGATGGCAGGTTGGGAACAACGATGAGGGGAAAACATGGCCCTAGAGCTCAATCAAATAGCTCGGCCCGCGCCTATGAATCACCCTTCCCCCCAAAAGGTTGGGACCTGGTTTTGCGAGCAAACAAGCGCGGGATTCATCAGCGAGCTGGAAACTCACAAGGCATCCAGGATACAGGACAACACAGACGCCTCAAGCAATCGATGAGCCCGACAGCTATCTCCCCGTGGCCCGGAGCTCCAGGCTTAGGTTGAGCCTTTCTCGATTCGTGATTGCGTCCGTCCCGGAAAGGGTTGACGTCGAGGAAAGATGACGGGGCCGGCATATACAGAGTTCAACCTGACTTACCCCCCGCTACCGTTCGACGACTCGGGTGTGGCCTTCCTAGACACCACGCAGGTGAGCGAGTCCCTAACACTCGGGCATGGGAATGTTGGTTCTAATTAGCTGTCATCCCCAGAGCTATGACACCTCCAAGATACCCGGCATCCTCGCCGGCCTCCTCATTCCCCACTTTGTCTGCACCGTCTTCGTCGTCGCGCGGGTGTGGTCGCGGCTGTTCCTGCTGCGCAAGTGGTTCCTCGACGACACGCTCATCGTGGCGGCCTGGGTCTTCTCGACGGCCGTGTGCGCCGTCTACAGCGTCGCCACGCTGACACCCAACATCCACGACACCGTGGTGCTCAGCTCCGACATCATGGGCGGTGGGCCGGCGGACTACCCGGACGACAGCCCGATCGGGTCGTACATGCTGCGCACATACCTGGGCCTCATCTTCTACCAGCTGTGCCTGTGCCTGACCAAGCTGTCGATCCTAGCCTTCTACCTGCGCATGTTCTCGTCGCGGCCGGTGGAGCGCCGCCTCGCCCAGGGGACCGTCGTGCTGGTGCTGTTGTACGGCGCGCCGCTGCTAGTCATGAGCATCCTGCAGTGCCACCCGAGCCCGGGCCTCTTCTTCGGGCACCCGGTGGGCAAATGCTTCTCGTTCGTGCCGCTGCTGATCGCCTCGGCGTCGCTGCACGCCGCCACCGACGCCTGGCTGGTCATCATGGTGGCGCCGTGCATCGCGCGCCTGGACCTCCCGCCGCGGCAGAAGGCCGCCCTCGCCGCCGTGCTCAGCCTCAGCGTCCTCGTCGTCGCCGCGAGCATGACCCGCCTGCAGCTCAGCCTGCACTCAAACTACCGGCCCTCGGGCGCCGGCGTCCAGGTCGCCAACACGCTCGCCTTCTTTGTCATGACCGTCCTCGAGTGCGACGTCGCGCTCATGTGCGCGTGCGCCCCGACCCTGAGGCCCGTCCTTGCGCGCCTGTGGCCGCGCCTCGGCATGGACGACCACTCGCAATACCCGCAATACCACCACCACCGGAGGAGGCAGCAGCGGCGGCGGCGGCGGTCCGGGCGGAGAGGCGAGACCGCGGACGGGGACGAGGACGGCAGCGTCAACCTCACCGAGGTCAGCTACCACGGCTACCCGTGGACGCAGCCGCACACGACGGGCGGCGCGGCGGGGGGGTTAGGGATCCGCAGCAAGAACCGCAGCAACTCGGCTCCGGATTTGGACGCGGGTGTGGACGTGACCGACATGGCGATGCCGACGCCGCCGGTGCCGGCGTTTATGCAGCGGACGCCGACGACGCTGAGCCTGCGCAGCTTCATGAGCAGCATCGCGCCGAGGAGCAGGGGGGGTGGCGGCGGCGCGACGGTGTCGGGGGCGAGGGACGCCGGCGAGGACAGAGCGGTGCTGCTGAAGGGGGGGGAGGGCGGCGACGACGACGAGGGTGGTGGCGCTGCGGAGAGGAGGAGCTCGGTCGGGTTCGAGGGGTACCACGACCAGTACCTCGGGTACGGCGAGGAGAGGCGGCGGAGCAGGCCATTGCGGAAGAGCTTGGTTATTGGGGCGGGGCCCTGGGGCGATAGCCAGGAGAGCTTCGTCATGGGCATGAATGACCCCGCCAGCCCGACTAGGATGAGCCCTGTGTCCGACCTGAGTGGCGCGACGTACCCGGTCTTCTCATCCGAGACCCGGGAGGTGCGGGAGATGAGGAACGGGGCCGGCGTGGGTCGGCCAAATGAGAAGGAAACGGGTACAAACGATTCCTGAAAACTCCCGGGGCTTCTTTCCCCCCCATAATACTGGCTGGGAAACATCATTGCTGGGTCTTCTCGAAAGAATTGTGCGGTCTCTTGGTCGAGCCAGGCGGGAACTCGAGGTACTCGAGGGCATGCATATGGGCGCGATCATCCACTATGTTAATCTATACCACGGTGCATCTCCTTGGGGCAACGGGACTGGCGTTTCTGGCGGGGAGGGTCATTTTGTACTCTCGGGGCGGCGGTCACTTGTGCACATCCTGGCCACATCGGCATTCTTTTTTCTCAGGTTTTGACGATACAAGGCATGGTAGATTGGTTGAAGCTAGCTCGGCAGCCCTGCCGGTAATTGTGGAATGGGGTTGGGCATGGAAACAGTCGCAATTGGGGAGGAAGCACAGAGAGCGCACACGCACGCACACATATGGCCTCTATGGGACTGGGCAAAGAATAGGCTACGTACTGGGAGGAAGATAAAAGGCCGAAAAATAAACCAGCATATACATCAGGAAGCCTTGACTTGTTGTTTCGGAATCTCTTGGGAAGTCTGCTGTCCGGGATGGGGTTGAGGTTCCCTTATGCACCGTTTTCGCCCACCCTCTCCCTCGGGGCTTCGGTTTTGTGTGTCAAGGAGTTCTCTCCATTAATTCCTCCGAGAACTGAATTCAATATCCTATGTGTATGTATACATGATGTAGCATTCCCAAGGAAAAGGGGCAGGGGGTTAACATCAACCATTCCGTGAGGCTGCTCACCCGCCGCCCAACTGATACAGAGCGCTGGAACGAAGATAGAACATCCCCGCTACCGAGGAGCATGACTTGATCCATGCCACCCCCGAATGTGATGTGTCACAGTCCCTTAACCTCAGACTGCCTCCAATTATTCGGCCGTTTTTCTTTCCCTGACACAATCATTTGCACCGCAAGCACATCTGTCTCCACGCTGTAGTCCGTCATGCCTCCCCCAGTCCATGTGACGAGGGAATATCATGGGCTCCCGCCGCCGCTAGGCATCCAGATTCCTACACCCGCCGAGCTGGTACAGCTCTGCACTGCAGAGCATCCGCGGCACTACAACATGGGTCTCACCTATCCGCCAGAAGCACCTGTTTTGTGGATCAAGTACGGCAAGTCAGTCATCTGGAACGAGGTGCCGGCGCAAGTCATGGCATGCGAGGAGCTACGACGTCTTCGGTCATCAGTTAGGGCTCCCAGAATCTTTTATGCTTGCGAGATGGGGCAAGTAGGAGTTCGGTATGACTTTGAAGTCAACTATAAATCGTATATCTCATGGAGTACGTTCCGGGCAAGACGGCAGGCGAATGGCTGGACAGCATCAAGAACGAAGACTCCCCTGGCAGGGATTCCATATATCGCCAGATTGCCTTTGCTCTTTCCGAACTCCACCGCATCCCCGTACCTCCAGAGTCTCGTCCAGCCGCCGCCGGTGGTGGAAGAATTCGCCATTCCCTTTTCGATCTTCAAGAGGCTCCGCGCCACTACCAGAACGTGACGCAACTGGAGGACCACCTCAACCTGGTAAGATGAGACACTCCGCTATCCTCGAGCAACCTAGATAATCCAACAATGCTTTCTTGTCTTTTCCTGTCTGGTCATTAACTGTGCCTCCCATAATCTAGTTCCTCACGATCACGAAGCGGAAGCACCGGGTCCAAGATCTCTCACGAGAGCCCATGGTCTTTTGTTATTCTGACGTGTGGCTCGGCAACTTCACCATTGACGAGGATGGCCGGCTCACCGTGATAGACTTTGCCGATTCGAGCATCCTGCTGTCAAGCTTCTCCAAGTTCGTACTCTTGGACTGGGAGAAGATCAAGCGCGACATAAGTGCTCTGGTAAAAGTGCCCACGACCGACGGCGTTGACAATACCCTCGCGCTATGCACCGCGGCGGGTCCTATGGTCATGGGCCCGAGTTCGTTCGTGACCACGGGCCGCCGAATACTGGGCGGGGAGATGGAGATGAAGCCGGTCTGAGTGCAAGTGTGCCAAGGGTTGCTAGCGCTGCCTGCGTTTCGCAGCCAAGTTAAATGCTAGCATTGACAAAGAGGGAGTTCAGCGGGAGTGTTCGGAATCTAGAACGGGGTTCAATAGCAATTCTGCATGCATTTGACAGCGCATTTGCAGGGCTCGACAGCGCCACATCCACTCACTATCTACAAGTAGACACTTAGGGAGCCAATTTTCACAAATCGGGGCAGTGGCGCAGTTGGGAGTCGCGTTAGACTGAAGCTAAACTTCAATCATTATCATCAATCTAAAGGTCACCGGATCAAAGCCGGTCTGCCCCAACTTTCTTTTTCATTTTTTTCTTTCATTTTTCTTCTTATTTTTTTTCTTTCTTTTTTTCTAGTTTTTTTTTCGTTTTATTCTTTGGTCTGTTGCTTGCACATTGATAACTCGTTCCACTCAGCGGATATTTACCTCGGGAAGCATTCTGGCTCTATCTCCTCCTCTCCGTCCTACTTCCATCGTGACAATTTGGTACCATCGTATCCCAGCTTCTCGGGGCTTGCTGGTTGACAATCAAATGTGGCGCACATCTGAAGATATCAGATGGTGGCAGGTGTCATACGATGATAAGACTGGTCACAGAACTGTGGCAAAGGAAAGTTCCATTCGTTCCTGATTGGTTCCTGTGTCCCTGGAACAGCCCCTGTCCCTGTCTCCCAGACCGGTTTTCAGGGTCCCGCATGATTTTGGGATCCGTCCCTTGAATTCCCATTCTGGTTCGTCTCAACTTCCTGCCATGCATACACAAACTGCCTCCACTCTCCTTCACGTGCATTCGATTCCCATCCGGAGAAACCTGACCTGCATTCCCTCATGACGAGACCAGCTACGCTCCCGGACCCCAGAACGGTAGAGCGAGACTATCAAACGTCTGGCAGGGTCTCTCGTTCCATTTCGACCCGCTCTTGTTGGAACGGCTAAATAGAGGAAAACCGAAGAAGCACGCTGCAGTAGCCCGTCCTGTCGGTCGCTGCGCGGTAATTCTGGGGTTGCAGTGGGCTGCATTGCATTGCGCTAACATGTCATCATCATGGCTTTTGCCCCGTTCCAAGTGCTTTCGTAGGGCAAAGACCAGATAGATGTCGCCATCTGTCCATCGCTCGGTCGGCCTCTCTTGAGAAGTGTTGGACGGCACCGAAGGGAGATTGGACGGGCAGATAAGCAAACGAGCAGGCAGTATGATGATACTTACAGAACTAGCTCCCCTCATCACTTAGGAAGAAGCCCTTGCCGTCCCATCATCGGCCCATCGAGCTTCCTCCCCTGCTACCCTGCCTGTTGTTATGCAACCTGGTCCAACATCATGACAGGCATTGAGGAGACCCACATACCGACCCATTCTTCATATTGCTTCTAGAAGCTTTTGACTGCCCGGATGCCGGTCAGGACGCCTTCCATCTCATCGCGATCAAGCTGATCCCCAGCTTCTCATTGGTCCATGCCCCTGGGTCTCGCCATTGATGTATCGCCCTCATTGTGGATTGGGCAACGCAACCCTGGTCGCAGTTATGCCTTCTCGAACTACGGTTCTGACCGATGCTCACAGATTCTCGCATCTCTGAGGCGTCATCCGAAATCCTGGGGTGAAAATCACTTATTCCTACCTGTCGCCATGGCCGAGAAGGGATCTTGGCGATACGGTTCCTACCTAGCTGACGATGACATCCCTGGAGTTTTCTCCCGTCCCTCTCTCAGCTGCCGCCCATATCCAGACCACACTCGCCTCCCCACACTTCCAGAAATACCTGTCTTTCTCTAACCTGGCCTCCCTTCAGCCAATCCTTTGACTTTGATGGTTGGTGCTTATTCCTTCCACTTTTATGCCGCTCTTTTCTAGTTCTTCTAGGCCGGGTCTGCTGGCTTTACATTCTTTTTCTTCCCACCTCTTCCGTGGCAACCCTCGCTTCAAGCAAACGCTGTAATACCACCACCGCCCACCACCATGCAACGGACTGAATTATGTTGATTCTGCGGGGCTTGAGCGCCCTCTTCGTGGGATTAACAGTTGTCACCCAGGCTTCGCCTTCAGAGTCATTGCGACTATCTCGTTCGCTTCCTCTCGAGTCACACCTTCTGAGGACGAATGCGGAGGAACTACTCGAGAGTGCTGGCAGGGAAAACGAAGGCCATTCATCCCTGTCAGCCCAATTCGTTCGTTTACTACCCAGAGGGTCATTACATCGACGGCGTCAAGATCCGTCGCAGAGAAGAGTTCTTTCGAGGGATGAGGAGTATGCTTCCTCAACTCCGGCGGCGTACTCGGGGAAGAATGGGACAAGATTGGCCTGCGAGGGCTGCCCAGATGACGGGACAACATGCAGTGAGGGGGGTTGCACTTCTTTGCGGTTAGTTGAGACTCTCGGACCAAACGTCGGAATCACGAGTAAGCTGACGATGCCCAGTAACCCGGAAGCGGTAGCTACGGCGGTTATTGTGACCACGACGAGCACACACACCGTCACGTCGTTCACAGGGGGCCAGACCTTTGGTATGCACATCTCCAACCTTCCCTCGATCCGGATCCCGATTCTTCCCTGAGGCATCGTCCCCTGCCAGATAGACTTGAACGAGAATGATCTTGCACCGGACAATGCTAACCAAGTTGGAATAGTGGAGATAAGCACCGTCTTCGAGACACTTACCATGGTCGATCCATCGGAGGAGACTCAGACAAGCACGATCTCAATAACCTCGTTCTTTAATCGGAGAGGAATTCGCACTGCTCGATCAGAAGGGTCGTCATTCCCCAATGCCACAATCGCCCTTGGACGGCGACAAGATCCCGCACCCACGGGCACAACAGTGACGGTGGACACCACAACTACGATTTATATATCCGGTGATACTACCGTCACCATACCACAGACCGTGTTTGTGACGACTACAGTGGCTCCAAATGCTGTGACTACAATATATACAACTACCACTATCTACACGGGCCGTCCGGAAGGAACTACAACCGCAGACACAAATCCGACAACAATCAATACATCCCAGCCTCTCCCATCAACATTAAGCACATCTACATCAGAACCTTCGTCGGGATCGGCCTCAGTAGAGCCAACCGAATCAACGACTCCGATTTCTACTTCACAGAGCTCGAGACCTCAGTCGAGTTCACTTTCGACATCCTCTTCAGGCTCGACTTCGATCACTAGTGCGACATCAGAGACGATGACGAGCACCACATTCGGCAGTTCTACCGCTGCCCAACCCACGAGCACCGAGGCTCCCCTCCCCGGACCGATGACGCAAGAGCCCCCTCCCAACCTCTCGCTCAACTCGGATCAGATAGCCGGAATCGCGCTAGGCGCCATCTTCCTCCTCTTTCTCCTAGTAGCCTTCGGCTTCCTCCTTCGGTGGATCGTCCGCCGCCGGCGCAGTCGTCAGGCAGTGATGCGGCAGCAGCTGTCGCAGCCGACCTCGGCGACTTCGGCGCGGACGGGCGACCTCCTGGCCACGGGGGGCTCGAGCCGGAGCGGTGGCGGCGGGGGCCGGACCGACGCAGCGAGCGGCGGGGGCGCGTCGGGCCTGACGGGCCAGGGCGAGGTACGCATTGTCATCCGACCGGCGCCTCCGAAGGCGAGGCGGACCCAGAGCTCGGGCCTCTGGCCCATGCCCCCAGGCCACGGGGGCCAGACGTATAGCTTCTTCGTCGAGGAGACCACCACCGGCGAGACGACGCCCCAGGACCCCGGCGAGTGGAGCATCGCTAGCGAGAGGGGCAGCAGCAACGGGCAGGGCCGCGGCGGCAGCGGGGCGCCATCCCCGTCGGGGGCGGCGGGTGATAACGGCAGCCCGAGCCACATCAGCGTGGGCTGGGGGACTAGCATCGGAGCCTCGAGTCAATATCCCAGCGGCGTCACTACCGTGAACGCTAACCTCGCGCCGCCGCCAGCCACGCACGGGAACAGGAGGTGGCGGCGGAGCAGCAGCAGCCGCAGGGGGACGGGCGGCTCCGGGATAGGAAACGCGTTCTAATATTAGGCCTTACATCCCTTTCTGCGAGCCGGGGAGCAAGCCGGCCTTGCATCTTTCAGAGGGACAGACATACTCGCCTGCGGGTAACTTGAACGACTAGTAGGAACCACGTGTCTGGGCGTGGGAGATACGATGCTTACGAACAATGTCTATTGAGGTTGGGGTCGCATACATCACTAGAGGAGTTTTTCCGACGTCTAGAATTCCGCACCCATTGGACGGACGGGGGGACAAAGGGGGCTGGCGGCGTTCAGGCCTGGCTTCGGGCATTCATTGTTGTACATGTACAACCTGGCGAGACCTAGAGTCTCCGCCTTATAATATTCTTATTGGTAGTTTTGACTGAAATAGACAGATACCCTTCTAATTGACTTCGGTGGGCCATTGTTGATGATGCTCTGAAGACGTGATGTATGCAAGCAGATTGGAGATCAACGTTATTCGACAGACAGGCAGACAGACCCATTCGCAGGCCGCCCCAAGAGCGTCCTTAGCCCGGGCACTCGTAAACTGGGGGATCCTCGGACGCGCAGCCCGAGACGAGGCCGAGCAACCTCCGCATTAGAGCTCCCCCCGTTACAAATTTGTATATTAAAGACTCGCCTCGCACAACATCGAAGCGATGGATCAGTGCGGCGGAGAAGACCGCCCGACCCAGGTTTTCCCTCTCTTTCCCTTCACCTGGTCTGGTGTCACAGGTCAACGCCGAACCGGGTTCGTCTGGTCTCCGGAGGAACGCCCACGCCCACCCATGCGCGGATCCTCGCGTGTGATCGGCACGGAGATCAGACGGGAATCGTGCCGGTCTCACTGACGACTTTGCTTGCCTTTTTTCTCCCTCTTTCCTTTGCTTTTTTTCTCTGGTTCGCACTTTGCTTCTTCTCGAATGAATTTTTAGAATCCCAGTGACCAGACAAGAGGCTGGTTTCGGATTCGAAGAGTGGATTGTTGTCAGGGAATGTCCGGTTTTGCTCATCGCCACCGAATCTACCTAGGCAACTTCCGCAACTCCCACAACACCACCCCTCTGCACAAGCGGTGACACGAGGCAAAAAAATGGTCTTGTTCTTTTCCTCCATCGGGCCTCTTTGCCATCTAGGTAGTGTAGCATACTCCCCCATCTCTCAGCCCCACTGTGGTTTCACTGTGATTGTATGATACATGGATATTACAGTACAGTAAGGCCAGTGGGTGTGCCTTGTCTAAGTTCAGCCCCAATCCCGGTATACATGCTACCCGGGTACAACCAAGAAGAACGCCATGCCATGCCAAAGTCGAGTGAAGATGTGTGTGTAGGGAACCGGTACGGAGCCACCACCCCCAAGGTGGAAGGCGTCTTTGGTGTTTGTTCCCTCTTGCCTCGAAGAGGTCGATCCAGGTCCTCCTCGCCTGCCGTGACCGCCCCGGGTGGAGGCATCGGGGGGGATGTGGCCTGTGATATCCTGTCCGGTATGCCAAATGATATGCCCAATACCAAATGGACACCCAGCGCGGGATCTCCAGGCAACCACCGCGTCCCGGTACCTCCTCAATCCCCAACCTCCTCCAACCCTCTACTACCTGTCCTTATAAACCTTCGGCTTCCACCCCTCCTTGACCTCGGCCTCCTGCTCGGCCTTCTCAGCAGCGGGCCGAATCTCGGCCTCGATGCGCTCCCTCGCGCGCAGGATCTTGCTCTGGAGATAGAAGGACCCGCCCTTGTGGGGGTCGTTTGCGTCGAAGAGCTTCTTGAAGCGGGCCATGACCTCCTCGGCGTCGGCGGCGGCGCCGCCCTGCGGCGGCTTGACGTTGAGAATCTTGCACGCCTCGTCCAGCGTCATGCCCGACGTCAGGCTCGCCCGCCCCGAGCTCGTCTGCCCGCCGTTCTTGCCCTGCGCCCGCGCGTACTGGCTCGACGCCGACGCCTGCTTGTACGCCTCGGCGAAGGCGCGACCCAGGACCCGAGAGCCGATTATCACTACTTGGGTTATGACCCGGTAGGCCTGGGGAGGACGCGGTCCCGGGTTAGCGATCGGTTCCCGGAGGGCTGGAGGGCGAGGTGGTGGGATAGGATGCTTGAGGCTGGGGGGGAAGGGGGATGATGTTTGGAGTGGCTCTTACCATTGTCGCGATTGGCACGGATAGTCGCCTTGCTGGCCTTCCGGGGGACTCGTCGAGTTGCTTGTGCGGGAGTCGATAGAGAGTGTCTTTGGCCCTGCGAAGATTGTCGAGAAGCGATGCAAAAGCTCTCGCCAGAAAATCATCCAATCCAAAAAATTGCCCCCGAGCCGGCGCAAGGAATCTGCCAGTGCCGAGGAATTTCCGACCATCGGATTGGGTTACGTAAGAAATTGCCAAGACTTTAATGTGGCTGAGCAGCTACGCGAAGCCACATTCCTCCAGCAGGCGGCCCTTTTTGACAGCTTCAGCTTGTGACAGAGTGCATGCATATTATTGCTTCACGAAGCAAGTTATTCTATTCTGCCTGCGGCCCCGCTCAAACCTTGAGATCGAAACTGTTGGGCTCGACGCATCTGCTGGGTATCCTCCGACGGCAGCCAAAATCCCTAGATACCGACCGACCAACCAACCATGTCTCAATACTACGGCGCACCGCCGAACCAGGCCTACGGGCCGTCGTCAGCCCAAAACCTCCAGTTCTACACGTCGCCGTCATATGCCCAGCCCGTGTCCGGCCACGCAACGCCATCACAAGCCTCGTATGGCTACGGCGGCCAGTCCTCGTCGGCCGGGTACGGTGCGCCGGGCGGTTTTGGCGCGAGCTTCGGTGGCGCCCCAGGAGTCTCGGGCCGCATGGGCGAGCAGGGCGGCTTGAGGACCGGCTGGCTGGCGGCATTTTCCACCGAGGGCTACGATGGCGAGCCGCCGTTGCTAGAGGAGCTTGGGGTCAACTTCGCACACGTACAAGCAAAGGTAAGAGAAGTATTCCTTCGTTTCCCCCGGCCCTCTCTCCCCGACCCTCCCTTTCCTTAAGCTGCTACCTAGAGACTAACCAAGCCACTCGACGCAGACCCTCGCCGTTCTCAACCCCTTCACCCGCATCGACCAGCACCTGATGGATGACAGTGACATGGCAGGGCCCATCCTATTCTTCCTCCTCTTCGGCACCTTCCTCCTCTTCAGCGGCAAGGTCCACTTCGGCTACGTGTACGGCGTCGCCCTCCTCGGCTCCATAAGCCTCCACATAATCCTCAGCCTCATGACCCCCTCCGACGGCGCCATCCCCGCCCAGGCACCCACCTACCCAGGCCAACCAACCGACCCCTCCTCCTCCTCCGCCGCACCCCCCTCCTCCGGCGGCGGCGGCCCCTCCTCCGCCTCCAACCCGACCTCCCTCTCCGGCGGGCCCGCTCCAGGCCCCCTCTCCAGCACGCTGACATTCCCGCGCTCCGCCTCGGTCCTGGGCTACTGCCTGCTCCCGCTGGTCGCCACCTCGCTGGCCGGCATCGTCGTGCCCATGGACACGCCGCTGGGCATCGTGCTCACTGCCGCAGCCATCCTGTGGTGCGTCGTCAGCTCCAGCAGCATGTTCTGCGCCATCGGCCGCATGCCCCGCGGCATGCGCGCCCTCGTCGCCTACCCGCTCGCCCTCTTCTACGCAGGCTTCGGCATCATGGCCGTCTTCAGCAGCCGCGGGAGCGGCGGCGCCCTGGCCAGGGTCGCTGCTGCGGGGGTGTGATCTTGGTTTGGTCTCTGTATTTTTTTTTCCCTACCTTTTTCTTTGTTGCCCGTTCCTTCCTGGGGAGGGAAAGGAGAGGGGCGGGAGTTGGTTGCGGAGGAAGGTCGTTTACAAGCAATATTTTTTTGGGGGTGCCGCAGCTGGCAAAGATGTGGATGGGGAAGAATATGCGGTTTGAGGAGACCGGATTAGAGGATGCGGTGGCTTGCGTTGTAGCGTTATGAGGCGGTTTTCAACAAGAGACTCAAATGTCCGGTTTCGGTTGACCTGAAAGCCCTCCTTTGGGGACACCAACGCCGACCGACCGACGCTGCTTTGTGCGTCTCCATTGATGAGCCCGGCTCTGATGGGCACCTGGAGGTGGCGGCAGCTTAGCGAGGGAGGGGGAAAGAGGGTCAACTGTCCGAGGTGGGAGCCAGTGGGATCATTGGGGGGACTTCATGGGAGTGGCCGTGTAGGAATGGATGGATGTCCTCACGCCACGACCATTGTACACTAATGGGGAAACACGCCCGATAGTAATATGAGACGACGAATGAACAAAGGTGTGTCGCGACGAGGTGGAGGAACGTAAAGTTGAGACCCCAGTATCGGAACGAAAAACAACCGCTGTTCTATAAGCTTCCTAATGCGATAGCGACCAGCCAAGGGTCGGTGAGAACTTGATGCTATCATACAATGTTGGCGAACGTATCGAGAATGTGTATGTATCACACATAACCAACCCTGGACCAAAACCAGTTCCTGTAGTTCTTTTCGAGAAGCCCAATGTCCTCTGCATCCTATCATCGCCGTATCTCGTGAAACTACTCTTTAAGACAATCCCTAGCCGTATCCTCGGCCCTCCGTAGAGAAAAATTAATAATATATCAGGCGCGAACCGTGTGTGAAGCGCAGAGTAACGCTATGTTCCAGAGCCTGAGCCGGAGCAATTCAACCACAGCATGGTTGAATTAGTACTCGGTCCTAGGCGTTGGAAGATCACGCTCTCGTAACTCTGCGAGTGGAGCTCATGGATGCATGTGCTGGGCTCGTTATGACCCGGGGCACGCGCCGGGGGAGAAGGGTTGGAGGTTGATTAAGCCGACTCGGTTGCCAGCTCTTCGGCAGCAGCAGCCAAGATCGAGAATTGGCCGCCGGCACCGGCAAAGACGAGCTTTTTCTCCCGGACGACAGAGTTGTCGACCAGTGTGGGAACCTCAATGTCATCATCGGTTCCTTGACCAGTCTGGTAATTCGCCGAGAAACCCCAGGAGTAGGCCTTCCCCTTTGTGGTAATGGCGAAGCTATGGTCGGTTCCGGCAGCAACTAAGGCGACCGAAGGAACATCTGCCAGCAATGTTAGAGATGTGTGGGGAAATAGTTGACAAGTCAGAAGTGGTGACTTACCAGGCACAACGGTAGGCTCCTTCAGGATGCGGGGCTTGTTACGTTCGTCGAAGATGGTATTCTCCTCGGTGAACTTCTCGTTGGGCAAACCAACTTGATGGCCGTCAATACGACCCCAAGTCAGGAGCTTGCCGTCATCAGTGCAAGCCAACGAGTGGTGCTCGCCCCCGGCAATGTCGGCGATCTTGAAGTCGGTCAAGGATTCGACGAGACGCGGCTTCAGCTGAGCGGCGTCATCCTCACCGGCACTGTCCTCGATGCCGAGCTCGGCGTAGTTATTCAGACCCCAAGCAAAGACGCGGCCTTCCTGGTCAAGCACGAAGCTGTGGTACGATCCACAAGCGACCCTGACGGGCTTAGCGCCACGGATGGGCAGGTTGCCGATGCCCTTGGGTCGGAGCGACGACTTGATCTCGCGCTCGAATACTTTGCGACCGAGCTGGTTCTGCTGACCACAGCCCCAGGCTTGGACCTTGCTTTTGTTGTCGAGAGCAAGAATGTGGTTGGAGCCGGCAGCGAGCTGAGTAATTCCCTTAAGATCGGGGAGGAGCACGGGGATCTTCTGAACAAGAGTCTTGTCGGTGAATCCGAGGATACCATCACTGCTCTGTTTATCTAGGTCAGTATTTGATGCTAGGAGGGCAATTCAATGCCGGACTTACTCTGAATGTTCCCCAGCCATAAACAACGCCATCCTCAGTCAGTGCGAACGAGGCACTGTCACTGGCAACAACCTGGACGAACTTGGTCTCAGGTTCAATGTTTGTCAGATCAACCTCGGTGGGCGTGCTCTCTTTGGGGCTGAGCCCCGAGTCCTCCGAATCAGAATCGTCGGAATCATCCGCATCCGCATCACGAAGGCCACCTTCCCAAGTGGTATCGCGTCCCAACGCGCCTTGATCGTTGACGCCCCAGGTGAGGATTTTGTTGTCCTTGGTAAGCGCGACGACGTGCATTCCGCCGCAGGCAAGCTGTACGACGCCGACATCCTTAGCGGAGAGGTTATGGTTGACCCGGGGGCGCTTGACGTCGATGGGCTTCTTTCCGTCGACCTTGACGCTGCCGAGGCCGAGCTCTCCAGAGCTGCCCTCGCCAAACACAAACACATGGAGAGGTACGGTGGGCGCCTTGTTGATCTTCTTTCCGACTTTCCTCTTAGGCGCCACAGGCTTGGGAGCAGCGGCCTTCTTGGCCTTCTTGGCAGGAGGGGCGGGCTTCTCCTCCTCGGCAGCGGACTCCTCGTCGCCCTCGGCTTGGGCGTCGGGGGCCCTCTTGCGCTTGGTGTTGGCCTTGGTCTGGCCAGACTCAGTACCCTCGTTCTCTTTGTCGGACTCGCCCGTGGTGGTGGTCTTCTTGGGCTGCTTCGGGACCGCAGTATCAGCTGCAGCCGCAGTCTTCTTGGTAGTGCGAGGAGCGGCGATCTTTCTCGCGGCAGGTTTGGCGGCAGGTTTGGCGGCAGGTGCCTGGTCGGCAGCCTTCGTCTTCGGCGCAGGGGCCTTTGCCTTCTTTGGCTGAGAGGCCTCTGCAGCTGCTTCGATCGAGTCTTCGTCGGCCTTGCGCTTCAGGGCAGCGGTTTGGCGCTTCGAACGGGGAGCAGGTGTAGTAGCCTTCGCATCCTTCTTCACTGTGGCGGCAACAGGCTTGGTTTCCTTCTTCGCAGCGGAAGAAGCACTAGGCCTGGCTTTGGCAGCAGGGGCTGCCTTCTTGGGAGCGGCGCGTTTCGGCACGCTCGCAGGCGCGGTGGCCTTCTTCGGTGGCATGGTGATGAGGTGTTGAAGAATCAGGAATGAATGGGGAGAGAGAAATTTGTGCAATGTTTGCGATGAATTGAGCTGAAATCTGCGTTCTTTGGTGAACTAATCGATGGTGAAATCTTGCTTAGTTGCGAAGAAGACTGGTTGTAGAGGGAGAGAACAAGGGAAAGGGAGGAGAGTTAGGATTTTTAACGTGAGACGCGCAGCTGTGGAATCTATTGTTGTGGGAGCTATTGACATCAGGCACAATAACGGAATAGTGGCGTGTGGTTCAGCCTCAGGCACAGGGGCAGGGGAACAAAGGAAGACCAGAGCGAGTTGAGATTGCGCACGGGCAGCAGGTCGAATCCGGAATTTGAAGATATGGCGTGCCACCAAAAGAATAAAGAATCAGAGTCCAGTATTTGCAATCAACAAAGAGGCGAGTCTCGCTTCCTATTAATCTTAGGAAAACGCCGGTATCGTCTGGTATCTGGTAGATACTGCCATACCAATTTTTCCTTGCAGTCATTCCCCCTACCAGAACCATCCTCACGGACCAACAAGCACCGATGACCGATGACGTCCCGGATTTTGAACCCTGGAAAAGAAGATCCAATCTCTCCAGTCACCCTAGTTGACCTAGGAGCATGGAGCATTTAGAGACCCAAGCTTCTTACTCGTCTTTTCCCCACCCAACCTCACCAGGATGGCAGAGGAAGGACGACACGAAATCTCATCGAACTGGATTTGCAACGCTTCAATTACGTCTGATTGACCTAGGTAACATGTACGCTATCAGAAACAATAACAATACCCACTTCTCGCTAGTCGGCATAACCATCCAACGCTGTATGTACGCCGTGCATGCATCAGCACCATAACTGGCCCTCAATGCCTGGAAACCGGCCTGGCTCTTGGTTTTTTACGACGCTGCCTTGTCCGCTGTGTATTTTCCAGAGCCTCCTCTTGCATCGGCATCTGTGGCGCCTGTTGTAGTAGATGCTGCCGCAAGCGCTCAATTGCCCTTGTGTGCTCGAGTTCCGCCTCTGTAGGGTACCATGAACGGTACCAGCGCGTCACAGAGCTTGGGATTATTCTCCGCCAAGAGCGTTTGAACCGGAAGCATAGAATACCCAAAGCAATGAGGGTGCATATCACAACATTGGGATGTCAATCATAGAAAGTACGAAGTATTCCTCGTTCCGGGTCTAGGAGCGGCTGCGGCCCAGTGAGGCCCAACGTGTCCAGTCCGGGGATCAAGACCGCGAGCTCTCCGGGTTCGCTGCCTCTCAATGCCATAATCCGCTCGAACTCCATCTTCCCAATGTGTCCTGAGGCTTTCTTCAATGATGACATGGTCCTGTGCCCCGAGAACTCCTTTCCGAAACGCCGTGACCAAATGCTCAACCGGATCCGACCCCTGTACAAATAGGGCCCCTTACGCCTGTAGCCAACCCCATAAGCGCGACAGGTTATTTGCTGGTCGTGAAATCCGTCTCGTGTTCGGATGGGTTGAATTTGCCGTCCACCGCCTTCTCGCAGGTACATGCACCTGAAAGCAAGCAGGTAAGTCACACATATCCGGATGCCTTGGGGGAAGCGGTAGATAACTCACCAGCAGGACGAGAGCCGCACGAGCAGGTGTTGCCAGTAAGCTTTGTGTTCTCGGAACCAGCTCGATCACAGGTGCATTTGCCGGCGGGACGGGCTCGGCAGGAGCAGCGTGGTCCGTCAACTTCGTTCTCCGACTGGGCTCTCTCGCAAGAACAGTGGAGGGCGGATTGCTTGCCACAAGAGCACGTGGCCTCCTTGGCTACGGAAAAGATGATTGTTAGTTGTATGTTTGACAGCCGTGTTTGTAGGGGCTGTGTAGATATGAGGGATCGGTAATTTGCAGTGAAGAGCTTCCCACGGGGAATCGATGGGGATGGGAACTTATAACTCCACGAGAATGTGTCTGAAAGGAACGGGAGTCATCATACCGCAAACACATAGGCCGTTACTCCTGCCGCAGCAAGTAGAGGGCGCAACTGCGGTCGCCATCTTTAGTCGTTGAGGTTGGGGAAGCGCTTGGGGTGGAGAATGGGAGGAAGAGACAGCCGGATAGAAGGCGCAATGAAGTTCAGGTGTGGTCAAAAAGGGTTTGTAAAAACGAGATATGAGGAAGGTCCGGGTGCTGTTTGATTGAACTCAAAAGAAAGATACAGGCGGGATGTTTGGGGTATTTATTCTTGTCGAGCCAGCTCGTACCTGCCCGCGTGTTCGACAGGTCCATGTCACTGACGTCTGACATCAGGTCGTTTACTTGGTACGTAGGTACCTCCCAAGATCCTTGGTGGAGTGGCAAGCCCAATTGGGTCATCAAAAGCGATCTCATTGGCTGTTGGTGTCTCCAACTTCCAAATCTTATCCAATCATCGGTCAGGTATTTCACATCCTCAACATCCGGTGTCTTCCTTTGGTCAGCAAAACTGCGATCTGGAACGTGGCTTGAGTTCAGAATGTTTCAGCAACAGGTGATTGGTGCGCCGTCCCGATATTCCGTGGCAAATCCACATCGGGAACATCAGTCTAACATGAGCTCGATACAACGAAGACGATACCATTGGTCCCTCGCCTGCCTTCACCCTGCCTTCACGCCATTCCCCACGCGGGAGCTCGGGTTAACATGGTTGCGAGAATTCGATGCAGGGCTGGCCCCAGACATCGTTCCATCCAGCTGCGCGAATAGTGCTGACCCCTTCGTCGGAGGCGATTGAGACCCACGGGCAGTGGTGCCGGAGCTGCTCATCCTCCGCCGGGTGACTGGTGGCCTAGAGGTTTGGGGTCCCGCCGAGCGACCGAAGCTCAAGCGATCCATCTCCATCCTTGCCTCGATGAACGCCGCCTGGTCAGACCACAAAGCGATTCCGGGTATCAACATGATGTCCTTGACGCTGATCTGGGGGAACAAGGGCAGGACAGCTTGGCCGTTCTGATTTTTGGTTTGACCTGTGCTCCCAGTGAGGCTTCCTTCGTCGTAGTCGACATGCCTGTCCCCGCGTTCGAGATCATCGAGGCTCTCCAAGAACTCAACGATGACTCGGTCTTTCGACTTCTGCAGCGGTCTCCACATTGCCACGGCGCCGTTGAACAACTCTCTGACCATCTGCTGTAAATCGTCCCTGGCCCGCCCCGCAGGAAGGAGATGGTTGAGAGTGGAGCAAACTTCGTTCGTCGCAATTTCCACGATGCGGGACGTTGTCTCGTCCGTAGCCTCAAACTCGGCCAGTAGCTGGCACCGCACGATCGATTCGCGGCGCGGCGCCATGAGCTGTAGGGTAGTAGATATGGCGTTTTGTGCTCCGGCCATCTCAGGAAGGTAGATATCTGTGAAGACGTAGTTGACCAAAGCGCTGCTTATAATAAACTCTGCCGCAGCACACCTCATCAGCCGTGCGGATTTGTCCATCGAGCTCGGCAGTGGTAGCTTCGCCTTGCGGGCCTCTAGGCAGCGGTCAAGGTGCTCGACAAACGAGCCGAATGATGGCTGGGAATGTCTTAGCAAACGGACCTCTTCCAAAGTAGGCTTTGACTCACGGTCAGCACTGCATTATCGCCGAAAGAGGCCACAGCCAAGTCATGGCATTTCGAGGCGAACTCCTCGAGGGTCCTCGCACTGGAACATGTCAGTACGGTTCCAGGAATCTGGCAAGGGGAGATTCCATACAGATCCTCAGGGCTGAACTCAATCAGTCGGCCTTCGCCAACGAACCTGCTCAGCTGCTCGAAGTTTGCGTCTGACAGACCAAGCGCATGATTCAGCCTGTCACATTCGGTCTGCGATACTTCGCTTGACTCCTTCAACTTCTCGAGTGAGGTCGCGAGTTTGTCGACATTGGCCTTGAGTTCTTTATTCTCCGACCTGAGACTTCTGGCCTCTTCAATCGCTGCCTTCAGGGAATCTTCGGACTTGCTCACTGCCGACTTCAAGGCCACATCTTCTTTCAGCTTGTCGTCGTATTCCCGATGTTTCTTCCCGAATATCTCGGCGAGGACGTCTTTGTCGTGCTCGAGTTTCTCGATCTCGGTTTTCAGTGCCTTGATCTCCTCGTCTCGCGCCTTGAGAGTCTTGCTGAGCGTCTTCTGGTTCTCAACCGTCTTCTCAAATTCCAAGGCCCCGGCAGTGTCGTTTTTCAAGTCGGTCATGAGGCCGCCGAACTTGGCAAGCTTCTCGGAGAACTTTGAAGCCTTTGAAGATGCCCGTGAAGACGAAGCAGCATCGTCCGCCGCCACCGCCGCCTTTTTCTTGTTGTCCGCCATGTCGTATCTCGTGTGTCTTGTTTCTCTTTGGTAGGTAAGGCTGGCGAACTCTGAAGAGGGGTGTAGATCGCAGCCTCTTGGCCCACCGGTGTCTTTAGTCTTGATTCCCATCTTGGGACGCCACCAAAATAAGAACTGGAGCGGGGAAACCAAGCCAGCTTCCAGACCAGCAAACAGAGCAGATGTGCAGCTTCCCGCGGTGACAAATGTAAATAAATTGTGGCCGAGTGATTGATTCTACATCGACCCGAAACTCACTAGCGATGCAAGTTGAGTTTTGGTCTCGACCATTCGGCTTGAGGGCTGTCCCTTAGCGCTTAGAGAAGAGATATACCTCAACCGACTGTGCTTCGGCATCGAGAACCGGAAGATCCAGGGCGGCCTTCTCACGAACTACCCAGCCATCCGTTGACATGAGGTCAAAGAGTGCTTCCTCAGACGAGTGCCTGGGCTTGGTTGCGAGCAGCACCTTTGTTTCCCACGATTTTTCGGGGCAATTGGAGTGTTGAGTGGCTGCGCTGTGTAGCGCTGAGAGGGTTTGGACCAGCGTCGGGAGCATGTCCACGTTGTAGGTACAGTCACTCAGAACGACGAGGTCCCACAGTCGAGATCGTACCTTTGGCCCGAATCTGCCTAGCTTGCCGTCTTCCCAGTCCAAATTCTCGTATTTGACCTCCACATTTGGACCATCCAGGTCCTGGAAATATGCTGCATACCGAGATACGTTGGCCTTCGCGCACTCTTCCGCCTCGGCAAGGTCGGTCATGAGCACAGAGGCGCCGGCAGCCCCACTGCCGACGGCCGAACGCAGAATCTCGGCAATGCCGATACCCAGGATCCCCACCCCGCACCCCAGCTCAAGGACGCAGAGCTCCCGATCCTCGGAGAGCACATCCTTCAGCCACGCCAGAGACGCACGGTCGCCATCCGCGGCTGCAGCCGCTGGCGAATGCAGATCGGCAAGCACGGAGACGGTGGCGATGCCGGCATCCCACACGTGGCGGGCGATGCTCTCGCCGATCTCCTCCTGGATCTCGATCTGCGACATGCCTGCCCCGGTCTCCAGGAGCTCCAGGCGGCGGGAGGATACATGAGGGATGTCCGTACCCGGCGCAGGCAGCTCTACGTAGACGGGAACGATCTTGCCGCCTTGATTGCTGGCCACGACGTCGCTGGCTCTGGACGCCACGAGGCGTTGGTCCGTTGGGCGGATTTGGATGACCCCGGCTAATCCCGGCGGCAAGGGCAGGTCGAGTTTGAGGACCCTCATCCCGGCCTGCCACCGCGGCGGGGATTTCAGCGTCATGTTGGTGAAGGACGCCCCGTCATGCTGTGGTCCCGACTGTACCAGCACTGAAAGACTGATGGGCTGTGCTGGGAAGAGGAAGGAGTCGCCTAGGTCCGTGGTGATTGTCAGGACGAGCCTCAAAGACGGTCTCGACGGTCTCGACGGCGACCCGTCGAGGCTTGGAGGACGCAGTAACCGAATGTAATGCATTACCTAAATTTACGCAGCCTTTGCCCTGAATTCCAGGTATCTACCAGCGCGAGATGCAATGCAGGTCGTGAAGTCAAAATAAGATTGCGCCACCCCACATGGATGGACCCCTAATTCCCAGACAGACAGACGCACTGGCACGGCCCGAACCCCGGCACAGCGCCGCAAATTTTGATTCCAACTTCAAGTCCGGAACTCCAGTCCTCAGCCATTCTACCCATGGAATCTCATGCTTTTCCACCTTGCCCACTCATATCTCCGATTCTGCAATCTAGCTATCACCTACCGCCGTCAAAAGTAGCCCCGTGAATTCCTCGTGTTAAGCCTCACTTGGCCTGCGGGTGGTGTCCATTGCAAATGCTCGATGTTTTCCGTCCGTGTATTTCAGCTCAGCTGGTATCGACACTTCTGTCTGCCTTCAAGTCCTGTTATGGTGACCCATCTGAACAAAATGGGAGATAGTATATAGTGCGCAATCCTCAGACCCCTCTGGTGGTATTTCACCTGGACTGCCTCTGTGGGTGGTCCATTTTTCCCTCCACGTCGCTTGCTCTAGAAGCAACGGCATTCCCACCCCAGCCCATAGGGCAACCAACTCTCTGGATTCTGGTGTATCCGTCACGGGAGTGATAGAGAGGGCCTTCTGTCAGCCTTGCGCACCTTCTAGGAGGAAGTTCTTCAGAAGGGTGGCTGTCTTGTCCCTGTCAGGTTGTTTCGCTACGAACAACAGGTGCATCTCTCCGCCCCGCAGATGGGAGATCGACCTTATAACCGATCTTTGCGTCTGCTTCCGATAGCTATCCCAGTACCATCGTTCGTGTCCCTTTTGCAACAAATATACCTAGCTCCCTGCCCCTGAGCGCCAACCCGCCCCCCCCCCCCCTTCCCTTTAACCCGGCCCGTCTCGTCAGTTTCCACGTCCTCTTCAGCTTCGGTGGTTGTCTATATCTATCCGTCGCCCCTTGTCGTCTTATCCCCAGCTCCTTGCAGCCCTCGAGCAGGTATCTCGCCGCGAAGCGCGGGGCGGGCTTGAAGAAGCCGAGGATGATGCCGTCTCTGCGACGTCTGCGGCGCATAAGCCTGTGGAGATAAGGCGAGACGAAGGGAGCATGTGTATTCCATCCTCTGGAAGACATATCGAGGAGCATGGATTGGGGTCCAGTTGACTGATAATCCAGGAGAGAAAACCCAGCTCCGTCAATCCACGCGTGCCGCTCCCATCAGACCGTTGTCCGAAGGCTATCAGAGACCATCGCCCCTTTCTGCTACTGCTAGTGGCAGCGGTAATGCCATCAATCCGGCCCGCCGCCGTGACTCGCAGGCTGAGCTAGTTTCCCCGTCTGATTGACCGCGCTCAACCTCTGGCAGCGCATATGATCCCCTTTCAGGGGCTTTGTTCGCGAAAAACACCGCACCAAGGCCGGTCTGGTCTTATCTCTGCGGCAAAAGGGGGCAACAATGATAGCCCCTGAATCCAGTTAGTGCCCAACAGGAGGTGTAAGGACTCTGGTTCCATGATCTTGCCTTATCCTGGCTGGCTTCGGGGAGTTCTGTTCTTCTTTTGATTCCGTGGTCCCTGCCCCTTTGCCCACTGTCGACCTTGGTGTTGCTCCGCGTTACCATCGCCACTCCCGGACCCGCTCTGGGCTCTGTCTCCGCCCACCTCGGGGCCAGCCCTTGCCCTATTCTCGGCAGCCATGGCCATGGAGGCACGCCCCGAGACAGCAAGGCCGCGAGGCCACGAGGCCACAGACTTCGAGGCAGCGAGGCATTGTTTACCCAAGTATTTATTGCTTGCGAAAAGTTCGGAACTCCCACCACAAAACCTCATCTTCCTCATCGTCTTTCTCTCGAGTTTTGCTGCAGTCTTCTTTTTTTTCCAACCCCATCTTGCAGTGCCCTCTTGCTTTGCATACTATCTTCTCTCTATGCTTCGAAAGCTCCTTCTGCTCGTTCAATATGCTTCCTCCACCGAACGTTAACCTCGCGTTCCTCAAGAACCTCTTGCAGGAATGTGAGGTGGCCCGCAAGGAAGCCGCCATCTGGCGTCGCCGCCAATCTGGGCTGGACATATCCGCCGAAGATGAGGCCTTCTTCGCTGAGCTACGTCTTGCTTCTATTGCTACTGGTAAAAAGAACGTTGTCGACGACGACGACGATAATGATAATGAGTCGAAGGTAAGTACTTTGGAGGCCATCACCACGATATAGGATTGTTTACTGACACGCTTAGGGTATCATGGTGGGAGTCAATGTCCCTCAGGAAGGAGAACCTGTTACAGAGATCACAGCCAAGTTGGACGGCCAAGGTGAAAAGAACGATGTTGCCGATTGCAAGGTAAGAAGTGGTTTAGTCATCCATCCCCAGACAAGTAGGTAGTCCAGCTAACCTTCTCCAGGGTGGCTCGGTGAACTCGGTGAGCTCAGTTACGGCGAAACGTGAGGCCGATAGCCAGAAAGGCGGACCCCCAGCCCAGACCACCACTCCCACGACCGAAAAGTCAACATCTGAAAAGTCCGAGAGTGCAGACTTTTCTCCCAAAGTCACCACCAACCTCCCAGAGAAGTCCTCAACAAAAACGAGCGACCACCCCCAGGAACCTGAGGGAACCAAGCATCGCCTCGCAGACGAACCTGAGAAAGAGAACCAGACCGTCGAGCTCCCAGAAGATTACAAAGCCGAAGAATCACCGATCGACATCGAAGAGTTGATCAGACAGAATCCCGAGCTCACCCTGAAGGAGATCGTCTTCAGCGTCATCGCCCAAGTTGCCGAACGGGAAGGCGTCGAAGGCACCAAGAACTTCCTAAGGACCCTCCCTCCCGCCGTTCTCGATCTATTTGAAGGCGTCGACCCCCTCCCTGGTTCCTTCGGACAACGATCACAAAGTGACCTCGCAGTAAGTACCAACCCACCCTATCCTCCAGGTACCTACCCAAGATACCTCGGCCAACCTAGCTACCATCTTTTCTCTCCCACCGCACATCAAAACTCTTGAACAAAAATTTCTCCGTCATATCCCACAACTCGGTCAACAATCTCGGAAAAAATAACTGACCATTGAAAAGACACCGGTTGCGTCGAAGGAAGCATCCAAGGCCGACGACGGCACATCCGACCCTGCTCAATCGAGCTCCATCTCCGGCTCCGCAATGGCCTCCTCCTCGACACTCGCTTCCAAGCCGCTCCTTCCGGAGTACGGCCCTCCCGTCACCGTCGAGGGTGGCCGGATCATCTGCAAGGCCCACAGCAAGGGCATCTGCCGCGCCTGCGGCATCGACTATACGGATGTCAGCCTGCTCGACCAGAGCATCCGCGGTCTCTCCCTGGGGGAGATCGAACACACCCTCAACTACCGGGACAAGACCGGTGGGTTCGTGCCCGTCTTCGTCCGCGGCGGTGGCCAGTTCGCTGCCAAGGACGCCGTCGAGAGGGAGACGGAGCACCCCTCGGTCGAGGAGCCGGACCGCCAGCTGGGCGTGGTGTTTGACCTGGCTAATCTCAAGCGGGTGCAGGTGGTCTTCGGGCCGGTGAGCAGGTTCGTCCCCCAGTGGGACGACGAGGTGATGGGCCGGGCCATGCCCCCCTCCCTCGACTACCGCAAGCCGCCCGTCGAGGACGTGCCAATCGACCAGCTCCAGCTGGTCGACTGCAAGGAGTGCCAGCTCACCTGGCACGGGGGCCACCGAAACCTGGTGGAGATGGCCGGGTCGCACCCGTCGCACCACTGCCGGTACCTCCCCATCGCCGGCCCGAGCCGCTCCGTCCTCGTGCACGTGGACGGCGCCTTCACCCCCGCCTGTGCCGGCACCGTCGCAGGTGCCCATGGCCAAGGCGAGGGATCTGAGGGGTCCGCCGGCCCGTCCGCGTCGACGGCGGCGCGCGAGGCCCGGGCTGGCATGGGCGTGTACTTCGCCGAGGGAAGCAAGTACAACCTGTCGGAGGCGTTCGACCGCTCCGTCTTCAAGTTCGCCGACCCCCGCAACGGCAACCACCCGGCCGTGGTGCTGAACCAGGTGACGCCCCAGCTGGCGGCCGTGGTGCGCGCTCTGGCGACGGTGCGCGAGCGCGTGGTGCCCGAGCGCGCCGAGGAGGTGCGGGCGGCGTCGGCGTGCAACAGCCAGCACGCGGCGCGCGGCGCCGAGCGGTTCCGCGTCGTCGTCTGCACCGACTCGCTCGACGTGGTGGACGCCATGTGCTACCGCCTGTACAACGACTGGTGGCCCAGGGGGCTGAACGAGGGGGTGGTGGCGTCGGCGCGCAAGGCCGAGAAGGCGAAGAACAAGGGGAAGAAGGCGAAGAAGGCCAAGGAGGGGAAGACGCCGGTGCCGGTGCCGCGGGGCCATGTCTCCTGGGACGACTTTGTCGTCAAGGAGAACAACGGGAAGCTGGTCCTCGTCAGCAAGAGCACGGGCTGCCTCGTGCCCAACTCGGACGGCATTCTCAAGATCGCTAGGGAGGTCGCACTCCTCGGCGCCGAGGGCGTCACCGTCTGCTACTATCTGATCTCGGCAAAAGAGAACATCGCCGCCGACCGCCTGGCGAGGGCCGGCATGAACCTCTGACCGGGTTCTCGGCAAGATTTTACCCCAAGAACGGAATAGGGAATGGCAAGGCGAGGGGCATATGGAAAGGAGTATCGGAGTTATCAAGGGCTTTACATGAGTCAAGGCTTTGCAGGGGTTAATTTGCGGGCTGGTTTCTGGTTTCTGGCTTGGCTCTCCCCATTTTTCATCTTGCTTTTATGGTATTGCTTCTTCCAACATACATCGACCCGGCGTGGTTTAGTGGGTAATATGCGGTCCTCCGCCAAATGGAAATGAACAATGCTTTCCGATCAAATTCTTTCGCTTTGTTTTCTTCTCTGACTAGCCGTGACATGGGGCTTGGGTGTTCTGTTCCGCCGCCCGATATCCTCTCAATAACATGGTCCGTTTCTAGTCCGTAAACAGCAAGAAACAATGGGCTTCGTTCTCCATCATGAACTGCGACAAGCATGGTCGAGGTCCTCGAGCTCGTCCGACACCCCTGGGCCCTGAAGTCCCCGATCAGGACCCTACAAGCTACCATCTCCAAACCCTCCTTCCACCTGAAGACATGGTGATCGGAAACATACCGCCCCCCGGGGTCTGAGATACCCACAGCTGCATGCATCATGGATGATCTACTTTGTACTTCGCACTCGTCGGAGAATGGTTCGGTTCGTTCCAGCAAATCAAGACCTTGCAGTTTGAGCTATCGACGTAGCTTCAAGTCCCGTCTCTGCTGCCACAACTCGGCAAGAAGCCGATATTTACACACCTGCCTGATGGGCAATGCTATGTATGACGTATACAGTCCAGTTCACATGTCCGACATCTCCCAATCAAGCACCACTTTGTCCCCGCAAGAGGAGGCCGCCAGGGCAGAAAAAAGGGCAAACACTCCCCAGTAGTTCATCACTAGTTGAAATGGGACCCCGCTCGCTCAGCTGATCAAGGGATGAAGCTTCGGATAGACTTTTTAAACTTCAGCGGGCACGGGAATGGGCCGGGCCCCGCCGGCATGCCCCGCACCGCGGCCCCAGAGAGATTACCTATATGGGGGACGGGAGGGGGGAAGAGGCGTGAAAAGTGGCTTGCAGTGAGGAACTAGCTTGTCTCGCAGGGAAACCCGGTAAAGCTGAAGTCGGTGCGCTTTGCCTCCCCCAGTGACATTTCTTTTTCTCTTTTTCTGGTTTACGTTCCATTTCCCTCTCACCAAAATCTTCGGTTGATTGGCTTCATTACAACCTCCAGCCGTCGGTCGTCACACCCAGCTTCTTGTACAATTGAAGGGGGGGAGTGGGCGAAGCAGACCACACCACCCCCGCCCGTTTCTGGGTGTTACAGTGCACCAAGTACGGAGGTACCTACCCCGAGATTGGCCCCAAATGGACCTTGCGCAGGCATGTACAGTACATGCCCAGGCGTGCGAATAAGGGACCGCCCAGTATAAGGTTCGGGAGGGAGGGGTAGGACGCAAGCCACGCCGTCATCCCAAAATAGGCCCAGCGCGCCCAGCTTACCTGCATACGAAGGGAAGCCGCGCAGATACGTAATGAGTTCGCATATGGTCGGTTCTGAGTGGTGGCCAGCGACGGAGGAGGGGGGAAGGGGGATGGAAAAAAAGGATCTGGCATTTTGCTTCTAGAAGACGGGTGCATCGGGCGCAGGACGACCAAAAGGAGGGGGGATCAGCGTGTCCTGTCTTTTGGGTACTTCGTATGATGAAGACAGCGCTTAACTCTGCCCAAGGGACGGGTCTTTTTCCACAGCGATAAAATATAATAGGGCACCTAAGGTAACCATTGCTAAACTGTGCTGAACTGTGCTGAACTGACCTCCCAGCGGATTGTCTGGATGAATGAGCTTCCCCCTTCGCCCACCTTGTGTGCGCCATCTCGACGCTGATTGGCTGCTGCCCGTGATTGCGCCCGATGAGAACCCATAAGCGCCGCCCCCCCCCCCCCCTTTCCCCCCCCCCCGACCGCGTGCAGCACACCGGTGCTTATTGTGGGACTAAGCAAAAGCACAAGCGCAAGTACGCATGCACTCCCAGATGCAGGCGGCTGCTATCAATGGGATGGAAGGCTGCCTGGCGGGGCGGCTGGGAGGGACTGCACTCGGATGGCGAGGCTCGCATCCTATGCACTGGGCCGGATGATGGGGTCGCCTGGGTAGCGCCGAGTTAATATGTACTGTACGAGGCCAAACGCCCTTCCTCTGGATCCTTCGCGGCTTACGGCTGCAGAGCGGGATGGGAGGAACAGGACACACGAGGCTGAGCGCCGTAGATGGCCCCCACAAACAAGCCGAAGCCCCCTCAGTAAGCGCCTGAAAACGGTGGGCTGACTCTTCATTGCGAATCGTGCATATGCCCAGGCGCAAGCTCAGATCTTGATCTCCTCCATGGCGGGTAGACTGCAGGAGTAGGCAGCCTGACCTGGGCGTCTTTTCGCCCGGGAAGTCCATAGCGTTTTGAGGTTGACTCAGACCACGACATAAACCACAAGACGTTGCCGCATTCGTGCAGAGGAGGGGGAGAAAAGTGGATGACGGGGAAAGGCAACGATATACGAGCAGAAGTTGTGATATCAGCCCGGGATATGAGATACATCTCTCAAGCCACCTGCCTTGGGCCAAGGATTGAATCCAGGACTTCCTCTGGCGCCAATTAGCAGTCCCCCATAAACCAGAACCCGCACCACAGAATGGGAGAAACCAGCGCCGTCTGCGTCCTCCAACAACTGCTGCCAGGTTTCGGACACCAGCCGATTGGGCCCGATCCGTGACGTCACGCCCGACGCAAGGCTGGCCGCCTCCATCCACCCATGCCTCCAGGAACGAGGCACAAGTATACCAGGTGCCGAGAGGAAATAGAAACGAGGCAGAAGGAAGAACAAGCGCCGGCCGCTCATCATTTAACCGGTCGCCCCAAGCGAGCCGCCCTGGGGGGGTCACATGCAAGGGGTGCCGTGCGATGACTCGCATTCGCGGCCGCGCCAGCGGCCCATGCGATCTGAGCAGGCGACTGTATACAAAAAATACAGGGGGGCACGGACAATTGGCGGAGCCGAAGCTTCAAACGCTCATGGTCAAATGGGGGTGGGGGTGTGTGCCTAGGGGGGTGGTTGGGAGGCGTCGAGGTGTAGGGTGGGCAGAAAAAAAAGGTGAGAAACAAATAATAGTAGGAGCGTGAAACACCCCAGTACAGTGCCCCGAGATCGTGGCCCTCTGCTCCTGTTTGTCGACCGGGATAGGTGGTCGAGCCTTGTGGGCGACCGAGGGAGGGGTTTCCCATTCTCTGTTTGCTGTTTCGCTTCAGCCTTACCAACGCGTCACCACTCCGGCAGTTCTAGGCGGTTGTCCAACTGGTCCACCCTCCTCCATCTGCGGTACCTGTTGCAGGAGCGACGATCGCACACTTTTGCGGCCCCTCCAGCTTGGTACATGGGACGGCAGAGGCGCGCTAGGTCAACCCTGTGTTGTAACCTCCAAGGTGAGTATTTTGGGGGAAGGGGTTGCTAAAATGGGCTGGGAAGGAGCCACTAGGATGGAGAGATTGGAGCAGTCGGGCGCTTATTTTTGGGGAGGTGCAACGGCTGTCAGCATCGCGCACTCGCCCACTGTCAAGATAGACGCTGGAGCGAGGCGAAGAAGGTTCTCACCTGGGCGCGCGCATATAATAGGTGGTTGGGTAATCACCAGCGGGAGATGCTATTGGCTAAAAACCGGTACAGGCGTTTGTTTTTCGGTGGTGACTGCGGTGTGATACATGCGATAGGGCAAGCCTCTTCATATCACAAACACACAGACACACACTGGTCACACACACCGAGCAAAATGAAATAAAGAAAAAGGAAGGAAGTGTGACAGTATCCAAGACACGGCATGGCAAACGCTTGCTTGCCAGCCAGCCAGCCAGCCAGCCAGCCACGGTAGGGATGCGCGGTGAAGCGGTGAAGCGGATACGCAGCTCAACGGGCGATTAAACCCGGACCTGGTAGGAGCAAGGAGCTGCATGTTATGCAGTGTGTAACTCCGTGAACGCGTTACTTTTGCGCGCGGAGAGGACTCAGGTGGTTGCGCGAATGCAATGCAAGGGAGCAAGTACTCCGTAATAACGAAGCAGAAGCAAACGACAGTTCATCCGACCAACAGATCTGCGCCTGCATGCAGACGAGACTGACGGACCACAAGTGAAAGAGAAAATGCTGCGGCCGAATGGGACCAACCAAGTCTCGGCGTGTCTGTGCGTGCAACGAGGGCGACGGAAGGGGGCCAGCCGCAGCCTCGGAGTTTTGCAGTTTCTGGGTGGGCAACGTCGACCCTGGGGAAACTTGGTGGCAGGCGGAAGGGGAGGGTGTCAAAACCAAACTCGGGCGCAGCCCATCCTTGGTTCTCTTACACATTGATAAATTGAAGGTGGACCTCGCTGCAATCGACAGAGGGAGTGCGGGAATGCGCAAGAAATAATCCAGTACCCGTGCCCATCTTGCGGCGTCAGGCCCGACGCGGCAGCAATGCACGGGTGCATCTGATGTGCCATGCACAAAAAATGGAGAGAGGAGAGGAAAGGGAGGATTACCAAGGGACAAGGGTCAGGGGTGGAATCTCGCCTGCGAGCCGAAACCCACAATAAAATTCGGCCCGGAGGAGACTGTAAATAGGAGAGTGAACGCCACGGATACGTGAAAAGAAACGAGGAAAAGAAAGGAGAGAGAAAATTTAAATAAATAAATAGAAAAAGTCCCAGGCCGCGGTTCGGCTGGTCGCACCCCCTCTCCTTCTGCTACACGGCGAATATAAAGAAAAAAGGCATGTCTGGCGAAGTTGCAATATCATACCATTCATGTCCTGCTGCCCAAAGGAGTCGGGACGGAACTTGACGTCGTTTGGGCGACTGTTGTGTGTGGATGCGGCTGCCGGGTGTTATGCACGCCCTTGCTCCCATCAAAACACCAGCTATGTTGTGTGGTGTGGTGGCTTTGGAGCAGGAATTAGGGCACAGCCAGTAGGGCTTTTTTTCCTTTTTCATTTTCATTTTCACCTGAGGAATGTGATCGTCATAATCATGCACACAATATTGAACGGAGGACGAAGGATAATTAATCCCAAAGTTTCCAAAATATAGCATTGCTCGCTCTTTATCTATCGTCGATGTTGTTGGTTGGCTTCCACCCAACAAACTGAACTGACAAGAAATAGAAATGAGAAAGAAAAAAGCTGAGGGTATATCCATCCAGTGACACCCACACTGCAAGACTTAGAAAAGTGACGCCTCGCGATAATTGTGGGAGAGCGTCGTACAACACCGAAAGTAAACGAGAAATATATGACGCCCAGCGATGCTCCCCGTACTGTCTGTCAAGAGAGAGGGCGGTGACCCGTGATTCCTCCCTCGAAAAAGACCCAAGCAAATTCCTCCACACGCGAAAAATAATAAAGAGAACCCAACCTGAGATGCTGCTGTTGTGGAACAAGTGTAGCACCCAAACTTTTTGTATCCCCGTAGTGTCTCTGAACCCCCCCATCCTGTCCGTCTTCGTCAACATCGGCGTCGGGCCACTGGCGGTTTCCCCCGCAGTGCGCGCCGGAAATAAGAGAGAATGTTGGGTATCTCTGAAAGACCTGGAAAAGACGGCCGCCCACGGGATTGCTCCCCGACTATCTGACTGTATTATTGAGGGCAAAGGAGGCAGAGAAGCCTCCAGATAGGAAAATCATGCATGTCCGTCCATCCGGTTAACTGAACGACCCCAAGAAAACGCGCGACCATATCGTACAATTCGGGCTCCTCGATGTGCTTATCCCGGGATTTTTGGTTTGCTGGTTCTCGGCAGATGGTTACCGAGAGAATCCTGGGGAGACCTGGCAGAAAGAGGGGATGTGCTCCTGGAGAAGGATGATTTGTGTGTTTTACATAGTCGGCCTCTTGAGGACTTCCTCGCAGTTAGCGTCGAAGCGCAAACTCCAGATCCGGACGTTGGCCATGAAGCGTTCCGTCTTCTCCAGCTCGCGCTCACGGCCGAATAGGGTGAGGACGAACTCGACACCAGCATTCATGCCGAGCTGGCCCTCCTTCTTCTTGGCGGACTTGAGCATGGGCGCCTCGCAGGCCTTGAGCAGCTTGCGGAGCTTGTCGCCCAGGCGCTCGCCAGACTCGATAAAGTCCTCGACCATCTCCTTGTTCTCGGCGCTCCGGATCCGGGGGACGACCTCCTCGGCACGCTTCAGCTTTCCGGATAGCTGGATGAGGAGGAGCCACAGCTCGCCAGCCATGTCCGACATTGGTTGGGCAGGTCCATGCTTGTAGACGGTCCAGTCGTATATCCACTTCCCGAGGGAGTTGGCGTCAAAGACGCTGCCGAGGAGCATGATGGGTTCCTCGGTGGGATCCCAGTTCTTGAGGGAGTATCCGGGGGGGATCCTGTGCCTCTTGGCGTCGGCCTCGGTCGCCTTCGGGGGTGGTGGTGGAGCCTTCTTGTGGGAACTTCCTGGTCGGGCAGTTTGCGGACGCTGGGGAACCGAGGTCGAGTTGCGACGGCTATGTCCTACTGGTGCGGCCGGCCGGCGATCGGGCTCGTACCGGGGTGAGTTGTAGCCTGCCGACTCCCTGTCGAGATAGTGGCCGCCCTGTGGATAGTAGCGGTGATCAGTTTCAAGTCCAGCAGCGTTGACAGTATATTCCCTGTATCGCTTCGACCTCGATCGCGCGGGCAGCACATAAGTGATGCCGTTGATCTCGACGTACTCGTCCTCGTCGGATTCCCCATGGGAGTCTGAGGCCCGATAGTAGGAAGTTGAGTGGCGACGCTCGCGCGCAACACGCGGAACCGAATAAGTGTGGTGGTGCTTGCGCGGAGACCGCGTTGAACTCACATTTGCAGTGGCGTATTGACCATCGCTCGTGTACCGAGGCGAAAATGACGGCGTGCGAGGAGTGCCATAGTCAAAGGCGCCGCTGCTCGGGTGGCGGAAGTGAGCGCGCGTTGCCGGTCTCTGCGGAGTTTGGGCGTAATAGTACGGTGGTCCGCGGGGCGAGGGCGTTGGTGATGGACTCGCGTATTTCTCCTCGTAGTAGTACTCCTGCGAGCCGGGAGTCGACCTGTTCGGCGAGTTGTAGGCCATTTCTTCCAGGCTCTTGCGGTGTCGCCTCGACACCCTGATCTTTCGTTGTTGGGGTTTGGTGTTGGTCGATGGCCTCCCCTTCAGCCCCTCTTGCAATCGATCTCCTTTTCTCTTATAGTCGCTCCTCTTGTGTGCTCAGTGAATCGCGCCTGTGGCGTGGCGCGGGAGAAAGTGACGACAGTCACCTTGGTATGTGGTCGGTAGGAGGAAGGGAGGAAAACCGACTTCTCTTGGAGAACATGTCAAGGGCCTGCGTGCTACCGTCTCTTCTCCTGCTTTGGAGAAAAAGGGGTGTGGATCAAAGTCGTGGTGAATCGACCCTGATCGTAGGTTCTAGAACAAACTGGACGCTTCGGCAGTCCAGATGAGAGAATTGATGAGTAAAAAAGAGTCGATAGGACTGGATGCTTGGGCAGGGTTTTGAGGTAATAGTATTGGCGAAATGCCAAAGTTGGACCAAGAGGGAAAACAGAATGGCTGGGGGAGAAGTGGTGATTATATCCTGCACGAGCCCACCTCCTGGCTGGTACCCACCGAGCAAGACTCAGGCGTGCGCCAGCACCAGCAGGGAACGCTAAAAGCAGGGATTGTGGGCGACAGGGGTGCCCGGAGTGAATTTAGGTGGGCGGACACACGTGTAAAATGCCATTCTTCTACCCGACCCTTGTCATTACGGAAGTTGGTGGAGGGGGCGTGTGGCCAGCGATTCGCGCACACTCAGTCCCCTGTCCTCAGATTAGTCACACGCCCCGAGCGATGAAGAAGCCACGCCTCTGTTGCAAAGTCCTCCGTACCGAGAGTCCCCGATTCGCACTGCCCTCTCGTCCAGCGATTTGCGACAAGCCAATCAACATCAGCGCCCTGCCCCTTGGTCAGACTGAGGCGAACAAACAAACGGTCACGTCGTTCAGAGCTGTTGTCGTTTGATTCAATTTCGAAATGAACCACCATCCAACAACATTTGTGTGACTGTTTGGTTGCCTGGTCGTATTTTGCAAATTTAGACCTCCCGGGGCCCTCGGCACCAATTTGCGAAACGGCCAAAAATCCTGGCTTTGGGCGGGACACCTCGAGGGCCTTCCAGGGCCTGCAATCCCAGCAATCTTGCAAGCGAAATTGTGGTCTCGCCCACAGCCAGGATGGTTCCAACTTTGAACCTTGGGTGGCTGGCAATATCACTTCCAGAAGGTGACTCCAGCCAGGGGTGCAAGAAAATTTTCTTCCTCCTCACGACGGGATCGCTGTCACCTTGATATTCTGCGAGGACAGGGGCAGTCGAGGATGCGGCAAGTGGAAGACTCGCCGCCGGTTGAATCACCAGGGATTGATTGATGAGCCGTGCCGACGGGTGCCCATACGTAAGTCCGAGCTTGCGGCAATTCTGTGAACGAGGAGGTCGGATGGACTGACCAGGACTCTGGGCGGCTGGCAGGTAGGTTCCAAGATGGACAGGTAGGTAGGTATGTTGACGCGGTGGTAGGTCTGGAATCCGGGTTGCGCGGAAAGATATATTTACTGCATACGCAATGCTCAACAGCCTCAGTCCGGAGTTGCGTGCGTTACAAGTTGGCTTACGCTAACCATCAACCCTATCTACGCGTATGCAAGGTGCTAGACGTTGCTCGTGCGGGGGAGAGATGAGCTTAGCATCATCTTGCATGAAGTTGCGACTTCCAATCATCAACCAACCCCTCTACTCTTCCCAGCCCCTCGGTCCTCCCCACACTATTCCATATCCGATGGTGTTTGCGAGTGGCATGAAAGGTTCCCAGGGCGATTCTTAATAGTGTTAAGTCCGCACGAAGCGGCCGCTGACCATACTGGCCATACACTAGATGCCCGTGCGTGTGTAACTGTTAATACACGGAGAATGTTCGTTCCGTGCGACGATAAACGCAATACGCATACGAACGGATGGTGGATGGTGGATCGTGGATGTTGCTGCAATCATGGATAGTTCGTAGCTTTGCCTGCAGTGGTTCGCTACATGCGCACATGCACTATCCGAGCGTTATTCTAGTGTGTTCCCAGCGGTGGGGTAGCGGTTCGAGATCTACCACAGTACTTGCATTGGTACTCCGTAGTGTACCTCCGTACGAAGCAATCAATCCAGTAGTGATGCTCTTCTGTTCTTCAATGATTGGCCCTCCTATCCATTCCTTGCAAGATGTGACATCAGCATCAAAAATTGATGTGACCATGTTTTTCCCTACCATGGAACACACAATAACACACCGAAGGACGTTGACGACAATTCTCTCTCCTGTGGCAAATCGAGCTAGGCCAGCGGTCTCGATCCTCCATAACATTGGTATTGGCCTATGGGAATGTCTCCTCATCTTGCTAGTAGGGCGTTTCGTCGGGCCTAGTTTATTACCAGATTCTCAGTTGTTGCTCTCTTCCCGGCGGCCTACGTTCAGGCCGTAGTGGTGTGTATTTCGAGTCTACAGGTAGGAATCGAGCTCACCGAGGCAGTGAAACATTGGGACCGGAATCCCGCACAGTACTCAAAATACAGCTACACCGGTGCAGCGATATGTCCCTCTCCGAGGTCCACAACCGAACTCGCAGTAGCAGCTGAGCTGAACTTCTCAAAAATCGAAAATGGTAAACCAACCCCCTGTTGAGCTATACGAAGTAGCCCGAAATTACAACCACTGCCACGGGTCGACCGATCAGGGCTGGCCACCGGATCAGACTCCCCTTCTTCCTTTCACCTGGACTCCCATTTTAGGCACCGTTAGCTTACACCCCCCTACCCCTGTTCCCTCCCTAGCGGCCCTGCCCCGTGCGTCAAGGAATGCAGCCAGTCCGTCCCCTGCTTACCTTCCGCTTTAGATGCTCACCGTGAAAATTTTTACCTCGACAAATCCCATTTCATTTCGCTCTCGTTAAATTTCATCAGAAGCCGCTTCGGAGAGAATATCAAGGAATGGGAGGCAACCGAGAACATTTCTCACTGGGGAGTGGATGTATCATCAGAGTGACTCATTGCGCAAAATGGCATGTATGATGTATGCTCTGCTGCCCTAATTCGATCCTCTTTTGAATTGTTTACCTGCACTGATGTCCAATATGAACAGCCATTTGGCGGGTCCTCGTCAGGCCGTCAAGTCTTTGGTCAATTTGGGCCTGCGGTATGCACACACCCACCTCCCGATTGGTTATAGCCAACACGTTGTTGGCAGGGATAGCCAATCGTCGCCGCAGCTGCGGGCCCTTTCGATCTGCTAGCGCTGCATTTGTCTCCCCCTACCCAGCTCAGGGCGCTGATGCAACAGTGGGCTGGCTGCTTCACCACCTCGACCCCCCGATCATGACACGACCGGCAGATTCTGACACAGAAGAAGACGTGGAACAGACCTTCGCCGGCAGCTCCTTCTCACCGACACTTCCCAAGCCTTACGCTATAGCGCCCGGCCCGCAATATGCCTGCCGTTCTGCATATTTATGCCTTCCATGCGGCTCGGAAAGATTCTCCAGAAGCACCTCACAATACGTGGACGAGCGGCCTTGGTTCCCGCAAGGGCTTCGATGCGTCGGATCTACCCACAAAAACAACTACGGCGCCAAATTGCTGAGGAAACCAACTTCATCTTTCCTATTCGTTGTATCACATCCCCAACATCTTTCCTCGCTGGCTGAAGCTGCGATATCAGCATCCTCGCCGTTGGTCCGCCCAGGGTGTATCCGTACGGGCGTGTTGACTCTGATGGTGCATATCCATCCTGCGATTGCGAATCAACTTTTGCCCCTATTTGCTTAATTTCACCCTTCTGCCCTAGGGTACACCGGGGCGGGAGCTTGAGAGGTCATTCATGTCTCTAGCTGTTGAGATCGTCGCCCCATAACCACGCCGCTCATGACTGGCCAAGTCCTACCACTGTCAAGTTGCCCCTCACTCCTGGCCCCTCCCTTCCTTTCCTAGCTTTTGGGAATTGAGGTTCCCCTGTAGAAGTGTGATTGCCACCATTCTTTTGCAGCCTATAAGAACAATATGATTCCCAGCCAATGACATGGAGAGCTCGAGCCCACGCGATGGCATTCGCCAGGCATAACAATAGACGTCACCACTCCTTTCCCGGAGCAGCTTGCATTGTGCACTCAGCTCAGACATGCTAAGTCAACATGGAAATCACAGCCCGTATGTCCCGGCCCCTTAGCCATCGTCCAAGCCAAGGTTCTGCGAGGCAGCTGAACGCCGTTTCGTTTTCCTTCTTGAGGCATCGCCCCGTCTTGGTCATGTATCGGGGCATGCTGCGTACATCTACGGTACCAATGCAGTCGCCAGCGTATGCCCAAGTATACGATTGTGCAGGAAGCACCGCACAGACATGAGACTGATTACAGTGGTCCCAAGAACTCGGATCGTGGCGAAGGGTGGCTATTGCACCGCCACCATAATGTCTAGGTCAGGGGTACGTACCCACAAATTATTCACCAGTGGTCATGGGTTATCCCTGAATCATCTGTCATCAGGGTTGGGCCAATGCGCTGCCCCCGGATGGTACCTAGTTCCCGGTTCCCGAGCCTTCCGGACTTTTGCCGCCCAACGTCAAATATTTCAGGCTCGTCGTAAGCTGCTATTGAGGCGACTTTGTGTATTTCGTAGAGTCGTGTCTGCATTCCAGACTTAGCCTTCGGGTATGCCGTAGTATACAGGGACGGGGAGATACGTCATCAGTCCTCACAGTGATCAAAAGCAAGCCCCGCAATAGGCCCGCTAATTCACCCATTCCTCGAGAGTAGGTACCTTGCTGCCCGCAGCCGGGCTTGGCACCTCCCAAGTCGTGGCCGTTGATGCCCTGCGTGGCGTGGCTGATCCAACGATACTCTACCTGCCTGACGTTCCCAGGACGGCAGAGCCTCGATACGTAATGATGTTTGCCTCAAACGGGAAACAGGATAATACCTATCCCCTTGTTTATTCGTCCTCACTCAACCCTGGACTGCGTCTCGAGTCTGGACTGTGAGTCATACATATATTTCCTGCGAAAACCCTCACTTTCCAGACGAGCCGATATCTCCGCCCCATCCATCCAGGAGCTGGCAGGGGGCAAGTGTCCCGGCTCCACGGTCCCATGGCGTTGCGCGCTTTCCCCTTTTCTGCTTCGCCTCCCTTGTTCGTCGCCGCTTTCGGCAGGGCTATCGGGGGGAGAATGGGGGGAGGTTCCTTGGGGGGCGTGTCGGTATATCTCGCAAGCAATGCTCTCGATGACGACGAAGGGTGTCCGCACCCCTTCGGGTTTGGCTGCGATGATTTGACCCCTTCGCCCTTCTCGGGGGTCGATTTATGTCGTTTCTCTTCTTTGGCTGTTGTGGCTGTATAGGCAGCAGTCGTATATCTCGCTCTCCACTGGCCCTTGTGGATGACTGCGATCTTACTGGTTCGCAGACATGGATGTATCCTGTCCTTGGGTCGCTTACGCCCTCTTGCTGCCTGGCTCCGGCCCTCTTATTGGCGTGAGTCGCGTTGACCACTTCACTCCGGCTGGCCGCAGTTGGCTCTACTGTCAACCTCGGGGTTATTTCTTCCAGTTGCTCCACGGTCTCATGAGCATGGCTGGCAAGGGATGAACTCGAGTCGTCGCCTCATTATCTCCTCCCTAGCAAGTTCGGCATGGCTGTCGCCAATGGGAATGCCGAGTGCTGAGCCCCGTGTAGGCGGGAGTCATCCTGTGACCGAGAATTTCGACGTCGACGATGTGGGCAAGCCTTCCAAGCTCCTCGGATTGCGCATGATTCGGGACTTGCAAGATGCGATCGTCCTGCCCTGGCCGGCCAACCATGAGGATCGTCCTGTCGCACTGTAGTACTCCGATGATGTCGATCGGATATTGGAGGCCGCTGTACATGTTAATGACAGTGAGTCTGACGGGTTGCAACGGCCTGGTACCTTAGATTTCAGGCCATGTGACTGCGCGTCGAGGTCGTGTGCCATATCAGTCAACCAAGCAAAGCACGCCTTCGACCGAGTCATGGTCTCACGTGAAGGGACGTCCTGCGATAGCAATTCCCGCCTCTCAAGACTGTCAACCCACCAGTAGAGCAATATACTCAAAACACCTCCCATCGCCACCGTGACTCATAGCGCTAGCGCCGAGGACTGAAATCTCCGTTAGTTATTCTCGCCCGCCCCGGAGCAGGACTCGTCTCCGTCTAAAGACAGCTTCTACAGCTAGTTGCCGTTGTCGCCCCTCGGTGTCATGATGAGGACCAGGTAAGTTGGAGTCTCAAGTTCCAGACGCGCCAGTGCCTGGGTGTATCCAACTTAGCTACGGGAGGACTCCGACATCAACCCCAAGCACCTTATCCATGAAAGGCAGTTCGTGTAGTCCAAACGTATGCTCGGCACCATCGCCGGCTCTTGAACACTTTTGCGACCAGCTTGCACCTGGGAATCGCCGTCCACCACCCAGAACCAACCAAAAGAAAATGTATCCTGGCAGTGCGTTTGTTCTATCATCCGATATCCCGTACGACCGAGCACGGAACAGCCCCGCCGGAAAAACACTCATCGGGCGGACGGGCGGGACACGACATGTACCCCGTCTGCCGATTTCCCGATATTTCTTCCGCGCCTGAAGCTCCAGGCCCCGTGTGTCTTGTCGGTTACGATATCGAAACAACCGCCGTGGCTCAGTTCTCGAACAGCCGTCCCAAGTATCGAGCTACCATGATGGCAGACACCCCCGGTAAGACTGCCGAGTTCTCCGGGCTCGGGATGAAGCGGAAGGTGGGCTTGGTAAGGAGGGTTGGCGGCGATGGCGGCGATGCGGTGCACTGGATGGGGCTGTCGGGGAGGCTGTCGGTGTAGGGCTTGGTGGGGAAGGAATGGCGGCAGGCAAAGGGTTCTTGTCGAGGTCCGGTTCACACGGGCCCGTGACATTGGACGGCAGTCAGTCAGCAGAGTAACTCTCCATGACTGGGGACTCTAGACCCAGGGGGCTGTTAACGCTACGGTCGAAGAAGAGCAGAACGAACTAGAAACCTCGAGGTAAGCAAAACATGGCTATTACAACCCCGGGTTTAACCGTAAAAAGTACGGGCCGTAGAGCATAGCGATCCGCAGGAGCAGGTGGGGAGGACAGCAGGTGAGGTGTCGCTGGGTTTGCCCGTGAGAGTTTTCAGCATGGCGGATGTAAACAATGTGAACTCGTATGAAGGGAGGTGGAACAGCCCTTGGACGAGATGGTACTCCGTGAGCCTCCTGGCATTGGCGACTGTCGGTTTACTACCTAGCGGTTCGACAGAGGAGCGGACCCTTGCAAGCAAGGGGGCTAGGTCAATCCCATCATTATACTGGACGTTTTGCTTATCACCCCGGCAAATACCGCAGCCCTGTCGAAAGGCTACAATGAGAGGCGGGGAGGGAAGGCGTTTGGGGAAGGGAGAGGAGAGGCAGAATGGGCGAAGTAAAAGGCAAAAATAGTGGCGCCGACGTTGTCTAACTCGACGGTCAAGCGGATATTAGAATAAAGTACTTGGGCAGAGGAAGTGGATGACTGACTGCCAAGGTGTGATGGGGAGAAATATAAAAAAGAGGAAAAGAAAAAAAAAGGACGTGGTGCTGGTTCGAATGCCTGCCTTCAGAGTCATCCCAGAGGTGGCTGTCATAGGAGCCGCGGTCGGCATCACATTCTTACCATTATACCACCCCCATTGTTGTTATTTTAGATGTCACTTGATCTTCTTTATCAACTCATGTGTCCTGGGCCACCTGGCAAGTGGGCATATCGACCCCAAAGTGAATACCTAACCCCCCTACGTATGATCTCAGGTTTATCCTGATGATTAGTCAGGCATGTTTTCTGGAACCCAGTTCGTCAGAGAGGCCGATATCTATGATCCTTCTACGCGCACCGAAAGAGCAAGCCGGTCACAGACGGAGATGGTCGCACCGTTCGATACTAAGCAGTCACCGACTCACCCCAACACAGCACACAAAGGTTCAAGACATTGTAAACCTAGCCAAAACTCTCAAACGAGGTCAACGAGGTTGAATTGATAGTCGTGGGTTTCCTCGATATATCCATATGGGATGAATGGGTAAGGGTAACAGAAGCTCGCACACATGGGTATCTCAACTAATGGAGTTGGATAGATTGAAGGTCGCACATACGTTATTCAACTGGCAGTTATATGGGACTGTGCAATAACCTTCACCAAAACGTGGTCGTCTTGGTGTTATGTTTCTGCCCCTTATGCCCCCGTTGTTGTTGTTGTTGTCGTCGATGTCGTCGTCGTCGGCAACCTCACGTGACGACCTGAGCACAGACCAGACGTGCGTCCCTCCCCACAGGTACCGAGAAGCCCACCACAACATCACACTCCGTTAAGGTAGGTAGCCAGCTACTTTTCCTACCTTAGGTAGGTAGGTAGGTCAACACCGACCTTGAAGCCAACTAGCTGGATTTTGTGCCCAGAAAGTTGGTTGGGGCCGTTGGTACCCACACACGGCTGTTAAGGTATACAACCCGGCCAGGGGAGCCTTGATTTGGGTCTCGCGTCTCGCTCCGCGAAGACGATGCAGAGGCGCCGAAGTTGTGGTTTCCGCCGCGTGGCGGATTCTAATGTGCATTAACTTGCACAATCGTCGAGTGAAAGCCGTGCTAATGGAGAAGGCAATGTGACTTGGTTGACCTGGTTGAGCTAAGAATAGGTGCAGCAATACATCTCTTGGTTCCCAGCTCCCAGCTCGGAGATGGATGACCCGGGCGGATGGTAGGTAGGGTGTGGGAGCACCAACGTGGGCACTCTGCGCCGTTCTGTGGATCGCGTGCATGCTCTCTCGGGTGGGTTGTCTGGAGGAGCACTTCCCCGCATTCCATTAGTGATTACGAACAGGTCTTGGAGTCGAGCTCTGGGATTCCGCATATGATGGTGGCTGTGCTGACCACCGCGACGGACGTGAAAAATCAGACATGATTCCGATTCTAAGTAGTTGGTAAGCCCCAATCACCTCCCCCTCTTCCTCACTCTCACCCTCACGTCCCATTACCCTCCGCCCAAGCACGCCATCGTCATGACCGGGGTCACCGGAATCGCCCTCAACGTGGCCACCAAGGCGGAGTTGCTACCGGAGTTGCGGGGCGACGGGGATGGCGTATCGGCGGCGGACGACAAGACGGAGACGTTGCAAGCCGCCGACGCGAAGATACCGCTGGACTGCGGACATGGCGGGAAGCAAGGGGAGGGGGCGGCAGACGAGCCGGAGTTGGATGAGCTGTCCGAGAGGTTGAACACCGGAGCGTTGACTGTCAGTATCCTTGGGCCGTACGGAAATCTGGCGCGCGTCACTGGCCACGTCTACTGGGATGGGATTGAAAGGGAGACGGATTGGCCATCCTGGGGCGATAGGGAGAGAGAGGCTTCGTGCAGGTGTCACATGCCTCGTTTGGTACGTGTTTGTTACAGACTTCGCTGAGCATGCTTCGTTTGACTAACAGAGACGACAGAGATGTATAAGAGGAAGAAATACATGAGGAAAACAGTCTCGAGGCACGTACGAGTCGCCCGATGATGAGGATTATGGCTTGCTTGATGCCGAGAGTAACCTCAAGTTTGAGAATGTCAATCCCAGAACGGTCACTGTCGGAGGATTTGGCATTGAATCTTGGGACTTCGAAAACACCAAGCCCAGAGAAGACGATGATGGTCATTCGCTCGAGTTTGCCGGTACTACCTGCTAGAAAGCTGCTACGCAGGATGAATGAGCTGCAAACGAGCCCGGGGAAGTTTGGCTGGAATCCGGCGACAGAGGAACTGGACCTGGAGGAGATTGTTGGTACACTGGGGTAAGTTGGCAGCCAATCTTGGTAGATCCTTGTGATCCCGGTGCCGAGTTCACCGGCGTCCACAGAATTGTGTACTACAACCAACAGTATGCGCGAGACCCCAAACGCTGGATTGGGGACCTCTATAGTCTGCGCAATCGCACCGACGTCTTTGCGGAGTTTACAAGGGAATCGAGCGTGGGGCTGCAATGGGCGGCACCGAGAGACGATGAGTATATCGGAATATGGAACTTCCTACGACAGATCATTGTGGCCAGGGAGCTGGCGGTGCGATTGGAACACCTCGACGGAGATTCATCCTATGCCGGCTTCACGGCTCGGGTCTTAGCCAGCCTCATCGTCTCGGATTTGTGTTTGAAGCACGCCGAAATCATCATCACGGACACAAAACTACAGATTGACGGCGCGGAAAAGGTCGCATCTGATGAAGAGAAGGCCCAGGCGGAGGATAGGGACTCCTTCTCTTTGCTGAACAGATGAAGTGGCCGTATATAAACGAGGTCCGCGACTACGCCGAGGATGCCTACAGCAACATCCGTGGCCGACGGTCAACGTCCACCTGCATGACTGGCTGTTCAGTATCATCCTCCCGGGCAAGTGGTTTTGCCTTCAAAATCATGACGGCCTTGGTCCTCTGCACGCCCAGCATCAAGGACAGAATCGGTGTCATTCCCTGTTATGACTGTAGCCTGTCGCTGCCAATCCGGTCATACTGGCGCTCCAGAACAGTCCTGGGCCGCGTGCTGGGTTGTCTACCGGGCGTAACGGGGCTCTGCGGGTGGATCGGGCCGTGTCCCCCAATCGAGCTTGATCCCCCAGAGAAGGGAGGGAAGAAGCCGCGACACGTCCGCGTCAAGGCGCGACGCATCGCCCCGATAGATCACAGGCCGAACCGCGACGACGGCGTCATCGACCTCGGCTCCGGATACGACCGGTTCGAAGCGACGCGCATCCGGCCCGGCGAGGAGGTGGACGCGTATCTCGCGGACATGAAAGACCCGGGCAAGTGGGTCGTACCCGAAGCCCCCGTGCCACAAACCGGCACCTGCGAGATCAAGCCATACAGCTCAGGAAGCTCCCGCTGGACGTCGACGTGGCGCGCAAGGGGGCCGCCAAGAGGACGACCGGCGGCGACGGAGACATCGACGACCTGTACGTGCAGAACGGGACCCAGTACCAGGCGAGCATCTCGTTCCAGATGGACGGGGACGTGGAGGACAGCGCGGGCCCGGTCGCGTACAAGTTCTTCACCAACCCCATCTTCGTGACGCCGCCGCCCTGCCAGGGGGGCCCGCACGAGGTGCACGCGAGGGAGCTGTCGCGGTACCGGGGTGACAACGTCTGGCCGGTCGCGAGGCTGAAGGGCCACACCCCCGAGGACGTCGACGTCGGCGGCGGGGCGGTCGTGGTCATCAACGCCACGGGGAGGGGCGCCGAGGTCCTCGCGAGGGCGTGGTGCTCGGAGCGCGGGGGGAATGCCGTCATCCGCCGCGCTGGGGGGCCCTGCTTCGTCTGCGCTGTTTGCGCTGCCGGCAAAGGGGGCCTCGGCACGGGCGTCTTGATATGGGTCGGGTAGAAGAGCAGCGATCGCGTTGGAAGTTGAGGCCTTGCAGCATATTGCTCGTGCACATCGCAATTATAACTCCGACGATTACACTATCCTATGTGTTACATGGGATTCCCCTTTTGCCCTAGAGAAGGCGACGACTTGACAGGTTCTGGGTGCATTGTATTTATTTGGTATATCATAAATTGGCGATTATTACAGCTCGAACGACAGATACGCTGGGATGCCCAATGTCTAGGTTGCTCATGGATACTCTCAAGATGCCTCAAGGGATCGGTTAGTCTGACGAGAATCCACAAACACCATCTGCCCGACGAGATGGCTCACCCTCCCCCCCTACTTCAGCCTCTGCCCGCACAGCCCAATCGCAACATCCGCCGTCGCGCCGTCGAGGAAGTCATTCATGACCACGACGAGGGCCTCGCGGCCGCACGCGGCCAGCACGTTGTCCCTGACCCACGGCAGCGTCTTGGCGTCGCACAGCGCCTTGGTGGCCAGCAGGCAGCTCGTCGACGCGCCCGCCGACAGCACGCTGTACGCCACGGCGCCCGGCACGTTGGACGCCGTGGCCTGGCACTGCAGCTCGACGAGCACGCGGCCCTCCACGGCCCCCGGCCGCTGAAGCGCCCGCGCGAACCCGTCCACGATGCTGTCGCCCGTCACCGTCGCGTTTCCGGCGTCCGTGTACGTCGAAAGCGGGTCCACGGCCCCGCCGTCGAGGACCACCAGGCGCCTCCCGGCTCGTCGGAGCTGCGCGATGGTCGAGGCGCCGGCGCGCAGGTCGTCGATCCCGCCCGCCGCCAGGGGGGGAATGGTGGTCGTCGTCGCAAGGGCGGCGGCGAGGTAGTCCCGCAGGTCCGCGGCGGAGGGGCGGGCGCACTCGTCGGGGACGCCGTCCCAGCGCAGCTGGACGACGACGATCTCGGCCGGGTGGGCGGCGAGGAAGGCGACGAGGCCGGCGAGGAAGAGCCGGTAGGCCATGCCCGGGACGGCGCCGTGCTGGAAGTACAGCTCGTCGGGGATGGGCAGGGCGGGCAGGACGTCGCGGTGGCAGTGGGCCGGGCGGAACTCGAAGTAGCGGGCGCCGAGGCGGAGCATCGTCTCAAGGCTGTCCTTCTGCGTGATGGCGAGGCTGAAGACGATGTTGGGCGCGATCAGCGCGATGGCCGGGCCCGAGACGGCGTCGATGATGGCGCGCACGGCGTCGTTGTTCGGGATCAGCTTCGAGATCACGGCGCCGCCGGCGTGCTGGAGCACGGCGTCGGCGTTCTGCATGCTGTTCATGCCCACGTCGTGCGCGGACGGCAGGACCATGCGGCCCAGCGGCTGGGCCTCTATGGATGAGCCCGGCGGCGCCACGGCGGCCATCCAGTCCGAGTTGTCGGGCGAGACGGTCACGTAGCACTGGTGCCGGTTGGGCAAGCCCGCCTCGCCGTTGCCGGCGGCGTAGAAGCCGTACGACACGATCAGGTCCCCGCCGTGCAGCACCGAGGGCGTGTTGGCGATCGCCCTCATGGTGCCGTCGCCGAGCCGGCCCGTCAGGGCGTTGACTTCAATCCACTGCTCCATGATCAGCTCGCCGTTGCGGAGGACTTTGAAACTGAAGCGCCCCGTCTTGTCGAAGAGGTTTCGGATGTTCTTTGCGTCAACCTCAAGATCGGCGTTCCAGAAGGTGCGGAGGTCCTTTTTCACCACCGTCTGCCCGGGCACGGACAGCTCGATGGTGCAGCCGGGGACGGCTATGTACGTGTAACATTGGACACCTTTGCTGGGCATCTTTGTCTGTCTCTTGTTGGTCGATCTGCGGGGAGGGGTGTTGGTTAACTTGGAGGGCCAGTCTTAGTTTTGGCTGGTGGGGGAACTCTAGGTAAATATACTACCTACCCTGCATACTTAGGTAGTAGGTAGGTGTGTAGGCATGCATAGGTTCGGGGGTTAGATAAGATGAGCTATGCCGGACTGGTGTTGGTCGGTGTTGCAAGGTACAGACAGGGAGGTCAGCTGGGGAAATGCAGGCTTCAGCTGCGGCTGCGTTTGACGTTGGTGGCAGGCTGGGCTGGGTTTCATCACATGCAATTCGCAGGCGAGCAGCCAATGTGATTCGACAGCGTTTCACTATTTACCTACTAGTAAGTAGCTAGGTAGGTGGTTACAGCCATGATAAATCCTGGTACCTGCCGAACCGATTTCTGTTTGGCGTCGCGATGACATGGGGAAGAGGTGGAAAGCCTGACCACTGCGGCTGATGGAATTTGGCTACAGTATCTTCCCTTCAAAACCCACGGTTTGTTGACAAGATTAGCAAAATATGCACCAATTTTGTTGGCTTGGGTGCTGTAGCAGAGCATTGCTTTGCATGGAACCGTTCGTTGGCAATGGTTTTGGGCACGCAGGAGTCTCTTTGACTGTAGTCACATACCAGATACCTGACCCTGTTTCCGGGCGCAAATCCTTTGTACTGTGAGCTTAGCTTGGCACTAATGTGAAGAAATCGACTTCTGACAGAATCTCTCATATTCCAATACCATGAGGAGAGCATATATCATCAGGCCCGGCAGGTGTCACCTCTGCATCTCTTGGTCACACACGCCGGCCCTTCTTCCACACCTTTCCAGCTCCAGTCTCACCCAGCACTCCACATCTACGATTCCAGCCATGCGGTTTTCATCCTCCTTCTTTGTCGGCTTCTTCACGGCCCTGATACTCGGCTTCCTCTTCTTGCTGACCTACGACCCCGCCGCTATCGAACATCTCTTGCGGCGCACGGCGGCAAACATGGCTTGGGTAAACGGCAGGGCTCTCTGGGGCCTGATCTACCTGGACGAGCAGGAAAAACTGACGGGCCCTCTCACCTTCTCGGAACACATCCACCAATGCTTCCTCAGCTATACCGCCCGCATCACCATGTTCCTCATGAAGCACTGCTCCTCCTTCCACACCGAAATCTGCCAGAACATGCGCGGGAACCCCCAGTCACATTGCGATAGCCTGTTCACCCTGGCCACGGGCACCGAGTTGGCGCTGGGTTTGCTAGGCCTCTGAGCTTCTTCGACTTTCTGCACGGTCATCGAATCACTCCCACAAGCTCCCACCACCTCGGTCACGAAAGGGTCACGAAAATGTCACAAGTGGGTGACAAGATGGTCAGCGGGTAGATGGAGTTCACGCCACGTTGCACGGTTATGGGAAAATATACGAGGGGTGTCCCGAGAGGATGTGTAGAGGACGGGTTGACCGGTGGAAACGATCAAGCTCTACGGTCAGAAGGGATATGTACACAGCAAGACCCAAAATATGCAACTCGAAGTTGAAAACCCTCCACACAATTGCCCATTAATTAGGCAGTGTTTGATCCCACATCCTCACTCCCACTCACACCCAGCCCGCCTCCGCCCACCAGCCCCTCTCAGAACCCAAGCGTCTGCCCAGCGCCCACCACGACGCTGTTCTTGACCCCACCCGACCCGAGCAGCTTGTAGGCGTAGGGGACATCCTTGATGCTCCCCGCCGGAGCCGTGTTCCGGCTCCCGCCGAGGGCGACGTCCGACACGACGGCGTAGCCCGTCTGGTCGCTGTCGGCGCTGAAGATTGCCTTTTCGCCGCACGACTCGAAGACGGAGGACTCGACGAGCAGCTGCGCATCCATGCGCGTGTTGATGCCTGTGGAGACCTTGTTGAAGAAGTTGCTGTTCGGGGAGTCAGCAATGGCGGACGATTGGGGTGGTAATTAGGGTTACAAGGCTTGGTGTGGGGGGGGGCGGTGAGTGGCTGGGTTGGTACTTACTTGAAGATGTGGCCGGTGCCGAAGCGGAAGGAGGGGGCTCGGCTGTTGATGTTGCTCCAGTGGTTGTTTGCGTAGGTGACGTGGAGGTGGCCGGTGTCTTCTTTGGAGTTGGAGTCGGAGTGTCCAACTAGGGATGTCTTCCACTGCGCAGTACCATTCATTAATTCGACTGTTATTGTGGCGCATATGATGAGGTTGAAGGGATTGAAACTTACGTGATCGTGCAAGTAAGTGTTGGAGATGGTCACCCAATCACTGGCATGGGTGACATCAAGGAGACCGTCGTAAAAGTCCTTGTCATGATCCATGTCGGAGGACAGGTCGCAATGATCAACCCAGACATTCGTGGACTTCTGGATACCGATGGCGTCGCCGTTACTGGCAATGACTTTGCTGATCTTGAGGTTGCGCATGATGACATTGGATTGGTCCTTGATGTAGAAGCCAACCCCGGTGATGGCTTCGGTTCCCAATCAGCCAACACCTCCTCGTGGGATGTGGATAATGGGGCACAGGGAGACGTACAGCTTCCGGCGGCGCCAATGATGCTCTTGTTGGAGCCAACACGGACCTGCGCAGACCCGGAAATGGAGCCCTTCACCACAATTACGGCGGCCGAGTTGCCACCGGCGGCGGCAGTGAGCTGAGCGAGAGATGACACCGTCGTGGTGGTCCCCCCAGCACCTCCCTTGGTTCTGGGACCCAAGTTTCAGCAATCCTGAACCAGAAAAAGAGTGGATACACGGGAGACTTACCCGCCATTCTGCGTGCAGTAACCGATGTCGCAGGCGTCAGTAATGGATGCCCTCTTCTCTAGCGTCCCGGCAGCGTCTCTCTCGACGGTGGGAGTGGGACTGGCTGTTACGCATGTCGCCAGGAAGGCAAGAGAGGCAGCGGCGGTTCTGAATTTCATGGTGAAAGAGCGGGCAGAGCGTGGAAATACCTTTGGGCGCGGAAGCGTTGTCCGAGACTGCTGAAGCGGCGAAACATCGAGGGTCTTATATCCTCAAGGTCGCGATGAACTCAAGCAACTGGATCTATCAACATCGTGTCTGAAGTCCACAGCGGTTTGTGGAGAAACTTCTATAGATCGGTTCCACATATATAGATTGCGTCACATCCGGGATCATGGGCTGTCCCGTGAGGCCCTACCGAGGCAACTACCCATTATGTAGGCCTTATTCTAGATTTCAGTTGCATCTCGTCCAGCGATCCGCTTGTTTCCCCGGTTTATGAGAGGAACCCCCCGTCCCTTTGAAACGCGAGATCCCCACATCTCCTATGGATCAAGACATCATTTTTGGTTGGGCAATCCCCCCACATGGATTAAGGATGCCATATTAGGCGGCGGTCGTCAAGACGCCGAAGCTAATCCGTAATCGAGTCGGATTCTGCTGGAGGGAGCGGCATGGCTGTTTCGAGCCCATGGAATCCGATTGGAGGTAAATCAAGGGGTTAATTGAGAGGTTCACCAATTGAGGAATCCCTCAGATCTATCAACTTGCCCCACCAATCACTGGCCTCCAAGAGAGTCCATTCTCAACGTCGCAGTCTCTACTGTGGTACTGAGTATCCCTCTTGGCCTTTGCCTTGAGTTAGGCTGACCGATCAGCATGTCCAGAGACGCCGCATCACGGAGTTGTCCGAAGGGCCGGGATGCCTTGGCAATATATGCACTGTTACCCATCGAACACTTGATCCCACGTCAACAGAGACACAAGGTAGTAGTAGATGGAGACAATTGTGATTCGAGGAAATTCTTCTCCGTTGCCTGTACTTGCAAGTGGAAGTAATTATTGCGTCCCCAGGGCAAGCTAGATGCGTCCTCTCGGTGGAATTTCGCCTTATCGAGACGTCAGCTCTAAATCAGCTTTAATTACACTGAAGCCCGCTTAGTGTTGTGTGGAAACAGAATATTGCATGACGCCCAGCGCCGTCCTGGTCGACATTGTTACAACATTCGGGGGTTCCTGAAATGGTGTTAAAATTGATACACTCAATGCCTTTCTTCGGGTTTGAGAGAGCTCAGGCCTATGAGGCTTGAATACATGCGTTGATTCGACAGTCCCAGTTTCTATGACCCCTTACTCAATCCTCCTAAATGTAGTTAGACATTCTCGAGTTGAAACCAAGTAGGCTGCAATCTTTAGAGATATTTCACTCGCATAATGTCTCCCTGAATTAGATCAGCATCGCGAGACTTCACCTCTATCATTTAGGATGGGTAGGGAGGTACGGACCTAGGAAAAATTTAGCGTCGGCCAGGTCAAAGAAAAAAATATTATCTATTTTCCGCGTTAAACTAGGCTGACGAGCCTAGAATCGCTATTCTTTCTCCCCAGGCTCTAGTTTCAGCGACAGAATGGATTTCTTTATCCCACCGAAAGTGCATTTACTTTGTTTAACAGAGGGGTATCCTTCTCTGGGACAAGGAAACTGCCCCTACAGAAGTTGATTGAACATGAATCGAAGACAAAGAGCTCCGAAAATCCTGAGGCAATTGATCCTTTTACTATACTTTGAGGCATAACTGCAAGCCAGCCTGTAGTCTTGGTCTTTATGTCTTGCTCCGAGACCTCCTCGCCGCCGCCGCCGTTTGTTCCCCGGAAACCCATAAGTATATACTCGCAAGCTTCTCCGTTCCTTCCTCTTCCACGCCGTCCCATCCTCTCCAAACCCTACACTCCCCCCCCTTTACCGCTCCTAACCAGACATGAGCGAATACGCCTACGATCAAACCAACCCACTCCGGTTCCAGCGCAGGTGCAGCGTCTATTCCCACCCCCGCACTCCGCCCACAATTCCCAGACAGCCAAAGCGACCCCCGACCCGCCGGGCGCCGAAGCCCGCCGCCGCTGTCCGGCCCAAGCAGCCCGAAGTCCAAGAAATCAGCCGGGAGGAGTTCCTCGCCAGGCTGGTGAAGCGGGAGGAGACCCCCACCGCCACCACCGCCACTACCAAAACCACCAGCAGCAGCCGCAGCAGCACTCCTTTCCCACGGGCGCAACCACCGCCCAGACCAGCTCCCAGACCAGTCCCCAGAGCAGTCTTCACTGCACCAACCAGGCCCCGTGGAGTCGCTCCATCGCGCGGCTCCCGCAGGCAGAGTCTGCGCGTCGTCGGTCGGGCGGGCAAGTACGCCTGCCTTAAGACGCATGTCGTCTTTTGGGTGGGGTTATTCATTGCGGCGTGGGTGTGCGTGATGCTTGGCGGGGTGTTGTGGAAGGATGAGCCGGCGAGGCTGTATGAGCTTAGGCTGCTTTTTGAGGGGATGCTGCATGATCTATGGCAGTGGATCTGGTCCGAGTGAGCTACGAGAGTTAGATTGGGGGACTACATTTGGGAGTGGTGGATGGGATAGGGACGCCCTGGAGGGTTGAATATGAGACAATAATATCACCATTTGGCTGGCTCCTCTCAAGGCTTCATTATGCGCAAGTGACAGTACTTTTGGCAGCAAGCACCGACGAAATAAGAGTATTGAAGACGAGTGGTATTAATTAACTAAGGGTGGCGCGAGGTCTGACAGCCGGAGTTTCCAACACTATCAGCTACGCGGTAATAGAATGGCAAAGCTAATCGTACAGGGGCTTCTCAGTGCGAGACAAGATGATGGGCACCAAGCCCAATATTAACGATTTACCATTTAGTAAGCCAAAGCGAGCATGGAGAGACCAATGGCGAGAATAGAGGGGATGTCCTGTCGCCTGATGCCACCCGAAACAGTGACATAGGTAGATGTGGGCGCCGAAGAGGACTGTTCAGACCCAGGTTAGCTAATGTTTCCGGACATTAAGGAAAAAGAGACATCTAGGACAACTCACCGGAATGGTACCAGTCCCAGCAGCGGAGCCACTGCCGGTCGACGACGCAGTCGGCGCGGCGGAGCCCTCGGGCGCGGAGCTCTGCGACCCAGCGGCGGACGAGGACTCAGCGGGGCCCGAGGGTTCGGCAGTGGACCCGCCGGACGTCCCTGCAGACGTCCCTGCGGCAGAGGTCGTCTCCGCGGGAGGCGGGCTGGAAGTCGCAGGGGCTGATGTCTCGGGGGCACCACCACCACCGCTGCTGGTTGGGCCGGCGGCTGTGGAAGACGGGGGCGCTTCGCCTCCGGAGGGGGACGGAACTGCGTCCAGGCCGCAGCCCTTGGCGGCGCCGGTCACGCCGTTGCCGTAGTAGCGCCAGATGTTGAACTTGTTGGCGCACTCGAGGCAGTCGTCCAGCAGGCCCAGCCACGTCGAGTTGGTGCAGTAGCCTGCGTCGTCGGCGCCGAGGATGGCGTATCCTGGAAAGAAGGAGAGCGTGAGAATCTTGGCCGCAGCGGGAAAGAGAGGGGGGTTGCTGTAACTAACCACAGTCGGAATGGCACTGGTACTCGGGAGTTCCAGGAGCCTGCCGGGCCTGAAGCTCGGCGAGGTCGGCGTACCTGACCTCGAGGGATGGGAATGCGGCAACAGTCCAGCTTGCAGCGGCGACAAGCCCAAGGGAGTAGGTAACGAACGAACGCATGATCACGGCTGCTTTAGGGCGGGAGAGGGTGTGGGAAAGTGACTGTAAGGTTGCTTGGTGGAATGCAAACGACTGTGAGTTTGTGAGTTACTTGGAGGGATGACAAATGGGAGATGGGAACGGGTGGCGGGTACTTATAGCTCAGGGCAAGCTATGTCGGCAAACTGGACAGGCCTGAGGTCCCAGGAACTCCAATTTCCTGGGAGTCAAGCGAAAGACAAGGGGCTGGACCGTCGCAGCGGGCAGCATGCGAGCTGTTGGGTCATCATGAACCCGCAATCTATCCAAACCCGTTCTGCCTCGTATTTCCCGCCTCCTCTCCGCCAATACTGACAAGGAGGGTTGCCGTGGGCCGAAGCTTGTCGGCCGATGTCGCCGCCAATGTTTAGGGAAGGTGGCCGAGTAAGGCCGAGTTGGCAGGCGAGTCATGGCCTATGCCAAGCGTAGCTAGGAGAAGACGCCATTCTTGCCAAAACAGGATAGTGTCATCGGCTTGGCCAGCCGGAAGAAGAACAAACGTTGCGAACGGGGCCCAAGGCACCAATGGACGAGAAGTGTTTGATCTAATCTTATCAGATCACCTGATAGGCGCTGCTCCAGTTCGAACTATCAATTAATCACGCAGTAGCGTCAAAAGCGGGCACCAATTAGCAAGCAAGCTAATTATTATCAGATCATCAGATAAGTAAAGAAGCCGGCTTAGTCTTCTGTACTACCTGCCAGTCCTGCATGGTCTTGGCGCTCCCAGCCATGAAGTTTGAGAAATTTGAGTGGCACGAGGGCCTCACGGCCGGCATCGGGCAGGTCACCCAATGCCGTGTAACCGAAGCTAGGCGTGGTAGTGGAATCGTCTGCCCTCCATCGGGATGTGCCATCCGACTATAAGGGTCGATGATGATCAACCCGATCCTGCTGCACGTTTCTATGTTCGTCACAACGTAAAGCTTCTCCTGCGTCTAGAAGAATCTCTGGAATTATCTGTTATTCCGACTCTTTCCATCTACCACCAGACAAACCCAGATAAGACATCTCTATCAACGATGGGGATACTCTCTAGGGCGGCGATCGCCCTTGGCTGGGCATCATTGGTTGTGGTGGCCCAAGTAACCTCTGATGAAATGGGCCCGGCAGCCTTTATGTGGCCGCCCGACAGAGAATGGACCGCTGCGAAGGACAACACTGCTCCCTGCGGTTCTCCAGACGGTGTGGGCAACAGAACCGAGTTCCCTCTCAGTAAGGCAATCCCAGACAGATGGCCGCAAGGCAAATCGCTGACACGAAAAAAAAAAGCAAATGGAATGATAGCCTTGGTCGACCAAGATGAGGGTTATAACATTCAAGTCAGCGTGTCGTACTCCAACGGTATGCCCATACTTACCTATCCAAATATGGCTCGTTTTGTTCTCGTCCGCATGCTGACCAGCGTCCTTCTACCCAAAGAACCGACAAGCAACGCCGACTTCACCGTCCTAATCCCATCTAATAACTTCAAGGAGCTACTGCGGGGCCACACCTGCTTACCCGTGGCCGACGCTCCTCGCAGCCTGGTCGCCGGGTCAAACGCGACGCTGCAGATCATCTACACGGCCGACTTCGACAAGCCGGAGAACCAGACCTTCTACGCGTGCGCCGACATCACCTACGTCCTCGCGTCGGACTTCACCACCGCGATCCCCTGCTTCAACGCGACCCAGCCCTCGACCGACAACCCGCCCAGCGGCGGGTCCGGCACCTCGGGCGGCGGCGCGTCGGAGACGTCGAGCCCCACGGCGGGGCCCAAGTCCGGGTCCTCCAAGAAGGGCGGGCTCTCCGGGGGCGCGATCGCGGGCGTCGTGGTGGGCTCGGTGGTCGGCGCGGCGATCCTGGCCGGCGCGGCGCTGTGGCTCCACCGGAAGAGGCAACAGCAGAAGCGCATCGACGCCATGACCAGGTCGTCGCGCAACGTCGCCTGGGGCGATCAGGGGGCGCACATTAAGGGCAAGGACTCGACGTCGCAGAATAGCGTGGGGCTGCAGAACTTGTGATTTTATTGTGGAGGTACCTGACGCGTAAATGATATCCTTTTTCTTTTTCTTTTGGAGCTGAATTATGGGGTGTCGCTCATTTAGAATGACTTGCGATGATGGCTGGGGGTGGGAGGTTGATCTACATGGTTAGAGGACAGGATTTCCAGGAGGACGCCCTTCTGAATGTACTCTCGATATCTTAGTGGTATGGTGGCCCAGAAGCCCACGTGGTGTCGAGTCGACGACGAAAGCATGAGAATTTCCCTCCTCACTGTCCTTACCCGGAACACATCATGTCCGAGTTGCCCGGTTTTGGAATCTCGGGATAACTCGACTAAATTCTGCAAAGATGACGCATTTGTCATCACAGTCCCGTCATCCGGACCCCCGCTACCCGGAACGGTACCTACCGCACTCGTCCCAAGTTGACCGGAAATGATTTCTGTTCCATCTCACCCCGCCCCGAAGTTGCGAGGTTGGGGAAAAACACCCGTCGTATGCCGAGTTAGCAAACATGAAGGTAACACAAGTAAGTCAACGCCCAGCAGCCACCTACATCACGGCGCACCAGTCAATTCACCTTCTGTCATCCATACTCACCAAACATGCCCCGCAGCTCTACGTGTACCCAATCAAGGCGCTGCGGGGCATCTCCCTCTCGACCGCCCGCCTAGGCCCGCTGGGGATAAAATACGACCGGCACTTCATGCTATTCAGGGAGCAACCCGACGGCCAGCTAAAGAAGCTCCAGCTGTCCTCGCACCCGCAATGCGCCCTCTTCGAGCAGCGCATCGCCTCCGACCCCGCCACGGGCGAACCCCTCGTCATCGTCCGGTACCACGCCCCGCCGGAACCCCTCGCCCCACCCCACCCGGCCCAGGAAGCGGAGCTCTCGGTCCCGCTGGAGCCCGAGGTGGCGGCCCTTAAGCAGATCCAGATCAACCTGCACGGCAGCCCCGCGTCGGCCGCCTACCGCGTGGGCCCCGCCTACGACGCCTGGTTCGGCGCCTGCCTAGGCTTCGACGTTGTGCTGGTCTACATCGGCGACGGGCGGAGGCGCGTCCTCGGCTCCTCCCTGCCGCCCCCGCCCCCGTCTCCGCAACAGCAGCAGAAGGGCTGGCTCTCGACGCTTGCGTCGTACGCGGTAGGGACGACAACGACGACGACGACGGGACCGCCCCCGGCGTTGCTTACCTTCAGCGACGTGGCGCCGTTCCTGGTGACGGCCGAGTCGTCGCTGGGCAGCGTGCGGGCTCGCCTGTCGGCCGGGGACGGGGCCGGGGGTGGGCTGGAGATGTACAAGTTCCGGCCCAACGTGGTGGTCGAGGGCGAGGGGGAGTGGGCCGAGGACTTCTGGGCCGAGCTGACCGTCGTCGGGTCCGGGTCCGGGTGGGAGGGTGCCCGGTTGCTGCTGACGGGGAACTGCGCTCGGTGCACGTCGCTCAATGTGGATTACCGGACGGGCAGGACCGCGGATGGGGAGCTGGGCACGGTGCTGAAGAAGCTGATGAGGGATCGGAGGGTGGATCCGGGGGTCAAGTGGTCGCCCATTTTCGGGCGGTATGCGTTCCTCGACGGCCAGGATGAGATTGAGATCGAGGTGGGCGACGAGGTGGAAGTGACGGGACGCAGGAGTGAGAGGTCTGTGTGGGATTGGCCTGGTCTCTCGTGACGCATCTTCTTGTGTCTCTTGGTCTTGCGTCTGGCATGTCTGGGTAGGTTTCCTTTTTCTTCTTCTTTTGTTTTCATTATCCCCCCTTTTCTTTTAGTTCAACACACGTCTATCTAGGTGGGTGCATCGGTTCAGATTGTTGAATTGGGCAATGGTTTTCAACACCTTAGAAACTAGACTTGCAGGGGAAGCAAAGCCCCTATTGCGCGTAACTACCAGGTAGAATATGCTGGGCACTCTGGCAAAAATTATCCATATTTCTGAGAATAAGAGATATGTTGGCGGCTATTCGAGGTGCCGTGTCTGCGGCCAACACCAAAGCGAGCACCTGCCTATGGGAACGGGGGAATTGCAAATCCTCGGGTGGAACGATCCTCGGTACAAATCGAAGAATATTTGAGATCGCCCACAATCAGCCTCCTTCTGTAAATATGGTTGGTTCGTCAAGGGTTCGGAGTTCGCTTCTAGAGTCTGCCTCCGGGAAACAATAGACGGATAGACGGCCTGAAAAGGATGGGAGATAATTAAGTGAGATAGAATGAAACAGTGGAGTCCTGCACGAATTAATCCGAGTAATAAACTTAACTTAAAATATTTTAAATGCCGAGGAGGTAAGCCGTCAGTCGGAGCATCTTCTGTCAACTGAGCGGCGGCGTGTTTCTTTCACCCTTGAGAATGTCCTCTCGTTGCCCGAATCCAACACGTTGGACGACTCGAAGTTCTCCCCAAATATGGAACTACCATAGATCCTATTAACAGCTCAGGGGGAAGTGGAAGACAGACCTATAGACAGTGAAATATCGGCGTGGTTAATTGCATAATTCTCGGTTCAAATTAGGTATGGAAGACCATCCCCGGCACGGCAGGCACATCGGTCGAGCCGTCCCCAGCCTGACTTGCTCTTATAGCCTCTGGCTGGCTCGTCCCGGTATGTTTGTTCTACCGAAGATCTAACGCCGGTTACTGGTCTCGAAGCCCATTGAGGGGGTGCAAATTTTTGCTTCCACGTCATCATCAATTCTGGTCGAGCGCACGAGAACAGCTTCTCAAGGGTCATGGCCCTCTTCTACTCGTCTACTCGTCTAACTCGGCGTCTAACTCGGTTGCTCGTGATCGGATGCGCAGCATATCATAACATTAATATTGGCTGGCACGCCATCGCAAGAGGACATTCCGATTAGCGATCGGCATTTCTGCGGCAGGAACACGGGCACTTTTGCTCGACATGCGGCTTCCTTCTGAACCAGCAATATTTTTTGTGAGATGCCAGCTTCCCCAAGTCAATCAGATTTCAACTCGCGTCCCAGGGGTGGTGACCCGAATGGTTCTTTCCCAATTACCAGATACCCACGCCAAGTCCACAGAAAAAGAATAGAAGCTTCGATTCAAACAACAGATGGGCAGAAGTAGCCACATCTGGATCTTCTGGTGATCAGCCGAGCCAAGTCGGAAACCTGCTTCCCTCCAATAGATCCGGGCCCATTAATAAACAGCCGTAGACGGGACCAGCTCTGTTACTCCCGGGGAATCCTCATGACAGGGCCATTGTTTAAAGATTGCCGCATCTTCCCCGCATGCCTGCCGGTTGGGCAATCTGGGGTACATGCCGTGATTGTAGGTCATAAACATCCGGGACAATGTCATTGGTAAATGGGGGGGAACCCTAAAGTCTAATTAACCCGGCATTCATCCAACCTCGCTTCGACGCCGTCGCCCGTGGGGCCTTCCCTGCTTGCTGACCCCTTTTTCCCTCGACAATTGGGCGGGTCATCCACCAGGGCCTATGGATGCCGCGTTATTAGTTATTGGAAAGGGCGGAGCGTCGTCTGCGCGACTGGCAATTGAGCTGTTCAATATGGGTAAACGATTATCGCGGGTTTCTCATAAGGTTGACCCCAAACGGCAGGCCCGTGAAGTTTAACCGGCTCCAATCCTCGTCCGCCCATGAGCCGATTTTATTTGTAACATGTCACGATGCGTAGAAGCGACAAGCCTGCAGTGGCGTGGTATGTCCGGCTCGAGAGATAAAGTCAATATTGCTTCTTGCAGGGGGATACGTAATGCTACTGGCGCCCCCTCGCAGATATAGAAAGGCCGAGGGGAACCCTTTTCTTGGCTGTGCGACTAGAGAGAAGCTCCCTTGAACCCGCCTTCCTTCCTCCAACTATCCAACAGTGAGCAACGCCTTACCACGACGCCTGACACCATGGGTCTGAAGAGTACTCTCGCGGCGCTTATGCTCGCCGTCCCCTTGGGACTGGCGCATCCCGGACACGAGAAGGTCTACCAGCACAATGCCGTGCCCCTCGAGGCCCGGTCGCTCAACCACTGCAAGCGGCACTTTGAGAAGGAAGAGTTCATGAAGAGGACCGTGGAGATCCACGGTGCTGAGCTGTCCAGGCTCCGGAGAGCTGCGGGCCTGGAGGCCGAGGACGCGTAAGGAAAACCCCCATGTCTCACTCTCCAGTTGCCACCACTGACTCGGACAAATCTCGCAGGGTCCCGATCCACAAGCGAGACTACATCTCCGTGTCCAAGATCGACCACAAGAGCTCCACGCCCGTGACCGCGACGACGGACCCGTTCTCTCTGTTCGCGGATGCCGGAGCTTGCATGCTCATGCCCGCGGTGGACCAGGGCCCGCTCTGTATGTTACGCCGCAACTCAAGACGGATTAACGCACCAACTTACTGACGTGGGTCTGTAACAGACGTCAAGGGCGAGGAAGTCCGGAAGGACATCACCGAGGGCCAGGCCGGCATCAAGCTGACCCTCGCCATCCAAGTCGTGGATTACAAGACCTGCGAGGTCGTGCCCGATGCTTTCGTGGATATCTGGAGCTCCAACGCCACGGTAAGTGCTAGTCAAGACGAAAACAATACTGGCGGTTCAACGTAACTGATGGCGATGCAGGGAATGTACGTCGGCGTCCAAGGCTATCCCGGCATGGGAGACCCGAACGACGCCTCGATCCTGAAGGGAACGACTCTTCGTGGGATCCAACCCACCGACGCCCACGGTGTCGCCACCTTTGACAGCCTGTTCCCCGGCCACTACTCTGGCCGCGCGACCCACATCCACGGTACGTTTGTTGTGACTTGATATCCCCCCACCAGCCAACCACAAGCACGAGAGGCGGGCCAGGCTAACTCATGATGCCCCCCGTGTCCAGCTATCGTCTACCTCGGTGCCAAGAAGGAGGCCAACAACACCATCACTGGCGGCCGTGCGGCGCACGTCGGGCAGATCTACTTCGACCAGAGCCTGATCACGAACGTGGACAAGAACACGCCGTACAGCAGCAACACGATGAAGATCCAGCTCAACACGGGCGACTTCCTGTTCCAGCAGGGCGCCAACGGCGACGACCCGATCGCGCGCTACGCCCTCGTCGGCGACTCGTTCGCCAACGGCATGTTCGCCTGGATCCGCTTCGGCATCAACACGGCCGCCTCCAAGAACGTCAACCCGGCCGCCTTCTGGACCGCCGACGGCGGCGTCATGAACCCCACCGGCCCCATCTCCCAGATCACCGGCGGCGGCGCCTTTGGCGGCTTCGGCGGCTTCGGCGGCTTCGGTCGCAAGAAGCGCGAGGCGCAGAAGGCGGCCGAGAAGGAGAACAAGTAAAGCTGGCGTGTGTGCGGTCGGCCCAGGAAGCGGGTTTCCACTTCCCCTGTGGCATGCTTGATGGGAGATGTTGTTGTTGTGGAAAATGTGGAGGAGGAGGGCACAAGACACTACGTCCGTCGGAGAAATTGACGGCGCGCATCGCTCGTTTGTTGCTTTATGTACAAGTAGTGGTTTGTAGGTAGCATTCGCTGTCGCGGCCCGCAAACTTTCACCTCGGCTCTCTGCTTGAGTCACTTTTTGATGTTCTGTACCTACATATTCTCGAGAATCCCCTTGACAGAGATCGTCATCACATCTCAACCCTGTTCAAGCAGTGACTGGAGCTACCTACTTGTCCAGTCAATTTCGGATATACGGCACCAGGGTCAGTCTTTGCGATAGCTGTCCAGATCACAGATCACCGGCAGTCGATGTCAGCCCCATATGCCGCCAAGAAAATCTTGGTCTCAATATAACTGCCTCATCTAAAACGCAGTATGATGCCGTATAAGTGAGATATTATAATCTTATCTGCTGCGTTCTAGGCGTTCTTGGAAAAACTTGGCGCCTAAGAACGCACAGATCCTTCGTATTCCCCGAGTTTGCAGCACGTGGTTTGGCATCTTATATCTATTTTCCAGTTTCTATTGTCTCACAGCGTGATGATACTCACCCAAGTTGCTCCAAATTAACTCCCATCGATATTGTAGTGCCAATCCGGTGTACAATATCTTAATCAATCTTTGGTCTTCTTGCCTGGAACATGTCCAAGACACATCCTCCGAAACCAACACCTTAAATATATATACACGTACAGGCATGTAATGGTCGACTCGAATCTTCTTGCGCCCTACGCGTTACCTTCAATAAGGATTGTTGCCTCCGTTCTTAGTACCTAAAAGGCTAACGTAAAATCGACGAGCGGCCTTGACGTCGGCCCAAAAACACTTGTAAGCCTTTCCATATTGCTCTCAATATGTCCCATTGGCATCCGTATCAGCTTGCACAATACTTCGGTGGCAGGGAATGCCCAATCCAGAAGGTAAAATATATCACGGAGTGGCGAAGGGTGACACGACTGTTCCACCACGGTACGCCCATTGGACAATCGCCGGCAATGCGTTGAGCCTCTGACTCAGCCCCACTGTGGTACACAAGTAAAATGGATGAGGCCAAACTATGGCACCTTACGGAGACCCCGTGGGGTTATCCAGTTGGGTTTCCAGCTGCACGACATCGACATGTCAGTGGCCAAATCCACTCAGGGACCCCTTTCTTGGGATTGGTGTTGCTGTTGCTGTCGCTGTTGCTGTGGCGCAGGTCTTGGGGGCCGGCTTCGGCTGCCACTCCTCTCCTCAACAAACTGAAAAGCGAAGCGACAGGTGCCATAAGAAGATAGAAGCGAACGAATGGAAGGGCGGTCAACAGTAGAGAGAAGTTGCAAGCGATGGTGTTTTTGGTTAGCTTGATGATAACTCCTTCGACCACATGCTGCAATGCAACGCGACTAGCAAAATCTGGTCAGACTTGTGAATTTGATGATGCCCATCATTTCGCTATTCAGCGCTTGACATGTGCATATACCTACATATGTATATGTCTAGCTCGTGAAAACCCGGGAACTAGCCGTCTCCCCGTCCACACAGGTTTCAGCCCTGCAAGCCACTCTTCAGCCCCTTTGGAATGGTTACATATCGGCAAACGCGTTAATGGATGAGATTGGCTCGGAGCCGAGTGACCGATCACTCAATAGGGTCTTGGGAGGGGGATTTCTCAGACCCGTGCAGAAGCAAGTCGTCCACGACATATCATGCAAGTACGAAATTCTGACTAAGAAATCCCACCATTCGCCCTCGTCTCTCCCCTCCCCATTTTCTTATCTCACGCTACAGACGGCAGACGGCAGACGGCAGACAGCAAGAGTGCCGATCAGATACGGTTCCGAGGCCAATGGATATCCATCCCATCAGATAATAGCTAATGCACCATGGCTTGCGCCCCCGTTTAGCTGGCGGGCATGAGTCAGATCTCTGCATGAGCCGGCATGGCTCCAGAGAGAACGACGTCCCCGATCTGCGGGAGGCTCCGAGAGGCGGGGACTGTCCATGCGTGATACTGCAGCATCCGTACATCGTCGACTTGCAGCGGTGCAACCGACAGGCCTGCAACCCGTGTAGCGAAGCGGCGCACTTCTTTCTGCTTCCTCATCTCACGAGCATAATATAGGGTCGACCGACCCTCCCCTGCGCCAGAATGGATCTCGGGCTAGCTCCAAAGATGCTGAACAGTCTCTCTACGTGTTTTCTCTCTCAATTCTAAGCTCAGCCCACTCACCAAGGAGGCGTATGCTCTTTTGAATCCCACATCATGGCGGCCCAAGACGTGGAGCGGCGCCCCGAGCCGGGTCACGATGGAAGACCCCTTCAACAAGACAACCTAGATATCCCCTCCCCAATTGATGAGATTCCCGTGTCCCCGACGGAAGCAGGAACAGGAACCCTGGAAACCGTGAGCGACTTGTCTACATCGGGCGAGAGCGAAGTCGCCCAGAAAGCGGGCCCCGACGTGCAACATGAGCCGAAAGCCGAGTCTCCGGCTTCGGAGATTTCGGACCCCACGGCCGCAAAGGAAGACATTCCGCAACGGGCCAACACGGGCAGCTCCACCCGGACGGGTTCGTCGGGGAGCACCAGCAAGATACAGATCCGGTGGTCCAACTCCCGAGACCCGCACACGGGCATCCACTGGTACCTCCCCAGCCTCATGCTCTTCCTGGTGCTGTCCGGCTTCTTCGGCGCCCTCGGCCATCACCTGTACAACAAGCACCTCCACGGCCGCGAGGTCAAGGACGTCGCCTGGCCCCAGCGCTTTGGCATTGCCCTGGCCTTCTTCATCAAGATGGTCCTGGTCGGCGCTGTCCAGATAGCCTTTAAGCAGCGTGCTTGGGTATGTCTCCCGTGTGCACCTCCCGTGGGGAGTCGGCATCTGTGAAAGGTGAAGGCTCACATTCTGCAGCTGAGTGTTAAGAAGAGAGGATTCAAAGTGGAGACCTTGGACAGCGTCTTCTCCGTGAGTTTGTCCCGTCTTTCTGTCGGCCCTTCACCTCTCCATGCCAAGTGTCCATAATCTATCTACCTGTCCGACTTTCCGCCCACGCTGATATATCTTCCCAGGCATGCTACGACCCAGCTCAGTTCTTGGATAGGGAGCTGTTCACTGGTGCCTTCTTGCCCGCGCTCCTGGCAGTCTTGGCCTGGTACGAGAGAGAAAAACCTCCATCCCCTGGTGTGGTTGAAGTCCAGGCTGACATTGAGGTTTCGGAAGGATCCTCCCTCTCAGTGCCATTGCAAGTCCGTCAACCTTGACCCAGGCAGACGGAATCAGGAGCTTCGATGAGGTCTGCTCGGACGTCTCGATTCTAGACTTCAGACGCGAAAATGGCTACGGGCTGCAAGACCGGGGCCCGAACAAGCAAGCCATGTCGTACTGGGACTTTTTCGACAACGGGACCTACTTTTACAACAGCCCGTCGATGGACCACATGAAACTATTCCAGCTGACCATGCTCTCGTCCAACCCCCTCCAGCCGGAGAATCCCTGCCCAACCGACACCAATTGCACTTATACCGTCTCCTTCAACGCGCCGTCGTATAAATGCGAGGAGCATGACGACTTTGGCGGTCCCCGGACCTACAATCTCACAGACCTGGCGCCCTATGGTGGTCTCCTGTACGCCAGTTATTCCTCAGTGGACGAAGACTACGTGGGACGGCCGTTGGACTGGAACAGGACCAACCCAGACAACGATACCGGCATCTTCCACCAGGAACCGAGCTTCTGGCTCGGTTGGGTCATCAACACGACCAACCCGGTCACCCCCGAGGATGCGACGAAGTGGAACACCACCAAATGGCGTTACCAGCTAGTACCCCACGTCATGGAATGCCACTTCTACAACTCCACCTATTCCTACAACCTGAGCTTCCTGCAGGGCAAGATGACGGTCAATAAAGCCTCCGTCGTGCCGAATAAGCTGTTGCTCCCACCAGGCGAGTTCATGGCCCCATATATGGACATCTACCAGGAATACTCGTAAGTCTTTTGCGATACCCATTGCAGAGAAATCCACACGCTCTAACCAAACACCCCTTGCCCCCTATCACAGTGGTTTCCACGGCACCGGGTTCCTCTACCGCAACCTCCTCGCCGGCAACGTCAGCCAGGACGGCCAGGACTCGTACGTCATCACCGAGTCGGACATCTCGCAGACCCTCCTCATCGACCCGGGCAACGGCTTCCCCGTGCAGGACGACGTCGTCGGCACCATCGAGACGGGCTTCCAGAACGTCTACCTCTCCTTCCTGTCCGACACCCTGCAGTACAGCCAGCTGACCGCCAGCCGCCCCTGCCAGACGACCCTGCACGTCATGGTCTGGCGCTACGAGCCCCTCTGGCTGGCCGTCTCGTACTTCGTCGCCGTGGGGCTCGCCCTCGCCGCCGTCGCCGTCGGCCTGCACGCCGTCGCCGCAAACGGCTACGTCGCACAGACCAACTTCAGCACCTTCCTCTCCACCACCCGCAACCCGGACCTCGACGGCCTCGTCGCGGGCTCGCCGCTCGGCGCCTGGCCCATGGCCAAGGACATCCGCCGCACGAGGCTGCGGTTCGGGGAGGTCGTCGGGGCTGGCGGTGCAGGAGGGGAGGGCGGGAGGGTGCCGCATGCTGCCTTTGGGTTCCCGAACCAGGTCAATCCCTTGGAGCGTGGGAAGCGGTATGAGTGATTCTTTGGGGGCTGGTGGCTGGCTTTCTTGGGGGGGGAAGAAAAGTTGCGTTTCTCTTTCGGCTGTCGGTTTCGAAACTGTGATGGAAGGATAGTTGGTTTTGTGCAAAGGGGAAACGATGGTTGGAGAGGAAAAGAGATTGTTCGACTTGAGCTGGCGAATCCGAGTCCAGATGTAATCGTGTAGAGCCTTCCTCAAAGCTGTCTACCAACACTGATAACGTCCGTCGCTGCCCTGTTTCTCGTCTGTTCAACCTAGATGAGTTGATCTCAGCCACCGTCCATGTGCTCCTATTATGAGAATGTCGTAAATAGCAAATGCCGAGGGCACGGCCCGGTGTCTTGGCCAGGCATCCTATATACCCGGGGGCAGTTCCTCCACCGCCATCGACACCGGATGGGGTGAGTCTTCGCAGGGCCAGAAGCCCATGAGCTGTAGGCCGAGTCCTCGTGGTCAAGTTTTGGGGAACGAGTCTACAAGAAAGGTAATGGAAGAATGTGCCAGGAGCTTGATACACTAGCGTGGGTGCCTGAGGTGGACAGGGGTTTGTTTACAAGACGACATCACCGTACTCTCACTTTACCTGCCACCCGTAAGGTCCTTTCCTATATGTACTATTAAACCCGTCCCAGTAGCAACGAAAGACGCCCGATTGGTGTAACGGTAGCACAGAGGGAGTAGTCGCAGTAGGACGCATGAAGCAATAAGTCGGCCAAGTTATACCCTCAGGTCCTCGGTTCGACTCCGAGATGGGGCAATTCTTTTTTTCTCTTTTTCCTTTTTTCCCTTTTTTTCCCCTCCCGTAATTTTTTCCTTTCTATATGCCGCTCGCTCTATATATATCTCTCAGTCATTATTTTAATTTCTGTCTGCCTACCTTGTGCCTCCTTGGAAACGTGCATGTGTCGTCTATGGGAGCCATCGCCTGTCCTCCGCGTCAGCCAAGATGGACCGGAAGGTCTGCCGGCACAAGTCGGGCAGCGTGGGCGACGTGAGCGAGCGGCGGCGTAGTAGCATTTCTGGCCTGTTGATAGACAAATATGACTGGGCCAAGGGCGGTTCGTAGCCACCCTTCTGTGTCAAGTCCGGCCTTAGGTCTTTGCGCGGTATCGAGTCACAGTCTGACAGTCGCGTGGTCGATGGAGCCCCCAAACCACCACATCATCTTCTTGAGGCCTGATCGCCACCATGTCGTCACGCTGATGTGTTTTATTATGCTCAAGATTTTCGATCTTCCCGTAAAACCTTAGTCGAGATGCTACGCAGACATGTCCTTACCATGGTTGCTGAGCATCCACCGGCGTCGGGTTCATTTCACTCCTCATCCTCATCCTCCCTGTTCCCGAACCTGTAGCTCGCCTCTTCAGGCGCTCAGCCTCAGCGCTCAAGAAACACGTTCCCGCACCCTAAGCGCTTCCGGGCCACCGCCTCCCGACATTCTCGCGGATATACTGGCTGGGGACAGTTGACTGTGAGTCCCGTCCGGTGTGACCCTGATTTACAAAGCACACAAGGCCGAGCTGGTCACTTGGAACACTTACGTTTGTTATCAGACTGCACAGACTACGACTATTTCCTAGAGATATGTTCTGGGAATAGGTCCAGGGATAATGGGAAAGAAGAGTCGGGCAAGATGTCCAAGTGAGGTCGAATTGGCTATGGCTTTGGCAGCTGACAGACAGGTGCGAGAGGTATGCCAAGCGAGACATTGGCCCGACAATTCGGAGGAAACCATCAAAATGCACCCTTTCATCAACCCTCCCATCTCAATTCGCCCACGACACGTCGACAAGTAGCCTTCTTATCAAGTGATCGCTCACTAGCCTTGACTCATTTGTAGCCATTCCAATTACTCTGATGATTCATGGCGGTGCCGGACGATCACTTCCCCGGGCGGGGATGAGGTTCTTCGCCTTGGGCATTGCCCGCAGGCCTCTGGTCCGGGGCTACAATTCCGCGCCTCCAAGCCCACCCGGATCGCGATTCCCCCTGCTAGCTCGCCGCATCTTCACCTGGGGCACGATCGGCGCCAACATCTACGTCTTTCTGATGTGGAACACGAGCAAGCTCTCCAGCCGTGACGACCCCGACTCACCCCGCCAGGCGCGCCTCCGCCGGGACCTCATGGAGAACTGGACGCTCTCGCAGAAGAACCTGCGCGAGGGCCGGTACTGGACGCTCCTGACCAGCGCGTTCAGCCACCGGGACGCGGGCCACCTGCTGCTCAACATGTTCGCCTTCACCTTCGTGTCGGGGCTGGGCTTCTCGTCGGGCCTCGGCGCGGCCCGCATGGTGGTCCTGGCGCTGGGGTCGGCCATCGCGTCGAGCGCGAGCTCCATGCTGGACGAGACGACGCGCACGGGGGCCGCCGGCGGCGGGTCGTCGCCGGGCCACGCGCACCTAGGCGCCAGCGGCATGGTCGAGGGCCTGCTCGTGGCGCTGACGCTCATGCGGCCGAGGGTGCCCGTCTACGTCATGTTTGTCCCCGTCGCGATCCCGCTGTGGGTCGCCGCGGGGGCTTTCGTCACGTGGGACTACTACCACCTGGTGCGCGAGCGGCAGCGGGGGCCGACGCCGGGCTGGATGGGGTCGTATGTCGGGTACTCGGCGCATCTCGGGGGCGCTGCCTTCGGGGCGGCGTATTACCTGCTGAGGCTGAGGTATCGATTCGGGGGGGTCTTGCCTCCTCGACGGTTGTGAACATGAAACCAACGACCATGTATGCTCAGACGAAGGCGATCTAAGGAGGCGGCCCGACTTGGTAACCGGAAGAATAAGATACGATGCTACGAAATGGAAACAAACATAGCGCGGATGAGCATGGCCTATGGGATGCGGTACGGAGTAATGCACCTTGCTTTTGATCGCTGGGATCAACGCGCGCCAATTGGTCCCTCGACAATCCTCTCGTGGGCGTACCTTGAAACAACCCCCTCTGGATGAAATGCACCTTGCCTTCCATATTTGCAGGCTAGTACACACTCCAACTGCCAACTGCAGCTTGGCCTGGAAATCGGTTCGTCGAGGTGGTGCGTCCTCCGCCGGGTTTGATGATGATAGGCGGGCTTGCCGCTCAACTCGCGGAGTCGAAACGATAAGCAACACCTCCCCCAGGGAAAGGAAATACAAGTAAACGATGGAGCCTCGTTCCTTTGCGCTCCTTTTCTTTGCGGTTTTGTCGCTCATTCTCCAGCTTCGGGATCGCAATGGGCGACTCGTTCAAACAAGTGTCTTACCCCTCCATGGCCGGTCTGGAGGTCGTCCAACCAGGCCTGGAACCGGTCTACTTGCAGCAACTGCAACATGTCAAGTACGCCGGCGAGAAACTCAACGAATCCGCAGTTGCGGGTTCAAGGATTTGTGGCCTGCGGAAAGTGACATTCTGGCTCGTCATTGCCGTGGTGGCATTGTCTGCCATTGTGATTGGGGTTGGCGTCGGCTTCGGGATGGGAATGAACAGGTCTAGCGGTGGTGGTAAGTGTATAGTGTCCTATGGACCATCTAAACACGGCAGCGGTAACGGGTGCCATTAGCTTCGCGGGACGTCCCCCCAGCCATCTCCACCGCCGCTACCAGCCCTTTTGCGTCATCAGTGCCGGGCAGCCCCATCCCATCGTCACCGGCGACACCGACCGCCTCCTCCAGCTCCAGCTCGGCAACCACCTCGACCCCCGCCTCCTCCTCCGCCCCTTCCTCAGAAAACACCCCAACCGTGTCCTCGATCTGCCCCGGCGCCAACAACACAATCATCCGGCCGAACCTGGGGACGGTGCGGTACCGCGTCCGGTGCGACTCGGACTTCTCCGGCAGCGGCAAGAAGACGCTCTCGTCGGTCGTGCTGCCCTCCTTCGACGCCTGCCTGGCCATGTGCAACACGATGAACTACTTCCAGGGCCGCGCCGACGTCGGCGCCACCTACAACGTCGAGGGCACCGGCCAGCAGACGCCCGGCACCTGCTGGTGTCTCGGCGGGCCGGACAAGGAGGTCGTCGAGAACGTCGGTAATGATGCTGCTGTCCCGCTGTGAAGAGAGAGAGAGGAGAAGGATGGGTAAACTTAGCGCCCTGGTTTGGTCCCACACATGATGAGGGTCCTGCCGGTTGCGTAATCGGTGTTGGGATGGCCACCCCGATGCCGTGGAGCGCCAAACCCCCGGACCTCGGGAAGAAGGGGAAGGGAATGAGGCACTTCGCAGCTTACTTGATGGAGAAGGCCAGTTCGGAAGGGCGAGTTCAAGCACTCCACCGGCCTGCTCCGTGTGGAAGGTGGAGGAGGGACGGCAGCCAAGGTCGTGGGCTCCCCCAACGTCAAGTAATTGCGGGTGAAGAATGTTTGGCCGGGGGCACGCGTGTGTCGAAAGCATCGCCAAGTCTTGCACGCCACACAATATTGGCTCCTTCCCCTGACGGCCGAAAACGGGGAACCCAAGCGGCGCCCGGGTTGTACGATACCAGGACGGAACACATCCATATCTACGGCGATCTGGTCTACGCTTTTGGATCTGGATCGCTGGACCCAATTTGGTGTATTTACCTTCCTGCCATGGTCCTCAGGGCCGATCTACAGAAGACGTGTATTATAATGATAGAAATGCAAGGTCTCAGGTTCCAGAAGCTACCACCCGAGGGGACAAGCCAGCAATCCCTCCTCCGCCCCGAGACGTTCTCCACGTGAATACCTAGTTCAGATGTCTTGAAGCAGCTAGGTGAGTAAACCAACTTAGCTTATCGAGCTAGTTGTCAATCCTCTTGCCCTGTCGGCCATGGTGCTCTCTCGACTAGGACACGGTGTGGATCGCGATTACAACCTCCCGAGCGTTTCCTATCACGTCGGCGTCACGTCGGTGTCAGACGGCAAGAGGCAAAAGAAGAAAAAGAGAGAGCAAAACGAGAAAAAGAAAGAAAGGCAAGTACAACACCGGGGATTCGCTGGTCGTCACCGACCCAACTACTAATCCGGCAGTCACTGGTTTATCGATGGGAGAGCGGACGGGATCCCGAGCTTTCCAGCGCTTATGGTCGTACCTGGAAGATTCAGATCCAAAACACGCATTTATGATACGAGGGTGTGCGGCCTCTTCGAGCAGCCCTATCATCGAGCACTTGGCCCCCGAGATGATAAGCACACATTCGATACAGGGACACTCCGTTACACAAAACCCCTCCAATGGCATATGGCGATTTGCCCATCGGAACGGGCCGGGTCAGTATGTGAAGCTCTGGCATAAGCCCATCGATGAAACCGCCCCTTGTACCTCGGGATGGGAAGCACACGATGTGTCCCGGGACTCGCGATGACGGTTGAGGCGCGGCACGCTAGATGTCCTTGTAAGGTACTATCCTAGCAAAGGGAAGAAGAGGGAGTGAAGCATTTGCTAGTTGTTCCTCTAGCCTACGTTGAGCTCGATCCTCCGGCCGTGGGGTCAAGAGGCAGCTCCTCTTCGAGACTACGGCACCCGATCACGCTCTTTGCGCAGATTAACTTCAGTCTAGTATGCTCGGGTTGATGAACAGCCGCTGGATGAGCGGCGGTTGTGGACGCTGCGGAAAGTTGCCTACACTGGCTGGCCAAGGGGAGTCTACAGTGACTTGGGAATGACCAAGACTTGTCTGGCAAATGGCTTCCCCGGAGTTGCCGTTTAGATACGTGTCAGCCACAAATCCGTCAAGCATGATCGAACGGCCGTCAGCTCGCTCCCCTCTAGCACGAGACGCATCCATGCACCACTCTGGCACTCGACGTGATACCATGCCTGTGATACCACTCTTGACCAACGGGATCTATCTCGTCCGAGGGGCAGGAGGGGACTGTCGGCCCGAGACCATCCTGCTTTCTCAGTCTACAGACCACTCGCAGCCCCGAAGGCGTTTGCGATCGTGGGACAACTAGGCACTGCGCAGGAGCTGCAGCTACCGGGCTCCCGGCCTGGGCACCCTAGTCCAGTCGTCTTGGAGCATGACAACGCCCTTGCAGTCGTTTCTCGAATGACTCTCCAGAGGGCCCTCCTCCTTTGCCCTCGCAGAATTCGCGGGACCTGCGCGGCCCTTGGTACGAAACGAGAGAATCAACAGTTGTCGTGGTGGTCGATAGTGCTGGGTGGATGGATATTGTAAGAGGAGGATCGGCTCATGTGTCATGCATGTATCATGCCAGCAGATATACCGTATTTCTGCATAGGTGTTTTGCGAGTTGTGCTTCTTGTTAGCCAGACAGAGGGTCTGGCGATCGACACTTGACGTCGATGAGCCTGCCGGATGTCCCAACGTACAGCATACAGCCGTACTAGGAGACATAATTACCGGGCGGGGAAAGAAGTCGGCAAGCGGCTCAGGTTGAGAAAGCAATTGTTAATCTCAATCTGGCAGAAAGTGCATATCCTAGAGCGAGGTGCGTGTTACGTACAGCTGCAGTGTTGGGAAGTAGATTGATGACGCAGTCTCCACAAGACATCCACGAAGCTTATACCTGGCCAGGTAGGGAGGTAGACATAAACGAGAAGGAAAGACGAGCCGCGAGACGGAAATCTCGCTGGGCCCGCCGGCACTTGGCATAGAGTGTGAAGGCTCGTAGAATCCTCACGGGTGATGACGAGGCGCTCAGTCAGATGGTACCCCTAGGCTTCCATCATGGATACGATAGAGGGGCACACACACAGCCCTGGCGAGGGAGGCAACGAGCTGTGAGGCATCCACAGGCTGCGATGGGGCAAGAAGGGGCTTAAAGAGGGGAAGGGAAGATGGACCGCATCGAAAGAAAAAGAAAAAAAGGCGGAAAGACACGAGATGATACCCCAGTCTCGAACTGTCGGACAGGACGGGGTCTCGGCTGGTTGACTCGCCGTGTGTTCCATTCGGTGGATGCCATTCAACCTCACAAGGGCACGCACAAGGGCTTACACTGTGAGAGTGCCCTATCCGGAATTTGTTACGTTGTTTCATTGCTTTCTGACCGGTGAAAGTCATCCCGCAGGCAACAAAAATTCGGCCCGGGACAACCCGATTCACTTCACCTGCCGGGGCCGGCGTTTTGTCCCGGAGGAGCGGGTTTGGGTGGGGCCTTCTATCGGAAGGAACCTTCAACTAACCCTCAAGTTTTCGTCATATCTGCCTCATAGCGGATGTGTAGGCAAATCGGAATGGCAGGCTTTGGGGTTTGGTGATTAGTATGGGAACTCGCAAGGCCTTCATCTACGACCTTGGGTACCAATGGGACTCGCTGGTCCGAGTCGGCCGAGATTTGGTATGATTCAGGAAGGACAAAATGAAAATGTATGTATGTACGAGTAGATCAGATCATTCCAAAAGGGGGACCCTACTTGGTACTTCGTTTGCTGAGCAAGAGTGGCCATTCCGCACTGTATTTCCGTCCTGGCCTAGCTGCACCCGACTCCAGGAGCCCACGACGGCACTCGATTGGCTGGCTCTGGGCTATGCCGGAAAAAGGGGGAGTAGATAGCCTACCAAAGCCCTGACCGAGGAGCAGGCTAAAGGCAGCCATAAAACGGGGGCGGTCACACAGTCTTCGAACAGGGTGTTTCCAACCCGCAGGCAGCACCTCCCAAGGTTAGTCTGTAATTCCCGAGGGCGATGATCAATTTCGTTTCGTCCGTGATGTTATAGTGTGAGTAGCGGATGATGGCACCGCATGCTGAGATTGATGAAAATCGCGCTTGGACTGCGGCCCATTGTCTATCGCCGACTCGCCATCGATTGCACTCATGATCGCCCAGGCACACAGGCAGGCAGAGAGGGAAGGTTTGTCGGGTTGCTAAAAGATGCAGGGGACAAGGCTGGTGCAAGCTGCTTGGCTGTAATTACTTTTCGCCTCTGGTATGTGTGGCCACGAGCAACAACCATTACTCGTGCAGCTAGGAAGCTTGGAGGTCATACCCTGTCTATTTCGGAGGACGACGCCGTGCTCGGTTGCGTGAGTGTCTCTGTTAGCCTGCAGCCAACGAATCACTAGGCGAAGAATAAAGCAGCTTCGAAAGCCCATCATTCGCAGGGAAGAAGAAGGCACTGTCGCAACCCCACCGAAGCCGAACCTAGTGTAAAGATAGTGACCGCCGTCGGGTTTGGCGGTCCCTTGTGGTCCATTTGTGGCGGCTGACGTGCACGCAAACCAACCACCTTCTTCGGGGGAGGGGGGTGTATGCGGGGTTATGCTCGCGTGTGGGATGACAATCTGTTTTTCGAAGCGGCGTAGCAGGTGATTTGAGACCCAGGCGAGCCAGGACATCATCAAGCTGACGAAGGTGACTGTGATATGGCTGGTTGGTGGAGAATAACAACAGGGAATGACGAATGGCTTGAGGGACAAGGACCCCGAAGCGGCTTGCGAGATGCCGGGTAGAAGGTGTGAGGCGAATAAGGAGTCGCCATGGGGGGACTCCCATCCGCCCCTGGCAACGCGCCAGTTGCTCAGCTGAAGGGAAGGAGCCAGGCAGCGGCAGAAGAGTAAGGTAGGCAGACGGTGATACATCCGCTGTGCCAAACACCCTTTGAGCAACGTTCGGCTAGACTTCTTCGCATGACGATCTCAGATCTCGGCAGTTGTCTGGCTGGAACTGGCATGTTTCTGTCTCTCAATACGATTTGGATTCTGGATTGTGGAAACAAGCAAAAAGGGCATTAATCTGTTCGGGCCGCACCAAGGAAGTGGCTCTCTCCTCCTTTGGCGGTTTGGCGGCGTTGGGCCAACGCATATCAGGCCTCCGGGCCAGTGCGCCGTTGGATGTGACACCTCTTGGATCCAGAAAACATCACCGGAGTCGCAGATACTTGATGCACGAACCCTGAGTGCCCGGGAAGTGTGCGATAGGAGGCGGGGCGGCGGGATATCAATCGAGCAATCGCGAGCTCCTCTTCTCCCACTTTGTACCTATATTTTCATCTAACGAAGACGGCACATGGCAAGCCCAAAGCGGTTTGTCTATCGGTCGAACAGAAAGAACCCTGTACGGATATGCATGTTGTTGGTCGTCCTCACGTATTGAGGGTTATGTCTGAAACGGAGCGCACGCCCGTTGTCTTCTCGTCTTTCCTTTTTCCTTTTGTTTCCCGAGGCCAAGGCTTGCTCGAAGCCCAAAGCGGAGCGGCCACGCTTCTTTTGAAACGTATAATAAACCAGATTGACTCCAAATGGGGCCCGCAGGTTAATGGCTTGTTCTGCACCTCCACTGCCGATATGGTGATAGCCTTGTCCCAGACTCCCCGCTGGTGGTTGCAGCGAGCAGCAGCATTCTTGATGATGATTGGCCTTGGTGCGGATCGTTGTCTCCTGGTCAGAAACAGAAACAGTCATAATTGCAAAACCCACAAGGCTTTGATTATTGCAGCTACATGTGTAAGGGTGTGTGGTTCGCCGCCCCTCAATAGGCCCAACCTTAGATCCCTGTGTGTGTGTCAGTCAGCCAAACCGGGGCGAAATGGCCTCGCAGTTTGGAGCCTCAGATTAAGACCGAGGCGGTTACGGGATCACGGCGAACCGCCAGTGAGCCACAAGCCGAGGGCTGTGTGACTATGCCCGCAGTATGCGGCGGGCAGATCGTCATCTTCCCGTGGCGTTCCAGCAATGCAGCAATCTAGCGCAGGCCAGGAGGGGCTAGGAGCATCGAGGAGCGAGACTGAGACGGAATTTCCGAGGCTCGCTGATCTCAAAACAGGAGAAACCGTCGTCGTCATCGTCGCCGCTGTCGCCGTCGCGGATAGCTGACTCCATGCTGGCGCGAGTAAGGTGCCGGTGTTGGTATTTTTAATTCGAACACTTTCAGGGAACCCCGCCCTGCACCTACGTACTGTGTGAGAAATTTATCAAATACTGTACGGAAGGGTGTAACTATGTGGAGTCTGGACCACAAAGCCTCGGGGGTCCGTCACCGCAAAACGGCAAAACGTAGGTAACCTATGGCTGCTGGGTGAGGTTAGCGGGATGTAGCCAATCATCGGCTTGACCCGCTCCTCACAAAACCACAAATCTTTGCGCATTTTTTATGTTCCAACCGTTTTAGTCCAGCGCACACGCTAGTTTGCTATTGGCTTGGCTGCCAATCAATTGTGCCTTATACGGACTGGCAGCGTGCCCTTCTGATTTGTAGGGCCACAGAGGCGAGCGACGGGTGAAGCCTGGGTCGGTTTGGGGCGTGCGAACCCAGCCGGCCACTGATTGCACCGCGAGAACCGCCCATTTTCCTCACACAGTAGATGATTCGATAGTAACCTGGAAGCTCATATAGCTTTTAGCGCAAGATGCGCCATGCGTATTACTTCGAATACCTTTCGTAACTGCTTTCCTGAAGCTTCTACCACAGTATTTGGAAACCCTTCTAGCCAACCAGAACATTGTTTTCCTGTCGCCGACGTCAAAATGGCAGGCCCCAGTCCTAGGGTGCTACTGTAGTGGTGTAGTGAGAGTACATATTTTTTCGCTTGGATATCACACCTTACGGTATTAGAAAAGCGAGCTAATTTTATGGCGCATATGATCCAGGTTTTGTGTTGCGTTGTTGGCTTTTATCATGACAAAATCTAGGGACACTCAGCACACTGTCAGGCGTACTTCGAGGTTTCAAAGCACGCTAGGCAACTTCCGTGCCGATTGCATTCATTGCTCAGACTCGAGCCAAGCAACTCCACGTTCCCACTCAAAGGCAAAAGATTCTAACACAAGTCTTCCTTCCAAACAAGTGCACTAATAAAGGCAAAGGGCAAGGCCAAACTCCGGATACATTGCACTAAGTGGATTTTGGGCTCCTGACTCGGTGGCGCATTTGCCTTCTTTCCCTGCAGGCGTCGTAAGTTCCGGTCCTTCGATCCTACCGATGGTTTCGTGATCATCCATCGCCATTTATCTCCTTGGCTCGGCCTCTATCAATGCTCCACGACCCCTACCTCTTTGGAGGTACTCGGTCTTACTCGATGGGTGCACTTCTTGGGGAACGCTCCAAACTGCCCCTGGCGTCATGCCTACTGACATACGAATAGATCCGGCCCTACTTGTCTCATTTGACCTTCATAAGAGGGTTGACGAGGCCGATAAGGTATGCGTCTGGAAATATTATTCATGTCGTTGCTTGGAGCGTAGATCGCCTCCCCAAAAACCTACTTCAAACTTCTACGAATACCACCCCCCATGTCTTGGCACATCGCCTGTTTCCATCCAACTAAACATGAAAGTCACGCCCCACGCCCCACGCCCCACGGACCTTGCCTGCTCCGTTTGTGACGCCCATGGGATGCATGCCAGAGTTTGAGTCGGAAAGTCGACCCCTTTTCCTCTTTCCAGCTTCCACCACTCTCCCTTTGCCGGGAAGTGGCACGCGGCACAGAGTACGAAGTAAGGATGTCTGACCTGGCCGGTGGACCGCTTGGCTGTCAGCCTGTTAGTTGTCGCTAAAGGCCCCGAGACATTTGACCAAAGTCATAGCCCCCCCGGCATCGCCCATCCGTCATCCGCCATCCGCCCATCCTCCTCCATCTGTGACCCCATCCCGCCAAACCCGCCCAGCATCAAACCGGATTTTTAGAGCAAGCGCCACCCAGCCTAGGCCAGCAGCCAAGGTGGCTTGACCAGCGGGCTGTGAATGGACCGAGCTGATCTCGAGGACTTGGGGTCCACTCAAATTCACGTCACAGTGTCAGCAAATGCTAACCGTTGTCAGCAAATCCGAGGTACCCGGTACATACTCGCTCCTCCGAAGTATGCAGAGCATCAAGCCTACCTCCCGCCGCAGGTCAGGTACCTAGCTCATCATTGCCGCCTCCTCGGGCAGACCATCATCGCCTGTTGCGACCGTCACGGGCTTCTGCACTGTGTCATGGTGCCCCGTTGCTGAATAGATCCCTGCCCGCATCGCATTGCCCAAAGGCCCCAAAACGATATCCATGGTAATGTAATCTATGCGACCAGGCTCTACCCCCCAAATCCTCTGCCATTGATTGCCCTGGCTCGTGTGCACAGTGACTATCGATTACGCAGTACATCCACAAGGCCGGGGCGACGTTGCCGTCTGAATATAGCTGGTGATCTGTTGATGGATGTCACACTATTTGAATCATGGAATAATGCAGTGCGAAGTCGGCACTATTTTCGCATGTGTAATTCATCGTATTGATGGCGACAACTTAATGAAGAAGGTCTCGTCCCGATTGCCCGATTTCGTACCCTGCAAATGCAGAAAACCCCGGCTCCGGCTCCAATCTCTTCCGCACTGTGCCACAATGACCTGCTCCTGCTCCCTGCCTGCCTCTCGCAGAGAGGTGGTTGGAGGAGCCTAGAGGTAGCCAGCCATGCGGGTTGGCTCCATGTCAAAAATACACCCTCTTCCTTTGCGATCCTTGCTCGCTCCCATCAAGACGAACTGCAGCTTCGCAGGATCTTATGTGTATTCGCTGTTCTTTTAATCAACACGATAAAAATACCTTTTAAAAGAAACCCCTTGAAGTCCTTGGTGGGGAGGAACTATTCGCAGATTCGGGCGCCGCACTGTGTGCTTTGAGAAACACGAACTTGGGGTTGGGTCCAGAATCCCAGGGAAGGTGCAGTACCTCTCTGGCTTCGGTGGCGCCCTTCTGGCTGGGCCGTCAGCCGGTCGTCCTCCGCCCTAGGGCAGGCGCTATTCTATCCTCAATTACCAAGGGCGACTATTGGATCCATTTGGAGTCGCCATCCATGCTCAATGTTGGTCGCTCCTGCAAACTAACCGGCTGGACTTTCCAAGTGAGGTACGAAAGTAGGTGCGATAGCTGATGACAAGGTTGTTGGCGGGGCTTGCTTCAAGAAAGGAGAATCAGGCAGGTGTGCGGGTTGACCAGGTTAACACGGCCAAAAATACATATTTTCTTCTTGTTTCCAACTCTCGCACAAACCTACCTGCCTAGGTACCTACTGCGTAGTGCACAGTAATAAGGTGGACAACGGGAAAGGCAAGCAGGCGAGGTTTTAAGAATGCATTAAGATTGCTCTGCACTGGTGGCAGACCGTCCGCACAAACAGCAAATGACACTGTAACCGTTCCTTCCTCAGTTTTACTTTTGGTGTCTTTGACGGGGTTTGCTGGGAGCTGGGGCGGAGGCAAGGCCCAGAATGTCATGGACCCGCTCTGCGTTGACTGGCCAGCAAAGCCACCATTCCTCTCAGAAAGGATAAGCCTGAGGTAATTGTGAAAACGGTGGAGTTCCCTTGTCAGCAATGCAATGTACGCATGTAGGAAGGTACCTCCTTCGTTTCCCTCTTGCATGTGCCACAACCCGCTGTTCCGCCCGGCAGCCAAAGCGCAACAACCACACACAGTCAAGGGACAACCTCCAAGGGTACCAGGTAGGTTAATTAGCACTAACCCGTAAACTATCCCGTACCTACGCAACCACCGCACATGGATTGTATTAGGTATGGATGGGATGCTCTGGTCTGGATATTTCTGGGTGCCTTCTCGGCTTGACCTGGATCTGGAACTGGACCTGGATCTGGGGTGTCTCTCCTTCCTTTTCCTTGTCATCGTCCTTCTCCATTCTTCCTCGTCTCCTCTCTTCCTGGGCCTTCCCATCTCAGACATATTCTCACTAATTCCTGTCTCCCTCTGCTCCTCCGTGACCCCATCCCGAGTGTCATATCAGAGAAGCTACCCTACTCTCTCGGCCTCCCACCTCCCCACCTCCCAATTGGCACCGAGCCTAGCCTCAGAAGCTGTTCCTGCCAGTCCAGACTGATAGCCTTCTGAAGGCAAACTCTACCAACTCAACAAACAGCTTTGTGCATCTTGCCCTTGCCCTTGCCCTTGCCCGAACCTCCCACCGAAGCTCCGGAGCTGTCCCTCGAGCCAGCAAGCGAACAACCCTCCCCTTCGAAATACCCACGACAGGACCCGCCTTGCCGGGAACATCGACAGCGACCCTCCGCTCTAGGGCCGGATAGGATATCGAGGATAGCTAGCAGTCGAGCTGGTTGCGTATCCCCGTGTTCCCCAACCCGAGAGAAATCCTGCATTGGGTCTTGAGGTATCGGCTGCCATCTGACTACCATGAATGGGCAATTTTGAGGAGGAGCGACCAGAAAAAGCTCACCTCCCTAAATTTCACTTATCTGTTCCGGTCTGGGAGGGAAACACTTACGGCGAACAGGGCTGGTCAGGATAGTGAATCGTTCGAGCAAAGGGGAAGCTGCCACCAAGTCCTGGGAGCAAGGCAAGGATCGTCACTTTCGCCAGATTCACTTCACTACCTGGGTGTTCTGTCACCTACCTAGGTATCTACCAACCTAAGGTGGCTACGGCCTCTTCACTCGAGCTCGGATTCATTCCAACGGCACTGAACTTACTTTATCCTCACCACCTTCCCCCATGCATTCAGCAGCCACGCCCTTGAACTTCCACCTCCCCCCTCTCGCAACTCTACACAAGTCGGCGTGCGGCCAGAGCAGACGTATCCCACTCTTCCTACGACAGCCCGAGAAGCCGAAAATCCATTGCACGGCCGACGAAGCCACTCTACAGAGTGGTCTTCGAACGCCTCCAGCAGACGACATGGGTACGACATACCAGATACCGAACCTTGGGTCCTGCGTGAATCACCATGCCCACCATCACGCCCCCTACGTGTCGACGCTAGCCAACAACGACCGGACGAGAAAAGCCTTCAATGATGGTGTCTACGAATCCCCCTCGAGATATGCCATGCCCAGCCAACAGCAAGAATCTTTCGCACCGTCTCGAGCAGGCCACGCGGCGTCGACTTCGATATCCTCGACATCACGGCACTCTACAAGACCATCGACTCCTCAGTCGGGCCCAATGACTGCCGCCGAACAAGCAACGGCGACGAGGGATGCCACCATGGTCTTGCACAGCCTGCAGATTCCAACATGCATAAGTCCTAGAGGAGGGAATCTCGCCGATTTCGCCGCACAGGTGAGCTATTCCTGACCCAATTCTGGGATTGTATTTTTCCACGAGTACTAATCGGGCCATTCACCGTTGTTAGGTCACCTGCCTCTTCTGGTTCGAGTCGATCAAGACCCTCGAGGCTGCTGAGAGCTTCCGGGCTCTTGGCCCCACGGGTACCGTTCGGCGGCTGACGGAGAATGCGATACCGATACCGAACTTCAAGAAATGGGTGCAGACGGTGCTCTCGACAACTCAAGTTACACAGAACGTTATTCTCCTCGCCTTGTTGTTCATCTACCGCCTGAAGGTGGCGAACCCGAACGTGAAAGGACGACCTGGAAGCGAATACCGGTTGCTGACGGTGGCTCTGATGCTGGGCAACAAGTGTAGGTTTTTATATAGCAGGCGTTTAGAAGAAGCTTTTGCTAACTAGGCTATGTGATAGTCCTTGACGACAACACGTACACGAACAAGACTTGGGCCGAGGTCTCGGGCATCTCTGTTGGCGAAATCCACGTTATGGAGGTCGAGTTTTTGAGCAACATGCGATACAGTCTCCTCGTCTCGAAAGACCAGTGGGAGGAATGGCTTGTCAAGTTGGCCAAGTTCTGGGAATACTGCGACCGGGCACAACGACCGCCAATTTCGCCCTTGGTGATCCCGTCACCTACTCAGCGAAGTAACTTTGCTTCACCACTCCCGTCCCCCACCGGTATTCACTCGCAGCCGATCCCGAGCTTGCATCCAAGTCAGGGCACTCCCCAAACGGCCGCCAGCCAAGCGTGGCAGGCCGCATACCAGGCTGGCAACGTGATCTCGCCACTGGCTCTGAAGCCGGAGCCCTACAACACAAGGAAGCGGAGTCTGGCCGAGGAAGACCCAACAGAACCCCCCGCCAAGCGAATCAGTCGCCAACCCCTAAAGCCCCAGCCTCAGCCATATTCTCAGCGGGGAGTCTCGACGGCCGCCTCCGAGTCAGCAAGGTTGCCGGTGCCGAGTCTGGCAATCAACACGAGCAACACAGCACCTCAGCCTCCCGCCATTACGCACCCTGCCTCCAATGGCTACGCTCCCCAGCAGGCATCCGCACTGTCTCTGCCGCCACTCGTCCCAGGTGTCAGAGCTATGTCGAGCGTGTACGCACCGACCGCAGCTACCTTGGCATCTCAGGTGCCCCTTTCGTCGACAAGCGGGCCTCATGTCAGCACATCCGCGGCTCCTATCATGACCCCAACAACGACGTACCAACCACCCGCCTACGGGACTCCGACTAAGAGATTATCGCCGCAGAGTTCGTTAACTCCGGCAACCGCTAGCTATGCCTCGTCCCCAATGACGGAATCATTCCAGCACCATGCAATGACACCTCTTGGCAGTTTGGGAACAGGCAGCGGCATACACACTCCCATGTCCCACTCGCCTTCCATCTACCTCCAGCAACGGCCGAGTCCCTACAAGCCTGTTCGCCATGTCAACACCCTCCTGTATCCGCCACCATCGGCCTTCCTCCACGAGTATCATCTGAGCAACGCAGTTCCGCCCGCTCAGATGCATTATCAGCCCCTTGGCCGACGGAATGAGTACCGCACTGGCATTGTCCCGGAGTTTGCCGTATCCGGTTCGGGGCTTTATCCGAATGGGCGGCATGCCTGTCTCACGCCGGCACCCGCTCAAGCCATCCAGCACATGGCCCAGAGTCAGGCAAATCACGCTCAAGCTCAAGCTCAGGCTCGGGCTCAGATTCAGGCTCAGGCTCAAGCTCAGGCTCAAGCTCAGGCACAGCAAAACCAGTTCGCCCCTACTGTTGGACGGAGCCAGTTCGGGCCAAACTACTAAACCTCGAGGCTAGGCAAAGGGTGGGCCTATCCTCCTCTCTCCACGCTCGACCCTTGTCTAGGCGTCGCTCACCACTTTCTCGCTGCATTATTCTGTATTGTTAATTTCATCTTTAACCAGCATCTGCATGGCTTTCGGCGTTGGTGAGGGATCTTAACTCGGATCCCGTCATTTGGCATTTTCGCAAGAATGAAGGCGGAGACGAAACGCGCGGCTCATCAATTTCTCTTTTCGTGTTCCTCTGCTTTTCTCTGCATCGCTTACCCGCGTTCACTGGGATCAATCTGAGCTTCAGATGTCTAGTGGCAGGTGGTATTGGTATGAGGAAAGTGGACTTGCATTACTTCGAAGTTTCCATCGTCGTTTGCGGTATAAAGTCTCTTCATCCAACGTGGCGCGAAGAGATTGAACGAGAATGCGACAAAAATCGCAAGGAAAGCAATTTGGGGCGGGGACTCTGACTAGGGAGGCAATATGCTGCTTGCAGGGACATCTGGATGGGTGGAAGACACGTGGAAATTCTGCCTGGGACCTTGCCGAGCTCTCAGAGAATGAACGCTTTTCGGTGCTATCCGGCTTCTTTCTCCAAGAGATTTGTTCTGGATCAACCTGGAGCCTGCCTATATGGGCCACCAGCTCGGACATGACCCTCTCGTTCGGTCCAGCGGTGGTAGGACGTCATGTCCCAGAGGTCCACGACTTTCGCACAAGCAGCCCGGCGGAATCCAGATGGGCGATGGCAGTCGTCAGGGGAGAAATGTGCTCGGCAAGCAGGCAAAATACCTGAAGGAAGCGGTATTTCGGCCCCGTGTCACGATAGATAGAGAGGCTGGATATCGTCAGCAATGACGCACCACCAACCACACGACAACTACCAAGTAGTTGGGCGGTTAATGCAAGCACATTGACTGCCATTCATGTTCAACTGGTGGAGCGTTTTGCATGGTGATGTCTCGTAAACCCCTGATCTTATTAATTCTGCCGGCATTAAAAAGCGGTGAGAGATGGAAGTGGTGTCGCTTGTTCTTGCCTAAGGCAGAAACAATTTTGCGGCTTGCACTACCTACCTCTGAGCTTGGAGATCGAAATTCCAATTCAAGCAGCAGCACAATCAAACCCACGAACAGCCATGCCTCCACGAATACCTGCAATGCAGGCCGTAAGGTGCTGCAGGGCATCTCTGGAATCCCAGCGCGCATCATCCCCGCTCGTCTCGCTGTTCGCGGCTCTCTCAATTCAGACGAGGAGCGCGTCCATCCTCGCCAGACTCTCCGACAACCCTGGAGCCTACCACAAGCGGATTCGCAAAGGCCGAGGACCGTCATCTGGCTACGGAAAGACCTCTGGCAGGGGTCACAAGGGCCAGAAGCAGCATGGCAAGGTGAAGCCGTGGTTCCAGGGTGGCCAGACGCCTTTGATTTTCAGCCACGGACGGAAAGGCTTCGAGAATCTGTACGTCACCGCCGCGAGGCTATTCAAAATCCCCGTCTGAGCAGAGAGAGTGTGAGAGAGAGTGGCAATATCCACTTACTTCTCAATGCCTCTCCCGCCACCAATTGGGCCTCGGAAGTTGAAACTGACCTTTTTTTTTTTTCTTTCGCACCAGCCGTGCCCCGAAAATGTCCGAAGTAAACCTCGACCGCATCCAGACCTGGATCGACGCGGGCCGCCTCGACCCCACGAAGCAGATCACGCCGCGCGAGCTGATCACGTCGGGCTGCGTCGGCAACGCCGTCAAGGACGGCATCAAGCTCCTGGCGGGCAGCAGGGAGGCGAGTAACCAGGCGGGGCAGGCGGGGCAGGCGCCGCTGCGGACGGCGGTCGACATACTCGTGTCGCGGGCGTCGGCGGGGGCGATCGAGGCCGTGGAGGCGGCGGGCGGCAAGATCACGACGCGGTTCTACACCCGCCAGTCCATCAGGCGGCTCGTGGACGGGCGGAGCGCGAGCACCGACAGGCCACTGCCCGTCGGGGCGGAGCACGTCGAGGGCGAGCTGGAGCGGGTCAGGCAGGAGGCGGCGGCGGCGCCGGGGAGGCGTCTGTTCCGCCTTCCCGACCCGACGAGCCGGTGGGAGATCGAGTACTACAGGGATCCGGCGCATCGCGGGTACCTGAGCCACATGCTGAAGCCTGGGCAGTCGCCCAGCTTGTACTTCAAGGTTCCTGGGGAGAAGAGGGTGGTGGTCGCGTCGAAGGAGAAGGAGAAGAAGAAGGCTGCGGTGGAGGAGGATAAACTGTTCTAGATGTTGGCCTGACAAGCTGAGAGGGAAGTGCTGTATCATATTTGCTAAGATAGGGGGTCCTGTATACCGCGAATGCATGTGTGGTACCTGTACCAAGAGCGTTTCTCAGACTTGCCCCCCGGAGTATAAGCTTATGGCATAAGACAAGAATAACGACGAAGGTTTTCAATAACCGCCCACATGACCCACCTCTTCTGGAATCACTGGCTTCACTGGACCCGGAGCCTGCAATCTAAGTTGAGATCGAAATTGTTCCAATAGGGTTCAATGACGGGCATAGTTCGAGGCAAAAACTACATGGAAAGACAGAAGATTGTTGCATAACTGCCAGCTACCAAAACGCAGATAGGGGACGGCGAATACGATTATTGCCGAGAAAAAATGCCAAGTATGAACTCCGGGATATTGAGAGGTGCAGGGTTCAACCAATTCTGGCGGGTTCAGCGACAACAGAGAACTGTCCGCCAGCACCGGCCCAACTCAAGAACCTATCCTTCACCTCCCGGCCTTTGATGCGCTGTGCAACATAGACGTCATCATTAGAGTCAAGACCAAGCTGGCCTTGGAAGCCGTAGCCCGTGGCGTAGGCACTGCCAGCCGTATTGACGAATATGGTATGGTCTGTACCGCAGGCAACGTGGAAGGCTTTGCCAATATTCGGGACTGCGGTGGGGCGGAGGCATATCCCTGGCTTGTCACGTTCGTCGTGGCGGATCAAGGTTGGGTCCCGCAGCTGGTCGGGAGTAAAGCTGATGCCGAGTTGCCCGCTGTGTATCTGTCCCCACACAAGGAACTGGCCGTCTGTCGTGACGGCGGCAGAGTGGTGGGCACCGCCGTCGAGGACTGTAACTCCCTTGCCGCAGAGGCCGGGGATCTTCACCGGATATGGTAGAATGGCGGAGTCAGTACCGGCAGTCTTGGGGTATCCAGCTTGGCCGTTGCTGTTGAGACCCCAAGCCCAGACGTTGTCCTTCCGATCGACGGCGAAGGAGTGGTATTCCCCTGATGCAATATACTTGGCATTGTTGGGGCACACTCGGACCTGGCATGGTCTGAGGTTGTCCTGATGGCGTCCAAAGAGACGACGCCCGAATTGGTTTTGCTCGTTGGAGCCCCAAGCCCAGATGTTGCCTGTGATGTCAAGGGCTAGTACATGGTCGACGCGCGCAAGTGATTTGGGTAATTTTCTGCACGCCTTGGATGAGAACAGGGGTCTCTTGCCTCTCAACAAGTCTCCCATCACTATCATATCCAAAACGTTCCTCGCCTTTGGAGTTCTGTTGATACTGACGTTAGGATGGGGGGAAAGACTGGTCGGTCTTGCGCAACAAAGGTGAATCAACATACACGAAATGTGCCCCATCCATAGACAAGGCCAGTATCAGTGAGGGCAAAGCTGCAGTTATCACCGGCAGCTACTTGGACAAACCGGGTGCCTGGGGGGAAATGGTCTGCTGGGATCTCGGTGGGAGTCGACTCGAGTGGATTCAACTCTCCATCCTCATCGTCGGAATCCGCGTCTATATCGCGCAGCTTGCCATCCCAGCGCGTGTCCCTGCCAAGAGCGTTAAGGTCGTTGACACCCCAAGTAATGAGCTTGTTGTCCAGTGTCAAGGCAACCGTATGCATACCACCGCAGGCAAGTTGGACGACGCGGAAATTGGATGGGTCATTGGGGTCAAGGTATGGGTTGATACAAGGTTGAAGAGCTTCTGTCTGTTTGGGCCCGAGACCAAGCTCGCTGTTGTCGCCATTGCCAAAGACGCGGACTATGAGGCACCTTTTTCGAGGCCATCCTTTTGACGTGTGGAGTTCTCAAAAGTACCAAAATGATGCAGCCGGAAAATGTCGACAGGAACAAGAAGATGGCATGTCATGTTTTCTGCCTTATTTTTTTGTATCTTTGTTTCTATCTCAGAGCTATGTGAGAGAAACAAAGGGACAAGCCAATTAGACGATTATGTACTACCAACCCCTCAATTGAGAAACCCCGCATCCCCGGTAGCTCGGATAGATACATACTGCGGGAGCTATCCCGGCCTCGAGACGGGAGCTCCTCCATCTGCCCCCTCCTGATTACCTCTCTCTGCCTTGTATCAGCTCCACGGTCGTCGAGACGAAGAGAGATCTGCAACGGATTTATCGGCTTTGTGGCATCTCTGGGTATTCCTGTGCGTTTGGCCTACCCTCTCTTACGGTGAACAATCTTGCCCGCTTCCAGCTCCGTAATCATTACGAGTCCATTACGAGGCCTAAGCATCGACATCGTCAGCCTTCGATAGCTACTCATTCACCTATTCGCAATCCTACCCCTTCGTACGCTAGCATAAAGACGTCGGCTACCCGTTGCGAGGAGGTTCAGAACTGTTTCCCCCCAACCAATCCGTCCCAATGTCTCTCTTCGGCACATCTCCGACGGAAGAGTCTCCACCGATGGAGACTCCCAACCGCGGCCGCTCGCGCTCCTCACTCTTCGACGACGAGGCCAACGCGACTAAACCGACATCGAGTGCGCTCTTCCAGGACGACGATAGCAGCGGTGGCTCTCCGTGGGACATGCCTTCTCCCCGGAAGCAACAGACCCGCGCCAATGTCCTCCGAAACCTCATCCCTGCGACAGACGCCCCGGATAGCTACCTCGACACCTTCGACACTATAGTTCGTGAAGATGGCGCCGGCGCCGGCCGGGCTACCGCTGGTGGTGTTGCGCGGGTATTGGCAGCTGCACACCTCAGCGCCGACGATCAGGCCCGAATCATGGGTTTTGTAGCGCCCGGCGGGGTTGGCGGCGACTTCGGACTCGGCAGGGACGAATTCAATGTCATGTTAGCGCTCGTCGGCCTCGCCCAGGAAGGCGAAACCGTCAGCCTCGATGGCGTCGATGAGCGTCGGCGAAGTGAGTACCTGCCCATGCGTCACATCCTCCCCATCATTCCCTTATCTTATCTTGCGGATCGACCGACCTCTCAGAGCGATCTGGGAGCTTTGTCGTTACTTGATTTCCATTAATTCATCATTTGCCTACCTGCTTATTACAGAACCCGAAGCTCAAGCTCGAAGTGGGTCCCAATCTTGGAGAGGTACCTCTGGGCTAACCTCTTTCTTGTTTAACCATTCAGACCTGCCCCAGCCCAAGCTTCCCGGCCTCGTCGACAAGATTCCTGTTCTACCTCACGCTTCGGAACTGGCTGCAAAACCACCGCAGCGCCCAGTCACTCCCCCGCAAGCCATTAAGCCGACGCCTCCGCATCCGCATCAGTCTCGCTCCGCCGCGAAGGTGTCGATGGATTACCCCGACGACCCGTGGAATACGCCCGACCTGCACAAGAACCACAACCACCCGCCCGACCCGCACCGCCCGAATATTGTCGATGCGCCCGTTCCTGCTGTTAATGGCAACGGAGTGCACGGCGCCGTGCCCGAGCACGGGCTGCCGACGAGGACGACCTCGACCTTCACCACTGGCACCGTTGGTTCGGGTACGGGATCGGCTCGTCGGAGCACCGGGTCTGTAGGTGGCAGCTCTGGCGGCGAGTGGGGCTACTATGATAGCAGTGCAGGTAGCTTCACTGCAGCCCCGGCCGGCGACTTGGGGACGAGTCCCTTCGGCGGCGGCAACGGCGGTGGACGAGAGCCGGGAGGCCAGCCGCCGGCCGTGACCCCTACCAGGACGATTGGCAGCGGGAGGACAGGAAACGCCATTGAGGAGAACATTGTGGTCTCGCTCATGCCTGAGAAGGAGGGCGTGTTCCTGTTCCAACACCACAATTACGAAGTCCTGAGCACGAGGAGGGGGGGCAAGGTCATCAGGAGGTACAGTGACTTTGTCTGGTTACTGGATTGCTTGCACAAGCGCTATCCTTTCCGAGCATTGCCTCTGCTGCCTCCAAAACGAGTTGCCGGTGAGCTGATGATGGTGTTCAATATTGGGGCTTGAGAGGGAAGCTGACGCAGAGCTAGTCAACGGTAACCACTTCTCCAACGATGGCGCCTTTATTGAGAAACGTCGGCGCGGTTTGGCTAGGTTCCTCAATGGCCTAGTCCGACATCCCATCCTCAGTCAGGAACAGTTGGTGGTTATGTTCCTAACCGTGCCAACTGTAAGATATAATCACCGGAAGACATGGATGTTTTCACCAGTGCTAATACGGGGTGCAGGAGCTCTCGGTCTGGCGTAAACAGGCCACAATCTCGGTCCAGGATGAGTTCACCGGCCGGCCACTCCCTCCGGGGCTCGAAGACTCCCTCTCCCCTGTTCTAGACGACATGTTCGATCGTACCCAGTCTGGCATCCGTCGCAGCTCCGACCTATACATCAGCGTGTGCAACATTATGGACCGTCTCGTGAAGCGCTACATCGGGGTATCGGCGGACCATGCACGCATCGCCATGTCACTCACCGCCCTCGCGGAAGCCAGCGGCGACACCTACGCCACGGATACCAACGACGTCCCGTTGCTCAACGACGGCCTGCAGGCGATGAGCAAGCATCTGAGGTCCGGGCAGTCGCTCATGGAGGACGAGGCCCACGCGTGGGACGAGGGTGTCCTGGAGGATCTGAAGAGGCAGCGCGATGCCCTCGTTTCGGTCAGGGATCTGTTCGACCGCCGAGAGAGGCTGGACAGGGATAACATCCCGTCCCTGGAGAAGAGGATACACAGCAACGAGACAAAACTGGCGCATCTGAGATCCAAGCCGGATGGAATGGTCAAGCCGGGGGAGATCGATAAGGTCGTGGAGGCTATCATCAAGGTACGGCAAGCGTCCTTTGGCCAGCCATGGCGGCCCATGACTAACGCGCGTGTCAACAGGATAAGGAGTCTATCGTCAACCAGCATAACCGGTCTGTCTTCATCAAGGAATGCCTCAGGGATGAGCTCATATACTTCCAGAGCACACAGTACCACGTCTCCCGGTGGAACCAGGACTGGTCCCAGGAGCGCGTCAAGTACTCAGAGCTGTTGGCCGACAACTGGCGTAGCCTGGTGGACGAGCTCGAGGGCATGCCCACGGGTGATTAGCAGCCGGTGTAGAAGATATGGAGAAACGGAGGGAGGGAGGGTTGTCCACACATGGGAGGGCCGCAGCAGATGGAGCGATATACCCCTTGGTTATTGCTTTCTTTTTCTTTCTCTCTTAATGTTGTCTTCAGCGCTGTTCAATGCATCATCCAGCGTTACGATCCATCCATGTCAGGTTATAATTGTCAAATTGATGTTGGTGTGCCTCTATTGGGTCTATGGGAGCTTTCTATTTGCTTGTAGAATAAGGTGCAGTACATAAATTGAACATGTCGGTTGTTCTCTTTAGCTTTTTGCTTAGCTGCTATCTGCCTCGCTTCTCCCTACCCCATGATTTGCATAGGCAGTAAGTTAGTTGCATGAGTGATGAGTTTAGGGCCCCAAAGTGGGAGCCTTGTCTGTCGAGCGCCACTCGAACCCCTCCAATGACGTTCCACTCAGCCTTGCCTGGCTTCCGCTTTCGCAACCCCCAAAGCAGAAAAGCACCACCCCTCAGGATCCGCGCTCAGTCTCGCTTTATACTTGCCATTGTCTAGTGATCCGGAAGGCGGGCAGGTCAGGAATCTCCATTTCACATTCGGCGGCAAGCCTGAGGAGGCGACTGCCCTTACAGTGCTGCACTGCACGCGACAGCCACAGTCTATCCTGCCCAACCACTGCCGCATCAAATTCCCCCTCCCCACCGGTTCGACGAATTCACCACCGAGCAGCAAACGACAAGCGAATAACGATAGTTTGGCCTCAGCTGCCGGCTTTTCTTCAACCTCCCCCTTAAACCTATCCCTGAACCTCTCATCGACTTCCCCAGTCCTTGCGGCTCGAAACAGCCCTGCCACTCCAGCATGGCGTTGACTAACGCGCAAAAACATACCGTGAGCCACTTCGTGGCCTTGACCGGTGCGAATGATAGGACTGCACAGAGGGTAAGCCGCTGCCCTCGTCATACCCTGTTATCGGTCGATTGCATACTTGCTTGCTCGCCGCCGTCGGAGTCCCCGTGTGTTCCTATTGATCTCGCATATGCTAACCGGTGGCGTTTCCCAACACGACAGTTCCTCAAAAATGCAAATTACAAACTCGATGCTGCTGTCGATCAGTAAGTCGACCTTCTCTGTCACGATACTCCGATACTCCTCCCGAGCACGGTCTCCGCTGCCTCCGCCCTGCCTACCTTTCTTTGCAAGCGATTGAAAACCCCCCCGAATATCAAGGTCATACATTGGGAAGATATGATTCTTGCTGTGCGCATCGGAGCGAGGGCATTCCCGGGCCATCCATGGCTTCTGATATCGGGTATCTGCCACGTTTGTGGAGACAAGAATGAGCCCCAGCTTGTTGGAACTCTCGATTCTTAGGCGAACCCACATCGCCTTCCGGCTTCCAAGGGATGCCTTTTCCTATTTATCTCCGAGGAGATGCAACGTCACACCTTGCTTAAATCGCACCCTTCCGCAATTATGTCCATCCACTCCCCTCGCCCAACATGTGTCTATTTACATTAATATCACGCTCGACATCCACTTCGCTGACCGTGGACTACTCCCAAACCCCCTCCCCCTCCCCCTCCCCCTTCTGCAAGGGCTACACCTCGGCTCCACGAGAGCTGCGAGCAACAAGACCCATACCGATAGCTCCCAAGTTGGGAACGGCCACGGCTGGATCTGTGGACGCAGAGCCACCAGACAGCACACCGGATATGCCTTGCTTAAGGTTCATAAAACAGGTTGGCAGAGGTAAAGGGTAGGGTGCATCATCGCAGCAGCCGGTTACTACCGTGCGTCCCCCCAATTTAGAGACAAGTATCTCACCCTCTTTGAGCCACAGTTGGCAATTCTTCTCTTGGTTGTTTGGAGTGAAGACGAAACCAAAGCTGTTCGTGGGAGAATGCTTACCAATTGGCCACCTTCGCCAGATACTACAATAGCAGCCAGGCCGCACAGGCAAGCAACAATAAACCGGACCTGGCGCTAAATAAGATGTTTGACGACCTTAGAGGTCAGGCCCCTTGTTGTCATTGGGTGGAAGGGGACTACAGGCTGACACCCGGCGAATAGACCCAGATGAAGACAAGGATAAGGATCAGATTGGAGTGGACTCGATGATGGGTTATCTCACGAGCCTGGGCGTCAACCCGGAATCGTGCGAGATCTTTGTCGTGCTGGAAATCGTTCAGGCCACCAGCTTTGGCCAGATTACACGGAAAGGCTACGTCGATGGGTGGAAGGCTACTGGGTGAGGCTCTACTCTCTCTTTTCGGGTCGGGACCAAGATCATGAGCTCAGGGGGCTGACAAGACTCACAATCGGCAGTGTAACGCCCGCCCCGGCCAGCCACCGGGTACACGTCCGGAACTGCGTGGCCCAGCTCTCGACCGACGCGGCCTATTTCAAACGGGTGTACCGGCACACCTTCGTGGCGGGCAAGGAGGCGGACCAGAAGGCCATCTTGGTCGAGAACGCGCTGGTGTACTGGGAGATGATGTTCAAGCCGCCCGGGCGGCCGTGGGCGAGCGGGCGCACCGACTGGCTCGAGGCGTGGAACCGGTTCCTGCTGGAGAACTGGAAGCGGTCCGTCAACCGGGACATGTGGAACCAGACGCTCGAGTTCGCCCGCAAGACCCTCGAGGACGAGACCCTGTCCTTCTGGAGCGAGAGCGCCTCTTGGCCGAGCGTCATCGACCAGTTCGTCGTGTGGTGCCGCGACAACGGCGTCGCGGCCGCGCCCGTGGCGGCCGGTGGCGGTCAGCGGGCTGTCGACGGTATGGACGTCGACCGCTGATCCGCTGGCCGCTTGTAGCCTTGGGTTACCGGCTTCTTCCGGTTCACCTACGCGCTGTTCCTTGGGCATTTGTCGGTCAGTTCCGTCGATTTTTGTTCTCTAGCTCTACAGACTGCGGGCTACCAACAAAGAGGTCGGGGTCGAACTGACTGTTGGGAGATGGCCTTGGCGACGATAGTTATGACCTGTCGGGAGAGGTTGACTCGCCAATGAGGATGGCAATCCCTGTGGACTTGGGAGGCCCGAGTTTGACGGCCGGGATTAAGACACATAATCTATCCCTAGATCATGACCGGGACGGAAACCGGCAAATATCGCGAGGCAAATGCATTGTTTTCCAGGGGCGTCTTTACAGTGGAACATTTGAACTAGTTTAGAGAGCAGAGAATATTCTTCTGCCTAGGCGATAGGACTGGCTGGCTGGCTGAGTTAGTTTGCATTTCCAGCAGCACATCGATAACTGGTTTTCTTTCGTCTCTTCTTTGGCTACAGCTGTAACGCCAGCCAACCCATTGATCGTCGTTAGACTCGATGTCACGTTTGTTCAAGGACGATGCACGTTGGAGCATTGCCCCCCAATTGTGATTCTCTCCCCTCGCAGAGTCAAGGGCGGGCAGCAATCGGTAGATGCAGGTGAGCAGTCTAATTGTACGCCAGCAATTCAAGTCCCGTCGTTCCCGCGTATATAGTACACTTTGTACAGCTTCCAGTACAAGAGCCCCAGATTGGGCTCATCGTTCCACCCGGTAGTCATCCATGCAGAGCCACTCTGTCTCGGGAAAGGCAGAGACATCCAAGCGTGAGCCCGGGGGCGTGTCTGAAGTAGGAGAGCCCCTTTTCGGTTCTGAGCACGCCACGATGCCTGTCTCCCTTCTCCCATCTCACGGTATCAGCGGGGTATCCCTTCGGATTCGTATGATCCTGCCCATCCCTTCGAAGTAGGTAGGCATCCATCCCACCCATCTCGGAACCACCAACCATGATCTATCCCCCTACCCATACGGCCCCCCTCAACTCTTGTCCACCGGCCCGCCCTCACTTCTGATCCCACTCCACCTTCCCGAACCGGCTCAGCGTCTCGAGCTTCCCGTCGCCGAGCTTGACGCTCATGCTCCGGACGACGCGCGGGTCGAGGGCGAGGGTCGAGCGCACGGCCTCCTGCGTGGCGGACGACGAGTCGAAGCGCATCGCGAAGTAGTGCCCGTTGTGGTGGCGCATCTGGTGGCGCGACACGGTGCGCGGGAGCGAGAAGACGCCCCAGTTGCCCAGCGAGCGGATGACGCCTCCTTGGCGGAGGATCAGCTGGCCTGCTGTGAGGACGATTCTGGGGGTTTGTTAGTTTTTGGGCTGGCTGTTTCTTGTTGGCTGGTTTGGGGCGGGGGGTTGGCGGAGTGTCTATCGGGAGAGTGGTATGTACGCATTCGAGCGAGGAGGAGGGAACAGGGAGGGAGGGCTATGAGGATAGGACGTACTCTTTCACCTCACCCAAGTTGGGAGCTCCCTTTGGTCCGCACCGGACCTGCGAGGTGGGAGGTTAGTCTTTCGTTTCGCCCAACAGATTTGGAATTGAGGGGGACCGGGGGAATGTGATGGCTTACTATTCCAATCATCTCGTACAGCATCTTGCGCGATTGGGGGTATCCGACATGGACACCTGCAAGGAAAACCTGGGAGTCGAGAGGTATTGAGAGGTACTTGGAGGTAATGGCTGATGGACTGTCGCGAAGCCCAGATCTTTTTCTGGAGTTGGGATGGATTCCGGGGTTTCTCCGCTTCACCGCCTTCTACAACCACCCCCCAACCATGGTCACTTAGAAGCAGTCAAAAACAATATGCCCCTCACATTTCCCGTGGAGAGGATATTCTTACAGCAGACCCAGCCATACAAACGTACACTACAAACATGATGAATTGAGGATTATGCGGGTACAACACCCCGAACGTCCAAAATATCGGTGCTGGAAAGATAGTCCCGTTCCCCATCCATAGCCTCGACCCCAGTACCGATGGCAGCACAAGCCAGCCGAAGCATTCCAACGCCTACCATTGGGGAATGAATATCTCTACCCAGCAATAAAAGAGAGAGAAAGAGAAACCAGGCACCTGGCATCCATGCCTGCTGGAAGGAGAGATTAAGCCAGCCCAGTGAAATAGCAAAGGAGGGCCCTCGCAACGGAGCAGTCCCAGAGATGAAATATGGCATAGAACAAGCAAAGAGAAGCAGCCCATGAGTCGAGTCCCTTGTTCAGTAGCAGCCATCAAGACTCCGAGTCGTATCCAGGCAAGACGTTGGACTGCATCTCGTCCCAAGTGGATTCGACAAATTGGCTGTGAGACAGACGACGCCATGTCAGCGAGATGTAGCGAGAAACGGACGAGCAGCAGGTACGGGGTAAACAGCTACGACAGGGGAAAGGGAAAAGACTCACGCATCTGTCCGCACCAGCTTCACGCCCTTCTTCCTCATAAAGGTCAGGAACCGCCTCTTGGTGCGCTCACGCTTGAAGTGGGCCAGCACGTCCCCTCGGTGCTCAACGCCTTGGACGGGTTTCGTAGCGATGACCACCTTCTGGCTGCTGGGGGCATACGAGACGTTGACCAGCTCTGACTGGCGGAGGTGGAAGTCGTACGGCTCCTTGTAGACGCCCCACGAGACCTCGTTGGAGACGACGTCCTTGAGAACCTGGTGCTCGAAGATGTTCGACTCGCCCCCTTCTTCGGCCTTGTCAACCCAGTGCCAGTACTGCGTCACCGCCGGGTTGGTGGTCGTCAGTCGCGTCTTGACTTGGTATACCCGCCAGTCGAGCTTCATGACATGATCTCCGCTAAAGCTGTCCGTCGATGTATATCCGCTGTGCTCCAGGTCCTCCTGGAGGCTGGCCGCTCCACCAAGGCTGCTGCGGCCGGCCGGGTTCTGGTCGACCCTCTGCTTCTTGTGTTGGTTGCGGGCCGAGAGGATGAATTTCCCCGGCTCTGGCTTGCTCGCCTGGTGCTGGCTGAGGGGCACCTCGGCGGAGCCCTGGCGCGTCTTGCGCGTCGAGGACCGGGGGGCCTGCTCGGTATCTGCCTTGTCCTTCTGCGGGGTCGTCTTGGGTGTCGAATGTGGCTCCTTGCGCTTCCGTGACCCCGCCTCCTTGCCGGGGGTGTCCTTGCTGGGGTCCTTGCGAGGGGTGCCCTTCTTGGGGGTTCCCTTTTTGGGGGTTCCCTTTTTGGAGGTGCTGCTGTTCTTCGCCTTCTCTCTCATCTTGAAGCCGGAGGGCCGGCCGATGGTGCCGAACCCATTCTTGATGCGCAGGTGGGAGACCTTGGGGTCATGGTACATATGGTGAATAGTCTTGGCAAGGTCAAAACTGTCACCTTTCTCGACGTATATCTCGTGCAGGCGCTGCCTTAGCCACTGCGAGGGCTTCATGTCGATCTTAAACTTGGTCAGTTCTTGCAGAACTTGGACCATGCGGTATAACGTGTCGTAGACGATGAAGCCTCTGGTAATCCACTGTTTGCCGATGATCTGATAGGGATGCAGCTCGCCCTCCTCAAGGAACTGAAGCATGGTCCGACCTCGGTTGATCTGCCGATTTGCCAGGAACTTGCTGGCTGACGAAGATGTCGGAGTTTTCGCGAGCTGGTCATGCTTTTCCAGCCACTTGTTCAGCTGGAGCTGGACCTCGTCTTCTATCGGCTTCCACTCGGGGTCCCAGTACGCATGGCTGGGAGATATTTTTACCAGGGGCACATTTCTCATGCACGGAGGGTCTGTGAACACAACACCATCGTCTCTGAGGTCGAGTGTCTCCTTGGTGATCTCTGCCAGCTCTGGCATTTCCTCCTCATCCTCTGCCTCTGGCGTATCTGGCGTATCTGGTGCCTCTGGCGTCTGTGGTGTCTCTAGCGTCTGTTGTCCCAATGACTTCTTTTTACCCTGCTTATGTTGCTTGGCTGCCCCGGTCTCTGCCTCGTCCTCCGAGTTCCGCACGCTATGTTGAGACTTTCGGCTGCTGGACTTGGGTAGGGCTGGCAGTTCGCCTGCCCCATTCTGACCACCAGCAGTGTTGCCAGAGGAAGAAGATGCCATCTTCTCGACAGACTTCGCACTAGGAGGTTGTGATGGTGTTATTCCTTCATCGCTTGCCGCGGCATGTCTGGATCGTGGCTCGAAAGAGGCGCCGTGGCATCCTTGTCTATTCCACTCGCAATTCCCACATCGTGGGAAGTTGGGGTCATCAAGCACAATGCACTCGGAGAAGATGCCCACATTCTTGACGCAGGTACGGCATGGCTGGCCTTGGACAGTACCGGTAGCTTGGATATGGCAGGCCAACCATTTAGCACCTTTGGCATCGCTCGGCTCATAGATGCTTTCCAAGGTTTTGGCGGTGAACTTCTTGCCTGGCCGGATTCTGACTGGCCGCTCTATGGGACGATTGAGGAGCGTATCGACCCAGATGTTATCAAGGTTGAGGCGGTGAAGCTCACCAATCACCTCGCCAGCTCCATCGTGAACCTCAACTCCAGTCATATCCCCGTACGGGGCTCCGGTCTGGTCTGGGAGTCCCGATGGCTTGGGGGTATGGGGCCGTTGTGACGTCGAACCTTCGTCAGAACCAGCTCTACTAGACTCCCCCAGTCCATTGCCCACAGAAGAGCTGGCATCGTTGTCGGCCTGTTCAGATTCTTCCGGAATGTCGATATCTGTGTCCTCGGGTCCAGGCTCAACATCCTGAAGGGTAATGTCACCCTGGCGATAATTCCTAAACCACTCGCGCTTCTGCTCGTCATCATGAGCTCGTTGCTCGGCAACATCGAGTTGGCGGGCCACGATCTCGTTCTCCAGGTCGTTGAGGAAGGCTTCATTCTCTTGGCACACTTGCTTTGTGGCTTTAAGGCGTTCTTCAAGCTCTTGACGCTCCACGTACAACTTCGCGAGCTTGATCCTGATCGGGTCAGCCGCGGCCTGCATAGACTCATCTGTCTCCCTATCCTCACGGGCCCTGACAACCTTTATGGACTGCCAATAGTTGGCTTCGATAGCGTCCCACAGAGCAGAATTCCCATCTTCTGTAGCGGAAGTCATCCTGAGATGCAGTTACAGGCCCTTGAAGTGAGATGATGAACCGATGCGATGATAAGCAGTCGAGGAACCAAGTGCTGAGATGGAGAATCTCTAAGAAACCATGAAGCGGCGAGCCTTGTATGGTGAGCCTTATCGCATACGTTCCTCTGCAAACAAGGTTAGGTTGGGGAGGCGGGGGATCAGAATGGAAAAGCTGGCCTAATAGAAAAGAAGAGGACAACTAAGGAGAAAAGATGCCAATGTGAGGATGAGATGGAAAAGGCGGATTAAGCCTGGTGCGAAGGAGTGTAAACCACCTCACACAGCCTTCCCAAGATTCGATAGGGAATGATGGAATGATGGAATGATGGATGGGGCTGTGGGGCAGGAGATGGGATCGGATGCGGGAGGTATAGATAGATAGGTAGGATAGAAGGGCAATCGGAGAGACAATAGGGAAAGGACAGTGTATAAAACAGCACTGAGGTGGCAAAGCAGGATGATAAATAGGCAGACTTACTTGTGATTTTATGACCCCATATACTTGTGAGTCTTGTCAAGGAAACAGGCAGTCCAGGCTCGCCTTTCTTGTGGCAGGTATAGAGCTGGGAGAGATTGTAAGGCGTGAGATGTCTCCCATTGTTTGAGGATTGCTGGGCGGGCTGAAAGTCAATTCGCCGCAATCCCCCGGGCTTTAGCCGCTACAGCTATGTACAGTGCACACAGAAACACCAACACACACACGCGCATGGATAGAAAGAGGCCTATGCCACGTGATATCAACATGAGGAGAGGAGAGCACCCAGGAAAAGAAAGACGAAATATCAGATGAAAATATTATTATATTTAGAATCCTCCATTGTCTGTCTAGCAAAGAAAAGCCCGCGTCTCAGCAATTATTCTATATGGCTATGTGTCTAAACCTACAATTGCCAGTGCCACAACCTCGATCGAGTGCTCCCGAAGTCCAATGCCACCGGCATCAGTCGCTGCAAACCAAACCTAAACCAACCATACGAACGCCAAACCAGGCCGCTGATGCACCATAACTGCAAATATCCGAGTCACCAGATCCAGTGGAAATGGCGCCGTGCCAACCCTTGCGATGGGAATAGGACGCCGCCTCAACCACACCGGGAGAGAAGCCACCGATACTGTTCCCGGAAAGGGGGTCTCAGTATTTAGAATATCGGTTGGAGGACGGGGAGTATGGGTTGTCGAAGGCACTTGAGTGGCCGTACGGGTCCTCGCTATAGACCGTCGCTCGGCGCTCGTCCTCTGGCAGCAGCTCCTTGACCTCCCACGTGTTCATTCTCGTGCCAACAGAAAACTCCAGGTCTTCCTTAGTGATCGAATCCCAGTACTGTAAGGGGGTGTGGGTTAGCCAATGTTTTGTTGCCATTAGGACCAGCCTCCCAGCGTTGCCACATACCTTGTAGACCATCATGACCGCCAACAAGTTACAGGTGGTCGCAATGAACAGACCATCCACGTAGTGGCTTACAGCCCGGCAGATAGGGGCGCTGAAGGCGTACAGGATTACCTGGCCAACAACAAAGAAGAAAATGCCAAAGGCAATATCTCCCAGCGGCCATCTGTCCTGCAGCGTTCGAGTGACGAGAAGGATCTGAAGGGCCAGGTAGACGAAGAGCTGGACGGCGTTGAGAAGATAGAGAACGACGAAGAGGCCGATGGTGTTTGTCGGGCCCAATCCCACCCACGATTTGAACGTTGCCAGAGAAACGAGGAACGAGATGACAAAGGCAGCCACAGAGCCGAGCCTCATCATCCACAATGATAGTGGGGTGCCGTCCTCGTAAAGTTGGAAACCGACGAAGCCGTTGATCATCAGGCAGGTGATGAGTGACGAAGTCAACCCGCTTTGAATGGCGACGAAGTAGGGATACGGCGCGGATCCGGGAGGGACGACCCCTGCGTCGACGCAGAGAGACAAGAAGGTGAGGAGCATGTAGAGGTAGAAGAAAGTGGTGATCTCCTTCCTCCCTGTGCGCGGCATTTGCATTAGTAACGGCAACTTTCTGGCTCGAGACTCGGGGGAACAGCCATACCAACTGCAGTGAACTTCCCCCGCACATGCAGCACCATGACCACCGTCATGAGCAGAGCGATAATGTGCATGGCACTTGCGGCGCCTTGGAAGATGATTGTGTTCGCCAACTCGATGTTCCGCGCATAGCAATCCGGCTCAATCCCCACGCCGGTCGATATCGAGGTTATAGGCCCTATTGATGAGCACAGTGGCAGCGGCGCCATGTGGCAGAGGCCCGTGAAGTCCCCGAAGTAACCCATCTTGCAATCCGGGGCTGAAGCTGCGGTGCTAGGTTGAGCGGCTGGAATCGTTTGGAACGCGAGAGGAGTGATTTGACAATGATCAAGACACGCCCAGTGTTGCCAGGTAGTTCGAAAAGCCCTGTGACAAGCGACACGCCGAGGCTCAGTATCGTGGGTTTTCCTTCCTGAAGACCTCCTCGGCCACCAAATAGCCTCTTTCTCCCTCCGAATGAGTCGATTGGTAGGGGGCAGATACGACGGTGGTCTGCGGACCAGAGAATCGAGCGCGCGTTCAAGTCAAGAATCTAGCCAACGGGTGGACGATGAACGATGGGCGATGGAGAGCGTGGAAAACGGAGAAGAAACGTCGGTGGCAAGGGGCGATACGAAGGGCGTCGTATTCGATATATTGTGCGCAAGGCAAGGGATGGTCAGGAATGTCGAAACAGGAAGCAGTCAGGGAATGATAGACATGAAGATGGAGAAACGAGAGTGGGATAAGCAGAAGCGTATGAGGCTGACGGTTGCTCCGCTGCTGGTCGTGGGTCTTACGTTGGAGGAGACACGACGTTGCTGTGGAAAAGGGAAGCAGGGAGCAGGAAAGCACATCTGTCTCGACAAATTAGCCTGATTGGGCCCAGTTTTGCGCCATTGGCTCGGCGACAGCCGCCAGTGCCCTTTTGAGGCCTAGCGAGGTGGCCAGTGCGCATTCCCAAAATGGATGGATCGACACGGACGACATTGGACATGGACATGTATGATTTGTCGTACTTCTGTTCCGAGGAAGATAAACTGTGATCTCTAGGTTCAAGCCTACTTAGGTAGGTAGGCCTTTGCCTTGTATCCAAACATAGGATCTTCCCGGGCTCAGCCAAGGACCTGCAATGGTGTCAGCTATCACAAGCAAATCTGCTTTGTCTGGGTTAGACCTTAGGAGCAGCCCCTGCCTGTCCCCCCTGTTTTGGAATTAAACAGCCTGCTACAAATGTCCATTGTCCTTATCTCCACGTCACATTCTGCGTCAACATTGTTAAATTTGGGCATAAGATCTCTTCGTGTCTCTGTTGTCTCAGGGCATTAACCTTCTCATGATCTCATACCTCTACCTGCAGACACACACATCCTCTGCAAGAATAATCAAGTGTCAAGGAAGGACAAATGGAAAGAGGGAAAAGATTTCTGATATTTGATGTTGATAGTGCCATCATCAGTGACTGTAAGATTGTGTACAAGGCCCTATTTTGCGAACAAGCTCGATATATAAGTGCTAGACATATGTCGAAGGACCTGATACTTGTTATTGTATTGCCCATTGACTGTCAGTTCAAATGTAGTTCATGGCCCAGCTAGGCATTTAATGTGGCCATCATCTCTGGTAACCTGCAATCTGCCTTGATTTCAAGCTCTGAGAAAGCCAGTTGGATATATTCGCAATCAGGGAGGTTTGTGTAATCAACTAGATTTGCTTGGACATTTTTTGTCAAGGATGTGGACCTGGAGGCTTGTTTGCTACCTATCCTCCTCTTTTCGTCTTTGTTATAAAGCAGATAAGTTGGCCCAAGGACAGGCTATATTTCTTTCAGCAAGATTAACTAATGTCCTGTCTCGATGAATGCTCTCCCATGAAGGAGCTGTATCATGAAGTAGCTGTGTCATAAATCCTCTATTTTTTCGAGTCAGTCCATACAATGCTTCACATACTCCCTACCCCTTATCGCTATCATTGTTTTCTCTGTTTCTTTTTTCCTTTTCACCTTTCTCACCTTGGCATTTTCACAAATCTAGTTATTTGATAAAGCTCTCAGTCTCACCTCACCTTACCTCACCTAACCAGGTACAAGTTACAACCCGGTTCAACCAGCTTGGGAAAATGTGTATCCCCTCGGCGCCTCCAAAAATCTCACCCACAACAACTCCTGCCACTATCAAGGACAGCAAAAAAAAAATTTGCCTCAAGTCTCGATACTCAGCCCTCGATAGTATCGCCCGCAAAAAAGGAGAGGAAGGGCAAAAATGAAAGCCTGTAAGTCACTCACCTGTTCCTGCTTTTGTTTGTGACACTCTCGAACCGTACTGACCTTAGGTTCTCAATCTCAGAGGCCGCTTTCACGCAGATCTCAGACGCAGTCTCCGCTCCTCGTGTTGATGTTGCATCACCCACAGGCACCCCAGGACGATGTCTGCTCCAACCGAGTTCAAGGATTTCCAGCGTCTCCCTCTTGAAATTCGGTGCAAGATATGGGATGAAGTTCCGATGCCGGAACGGATCTTCCGTCTTGTCCTCAAATCCCAGTCGACCGACGAGACTGGGAGAATCCAAGAGACGGTGGCGGAATGGACCGTCCAGCCAGCAGTACTCACCGTTCCCCCGATGCTTCATGCGACCTTCGAATCCCGATCCCGGCACATTGCCCGATACTGCGCCCTGCCACATTCCGCCCAGACCGGCGGTTACCTCGTGAGATTCACATCGCCTTACGTGAATTACGACACAGACACGTTCATCACCTCGTCGCGCTCCCTGATCGGGGATGAGATATGGGGGCAAATCCAATCCATTGATACGTTGGAGAAAGCTTCCAGACGAGTGGCTCTCCCAGCCATCTCTTTAAGCCGGATTCGAACCGGTATAACGAGATTGCGGCATCAGCTCGCCTCGGTGCAAATCTCCCAACAGGCGCTGTCCGGCTTCTTCATGGGGCCAAGCTCGGAATCCCCGCAGGGTGGTGACATGGACGCCAACACCGCCGCTGAGCAGGAGTTGGACCGGCTGAGCGTCAAGGTCCGCCACGCGCACAGATACCACAAGCTTGTGGTTTGCCGGATCATTGCCGCTTTTTTCATAAAAGAACGCCTCCATGAGGTGTTTGGATTCGGTCCTACGGTCGTGGACCGGGAGACGCGGACGAGTGCGGTGTTCTTGGGCCTCAACCACGCCCAGATCCGACATGTTGCTCTGCACGCCTCAGCACTGCCTGCCATGATTGCCGACATGGAACTAATACAGTCGAAATACATCAGACACCTCCCCAGCCTCAAGACGGTGGCCTTCCTGCTCCAGGATCGGGCAAGGGAGGAGAGAAAGGTGTGGGACGCGGAGATGGAGGACTTTGAGGTTCATCAGGGCTTCCCGGAGGGGTATGATCTGGATGGTGGTATGACCAATAATGATCTTGTTTATATGGCGACGTATGCTCGCCATCGGTGGGGTATGGGATTCAAGTACCTGACTGTCAATGAGAAGGCCAGAGTTGGGTGAACTCTTGGAGCTGATCGGCTTGGTCCTTGGCACTCTGTCTGCTTTGCCCTGTGGATGTGGGCTTTCTGGGATGGGGAAGGGGACAAGGAACTTCTCAAGAGCTGGAAGAAACGGCTGCGTTTTGGGATGGGAACATGCTTCTGGGATCGACACTCATAACTGTGCCCCAGTCTTGCTTCGGTCACTGGTTCTTGAGTCGATACACAATTAGGAAATCATCACCAAGGCGCCACCGCAGAGGTGAGAGCTCTTAAAGGACTTAATAGTGAATGCCTGCCATAAGCCAACCCGAACATCTCGGCCTGAGCATGTAGAGGTCCAAGGAGTCGGTGTGTCCGAAGCAACGATTACAATTTGCCAGCAACTGGAGAACCAATCCGCAGGAGGTCAGCCATCTTCTAAGCCACCTACTTTGATGGGATATGCCAGAGACCCAGATCTGGCTGTCGACCAAGAGGCTTTTGATGCCCATCAAGAGGAATGAGCTCTGCCAACTCTATCACCTCCTCGATGCCAAGGACCACAACTGAGGAGCACAGGTTATCTCTTCAGCTGGAAACACACCAAAAAGGCGTCTCTCTTGGCGAATTATAGGGACCAACTTGTTCTTCTTTCTCCTTTCATTTGATCAAGCCTCCCTATCACGTATGTTTGCTGTGGTGGGCAGTGATGTGGTCCGTGCATGACCAGGCAGCGAAGTTTAAAGTGGGGCTCGCACCACTCGCACTCAATTCGGCATCCTCTCGGCCTCCAAAAAACCGCCCGTCCCGAGTATGCATTCGCACTTTTGGCGGTGACGTTGCGAAGATGGCGCGTCAAGTTTGAAGACGGTCGGGCCGCCGTCGCTCTCGGACCTCGCCACTATTTCGCTGCTTTTTGCGCTTCCGACGCGCTCCAAGACTCTTATGCCTCTTTGAATCTCCGAAGAGATGCTGGCGCTGACGGGAACTTGGATATAAAGGAGGGTGTAAGCCCCTCACTTGGGTTCAATATTCTACATCATCATCTCAAAATACCAACTAAACATACCAACTACCTTGACCATTGTTCATACTTTGCGCCCAATCTAACAGCAAGCTCATCTCTCATTTCATACCGAGCAACTCTCCCTTCTACCTCACATCTGCAACAACACCAACACAACACACAACCGTCATCGCAATGGCCGGCTCATCAACCCCCAAGACCATCCTCTTCCTCGGCGCCACCGGCGGATGTGGCCTTGCGGTCTTACGCCACAGCCTCGCCGCGGGACACACCTGCATCGCGCTCTGCCGCACGCCCTCCAAGCTCACCGCCAAGCTGCCCGCGGACCAGCAGGGCAAGGCCAACCTGCGCACCGAGCAGGGCAACGCGCACGACGTCGACGCCGTGGCCCGCTGCCTCGCGCACCCGACGCGGCCGGGCGCCCTCGTCGACGCCGTTGTCTTCTCCATCGGCGGCGCCTTCCAGCCGGCCAAGATGACCATCGACGACCCCAACGTGTGCGAGAAGGGGATGCGGGCGCTGCTGGACGCCCTGGCCCGGCCCCGCCCGGGCGCCGAGGCCGGCGCCGCGAAGAAGAAGCCGCGCGTCATCGCCATCAGCACGACGGGCATCACCAACCTGGGGCGCGACGTGCCGGTCCTGTTCATCCCCATGTACCACATCATGCTCAAGGACCCGCACAAAGACAAGAAGGCCATGGAGGCCCTCCTGATCGCCAGCGACGCGGACTGGACGCTGGTCCGCCCGAGCCTGCTGACGGACGGGCCGGAGTCGGACACCAAGGTGCGCGCCGGCGTCGAGGATAGCGCTTCTAGGAAGGTCGAGAGCAAGGCTGTCGGCTATACCATCTCGCGCGAGGACACGGGCAAGTGGATCTTTGAGAACTTGATCGAGGAGACTGATGGGAGGTGGGTGCGGAAGACTGCGACTATCACCTATTAGAGGAGAGTTAGGGTTCGCGATGGACGGCGGAGTGTTAAATGTTTCTTTTGTTTTGAGGGCTTTTGGTGTTTCTTGGTCGGTCTCTTAGACATGTTCGAATCCTGCCCCTTTCCCTATCCTGTTATACGCCTGTGACACCCTAGTCAATGAATAGATGAGTAGATGATATCCCCCTTACCAGCTCTTGTTTTCTCTCTCGTTAGTATAGCATCTTGACATTTTATCGTTTTCTTTCTTTTAGATCCACCTGGTCAATTCTCTCTACCGTGAAAGACAGACAACTCGACATTGACGCTCCAAACGAAACAAGCCAAGCGGCGAGCCATCGCCAATACAAGATGAATTGACAACGACGTTCCAGACCAATTGCGCCAAGCGGGCTCGGCCATGTGCCGAACCAAAAACTAAAACATCAGCCTGCATGAGAAGGTTATTCTGTTTCTGTTTCCGGCGCAGGTCGTGACCGGCAGATCATCCGGTTTTGGTGACACCAGCGACCTACCCCTGGAAAATCTTATTTCATCCTCACAACTTTAGAAGCGAGCCGCGCCGCCCCCCTGAGCGACCTCCTCGATTTGAACTTCCCGCGGATAACGGTGCTAATCATGGAGGTTGGGAAATGTCTAGGCATCTTCCCTGGTCTGCCCCTTTGAAGGCCCATTAGGCCGAGCCTGGCGGCAGCCTATACGTCTCCTCATTATACCAACTTCTGCCTGGCCGCCTCCTTGGCATCTGTTGGAGACGATGCCGTTTCGTGTCTGCCGGTTGGTCCCTGATACTCGCGCAAGCGCGCGGTCTCTCGGATGGCCAAGTCATGACTGCGGCTTGGCGACAAGCTTTCTCGCCGACTTTGATGATCCGTAAGTTTGATCGTCTATAACAACAAGGTCGATACCCCCAAGGCACCCCAGTTGACCCTCGGCATCTATTTGGTGACCCGGCGATGATCCCCCCCCCCCCCCCCAATTTCCTATTTCATCTCATCTCTACCCATCCGGTGCCTCCAGATCTCCTTGACCACTGTGACAATCCCGGTCATTCAGAATACGTACACAGCTATAACCCACGATGCTGCGCTTACTATCAACACTGCTCCTCGGGCTGTGCCTGAGCCCCCTGGCGACATCAGCACCCTCATCCAGAGCCACTCTGGCAGCGCGGCAGGAAGAGGCGGCGGACGCGGACCCAGACGCGGCGGCGGTGGTCACGCTGCTCATCGGTGGCGGCCCGTCGGGCACGATCGCGACGGCCGAGTTCGATGGCGCAGGCTTCACCATCGTGGCCAACAACACAATGCCAGGGACGTCTGCGAGCTGGCTCCTCCCCCGGGGCGACGGCAGCGGCGACGTGTACGCCGTGGACGAGAACAGCGCCACGACGCGACTCTTCTCCCTCAACCCCGCGGCGGGGACCGTCGACCTCGTCCAGAACGCCACTGGCTCCCCGGGGGTCGTGTTCCTCGAGTTCGGCGCGGGGGCCACGCGCATCGTTGGCTCGGCCTTTGGCTCGGGCCGCCTCGACGTCTGGGACGTCTCGGCGCCCGACGGCTCGCTCTCCCTGCTGCGGCAGATCGAGTCGGACGACGCGCTGGGCCCCAACACGCAGCGCCAGGACGCGCCGCACCCGCACCAGGCCATCCTCGACCCGACGGGCCGGTTCTTCGTCGCCAACGACCTCGGCACCGACACCGTCCTCGTCATCGACTCCGCCGACGACGCCTTCGCCGTCACCAACCGCGTCCGCGTCCAGCCCCCCGGCTGCGGGCCCCGGCACGGCGTCTTCTTCCCCCCCTCGGCGGCGGCGACGGCCACCCCGGCGACGCACTACATCATGGTGTGCGAGATGCTCAACCTCGTACAGGTCTTCGAGGTGACCTACGCGGTCGACACGCTGCAGCTGCGGGTGGTGCAGACGCTCTCCACGTTCGGGGCCGACTCCCCGCCCGCAAACGCCTCGACCGCCACGGCCGGCGAGGTCCAGCTGTCCGTCGACGGGCGCGACCTGTACGTCAGCAGCCGCAACACGGGCAACGAGACGGACAGCATCGCGCACTTCTCCGTCGACGTCGGCGCCGCCGGCGAGGGGCCGGGGACCCCGGCCCCCGGGGCACCGCTGTCCGTCGCCTTCAGGGAGTCGGTCTCGTGCGGCGGCACGGTGCCGCGCATGTTCAGCCTCGCGCAGGGGGCCGGGAGGTTCGTCTTCTCGGCGAACCAGGACGGGGAGCTGGGGCTCGTTGCGTTCAGGAGGAATGCCGATGGGAGCCTCGACCCGGCACCTGCGGCTTCGTTGCCGCTGGGTGTGTTTGGTCCGCCTGGGTTTGGGCCGCAGTTTGTGCTGCAGATTTGAGAGTATCTTTTTACTGCGAACGTTTGGAGTTAGCGTGGATTGTCTATGACCTGAGGGTCCGCATGAGACTTGGTTGAGCATTGTACGGCGTTGGGAGACGGGAGTGTCGTTGGCTGGCCCCTTAATCCATAATTGCACTGGAGACATGGGCCATGATCGGTTTGCATGATCAAGCCAGAGGGGGTTTTTGGCTTCTGCTGGGCAGCGCATGCTAGATAGACGAAGAGAAGCATCAATATTGGAGGTAGAATCTAGGATCCCACAACGAAGGTGTTCCAGCATAGAGAACATCCGTTACAGACCCTTGGCTACACGAGAAAATTGTGTGCTGTGATATCTTTCCATTTCTGCATTACCTCCCTTATCATGCACACTGCGCCCTCTCCAACTCGTTCGTCCCGGAGACGTAAGTACAACAAACGCTCCTTCCCGCCCACAGCCAAAAGAGAGGACGGCCGAAGCCATTAACCCTGACGTACGAGAAGAGAGCCTTCCCCGGTTTCTTGCCTCGTATAGTATGCCGCAGATGACGCGAAAAGGAAAGACGGGAAGGAAAATAACGAGAAAAGAAGAGAGACAAAAAAAAATATCCGCTCATGCTGTGTGTGCTTCACGCTGCTCCAATCCCAGGGTGAAAAGAGAAGCAATCAAAAAATTAGGCGTCATGATGTATGACAATTAGATACAAGAAGCTAGAAACAAGATGGAGAAAACCCCAGTCCTGGCATTGAGAGCCCACCATTACAACCAGCTCAGAGCCACAGCATCCCAGCGATAGCCACCACGACGGCAAACGCGCTGGCGCCGAGCGTCCTCTCGACCACCCTGACGCCGTCGTTCTTGCTGCCGGAGCCCGAGCCCGAGCCCGTGTCGCACGACTGAGTGAAGCCCGTAGCCGTGCACCGTGGGGGCGCCGTGCCGGAGCCGTCGCCGGAGCCGTCACCCGAGCCATCGCCGCCGGGGAGGATTCCCGAGCCCGACCCTGTGCTGCCGCCGGGGACGGACGCGGCGGTCGGGCCGCTAGAGCCCGAGCCGCTGGAGCTGCTGCCGGCGTCCATGTCGAGGCCCGTGCCGGCGAAGCTCTTGAGGATGGTCCCGTCGTTGCCGTCGAGGACCGTGTCGTTGGTGGCGCGCGCGTCCGTGTACCGGTAGCTGACGTGTTTGTTGGTGCCGGGCGGGCTGTTGGCGTTGAAGCACTCGACCGAGATCTCGCCAAAGGTGGCAAAGTCGTAGCCGTAGTTCTTGATGTCCTCCGAGTTCCAGTCGATCTCGCCACCCGCCCACTCGATGGTGCCGGCCGCGTTGCTCGGCGCGCCGCCGGGCCAGAGCGAGATCTGGACACGCGAGGGCGTCTGAGGGAAGTTCCACTGGTTGGCGGTCGCGTTCCACGTCTCCGATCGCTTCTTTGTACGTCCCACCTTGCCGTCGACGAGCCAGGTGATGGAGTCGGGCGTCCACTGGATCTCGTAGACGTGGAAGTTATCGAAGGTGTTGGAGATTCCGGTGATGTTGCCCGAGTTGTCATCTGTGGGATGGCCAAGTCAGTTGTTCCGAACGCAAACGGGCAGAGAGGCAGGTCTATATAGGTTCCACTCACAATCCGGGATACCCTGGAAGTAGTAGTTGGTCTGGGCAACGCTCAAATCGACACCCACAAACTCGTAGTCGATCTCGTCCTTGACATCGCTGAAGAGAATGAAAGCCGTGACGACGCCAGCACCCCTCGACGTCTTCATTTTTGCCTTGACGGTGCCATACCACATGTACGTGGTAGTGGCAAGGACGGTGCCAACCGATTTCGGGGGCATGGTGAGCAGGACATTGCCATTGTAGGCCAGCGGCTCGCCTTGAGCGACCCAGTCGGCAGTCTTGGGGTCACCGAGGTACTTGCCGACGTCGACAATGCCGTCCAGGCTGTCCATCTTGTACGTCTTGCTTTCGCACACCGGCGCGGGGACGCAAGAGTCCAGCGAGAAGGACATCCGCGGGTCACAGCCGCCAAGACAGAAGGCGCCAACGCCGCACTGGTTATATTCTGTGATGCAGGTTCCCGACGTCAGTGTCACGAGGCAAGCCAACGCGGTGCGACGACGATACGCCACAGCCGCAAGGAAGTGGGGATCACTCGTGGGAACGACTTACGAGAACAGCATGGCGCCTCCTTGGGGCACTTCTTTGACAAGGAGCAGCTTGGCGGTTCAGCGAGGACGGTAACCGCTCCAAGCAGGGCAGCTGCCAGCGGCAGAATCGAGCGGACCATGGCGATCTTCGAGAAGTGTGATGAGAGGAACGAGGTTGGGATAAAAGTATTAAGATATAATTTGCGTATTATTCTAGGGCAGCCTAGAGCGACAGCATGCACGGTATATGGCGGTATATGAACGAGAGAAGAGCCTGTTACGGTGCTCGCCAGTAGAATCCGGTTTGATTCAGCTGGCCGGCCTAGTATTGAGTGAGGGCGACGCGGGTGGGAGCGAGAGAAATTCCGACAGCTTCGGTCGTGTTCGAGAGAGAGGGCAACGCAACGGGTTGGGCCGGGAGGAGAAGCGATTGACAGGAACGTCTCAGCTCTGGTTCGTCGGCAAGAGGGCTGAGTGTGGGCAAGCGAATGTGTCTCCCGGAGGAGAGAAAATCGTAGATGGGGGGGGGGAGAATGGAGCGATCGACGGCGAAGGTGTAGAAATTAGAGAAGGATGATTAGAATTGTTTATTCACTGTTGAAACAAAGAGACGATCCTCCCTCCCAGGTGTGTGACGGGCGATCCAACCAGGCAGGAGATGGAAATCCAGAACGCGTGAGGGTGGGAGTGATCGAACCGGGAGCTAATAAAAAGGAGAGGCATTTCCCATAAAATACGAGCCACGCATTCTACCTTAGACCAGGGGTGCCAGGCTGGAATGAGTGGCGCGCCCTTACCAACTCCCTCGTATTGGCTGACCACGGAGACCAGGGGTGAGGCCCCCCGGCCTTCGCAATGCTACCCTATTCGTGACCGTTTGGTTGAAATCACGAGACCCAACGAGGCCACTTACTACAGACCATACAGAACAGAGCCTCTAACAGGGAACTTGTAAAATATTAATTGCCGTCATTTCGAACCCGCATGCGTTTTCGATGCCATATACTTCTGATCGATGCCGGCGTGCAATTTACGGGCATAAATCCCAGGGCTCAAGCCCGTTCAGTGCACTTCTCAACTTCATGCAGGGATGTTGTGGGCCAGATGGACAGCTCGCTGGACCAATCAATCTATGTTCTCCCTCTCCCCACTCAAGTTCAAGGTTTTACCTTTTTCCATGCCTCCAACCTTCAGCAAGCCACCTTTCCTTGACTCGGGCCATGCGCCATTCCCGCCTTCGCTGGGCCGAAGACCCTAGTTGCACGTGCCAGTAGGCTTTCCCGAGAACTTGGATTGGGTTGTGGGGCCGTATTGTACCCGTGAATGCACAGGTTCTAGCACGTTAAATTCTCGACATACTTGTAGCTATACATGTTGCATGCCAAGTCCAAGTGACGTAGAGATATGATCTACATCAAGTACTCAGCCAGGCAGTCTCACCCGTTGGGCGATGCAAGTTCGCGGGGCATCGACGACGAGGTAGGGCGCTTGCCGCGGCCGAGGATGTTGATGCTCTATCATGAGGTCAAGGCTGATTGATGATAGGGGGCCAAGGAGATGTTGGTCCGGTCCTGCAACTCCATCAAGTTGCCCTGTCACAACTGGGGAGCTGTGCTGTATCGTAGAATGGGAGCTCCTCCATATCAGCCAGTTATGTAACAGCGTGCAATCAAATCCTCGAGGGAAAGGAGACGTCTGGTGTATTCCGAGGGTATTCACTCTCAAGCTAAAGGAATCATTCAATCTCCCCATAGAGTCGATCCTGACTCAAGCAATCCTTCCTCCATCCTTCCCTAGCCGTTCGAACCAAGTACCAGAGGGTAAGCACCGGCTCCCTTCTCACCGACAGAGGGCGGGTGCCTCTGGGACGTGTCGCGATAAAAAGATATCTACTCGTCACAAGGCCACGCAGAACTTCCATAACCGACTTCAGATGGGAAACTATCCCCGTAGCATCCCCGCTCCATCCAAGCCTTTTAAGGAACGACCCACGCGCCATGGCTCTGTCTCCGCTCCGAGCGAGAGAATCCGAAAAGGAAGAAGAAAAGAAAAGAAAAGAAAAGAAAACAAATTAAGCCTAACGGCGTACCCCATCAACGACTAAACGCCTGATGGGCCATGGGATCCACGGCCAAGGACCTGAGTTGCCCGAGGCACCGATGATAGCTGAACCGGTGGCAATGGGCTGCGCCAACCACGAAAACAGGCGATGGAGGCGAACCACTGCCCATCCCAACGTCCATGCCAGAAACCAATCCGATCGCGAAAACCCATCCCGAGGAAAATCGGCTAGAAAATGACAGAATTGAAATACAGACCACCCAGTGACAGCGACAGGCGTGGAAACGCAATGAACTTCCCGTATGAAGCAGTCGCGGATGGTGAAAGAATCAAATACAGGTGCAGTATTTGTTTTCCCGAACCGGCGCCTCCCTAGACTCGCGACGGACCAAAACAGAGCGAGGTGGTGAGCTCGTAAAGCGGGGAATGGGCGATAATGAAGGTAATCAAGACGCCAGAAAAAGAAGGGACCACGAATGCGGTGTCGTCATCTCCACCCAAAGTATTAGGTGCACCGTGATCTCTGAGCAAGGATACGAAGTCTCCAAAGCCCTATCTGTTCTTCGGAGTCGCAAAAAGATCTGCGAGCGCCAATTCGTCAACGGTTGTTGTTTGAGGGGAGATGAGAATTGCTAGTCTGGCGCTCGACGCTCAACAACATACCAGGAAAGTGCTCTTTGGCATATTGTTCACATGCCTGGGAGGGGCGGGTTAGCATTGGGCACTTATTGTTGGACAGCGGGGGGCGTGGGCAGCTTACCTTGGCAGGCTTGCCAACCTTCTGCCCAATGACCTTCCACTTGTTGTTCTCGTACTCCTTGATGGCATTAAGAAGCGCTTGGCTCTAGAAGCCACCTCGTCAGTATCCAGGGCTGGTCTCACTCAACTACCCAGCTTTGAAAGGGGCCCGCGCTATGGTGTGGGGATGTACCTCATCTTCAGCAAACTCGGCATAATGCATGTCCTGGGTTAGATGTCAGTATACAACTTGTTCATCCCTCTAACATGGTTGGTGAGGACGGTAACTGACCTTGTACCAGTGTTTTTTAACACTACCCTCAGTCCGAGTTGGAAAGGTCTGTCACAATGTCAACAAATGGGCCATCGCCTTCCTTGTCCAAGGTTACCAACCTTAGCGATCTCTGCCCAGCTGTTACCTGCGTCACGCATCTGCTTCAGACGGTGCTCCTCCGCGGGGGTCCACGGGGTGTTGGTCCGACTCTTCTTCGCGGGTGGTGGATTTGGAGTCGAGTTCGCATCGTCAGTCGGTGCCGGGGGCGCGGGGGCTGTCGTGGGAGCGGACGGTGTGGTCATGGGAGCCGAGGGCGGATGGCCGGGGGTCTGCGCAGTCGGTTGAGGAGGTGCGACAGCGGGGATGGGCTGCTGGGCCTGAGGTGGGATCGGCGCGGGCTGATGCTGTGGAGCATGAGCAGGCTGGTGGGAGGACTGTGGCGCCGGCCGCTTTCGTTGTCTCGGAGTCGGCGCCGGGGCGGGGGTGGGAGTCTGGGCCTGCTGGTGTGGAGCTTGAGGAGGCTGGGGATGTCCCATTGGGGGTTGGACCGGGGCGGCGTGGTGTTGCTGCTGTTGTCCCGGCTGCGGGGGAGGTGGGGCGCCATATGGGTAGTGCTCCTGGCGCCGGCTCATGTCCGGCTGGGGGGGGTAATGCCCTGGGCTGTACCAAGGTGAATGGTTAGCGAAAGGCGTCTGTTGTTGTTGCGGCTGGTGATGTTGATGTTGATGCTGCTGCTGTTGCTGCTGCGACTGCTGCAACGACGGCATCGACGGCTGGCGCTGCCATGATTGCACGTCGTTCGCCTGCACCTTCTTCATTACAGACTAGGACGGGCAGGGGCAATGAGGTCGGGAGGGGCCTGGGAGCGAAGTACCAGCGCCAGGATGGACCGCCGCGACAAGAAAGGCGAGCCAGCGGCGGGACAACGACACAGCACGGTGGGAAGAGGATGGCGACCAAGAACAGTGGACGACAACGGCGCGACTATTTGGGGCTGGAAGCTTTTCCAAGGTGCCGCGCACGTCGAAGTTCAACAGTAGTGACTGTACTTGGGGGAACTCGATGGTTGTCCCATGTTTACAAGACGTTGGTCCAGGGAAGGAGGAGGAGTACTTGGGGTACATAATGTAGGTAGAGAAGGAGGGGGGGGGGGGTGGAGGGGATGAAGGGGTTGGGGGATGAATTGTGTGTATGGAATGCCCAGATACGAAAAAGGTACAAGTAGATGGGGTACTTACTGCATCTCATTTGGGTGCCCGTTAGACGGGTTACCGTAGATGTACTCCGGTACAGGGCCGACCTGCCACTGTTGCATGACCTGGAAGATGGGGCACAAAAATAAGTCAGCATGAGCGAGCTCGCTTTCGCGTCAAGACAGATGAAGCAACGTCGCGCTGATCGACGACGCGCAATCTGAGCGATGAGAAAAATAAGAATAGTGACAGCTGAGAGGGCAATTGAGATGGAAAAAGGGCAATCATGATGGTTCGCGTGTTGGTCTTGCTGCCGCTGCTGCTTTTGCTGCTGCTGCTTCTGCCGCTGCCACTGTCATTACCAATGCCATCGCTGCCGCTTGCTGTTGTGCTGCGACAATCACAATCAATCATGTGTCATATTGTGCGCGGCGAAAGTCAAGCTGCGACAGCTTGGGACGCGTGAACAATTAGCAGGACGCGCAGGCCGGCGACAGTGGCCAGTCTCGAGGGCAGTCAGGATGAAGCAGCGGCAGCGGCTGCCGCGAATGATGGATTGCCCGATGCAGCGACATCATCGCCAGCCCGCGTCGAGCCCGTCTCGACGAACGGAGCGGTGCATTCGAGACTCGAGTGACAAGCACAACAAGGGGAGCGCTTGTGGAGCGCGTTCGGGGTGGAAAAGGTACTTACGGGCAAGTAGTATCAGATCCAAAGGTGCATAAAATACCAGACGGCGATAATTGTGGACTGGCACTTTTTTATTATTTTCGTTGTTGTTTGGTGACAAGTACTCGCGAGTGACCAGCGCAGGGAGAAGGAACCTGAGAAAACGTGGTCACTCTAAAAGAAGGGCGCTTGTCAGAAGTACCAGTCGAGGGAGTCGAGGGGGCTGGGGTGGCAAGTGTCGGGTGGTAGCGGTAAACAGGAGGTCAAGGTGGCAAAAGGTGGAGAGGTAACCAGGTAGACAGGTGGAGGGTGGAGAGAAGCAGGTGGGTGAGGGGAAAGTGCGAGTGAAGGCGGAAGAGGGCTTGGGGCTTGGTTGCAATTCTTGGGGCGGGGCCACTCGTTTTGCAGCCAAATCTGCCTTTGGACCGGGATGTCTGTGGGACGCTGCGTGAGAAACGGATGTTAGAATAAGACAACAAATACAAGCAGGTTTCTTGCAGGTTTTTGTCGCTTGCGAGAGGGCAATTGAGAATGACCCTGGCCGGGGTGTGTATATGTAGGAGGAGGAAGAGTGGGAGAGGTACCTGATGATTCGAGACTGAACCCGGTGCGATTCCAAGGTTGACGCTAGCAGAAACTTATGTACCCAGTACTTGGTGGATACCAGCGCTTTGTTCGTTCCCTGGCCTAGGTAGTTTGCAACGGCGGTCTGACAGGTTGTCCCCCTGCGCTCGACTTGCTATGCTTTGCGTGGATTTTCTTAAAAAGTGAGAAGAAGCCCGGTTTTCAGTCTTGTTACTCTCTTGGTCCAGGGCTATTTTTTCTGTTGGTGCACTGCTCCGTGACTGATTAGCTAGCCCTCTTAACGTGGCTGCGTCGCTCTGTCGCAAAACGATTGGATGGCGCCAAAATCATGGAAGTTGCCAGGAGATAAGGTAGCGGGTGACCGGCGATTCTTGAGGGAAGGGCACGCAATTACGGATTACAATTATTTCTTATTTTCCCCGCGATTGGGGAATGCAAGATGCGAGACTGAACAATGGAGGAATTACAGGTCCAGGAAGTGAATGAATGGTAGGCAGGACCTGACCAACAGCTGAGGTTGTTCTGGAGACACCTGTGTACTTCCTGCCAAAGTCACTCCTAGGTCCTGGGCTGATTGTTCTGGACTTGCTGTGGTCCCGGGGTGGTTCTTCGCTGCGAACCTCGTTCGTAGTTTGGCAACGAAAGGGCAAGGTTTGGGCAGGTAGGTTGACAAGGGCGCGAACCTGGAACCAGGCGGATTTTACTTTGGAAGGTCAGGAAGGTATGTACTCCATTGTAATGAGTACGTACCTCCCTGGACTGCGGCGCTGATTTAGGTATCGCCAGAGATGAGGGTGAATCCGTTTGCATAAGTTGGAGGGTACGGAGTGCGCCGTAATCAATGGATAGTCGTTTTATTAATTCCATGGTAGCGTTTTGGCTATCTTTCGCTTAACACCTACATCGAGCTTCTCGCACCAAGGAGAGTCCTTCGCCGAAGATTTCTACCATTTATATTGAGTGAATGGTAGTGAGGCACCTCAAAGGCCCAAATATTATGCCGAGGTGTTGGCAACGCCTGTTGCCTTGGATGCTAATATTGCTGATCCAACAATAACTCGAAATATCACTCTAGACTTTTCAACTCCACACAACCCAGCATGACTCGAGAAGTTTCCAGCTTCCAAGGCCTGCCACAAGCAAATGGCCTTGTGCGTGTGCAAATTGTTTTCAATCTATACGACACCGATGGGCCCTCGCAAGCCATCGCCACGGTCAAGGAACGCCTGCAAGTGGAAGGATATTGGGGGATCTAGCTTGAGCGTTACTGGTCAAAGGCAGGTGGGCGAGCGAGAAACAGCGAAACCCAGTCACAAGCGGGATTAGACGGTAGGCAAGGCACCGAGGACCTGGCCGCAGACACCAAAGGGTTTGTGGCAAGCTGTGAAGAAGGTGCGTGAATCAGGCCTTGCACGAGATATCTTGAAGCTATCTTGTCAGTTCCGGCCAGACCGTTTCTTTCACGTCTTTTCCAAATCGTCACCTGATTGATACGGGACGAGGCGCAAGCAAGAGCAGCGAGGGCGCTAAGCCCGATTCGTCGTACGCCATATGCTATGGTAAAACCTACCTAGAACCTCGGCCTCTTTGTATCCTTTTCTCACCAAAAGTACAGGGTGTTATTAGGAGCCTTGGCAAAATGATGCTGCGCTGAGCGAGGTATTTCAAGTACCTGTGGGTCAAGTTTTGTACACAGACCATTGCTTAGAGAGGCCCCTGCAGATTCAACAGGCGACAGGACAGGGCAACATATGGACAGTCCGTCGAGGTACATCACACACTCTCTCGTAAACTGAAACGCACACCAGCCTATGGATAAACAATATCCTAGATATTCCCACGATGGCACAAGACGGGCTGGGCTGACTTGATGACTTGATAGCACAGGCGACTGCCAAGCATGTGGATATGACGGAGGAATTAGGTAAGGTAGGTATTGGCGTCGGATGACTTTTGAGGCAGGCAGCCGCCGTGTCGAAGTGGGGACACTAGGTACGCATCAGTACCGCCGAGAGTTTCCAGTTACCACGGTTCTTGGCTTTTGGGTCTCCGGTCTAGTTCATAATCGCCAGTTCCAAGGTTTGAAGAATTCCAGAGGCGCAAGAAGAACAGCGATCAAAGCAATGGGAAAGAAACCTGCCTAAGGGGACGGCTTTATACTGGGAGTTTTTGGCGTCGTTCCATTGCGTCTGGTGGAAGGATGGGGCCTATATTATCGCAGATATTATAGGGTACCACAGGTAGTGGGAGGTATCGTCCATCCTCCCTAGCGACCCCAGCTCCCGTCCCCAGGGGTCGGCGGGAGTTGACAGCAAGTACCCACAAGTAATTGTAGTACCGCCGAACTGCGGGGCCTGGTAGTGAAATTCAGTCTGCGTTCACCGTTCAATGGTCTCTTGTAGCCTGATGCCCTCGCACTCCCAGGACCCGTCTTTAACATCAAGATCGCCCACTCGGCGACAAGAAGTGATGTCATTTTGCACCACGGCGCGTCTTGCTGGACATTGTACGTCTGTACGCAGTACTGAGAAGGACAAGATAGAGTCCCTTACATGGCAAATGTTCGTCTTACGGGGTGTCCAAATATCTTCAACTATTTTAGTCCCTCCCCATTTTAACGACGCCACAAACTCGTCGAATGCCAACACCACCAAGCCGGGGATAGCTCCTCATCGCCTGCTGCCAGCCACGAAACGCGTCGAGCAACGAGAAACGCTTCGAGGCGTCTGCGCGAGCAACTAAATGCTCCATACGAGCCGGGGCCGTCACCCCCCCCCCCCCGCCCCCCCAGGCCCGGAACCTCGTCCAAGAGGAGTGTATCCCCACCCCACCTCCAAGGTCTGGCTCTAAGACAGGTAAGGTTGTGAGGTTGTCAGACGGCGTACAGCATGCTGTCCTTGGCCGCGGGTGGCACGCATGGTTCATGCAAGGCCACGCACGGGGAGCACAATGGGACAGGAAGCGGCGCCGGAGTCATCGTGCTGGCTGCCCCTTGTCGAGCCTTGCGGCGTTCCGCCCGTTGCGCCGAAAGCCAGGGATTGCCCAGGCCTTCCCACGGCCCACACGCCCCAACGACGCGAGTAGGCCATCCTTGCAGAAGCGCATCTGATAAGCGGGGAGGGGGCCTGGGCTCCTGTGTGCCGAAGAGACCGATTTCACCGGTCAGATCGGCTGTTTTCCGAGTCCGCGGGGCAGGCCGGGGTTGAGAACCCGGGGCTGATGCTCCAACCCTGCAATATCGAAACTGTATTATGGCATATCGGTCTACGGAACCTAGGTTCAAAACAGTAAAGATCGTCGTCACCTGGCTCTCGTGTGCGCCTTCAGCATCCGGGAGCACGTGCCATCCCGCTAGGTCGCCGCGATCTGATATCCGGAGACAGGCTGTAAAGGAGCGGCGAGCAAGACTTGACATCGGAAACGGAGAAGCAAGGGCAACTGGATTGAGCCGGGGCTCCGGCCAGGGCTGCTGAACTTCGGCTTGTCTCTCGTCTCTCGGAACCGAAGGGTTTCTCGGCCGTGGCTTGAATTGGCTCGTGTTTCTAGGGCCTGTTGTGTAGGCCGTGATACTCTGGGATCCCCATCCTGTATCGCCAAAAATCCACTGCCGTAACAAACAAAATGGTCGGACAAACAACAGCTCGCAGACGCCTCAAAGTCTGGCAAAAGAGCAGGCAAGAAACGAGGATGGCCAGTATCGAATAGGCATGACCAAACGTGCTCGCGAGACGACTCGAGCGGGAATCACGGCATCACAACACGTAGATGGATGGAAATCGAAGGGAACCAGGAGGCCAATGAGAAGCTGCGATACAAGGCGAAACAGAAGCCAGACAACGCAGCCAAGAGCAGAGGA